TAAAGAAGAACGGAATTGGGGCAGATACTAGATAGTGAAGAAACAATGAGTAGCCTTGATGGGGACATTGATGCCAGGTACTCGCTAGTTATGTATTTCCCTAAATGCCGTGCAATCACTTCGACTCTTGACTTCCTATCCTTCTTATTCGTTATTGTTAAGCGTCCCTATGAGAAAGTGCTTCTTTCTAAGAAGGGATCAGACCAAATTCCAGTCCTCCACCTGGCTTGTTACTCGACATTGCGGTTTGTAGGTGTGCATCTGTGTGTGAGTGTCTGTTGCTGTTGAGTCGCTTGCGAACTCACACCGTTCTTTTTTCTTGTTTTCTGTGAGCTTGCGCCAGGAAAAAATCGCCGGGAGATGAATCGAAAGCTTCATGTTGTACTACTTTCCCTTTCTCCTTCTCTCCTCTCCAGTCGACCTTTTTCCAGGAAAGGCTTTTTTCTTTTTTTCCAACCGTCCCGCCCCTTTTCCAACCCCACGAGGTGGAAATGCAGACGATCTGAGTCTGCAAGAAACTCCCTTTCGTAAAGTTCTCATTGGTTCAAAAATAAATATAAAAAGAAAATAACGCCGTCTACCCTTTAAGGAAAATGAAAACGATACAGGGATGTAACGACACTGTTTTGCACTTTATTGATCTTTCTCCTTTCTCCTTTCTTCTTCCTTCCTTCCTGATCTGAGAGTAGTCGACTAGAGTTTTTCTTCATTGCAAAGAAGCATAATTAATTTAACTCCGGTGTACTTTTTATTATTACTATTCAAAGCGCACATATATATTTTTTTCTCGCTCTCAACCGAAACAATTAGTTTCTGTTAGTATTGTATGGGTGTCACGACTACCGCCTAATTGATTTGGTTCTTCTTCTTTGTTTCTTTCTTCTACCGTGTACGGCTCCTCATCGAAGCATAACAGTTCAGCAGTCCCCATCTACACCGCGACTGTTATCAACGGAGAAACAGACAAAATATTTTTTCTACGCACAAGTTTTATAATGCCGACGTTTACCTCCGTGCGCTCAGCGCGACGCAGCGGCCGTGGTGGTGGCTACGGCGCACGCGTTGCTGCTCGCCTGCTCCCTGTCGCTGCTGTTCTTCTCATCTCCTGCGCCGTGACTGCCGCCGCGACCATCACCTTTAACTTGATTTCTGATATGCACCTCGACCCGGAGTACGGCTCACCAGACGGCTACGGTGTTTGCAAGAACGACTCTTTCCCGGCCACCGGCTTCAAAGGCTGCGACGCCCCCATGACGCTCATCAACCTTGTTGTGGCAGATGCAATGAATCTACACAACGCGTACACCCTCTACGGCGGTGACTGGCAGCGTCATGGGATGAGCACGTCGAGCCTCAGCACGGCGGACGTCTTCAATGAACTCGCGCCGTCTTTTTCGCTCATCGGCTCCTCGAGCCCCTCCACTCTTAACACGCCTCGAGTGGGGACGACCATGGGCAACAACGACGTGATGCCGGACTACGTCTTCAACGTGTCGGAGTCCCCACACCAGCTCCTCGACACGCAGATCGGCATCATGGAAAAGAACGGCGTCCTCACTACGGTGGAGGGGGAGGTGATGGCGGGATGTGGCTTCTACAGCCGCAAAGTGACCACCACCCTGCGCATTGCTGTGCTGCACACGCTCGTGTGGACCTACCGACTGACCCCTCCGTTGGAGAAGTCGAACACCGATCCGTGCGGGCAGCTTGCCTGGCTGGCGAGCGAGATCGACGCCGCGCGGTCGGCCGGACAGAAGCTCATCATTCTGAGCCACATCCCCCCACTGCCGGACGTGTTCAATGTGCTCAGCCGTGGGGCGATCGGCACGGTGGAGAGTGACATGTACTGGAAGCCCATTTTTCAGAGCGCCTACACCACCCTCCTCTTCAACAACAGAGATGTCGTGGCGATGCAGATTTACGGCCACACGCACCGCTTCTCGTTCGTGGCTGACCCGAGTATGGGCGTGCCGCTGCTTATCGTCAACTCTATTACGCCGATTTTCGGCAACAACCCAGCTTACATGATCGGTGACTTTGATGAGAGCATCTGGCGGCTTGTGTCGCTGAGGCAGCGCTACCTGGACACGACTGGAAAACCTGTGCAGATCCTTCCCGGACTTGAGGTCACGTCCGCCTTGAAAATTCACAATTTGTCGAGCATGGACGACATGCGGGCGGCTCTCACCAACATGTTCACCGACGACATAGCGTGGGGAAACTATATGGTACTCCGCACCGGTGGCGTTGTCGACGACCCGTGCACGACGTCCTTCTGTCGCATCTACACGCTTTGTGCCATGCTGAACGCAGAACATGAGAGCATCAGCACCTGCGTTACCGAACACTCCGGCGCGTCAAGCAGCAGCAGCAGTTCATCCTGCGACAACACGGTGCCGTTCTACACCGAGGAGCAGCAAGTCAACACGCGAAACTTCCTCACGGCTTTCATTTCCTCCATTCCAGCCCTGAAACCGCTCTGGAGGTGCGGCAATTTCTGTGGCTGGCCATACGTCGCGTGCGACCCCATGTCCGTCTCGGTGGCTTTCCCGAGCTCCGGTCTCACGGGCACTTTGCCGGCGGTGCCTGCGTCCGTGACGGCAGCGTCGCAGGTGGTGGTGTCGCGCATGTCCCTCGGCGGCAACTCACGCATCACCGGCACGCTGCCAAAGAACTGGGGCACACTCACGTCGCTGGAGTACATCGCACTGCAGAGCACCGGCATCACTGGCTCGCTGCCCGACGAGTGGAGTGGGATGCGCAACCTCGAAACCCTCTACGCGTACAGCACGTCGCTTACCGGTCCTTTGCCGTCGACGTGGAGCAGCTTGAAGGCGCTGAAGATCTTCATCGTCAACAATGCGAAGCTGGACGGGACGCTGCCGGCGTCGTGGAGTGCTATGTCGGCGCTGCAGGTGTTGACACTCACAACGAACGCCCTCACTGGATCCATTCCGCCATCGTGGGGGACAATGCCGCGCCTCCAAACCGTGCGCATTGCGAACAACAAATTCTGCGGATGCCTGCCCACGCAGTGGCAAAGTGGATCGATCAGCGTCTCCGCGGACCCCGCTGTCACGGCGAGCGACTGCGCCACTGCCAATAAGTGCGAGTCAACGACGACGACGACGACGACAAGCGCTCCTATCGATCCGTCAGTACACATCAAGGGTCAGCCCCTTTTCCACATCCGGCCGCCGAAGAACTGGATCAACGACCCGAACGGCCCCTACCGCGACCCGGTGACGGGTAAGATCCACCTGTACATGCAGTACAACCCGAACGGCCCTCTCTGGGGCGACATCGCGTGGTACCACGTCACGTCGGACGACTACGTCAAGTGGACACGCCCCGAGTCGCCGGTGGCGATGTGGGCGGACAAGTGGTATGACAAGTGGGGCGTGTACTCGGGCACGATGATCAACAACAACCACAGCGAGCCCGTCGCCATCTACACCTGCACGGAGCCGGAGAACATCCAGCGTCAGTGCATTGCCACCGTTCCGGCGAGAGACCTGTCTGGCAAGCGCACCCTGAACTCATTGGAGAAGAGCCCAATGAATCCAATCCTGTCGGAGGACGACGTGCCCGGCATCGTCGGGCTCGGCAACTTCCGCGACCCCACGGAGTGGTGGGAGGACCCGGAGCACCCGGGCCAGTGGCTGATTGCCTTTGTTGCCCGCATCAACGACGCCGAGGGCGACAACGCGCACGTGGTCATCTTCCGCACGCAGGACCCCACCTTCCAGTCTGGCTACAAGTTCTCGCACAGCCTCTACGTGTACAAGTACGACCTGGACAAGATGTTCGAGTGCCCGGACTTCTTCAAGCTGGCGCCGGCGGGCGAGCACTACCTGAAGGTGTCGACCATGCCCTCGCACCGCGACTACATCATGTACGGCTCCTACCAGCTGGACAGTAAGCTCGGCCAGTACGTCTTCGTCGAGGATCCCGCACGCAGCTTCACCTTCATCGACTACGGCCCCCTCTACGCCTCGAAGACGTTCCACGACCCCATCCTGAACCGCCGCATGATCTGGGGCTGGACCAACGACGAGCTGAGCGACGCGCAAATCCGATCTCAGGGCTGGTCTGGTGTGCAAAACTTGCCGCGCGGCATCGAGTACGACAGCACGGAGAAGAAGATCAAGACGTTCCCCATTCCGGAACTGAAGGGTCTTCGCGCCGGCCACCCCGTCTCGGCACGGTCGCTCGCCTTGTCCGGCAATGCCCCGGCTGTACTTACCACCGGCATCAACGCCACCCTCTACCACGAGATCATCGTAACCTTCACCTTGTCCAGCATGGCACCCTTTGACGGCACCACCTATTACACTGAGAAGACAGCCCCGGAGTTCGGCATCATGTTCCGTGGCAACAGCAACCTCAGCAGCTACACCTCGGTGTCGGTGAAGATGCCGGCTGCGACAGCGGCACCCATCGCGCAGAGCGCGCAGGACACGACATACGCCCCCATCAAGATGTTTGCGTCCCCTGCCACGAACCCCGAAACAAACTGCAGTTCCGAGTGCGCTAAGCAGCGCACCTGTGTGTCGTGGACGTACACGTCCTCGCCGTCGCCAACGTGCGCGCTCTACTGGAAGACGAGCGGCCTCGTGCAGAACAGCACGGCGCAAAGTGGCACCGTGAACATCCCGCAGCTTTACATGAGCCGCACCGTCTCCGGCTCCATCGGCTCCACGCAACCGCTGATGGGTCGCGCGCCGGTGAAGCAAGCAAACGCGAACGAGGTGGAACTGCACATCTACGTCGATGACAGCGTCGTGGAGGTGTTTAAGGACGGCGGCTTGGAAACGATGACGGGTCGCCTGTACCTGCCGGACGGCGAGGCGCAAACGCACATTGCCCTTTACACCAAGAACCTCGATCACGTCATGGTGACCGCCTCAGCAGAAGTGTTCACGATGGACACGGTGTGGGCAGGCAAGCCCACCGACGTGGTACGCAGCTACACGGACAGCGTCTACAACTTTCTCTCATTTCTGACCGACAAATGATTAAAGGAGTTCTTCTTGTTTTTGTTTTTCTATTCTTTGGTGTTTCGTCACCTGTACCATACTCTTTCAAAAAAAAAAATGGTGTATTTGTTTCTTTAAAGAAGATAAAGAATGTAAAACTTAATACAAGGGAATCATCAAAAGTGCCTTTCTATTTCTTTCTTTTTTTCTCGTAAGAGCCACTTCTTGTCACTGCTGTGTCTATCAAAAGTAATCTAATCACGACAACCTGAGTACATCACGCGATGTGTCTCTTCCCCCTTCCTCGTTCCTTTCAGCTATCGAGAGCTTCCATCCAAATGCAGAACGGGAGAAGAAAAAAGCAAAACATGAAGGCCACCCCCCTTTTCTCTTTCTTTGCCGAGCCGTGCAATGCGACGTTCCATAATGATTTTTTGCCGGCTGTAGTTATCGTAGCAATAAGCAGAAAGAAGTCTCTTCTTCGCCAGTAAATGTTTGTGTCTTTGTCAACTGTAGAGTAATACAGCCGGTTTCTTTTTTAAAACGCCTTTTCCTTTTCCTTCGTTACATTCCCCCCTCCCCTCTGAAGGTGCAAAATCTTCCATGTGAGTGCAGCAGCATACGTAGCCGCGCGCTCACATACAGTAAAATGGCGTAGCGCAGCAACAAAAGGAAAGAAATAGAAGAAAACGGTTGAAACACAAAAGATGAGAGGTTATTTTCCTGTTCTTTGCTGCGCATTAGTGCAGAACAAAAGCCCCCTTAAAGTAAAAAAAAAATTTATTACGCACAGCAAGAGACTTGTAAAAGATAAAAAGAAAGTTGAGATAAATTCACTGCTGTGAGTACGGAATATCTTCCTGGTTTCTCTACACTTCTTCTTTGTCTACTCTTTGTGATGAGCGGGCTGTAGCGCCTTGGTAACTGTAAAAACTGGTTCGACTCCCAAAACGAAATAACAATTGAATCCCCCTTCTTGTTTTTTCCTATTTTCTCTGCGCGATTATCAGTGTGAAAACGTCTCTTGCAGAAGATGCCTGCTACCAAGCAGCTCATCTTTCGGCTTTTCTGTTTGTAATTGTCACACACACGCGCACTTGAAAGGATTTTTTCTTGTTCTTGTTGTTTATGTCGTGTTTTGTTTTGTTTTTATATTCATTCATGTAAATCTCTTGTTTTAATTCCAATATTAAGTGTCAAAACGTAAGACTGAAGGAAACATAGTACATTAATCAGTGTAGCAATTTGACAACACAACGCAAATAAAGACAAGGAAATGGGAGAAAGAGAAACGAACTCACCGTCACGTTGAAAGTGTTCCTGTTCTCTTGTGACGTTTCGTCACTTCGTTTGTTATGAAGAGTAGCGCTGTTTTTCTTTCTCTGTGAAGAGCTGTTGTTGCTGGTCGGGGAGCACGAAACGTGTGTGCTCGTCGTCAACTGGTGCTTTACTGGGAACTGTTGACGAGAGACAGTTCCCTTATGGCACATTTTCGCTCCTTTCTCGTGAGATCGAACGTTATGCATCCCTCTTCTCCTCCTGTTTCTCTTGGTTGACTTTTGGGATTTCACCCCTCAGTGCAAACAACACGCCGCTCGCTGCAGCCGCAAAAATGGAAGTTTCATAGATTCACACACACACACACACACACACACACACAGTAGTACTGGAAAGAAGAAATTGTTTTTGCTTTCTTTCTACTCCTTTCTATAATCTTCAGCATCAGTTTGGTGAGCGAGTTCAACATGGTGAGCTCTACACCTCCTTCGCCGTCGATTGCACCCTCCTCTCCGCTGCAGTCAGGAGCGTCGTGTGATCGAACTTCACGGAGCTCTCCACGACCCACCTTGGCTCACTCGCCAACGGCTCCTTCCCTCGTCTCCTTTTCGTTCTCTCAGCTTTTCAGCTACCACGACGCGCCACACGCAGATGAAGACCCCGTCGCTTGGAAAAACAATGCTGTTACATCGCCTACGACGGTTTCAACACGCGAAGTGGCACTTTGCGCAGCTACATCGAATACGCCGTCCTCTAGTGGACCAACGTTTTCTTTCGAAGATTGTGTCCGCTTCAAACTTTGTCTTACCTGCGCGCTGTGTGGACGGCTGCTGCGGCATCAGCCCGCCGTTATCGAAACGTGTGGGCATTGTTTCTGCTACGACTGCGTCAACACTGCGGTAGAGGACGGCTGTGTGCCGTTGGTACAGCAGTGGCCGTGGTCGCGCTTGTCGGGCGAGGTGGAAGCCGCTGCCGCGCGTTGGGCAGCAGCAACGGCGGCCAAGCGCGAGGAGGAATCTGTACAAGAGCCACGTACTGCCGTCACCACATCAGACACGAAGTCACCTGGGCGAAGCGGAGGAAATGAGGAAGACGATGTTGTGGTGACGGCCGTCACGCCTACGCGAGCAGGACCACCATCGCCGTTTGCAGCCGCGAACGCCGTAGAGGCGCCTCCAAGCCGTCCGCGAAAGCTACGCAAAGTGCGTCAAAAGTGTCCTCTCTGCCTCGGACCTGCGTTCAAGTGGATGCTCGTCACAGTTCCCTCCGTTGCCGAGCTGTGCACGCAACTCAGCGTTGCCTACCCCGCATTAGAGGAGGTGTTGAGTCAACTTGCAGACAGTTCCGACGGTTCTTGCAGCGTCGGCGTGGCAGTCCACAACTCTTCGCCGTCCAACGCACAAAGGAAAGGAGCCGAAGAAGACAACAAAGAGCAGCACGAGCAACCGTCGTCGACCCATTCTGCGCCCGACGCAGTAGTCGATTTGGTTACAGCCGCGTTTACACCCTCCGTTGCTTCATCAACTGTACGGCAAAGCGGCGGTGGCGCTCGCCACGGACACGACAGCAGCTCACAGGAAGATGAGGAGGCGGTGCGACGACGACGGCGTAATTGTGGCGGACCCCGCAAAGAAATTACCTTTGCGGACGAAGTGCGTGCATCGTTAGAGGAGACGCATTCGAGGCCCATTGTGCGTCTTCCTCTCCAGTATCCTGTTTTGGTCACCGACGAGCTGTGCGAACCGCAAGCTGCAACGAACGCACCGCCACACCGCAGCGCAGGTTTTGCCCCTCCTGCAGTGGAAGAGAATGGTGAACGCAAAGATGAGTCGTCGAGTACCCCTGCGCTGCCAGGCAGCAGCGGAAGCCTTTCGAGTCGCTCCAGCATCACCGCGGCGGCCTTGCAGCTCAGCGTAGACCTGATACCTTCACCTGACATGAATGCGGTTATGTCCTCTACAACGGGGCGGCAACTCACTCGGGGTAATGGGCAGACTACGCCACCTCCCTCATCTCCGCAACACGAACAAGAGCAGCTGGTTACAAACATGTGCCATGCGTTCATCATTCTTGGTCAGTCTCCGAGCACAGACCAGCAAGACGAAGGAGAAGCAATCGCGAACCACGCACCACCTCATCCGTATGCGAAGCCGACGACATCATCCCAAGTGCCGTACCTTTCGGAAACGTTGGAGTCTGTTGATAATGGTGGCACTGGTGTCATCGGCGTCCCTCATGCAACTGGTCTGAAAGCAACTGGTAGAGAAGAAGAAAACGTCGTTCTTGATTTCATGACAGATCAGCCCGGCTGCGTGTTATTGGACACGACGCCCTTGGCAGACGAGTTCATCTCCCGTTTTATAACTCACCTGCCAGAGAAACAGAAGGACAGCGCAGCTTCCGGCTACACTTTTCTGTGCGACCGAGCAAGCGTCAACGCAGGACAGGCCACAACACAAGCACGCGTCTCACAACGTACACCGCCCTATTCATGTGTGCGAGCATCATCTGAATCGTGCTATGCGCACATCTTGGATACCCTTGTGGACAACGAACCAAGAGACCCGTCGGATTGGAGTGGTAGTAGCGTGACTGTCGCTTCTGTTCACCCGCACGACGTGTGGCAGCTCGAGACGGCGCATGTGCAACGCCACCCACACATACCAAATTGCTTCTCTGCACTGCGCGTGGGTCATTTGGTGTGGCTCGAGCACGACAATAAAGAAGAGTCTGCAACCACAGGACACTTATCTACGGCCCCACCGCTGCGGTGCGTTGCGGGAAGCTATCCAGCAGCGTCGTCTGAAAACCAAGATGTACATGACAGTGACAGTTTTGCTGCGCGCAGGATCTCGTCGCTCTCACCGGCGGTGTGCACTGCTGCCGTGTTTGCTGTGCCGTGTATCGATATTGGCTGGTTCTCCGTTCGAGGGAATGCTCCATGGAAAATGTATGTCGCCACAAGTGAAAAGGAGAGCTCTGGCACAACCGCAAACCACTCCGTCGTGTCCTCTTCGGCAAAACCGTCTCTCTTTTGGAATCCTTCGTGTGGTAGAAAGCCTGGTGCATGGATGGCGGATACGCGGCACATCTTATTGACGAGTGGATTGCGGAGACAGGCACAAACCGCACCTGCCACAGCAAACAGTCCAGCCCCCGATGCATCGTCGCGAACCGGGCCAAGTGCCTTTTATTTCTTCCTGTTGCCGGACGGTGCGGTGCTGCAACTGGCTAGGATCTTCTATCGCTCTTGGAGCAGCGCACGTCATGTAGCCAGCAAGCACGCTGATGAACATCGGGAAGAGGACCAAGGGCTTCCGCAGCACGAGCATCTTAACACTTCGCGCAAGCGGAGGCGGGACAGTGATGCGCAAAGTGAAGCGTGGGACACCACCGACGGCCATCCGCAGCGGGCGTGGCGGCGTTTGCTGCTTGTCTTGGGTGGCGCCGTTGTAGAGATGTCCGCGTCTCTTTTTGCTGCCGTCGCCGCTGCGTCGGTGGAATCGGAGGAAAAGGAAAGGACCACCAAGGACGTTGCAGATGCAAAGAACAGTGTTCCGCCAAGCAAGCGACGCCAAGACGACGCAGCGGCAGCCGTGGCATCTCACGCTAAGCTGTCCGAGCAAAATGTGTCAATGAGCAACTGGATTCATGTGGACATTGATGAGGGGTCACCCAGCACAGAGTGCGCCACCGCAGCGACCAAAGATGCACAGCTTGCTCAGCACACTCTTTTCCTCCTGTACAGCCCAGCAGTGGTCCGAAAGGCTTGCGATTGCGTTTCAGGAGATAAAGCTCTCTCTCGTGATGCTTTTAATGTGCCGAAGCAGACGAACACGGGCGGTCTCTGCTTTAATTTCGCCTTCCAGATTTTTCTCACGCGCATCGCAGCGTTGGTCGCTTCCGTGTTGACTCCTACTCTTCCTGCAGCGCTGCAAACGGTGCCGACGGTCGCGCATGAAGTGCGTCCTGCGAGGTGGTTGCTAGAAAACGTCGCTGAGGGTCGTCGCAGTGCGGGTAGCAGCAAGTCGCGCAAAGCGCAACCCCAAGCGGAAGAAACGCGCCCGCAGAAAATCATTGCAAGCGGGGAAGCAAATAGCGTGCAGCCGCAATCGCAGCTGTCAAGTTCTACTCCGCAGACGCCCGCGGTCGTTGACGGCACAGGAAGAGCTACCGTGGTCAGCTCCCTCGTCGCCCCTCTTACGTCAACGGTGCTGCCGTCAGACGAGTCGCCAGGCCCACCACAGCGCGTCGGGGTGTACCGAAGCCTTCTCTATTCTGATACTCCGTAGCTTCACAGTAAATCGCGTGATCTTCGCTCACTTCGCAGCAGTGTTGATGCGTTTGCGTGCCACCCCCATCGCAGAAGAAAAAGAAATGAGAAGGATGCCCAGACAACGAGTCGTTTGGGGGAGGGGGAGGGATTGATGCAAGGCAGTTTTTTTTTTTCATGCCTGCACTAGAAAGATATCTTGTTGCCTCATGTAGCGTGCGCACTGCAGTCCATTCAGTGCGTTGTAGCGCCAAGAGAAAAGAAAAGAAAGAAACCTCTTCTTCTTTCTCATCAAAACTCACACGCACCTCTCTTCACTCAACGCTTGTCTCTTTTTTTCTTTCTGTTTTCGCGCGCTGTGCGTTGCGCAACTCCTCAGCAAAAGAGGAAGAGAAGTTGCTTTCCTTCATACTTCGCACGAGCACCAACTTCTTTGCATCTACGTTCTCTGTCCGCCGAATCATCACGATAATTTGGAGGAGAAATCGACTTTTCACTCCATTTTCGAGTAATACGCCTAAAACAACGGCAAAAGAGGGAAGGCTTGTTTTTTGTGTGGTTCAGCCCTTGCCTGGACGCCACTAACACGCTTAAACAAACATAACTGCTTGAAGCAAAAAAAAAAGGAGGTTTAGATCTTGAGACTTGTCACAATGCCGCCAAAGAGGAAGGGACACACCCTCAGGGGGAAGCAGAAGGTATTTCGACATGCCGTGGAGCATGTGCGCCTTGGACTCGGTCACACCGTTCTCGGCAACCTCAATCTCGGCCTCGCCGCCTCCGCCCCAAGCGCAGTCGACATCGGTTCTACTATCCAGCGTCCTGCCTTCTACGTCGAGCTGAATGAGCAGCTCCTCTCCCACAGCTCCAAGGACTTCAAGAAGTTCCGCTGGGAAGTGCTGGAGTTGTGCGAGACGGTCCCTCTTTTGCAGCTGCATCACCGACAACTCGCGCAGAAGCTGCTGGCGCGCCTCATGGACCGCGGCACGCACCGTGTAGGGGAAGAGGAAGACAACGAGGAGGCGAAGGGACGTCAGAAAAATACACGTAGGAAAACACCCGGCGGCGCCGATGAGGGCGCGACCACGCAGGCCTACGAAGCTTTTGCCCGGTTGACCATCGCCTTTGTGCGTGATATGGGCAGCAAGTTTCTGCCCTACTACCAAATTTTTCAGCAATCCATGCAAGCCGGCATGTACGACCAGTCTGGGCATCTCATCGTCGACACAGCGCGGCTGCAGCTCGTCTTCGCGGTGCAGGCAGCTTGGTGCCGGGAACTGCACAACTGCTGGGACGACCCTGCGCAACTCCCACTGGTGCGCCGCATTATTCAACAGTACGTAGGGCAGCTGCACGACACCAAGGAATATGTGCGTCGCCTCTCCGCCGAGCTGCTGGCGTTTCTGTGTCGCCTCTGCCGCCCCTTGCTGCCGCTGGTGGTGGAGGAGGCGTGCGGCGATGTGCTGCGCGCCTACGAAGAAACTGCCACAGAGGCCGCCGCCGCTGCCGCTGATGATCGGAGTGACGATGACAGTGCGGGGGAGCAGGAAGACAAAGAGGGCGAGGAAGAGGACGAAGATGCAGACAGCGACACACCGCCGTCCGCGACGTCGTCGTCGTCCTCCATCTGGACTGATTCGGCGCAGCTGCTCGACTTTACGCGAAGCACGTTGCCGCACCATCCGGTGGTGGACGGGCTGGTGTTCTTTGCGGCGGAGCTTTTCCGTGGTATGCGTGGTGCGTTGAGCTCGTCCTTTGAAACCCACTACGTCCGTCTCTTGTACGCGTTTCATCTGATGGAGCTGGACGATACGACGGAGGAGAAGACGAAGACTGTAGAAGCGGCAGCAGACGGCAGGAAAGAGGCGAAGAATGCCACTCCTGCGCGATCGACTGTGAATGTCGTGCGTGCCCTTCACCACCAGCGCCACCCTCTTGCCCCGCTTCTCGACGACGGTGATGATAACGACACGGACGCAGGCAATAGCGGGAGCAGCGCAAAGGACGCCGCAGTGTCGGCGCGCGGTCGCCGCAACGCCGATTTGCACACTACGCGCTGGTCGGCTGTCTTTGACATCGCTGGTGAGTCAAACACGACTGTGCAGGCAGAAGCTGTGGAGGAAGAGGAAGAAAGGGAAGGAACGACGCTGAGCAGCAGCGCTGATATCGCCGGCGCTCGTCGTCTACTGCGCCACATTGGATCCCACACGCTGGGGAGCGCGGCGGCCGCGGTGCTGCGTGAAACAAAGAGGCAGTCCTTGCTGCTTTCCCACGCACAAGATTCCTCTACCGACGAAGAGGACGATGAGGAGGTAAAAAATGACCAGGCCAACGACGAAGCCGCGGCCCATAGTAGTGTGCGGCCCAGCCACCGTGTACTCACGGCTGTTGTGATGTGCTTGAGGTGCTCCGCCGGTCCTGCGAGTGCGTCGTATGTGCAGATCCTCGTGTCGGTGATGAGCGCAGCCAACTTCGCACTCTGGGTGGACAGCCGGGAGGCACCTCTGTTGAAGCAGCTCGCCAAACAGCTGCTCTCTCTGCTCAAGCCTCGCTCGTCAGCGGAGGAAGCCGCACTACGCTTCGAACTCTCAGTGGCCGTTGACGAGGAAGGTTTCGCGGCGCGGTTGCTTGAGAGCGCCGCCGTCGTGCTACGTCTGCTGCTGCCGCTGTGCCTCTCGCCCTACCTTGGTGCGTCGCCGAAAAGAACCCCCACGTCCGACCACCTGCTGGAGCTGCAGCAGTGGTTCGTGCCGGTCGCCAAGGCGGCGGTGCAAGCGTGTGTGAAGGTGGCGACCGCCCCACCCCACAAGTCCAGGGTCGCACCCGAGGTGGATACAGCGTGTCAGCCGCAGGAAAAGGCAGAACAGATTCTTTTCGCGTTTGCGCAGGACGTCGCACAGAAGAATTACGCCTTCGCCATGGAGCAGGAGCGCCGCATCGCCGAGGAGGCGGACGTGCGCGGCATCGACACGCCAACGAAGACCTCGACCACAACGGCAACGAAGCGCAACAGCACCACCGACTTTCGCGAAGACGCCTACGTCTCAGGGGAGGAGGAAGGCGAGGAGGATGCAGGCGAGACCGGTACTGCCAGCAACAGCATCAGCCGTCCCCACAAGCCACACCGCGCGCACCATCAAGTCCCATCGCTCCTCACACCGTTTGCCCTCACGCTTCTTCACACCATTGGAACGGGTGTATGGCAACGTGCCACCGAGGATCTTCAGCGAATTGCCGGCGCCAGCAGTACGCCTTCCTCCTCTGTCGAAGCTGCGTCCATGATGGTTGTTGCTTTTCGCCACGCCAACGTCCAGCGAGCCGTGCTGTTGAGCCGACTTCTACAGGACCACACGCAGCATATGGCTGTCAGTCCATTGCAGCAGATGCTGCGGCTCAAGGCCATCTCGGCGGCTGCCGGCAACGCGGAAGGCAGTCGCAGCGCTGCAGCAGCAACAGTTGATAAAACGGCTTCGGCACGTGGCGTGCTGGAGAAGTTCGTGTTAGGGCTGTTGCAGTACTACAAGACTGCACAAAGCACTGGTCGCTCTTCTAGTCGAGAAGCGAGCGAAGCGATGTCCTACGTGTCATGTGCGCTCCCCCTCATTCAGCTCCTCGTCTCCGCGCCGGCCACCACAGCCAGCTCGGCCTCAGCTCCGGTGAAGTCGGCCTTGCTGGAGCTGCTGCAAAGCATTGAAGCGCGCGAGGACGAGTCGCACGATCAACGTAGCGACCAAAATGCGGAAGTGGCGTCGCCACACCGCAGCCTTCTCGATCCCGCGGCCTATGCGCTGTACGCCGAGGTCGCGGCGATGCTGGTGCAGCTCACCGCCGGCCTTTCAGGTGGCCGACGTAGCAGCAGCAGCACAAAATTGAAGAAGAACAAGGGAACATTGTCTGTTGCCACGAGTGGCGACATGAGCCACACAGAGGCGGAGCAGGAAGGGCTGCGACACTTGTGTCGTACAGTGGCCGTTCTTGTGCACGGCTTCCGGCAGCTTCGTGCAAGCCCGGACGCTGCGGGTGAAGCAGACTTGCCTGCTGCTGCCACCAACACCACGAGCACTGCTGTCTCTGATGATACGCGGGTGCAGCTCCTGCACGGTGCAGAAGTACTCCTACACGCCCTGTTGTGGATGCTGGGTCTTGACTCGGAGAGTCAGCACTACGACGAAGCACAAGAGACGTTGGCAGCAGCAGCAGCAGGAGGAGGCGAGGAGGTTTTGTCGGCGCACACGAAGAAAGCGCTGTCCACGCTGCACGCCGCGTTGCCTGCAAGCCTTCACGCGTCTTTTGTCCAGCATGTGCTGTTGGAGTGCGTGACGGCGCCGATCGCCGGTCTGCGGCTGCACGCCCTGCGTCTCCTGCGGCTGCTGTGTCATCCGTCCCTCACCGATGCACACCGTCTCGTCGGTGCGCCGGCGGTTCCGCTCGACATTCTCGACGCGCTTCTCCGTGCCGCCGAGTTCAACCCACTGTCGCACCGGGGCAATCTGGACGGCATGCAGCAGGCGCTATCACGTCTCTCGTTCAAAGTTGAATCCGGGGCCGTCACGAAAACCTTTGAGCGTGTCCTCATTGCTCGCACGGTAATTGGTTTTCTGTACATCAAGTTTACGGGTGCGTGGGAGACCGCCTCGAAGCTGTTGTGCTGGCTCGTGGCCCAGGAAGAGACGTCGATGGCCCATGCACGCGCGTTGCCAAAGGCAGAGGGCGACAATGATGGAAAATTCAAAGAGAACGATAAGGACGAGACAAACGAGACGGAGGACGCGCAACCTCGTCGGAAGCGGCTGGAGCCGGTCGTGTGGAACTCTGTCATCTGCGTGTACGCGCGGTCACTCATCTTGGGGGATGTAGTAGCCGGTACCACAGCATCCACCACAGCTGCTTCCGCTGCCGCCGTTGGAGGGTCGGAGGAGCAACGAGCAGAGGAAGAGCTCGAGGGCAACGCAGTCGCGGCGGACGGGTCGGATGCGTTGGCGGTTGCCGTCTGCGGTGCCCGTCTGGCTGAGTTGCCGTGCCTCTACGAGATTCGGCCGACAGACCAGCAGCGTCACGCCAAGGGCAAGCTGGTGAGCCGCGCCTTCTCCAGCGCACAGTACAGCACTTCTTCCTTCACACTTCTGGAGAGCACCAACGATGACTTTGAAGTTGTCCGGTGGGGACAACACTGGACAGCGTCGTCACGGCAACAGGTGAAGAAGAACAAGAGGGGCAACAACAGCAGCCTCGCAGCGGCTGCCCTGTACGCCACCTCTACCGACCGCTCTACCCTAGCGCAGACCTTTCTCTCCATCCTGGAGGCGATGGTCAAGACGGGCTCGGCGGTGGACCGCAAAGTCCGCCTGGTCGAGGACGTGGTGCTTGAGCTCGCCGCGGTGGAGCGCAACCGCCACCCGAGTGGCATCGACGCGTCGCAGGTGCGCCGGCTCGACCAGCGACTGGAGGTGGCGATGCGGGCGTGCGCAGCGGCGCCGACGGGTGTACTGACGGCGTCGCAACGCAAGCGCCTCTCTGACGCGGCCCAGCACGACATCGACGGCCGCAACGCGGAGCTGCAGGCTATTTTTGTGTCCTACGTATCGGAGGTGAATCCGCGGTTGCAGCGGGCGGCCGTGGACAACCTAAAGCGTCTCCGCGTGGAGCCGTACAGCACCTATCACGGGAAACTCACCCCTTACTGCGACACGATGAAGGCCCTCTTTGCGTTTTTGAGCACCTTTCATGTGGAGAGCGATGTGCCGTCGCACGACCGCGTGTCCTACGTCTCTGCCGCCTTGTCGCTCGCCTTGCCGAAGCTGTTGGCAAAGGTGTCGAAGGACAAGCTGAAGGATCAGGCGGTGCTGAGCCGTCGCTTGATGGGCTACCTGGAGCACCTGCCCCCGCAACCCACGCGTATCGGTGCCGCGAAGGACCCACTCGCAGAGGTCTTGGATCAGCTGCTTCATCGCCTCTTGGCGTTTGCGATGCCCATTGCTTCCGCCCCGTCCGCGTCGTCGGGGAGGGTCGACTCCTACGATTTTCTCACCAATGTCTGGGAGGGAATTGTGTACGGCGGGTGTGGCCTGCAGCCGCCCTCGTCGCAGCGGGGCGACACGACGGCATCAAACGGTAACGCTAGCGGTGACGTGCGTCGCCGCTCTGGCCTTCATGGCATCCGTCGTCTGGAGCGTCTCATGAAGCAGCTCAGCAGTGCCCTGCGGCTGCTGGAGGCGATGCTGCACGCCGTTGGCCAGCGCTTCTCCGTCTACGTCTCAACGTGTTTACACTTGGCGCTGCAGTCCTACCTGGTAGCGTGCAAACAGTGTTTACGCCACCCGATGGACGCGTTGATGGCGACGCTGTCGACGGATGCAAAGGACTCCGCCGCCACTCCTGGAGAAGAACGAGTGCGGCGCTGGTTGACTTTTTTGAATAAGTCCCTTGCCAGCAGTACGCTCTCCACCGCGCTCTCGCACGTCCGCCGCGCGGCGGTGTCGATTGTGGCGCTGCTGTCGGAGCAGTTCCCGGAGGAGGTGATGGACACCGTTCGTGACTGCAACGCCAATGACACCACGGCGCCAGCCTTTTCCCTCTTTGCGACGTACCTGCGGACGCTCTTTGACAACTCGAAGGGTACCACGCTCGATGGCGACGGTAGGCCGCTTGTGGCTGGTGGCCTGCGTTTGCCGTCGTCAGCCAGGAGCTCCGTGACTCCTGTACTGCGGCTCCTCATGGCGTGGGTGCGCAGCCCTGCTCTTCTTCCTCTCTTCCCTGCCTTTGCTGGTGTTGTGGTGGGCACCCTGGATGAAATCTTCGCCGTCAACGCTGCCGCGACGTCAGTGCACAAAGCCTCGACACAGGCCATATTCGAGGGTCTGCGTTGTGTGTCGGAGATGCTGAGTTGCGCCGATGAAGAGGTGGTGGAGATGCAGTTCTTTGACGGCGCAATCATAGCAAGACCATGCGCACGCTGCGCCACCGCTCGCAAAACAACAACACTGACGACATTCCGCAAGTGCTTCTTGGAGCAGCACATTGTCGGGGTCTTTACCTCACTTTACACCCTGCTCACCTCTGGCGCGGCGCGGGAGGAGGCAGAGGTTACGACGATGTCCACCACCACCACCACCACCACCAGTGCTGCGATGACCTCGTCGCCCAACAAGAGTGACGTTGCGGAGGACGAAAAAGGAGAAGCAGCGACGGCAGCGCTGGAGAGACGACGCCGTGTGCCCTCCTCGCAGTCGTCAAAGGGGCGGAAGAGCAGCAGCACCACCAGCAACAACGCTGCTCAGCGTGAAGGCAAGAGACGACCTACGTCCATCATGTCGCTTAGCGTGTCTGTGTGGCGCGAGGTGATGCGCACCGTCTCCCAGCTGACCCAGTTCCTGCGCACGGACGCCGCGGCCTCCACGTCGTCGTCGTTGTCGCTAGACAGCATGATCGGCCGCCTGCTGGAGCTCGCACTAAAAATGGTTGCGCACCCCGTCTGCATGTTCGACGCGTCCACCGCGCAGATGGTGACTGGCATGACGCAGACGCTGATGGAGCAAGTGCGCACGATTACGTACCGCGAGCACTGGCAGCCCCTCGTGCGTCTCTTCAACGTCGTACCCAACCCACAGGCCCGCCACTCCCTCTGCGCTCTTCTGTCCGTTGCGGTGGAGAAGCTGCCGTTGCCAGAGAGCAGCAACCCGCTCCCGCTGGCACAACGTCACGACGAGTCGCAGCAAGCGAAATGGTTCCACAAGCAGCTCGCCGCCACCGCCCGCGCCGTCAAGTGCCTCAACAGCTTCGAAAAGGAGGATACGTTCGACCGCTACGACTTTGAACTCCGCTACCACACCTTGCACTCTCTACACGACTTTTTTGCCCACTTTGGAAACTACGGCGCATTGCCGCGTGGCCGTCACAGCAGTAGCAGTGGTGGTGGTAATGGTGGCGGTGGCAACGGAAGTACGATCCGTAGGGAGCGGGCGTACGAAGGCGCGGAAGATGTGCAGCTGTCGCTGGACAAAGTCTACGCCCCGGTACTGGTGCCGGAAGCCGTGGCCGTGCTGGCCGCCAACGTCATGTTCTTCTTGCGCGACCCCGAGCAGACGATCCGCGCCTTGGTCCTGCCTCTGCTGCAATCCATGGTGCGCTACGCCTCCTTGGGCGGTCAGCGGCTGCCGGGCACCTCAGAAGGTCGCAGCAGCAGCATCGGCGGCGGCCATGCCAAGCGCAGTGCACCGACACAAGCAGGCGAGGCAGACGCTGTGTCAGCAGAGCAGAACTCTGCGGCGCGTGCCGCGCAGCAAGCGTACCGCACGCAGGTGCTGGAGACGATTCTGCGCCACGAAGTTCTCGGCTCTCTGCGGCGCGGCGTCGTGGCAAAAGATGTGCACATTCGCTGCGCTCACATGCAGGCCTTCGAAGGGTTCGCGCGCTACTTTGGCGCTGAGTTTCCCAGCTTTGCGCTGCTGTACTCACCGAACACGGAGCAGAACTTCTACGCGAACGTCGGTCACGTACAGCACCGCTCGCGCCTGCATGCCCTGGCGCTGCTGCGTCAGCACGCAGCCGAGATGAACGTGCGTGACGTGCTGCGTGTTTTTGTGCCGTTCACCATGAGTGCTGTGAAGGACTTCGCGGAGGGAAAACGCAATCAGGCGAACTTGACGGAGGGCCGCGCTCGCGGGTACTGCGATGCCGTTCTTCTCACCATCAGCTCCATCGCTGCGCGGCTGCCGTGGACCGCCTACTACCGCGTGCTGTCTCTCTTCCTGTCGAACGCGAGCGCCAACGCGAACTTGCGGGCAACGATGCTGCGTGGTGTGGTGCAGGTGCTGAACACGTTTCATTTTTTGGAGGACAACGAAGAAAAAGAAGGGGACGAGGCTGCGGATGGCAGCGAAGCTGGTGAGGACGAGGATGAGGTGAACGACGCCGATGACGCGGTGCGGGCGGAGCTGACGGCGAAGCAGCGCGAGTTCCGCCACGCCAAGGTGATGCGGGTGTTGGAGGCGGACGTTCTGCCGCAGCTTTATAGCTACCTTGGCGACAAGGAGTCCAAGTCGATGACCGGGAAGGGGTTGGCCAGTCAGCACAGTATCACCACCGTGCGTCGCGAGCAGCAGCGCGAGGATGCCGCCTCGGCGCAGATGAAAAACGCACTGCTGCAGCTGCCCGTCGCGATGGCCATCACGAAGATCGTGAAGCACTTCCCAGAGGACCGCTTCAACGTCCACGTGGACCACCTGCTGGACGAGCTCATCAAGAAACTGCGCACGAAGAACGACAAGCATCGCGACAGCGCACGCCGAATTCTTGGCGCGATGCTGCAGGAAACTGGGCCGTCGAAGCTGAAGTTTGTCGTGACGAAGCTGAAGGACAATTTAGTACACGGCTACCAGCTGCATGTGCTCGGCTACACCGTCGTCACGCTGCTCTACCAGCTCTACGAGCCGAACAGTCAGCTCTTGCATCCCCACCAGTCCAAATCCGCTGCGTCATTCACCTCGCACGCACGCGGCGTTGTTCACGATCCCGCGCAGGAAGCCCTTGAAGAAGCAATGAGGCAGAAGCGGTCGATCAGCGAGGGAGAGCAAGCGCCGCGCCGAGCGAGGCTGGAGCGTGATACCGCCGGCAAAGATGACAAGGCAGCGGAGGCAGTGATCGCAGTGGATGAGGACGCTGCGGTGGAGCAGGCCGAAGAAGCTCTCCTGCGTGAGCTTGGCACCTCGACGCACGCCGACTTCGACTTCCAATACGGCGTTGACTGCCTCACGAAGGTGATGGAGGACTTGCTCCTGATTTTCCTGGATGACTACCTCGGTGAGGTCGGCATTCAGAAGGAGCAGGTGGAGGTAATGAGCACCATGGTGGAGGTGAAGCGCAACCGTGCCCTGCAAGGTTTTGCTTTCCTCGGCAAGCACTGCGATGCGGCCACCGTGATGGAGGCGTTCCTCCACCGCATCACCTGGGTGCTCACCCCGCCGTCCGACAACGTCGTCAGCACCAGCGAGCTGCACGGCAGCGCGCGCGTCCGCTCCTTGTTGGCGCAAGAGATGAAGAGCAAGTACCTCACCGTCGGTAAGGGTGGAAGCGTGGACTTGGTTTTTGTGAACAAGGTGCGCCTGCTCGCCGTTCGCGTGGCACGGTCCCTCATGACGAACCCGACCATGTCCGTCGAGAAGTCGTTTGAACAGGTGCGCCGCTCCCTCGAGCAACACAACCGCACCCGCGAGGAGAAAGTCCGCGACTTTGAAGCGAAGGACGGCACACGGCGCATTCGCGGCAACGCACACCTCATTTTGCACAAGGCAGATCGGCACAGCCGCAAGGAGCAGCTCGACCAAAACTTCCTCGTCGCCGCCGTGCCGGAGCGGGTGGATGCGGACTTCAGCGCGCACACCGTTTTGGCGACGCAGCAGAAGCAAAAGCTGCGCGTTTACCGCGGACGCTACGGCAAGGAAGTGAAGGAGGCCGCCAAGAACTTCTACCGCGAAGATCCCGTCACGGCGGTGGTGCTCGACACCTTGGACGAGTTCCTCTTGAAGTTCCTCCTGAGCGTTCTGAAGCAAGTGCTGGGTATCGGCAAGGAGAAGCACTACTCCAAGGCGGCCATGAAACTGGACATGCTCCGCCATCACCGTGAGCAACAGCGGCAGAGGACAAAGAGCGCGGACGAGGATGAGGGCGAGGCAGAAGACAACGGCGAGGCGGGGAGCGAGCAAACCGAAACCGCACAGGAAGGCGATGGTGCTGCCGAAGATGAGGAAGAGGAGACGGCCGCCGTAGCCAACGACGACGGCGACGAAGACGGCCTCGGTGCTTTTGCGGAAGCGCAGACCGTCGCAGAGGGAGAGACGGCAACCTCGCAGAAGCAGCGGAGGGCAAACAAGCCGACGCGAAGGGCGAGCAATTCTGGTGATGGGAGTAGCAGCACTTCTACTGCTGCGGCTCTCTTGGCGCCTGGCAGTGACCTCACCGTCACCTTCACTCATGAGCACCGCAGCCTGCTCGAATCGCTCGTGTCGGTGGTGCTGACGTGCTTGCAGGGCGAGGGCAGCGACGCGGTGGTGGCGAATGCTCTGGACTGCTTGCTGGCTCTCGTCTCCCTCCGCCCGCCCCTCAACGCGGTCAACGACCTACAGAAGGAACTGTTTGAGACCGTGACGAGCTTCATCGAGCGCGGCTCCGTCATTAAGCAGCGCGCCATCCGCCTGACCGCGGCAATGGTGGCGCACCAGAAGTATGTTGTGTCCGAGGCGAACGCCGTGCAGCTTGTGAAGCTTGTTCGCGCGGAGGTGATGGAGCGTAACGAGTTCATGTCCGTCTCCTTGAGTCTTCTCTACGCTATCCTCGGAAAGCACGTGCACATCGCCGAGGTCTACGACCTGATGGACGTCATCACAGAGCTGCTGCTGCACTGGAGTGCGCATCGGACCATTCGCCGCCGCTGTATCCTCATCTTGACGCGCTTTCTGCTGGAGTACCGCCTCACGCCGGAAAAGTTTAAGTCCCACATTGACATGTACTGCCGCAACCTCGATTACCCCGAGCTGACGGGCCGAACCGCGCTGCTGGAGCTGCTGGATGCGCTCATCGTGCGCCTGCCCGCCGTCATATTGCGCGATGAGGCTCCTGTCCTCCTCGTCCCCCTCGCTGCAACGGTTACGGGGAGTGAGTGGGTGGAGTGCCGCCGACAGGGCGGGGCGGTGCTGCAGCACCTTGCGCGGTACGCCGGCGTGGACGTGCTGGTGCCGGTGCTGTCAGCGTGGATGGCTGCCGCACAGCCGCGGGCGACGCGCAGCATGGCCGTGCAGACCTGGGCCACCATTGTCCCCGCCCTTTCTGAGTTCTACGAACTCAGCGGCGAGCACCAGCAGCAGGGAGCGGACGACGACGGCGGTGACGCAGAGAGTGCTGCTGCGAGGGAGGAAAACCGAGCGGCCTTCCAGGCGTGTTGTGCCTGGTCGCTCGAAACTGTTCTGGAGGGCTGCCTCTACGATCAGCTCGCCGCCTCGGGTCGCAACAAGAGGCTCGACCAGCTGTCCTCCAAGGCAAAGGAGAAGGTGGAGCTGGAGGGGTGGGCGTATGTCTTTTACAGCCTGCGCGCCACCGAAGCCATGCTGACAGCATTGCCTGAGGAGCTGTACCCGCTGCTCGCGCCACGCCTGTTGCCACACATCACGGACACGTTGATGATACACGCCCACCCATGGGTGCGGGCGGCGGCCACCCGCATCCTGCGCCATTACCTGTACACGTTCGTGGAGCGCCGGTGCCGCTACCTGCAGGAGGATGTGTGGCATCACCTGGCCACTCAGACGGAACGCCTCGCGGGGCACCACATCGTCGCCGATCCAGCAGACAGCAACGAGACCCTCCTCTACATGTTTGACACGGCGAGGTGCAGTGCCAAGACTGCCATTGCCGATGCGATGAAAACCTTGCAGACCTTTGCTAGCACGCTGAGGCGGGTGTTGGGCCTCGTGAGCGCGTCGGATGTGACGATGGAGATGTACAACGCGCACCGCGCCATCGCCGATCCGGCACGCGGAGAGCTGCTCAAGATCGCCGTCTACGTGTTGCGCGCCATGGCTGACGTCTCGCTCTTCGTCCTCACACAAACTGGTCTTGCTGCTGCTGCAGCCACTACGGCCTCCGCCGCGATTACCGACGGCGCTGCGCCATCGTCCGCACCCCCGCAGCGCCGTCTACGTGCGTATCAGGACGTCCAACAGCGCGTTCGCACGACCTACGTCGCCCTCCAGCATCAGCTGCACTCCCTGATCACCCCGGTGGTGCAACAGAACAGTCTCGTGAACTACATGGTGCGCAGTGCGACTTTGATACAGCTGCTTGGTGGGTGGATATCTGTTCTGCCTCACGAAGCATCTGACGAGGACGAGGAGGGAGAGGGCGATGCACGTCAGCTGCACGACACGTACAATGCACAGGTGCGCTGGATGTCGCAGCAGCTGCTCTGCCCCACAACGATGCTGCAGCAGTGCACCCTGCCGTTGCTGGCGCTGGGGCTGCGTGCAAAGCCCATCTCCGAGAAGGTGTCACTCATCGCCTACCAAGTGACCACCGTGGTGGAGCAGCAGCTGGAGGAGCGTCGCCACGAGCTGACCACGCCGACTACCACGCACATTCCTGCCACAGACGCCGACGTGTCTGTTGGCAAGAAGCGGCAGCGCGAGGAGAGGAAGAAGGATGCGGCGGAGCTGGGCGAAGAGAACAGCTACGGCGTTCCGTTTGATGACGTTCTGGTCTCCCTCAAGACCCAACTCGCCAACATCCATGACGCTCGCCGGGACCAGCAGGTGGTGCTGAACGCGAAGAAGGCGCAGAAACGCAGCCGTCGGCAAATGGAAATGGAGAGCAGGCAGCAGCAACGGCGCAAAGGACGTCCGTTATTGACAAAAGGCCGCTGACGTCGCCTCAGCGACGAAGGAGAAGAAGCCTGTGGGTGCAATCTAGCCGCACCGCCGCGGGGCTCAAGAAGATACCTTCCCCCCCCCGCGCGCGCGTTTCATACGTAGAGTTTAAAAGCTGAAAGAATAACACGTTGGTGTTATTATCTTGAATCTAATCGCTGTTGTCTTTTTTTTCTCTTTAAATAAGAGTAACTCCAATCAATCTTTCGAATAAGCGTTGCAACGCATTTGTCCCGTAATTCCTTAACGCGTAACTTGACCAAAAGAAAGAAAAGTTCATTATTGTCAGTAGTATGATGAACCAACGCTGCGCATCCTGAAGGACAGCGTCTGGGGATTTGGATATCAGTACAACTAAGAAAGGATGGCAGAGGTGCCATTTGGCGCGGTCGCTGTTCTCAGCAGCGGCATTTTAGCGGAGGCCGGTGTTGTTGTTCGGGGTCCAAAAAGAAACACCATGGAAAGATGTTGTGATTATTGTTCTCTTGAACTCGTCTTTCTCCTTCTTCTTTTTCATCCTACTCTCCTTTCTCGACGCTTTCACCTTTGCGAGTGAAACGCGGCTCCGTGCGCTTTGTGGTCACATTTTGAGTGTTACGGGTTTTCTTGGTTGCCCGGAATAGCCTCGGGCGAACTGCTTTACAGAAACAAAAAGGATGACAATAAACTAAAAAAGCCGCACGTGTTTCATCAACTCGCGAGCGTGTCTTACTGACTTTGTCGCACCCATTAATTATCGTTGTGGGTGAGATTTGCCTAAAACATCTAAAGCTTTTCATCTCGGTAACACAGAAGTTTGCCATCGCAGTTCGCGCGCGCACGTACACACACACACACACAACGAAAAGAGGGGGGAAGTGTGGCATGTACGCAACGTACATATCTACAACGCGTTCTTCGAGCTGCCATCTCTTTTTCCCCCCTCTCTCAACATACGGTGTGCTTCTATTTTTTCCTTCTCTTTTTACGGTTCTCTTCCAAGGAGGAGGATAAAGAAGGAAGAGGACACTCTCTTATACATCGCAACTCCCCTATTCTATCTTTTCGTTTCGTGAGTGTTGCGCTCTTTTCACACGCGTTTGGGGCACTCTTCTGTGCCTTTCCTTTAGACCTGTACCGTTATTCAAACTTAGTAGCACTTTCCGTTTTGCCTGACATAGATCGTTGCTGATTCTTCGGGAGGTCTTTTTTTATTATTGAGGTGCAACTGCTCTTCCGTCTTGAAAACATATAATGCCGGCAAAGAAGGCGCGTGCAGCTGCGGCAACGTCATCTAACTCAGGGCCTACTGCCCCGGTGCGTCTTCGAAAACGAAGTTCGTTAAATGGCACCGCAAACGGCAGCGAGGCAACTCCTACACCTTCCAACGCGACCGCCACAGCAGCATCGACAGTAACAGCAGCATCAGCACCAGTCAAGAAAACCACGGCAAAAACACGCATCTCAGTCACCTCTACCTCCATCGTCGCTCAACAGGCAGCGTTAGCAACAGCAACAGCAGTCCCCGGATCCAGCGCGGGGACTGCAGCCGCGAATGCCCTACGAGCACGGGCGAGTGCCAGTGGACACCCCGACCTACGCGCACCTGCTCGTAGCATCACGGAAACCTCAACTAGAGCTGTTGTGAACGGTACCAGCGATATCCATAGTAGTGGTGGTGGTGTTGCCCATCACACGGTTGGAGCTACGGCAGGACCCTCCCCAAACCACAAAGCAGTGTCTACAACGCCGAGGTCCGCTGTCTCTGCCGCCTCCAAGACCAGAAATCACCCCGTCGCTGCGACGCAGACAACGGCGGCTGCGAGTTCCGACCCGCCAGTCGCCGCAACCTCACCAACTCCACGAAGTGGCACATCTCACGTCGCCGCTGGGGTCGGCGGCATCAGCGACAGCGGCAGCGCGCCGTTCTCTGCTGCACCAGTCGCACGTCGCCAGAGGGGCAGCATTGGTGCTGCCGCAGCAGCGCCAGGGAGCAGCGGAGCACCCACCACCGCCGCCGCATCCTCTTTTTCCAATGCCTCTCCGGCCCCCTTAATTCGAACCACCAAGGCCAGCGCCTCCGCCACGTCCACGCTTCCACACGTAAGTCAGCGTCCCGATTCCGCTGCGCGCCCAGGCCCGCCGACGCCGCGGCCCCCCGACCCAGCGGCTCCCAGCACAGGCACAGCGCAGCCCTCGCACAGTGGTGAGGCGGGTAGCGGTGGGAGTACCACCGCAGCGGTTGGCGCGCGGCCTCGTCGCACCAGTGCCACCAGCGACTCTGGCAGCGCCACTCACACCGTCAATACTGCCCCAGTTCCTGCCTCTGTGTCTGCCGCGGTCAGTGAAGCTCCCTTTGCACCACCGGTGTCGTCGTTGACAGCCGCGGACACTCGCGCCGCTGCTGCTGCTGCTGCTGTAGCTGAACCAAAGCGCGAGGAGCAGCACGACCACAGCAGCGGCGCGGCTCCCCGGATGGCTCGAAAGCGCACCAGCGCAGGCACAGCCCTCAACGCCAAGCCGAAAACCCCGTCAGCCACCCATTTCACTGCTACAACGGGTTCCGTCACTTCTGGAACACAAGCAGCTGCAACGGCAGCAGCAGCACATTCCTCCGTAGAGGAAGCAGCAAAGGAAAATGTGACGCATCGCAGCAGCGAAGCCGAAACGGCGGCCCCATCCGCGCGCCCATCCGGCACGCTCCCCTCTCATCGGTCTTCGGGACGAGTATCGGTCAGCATCCCAACCACCGCCGCCAACACCGCTCCACCGACGCGCGACCCGTCCGTCGCCCAACCGCAACACGGCAGCACCACCGCGGCAACAGCGGCAACGGCGCCTTCCAACGCGTTAGAGAGTGAAAGCCCCACCTTCCCAGCGCTGAGCATTGCAAAGGGAAGCGGGAGTGAGCTCGAACGCTCTACTCTTGGCATCGCCGCAACCACGCGACACAACGCCGTCGCACCACTGAGTAATCTTCCCCGGCATTCGCACGGGCCTGTCGTGTCAGAGGCGTGGACACGGAGCATCATCAAACCCGGAGACGAGCAACTGCTGTACGCACCCGCCAATGCCGCCTTCGCGCGAACGTCGTCGGGAATGACCAAGAGCTGGCCACGAGGCGCTGCGAGTGTTGTGCGAAACGACAGTAAAGATCGCTCCTCCCTGCAAGATCCGCAGCTGCGCCGAGCGCAGCTGACCGTGCTGCAGCAACGGCACATCGCGACGCCCTCGCCGGATCGTCGCAGCACACGAGGCTCTGCTACTGACAGAGGATCCAGCTCCCAGTTTGGGTCCACCGTGAAACGCAGTGGCACGCGTCTGCAGCAGCTGCGCCACGAGGCAGAGGAACGCCGACGCTCTCTCAACGCCACCTTGTCGACGCCGAGCAACGTGGACGGTTCTGCGGTGCGAGCGCACGGCCCGATGGTGAACGTGGGAGCTGGCGGGGGGCCCAACTCCGCTTCCCCGACGCCGTCGCGTATGTCAGATGCCTCCGTCAACACGGGCATCGGCGGTGGCGGTGGTGGTAGTCGGCTCAGCGCGGGCACACCAATGTCACGGCGCTCCACCGGCAGCAACGAGATTCCCATGGAGCGCATTCCCGGCGCTGCGTCCGTCGTTGGCGGCCCGTTCCGCCAAACCCCACCCGGAGTCAGCGGCCCGCACGTGCAGCAGCAGCAGCAGCAGCAGCAACTACAGCAACGGAACTCACCGGCGCTCTCGCTCTTCGCGCGCCCGTCTCCGCGCGTCTTCGCCACTCCTAGCCCGCGCGGCAGCACCAACGCAAGTGGGGTGCCCGGAATGATGGTGACCTTTGGTGTGAGCAACGCGCCGTACTACACTGGAAATGAAGAACTGACGAAGCTGACTCGGGTCCGGGAGGACATGTTGCGCGCACTCTTGCTCTCCACCACCACCTCGGGGGCGCCAGCTGCTGCGAAGATCAAAGACGAGGGCAGCACCACTACCTCGCTCAGCAACTCCGGCTCTTCGCTGCCCACCTTGCACGCCGACCCGCGCGTTGGGGAGGCCATCAGGACTGGTGGGGGTTCTCCCTCCGCGGCGAAGCGCCCGCGACAGCGCATCTACGGTGTCGGCATCCGTTCCGATGCAAACGGTGAGGCAATGGTGTCTCCGCAGAAAGGCCCTGTTGCTGACGTGCCGAAGCCACGGGGACGGATGAGCAGCAGCAGTGCCGAGGCCATCTTGGTCTCCTCGATGCGTCAGAAGCCCTCCGCCGCACAGGCGGCGGCGGCGGCGGGTGCCGGGGGACCACAACTCTCTCCATCGCGAAGCCCGGCCGCAGGTGGTGAAGGAAGTGGGTCGGGTACCACCGGCTCTGTCGCGCGGCCGAAGCTGAGTGCCACGGCGCTCGGTGCGACGGACTCGTCGTTTTCCACCACCAAATCAGCCACTCGACTGCCGCGACGATCGGCGGTGATGGTGGCGCTGGCCAGTCTGCAGCCGGCCAACACGTTGGGAGAACGTACCCGCACTGAGCTGGTCCAGCAGGCCGAGGAGTCACATAAGACGATGGCAACGCATCCTGGTAGCGGTACCGAAACGACTGCGGCGGCGGCGGTTGTTTCAGGGCCACTGAAGTCGGCCCCCATCTCCTTTGAGGAAGCCACCCGTCGTCTTCTCATCGATCCTTTCTTTCCCCTCGTCAGCGAGGAGAACTATCAGCGGTTGGTGCTGCAGAACGACGAGTACAACGAGCGCAAGGCGCTGATCATGCGCATCTGCGCCGTGTCACCGCCGAAGTCGTCCCCACTGCCGCCAGTAGGAGGAGAGGAGGAAGGCGGGCAGCCGCGTCACTCCGCCACCGTCGGACCGAAAGCCGCGCGTGCGTTGGAGATGGACCTGGCAGAGGCGGACGAGGCGATGATCGCCCTTTCAGCGGTGCCTGCGGACGCCACAGCAGCAGCGGCAACGGTCTCAGCTATGCCTGCCTCCCTCTCCCTCTCGACCACGTCACCGGGCGGCAACACGAATCACAGCAACGCTGTCGGCGCTGCACCGCGTCGCCCGTCGGTGCAGTACGGCGGACCCACCGCTCACCCTTCCCCGTCGCAGACTCGCACACGCTCGCCGTCGCCTGGCGTGCCGCCCACCTCACCGCCACTCGCGGCCTCGTTAAACTCACCGTCCTCGGCGCCGGCGCCAGCGCGCGAGAGTAAGTTGCTTGTGAATGCGGTGATGCCGTCGGAGAAGACGGGGCCTATCAAGCCTCTGGCGCTGAACACGGCGTGGTACACTCCCTCTGTGGCACCGGCAGACGCGGCTCAATCCGGCGCCGTCCAGGCGCTGTTAAGCCCCACCATCCTGAGCAACGGCCCGGGCAGCCCGGCTAGCAACTCGCCACGGCGTGCGTTCTCGCGCAGCCCGTCGGCGAGTCGGTCGTCATCGCATCACGCCACCCGACGCGGCTCCCTCTTCCACGGTGCACAGCAAAGCACGTCGGCTGCCGCTGTCCCGGCAAGTGAGAGTGTCAGCAGCGATAGCGAGAGCACCGCGTCGGATGAGGTGGTAGATGCGGCAGAGACGGTGCTGCGGCGGATGCTTCCCCGCTGGGGGCCCTTCCAAACCCCCGCGGCGACCCCCCCTCCGCCGCCCGCGGCGCCAGCAAACGCGACCCCCTCCTCTACCCGGCAGCGCCGCAACTCCAGCAGCACCACCTCCACGAGCGCGTCCAGCGTGCACAGCACGGGACGGAAGGGAAAGAAGACCGGAGAGAGCAAGGGCGGCGCCGCCACTGCCAAGGAGTCGGTGGCCCCCACGACCACGACTATGACCACGTCCGTGCTTCCACCGGCAGTGTTGAAGGAGCTGGAAGCCTACGTACACTTCTTTCTCAAACGCTTTCGCAATGCCGACGCGGCCACCATGGAGGAGCTCGGCGACGCGCCGGAGACGCCGCTGGCACTGCAGCGCGCTATTCGCCAAAGCCTCCGCTTGTCCTGCGGCAGTGCCGCCGATGACGGGGCGGCCGAAGACGTGGAAGGCCTCGCCACAGAACTACAGGACCCGCTCGACGACGGCAGCTTTCACCGCCAGAATGTGCAGTACGTTCTCGATCTCTTGGGCTCGTTGCTGCAGATGCAGGACTCGTTCTGCGAGGACGTCAGCAGCGGGGGGCGTGCGACGGCGCGCGGGACACAGGACACAAAGCAGAGAAAGGCCAAGCTGACGGAGACGGACTTCCTCGCCAAGGTGATGTCTCACCCTGCGCTAGACAGGAGCGGACAGGACGACGACGCAGATAATGCGCAGAAATCTGGGATGGGCAACAACGTGACGCGCAGCGAGCGAAAGCCGCGTGTGCGTCCGGTGTTGAAGCTGCATTACCCCGAGCTGCACGCAGTTGAGCTGATGTTCGCAAATCTCGCTGATGATGCTGCTACCACTGCAGAAGGGAAGAACTGACCAACGCTTTGACGGCTTCATGCCTGGTTTCTGGGGGGGGGGGGGTCGGATGTGTGCGATTCGGTAAGGGATGTGTGTGTGTGCGCGTGTGTGTCTACAAGTCCTGGAGACAACTTCCGTACAATTTTAGATTCGAATTATTGCTAACGTAGAACTTCAAAATAACTCAATACCTCACGGGAAATAGCCGTGAGGGAAGAGAAAAAAAAATACTTTGGTATTCTTCGGCCCACGTGTTTGTGTTCATCACTGCTATTCATCGTGGTATTTAATTCGGTGGATTAGCGCTGGCGACTGCTTTCGCTATTGATATGTGTATTCAAGCGATGAAAACGAAATGACGTAAAGTATGTAACAGTAACATCCCTCCTCCAAGCTTTCCATAACGTCTTTACTTCTCCTGTTCCTTTCGTTTTTCTTCGCATATTCGTTTCAATGCCTTCCGTCTAACCGTTGCACTTCGTTCTGGTGGCATCGAGGCAGAACGTATCTTGCAATCTAGTAACTGTGGTGGCCAACAGATACGTTCCTCTTTTCCTCGCCCACGCGACAGATGCTTCAACGACTGTCGCCGGCAACCCGTGTGTTGGCCGCAGCTGCTGCTCCGCCTACGATGATGCGCTCATGCCTGCCAGAATGTAGCACCACCACCAGCCTGTTGCGCCTTCGTGGCTGCTGCGACGCACTGTGTGCACGCGCTGCCATCACAACGGTCACGGTGCTGACGCAGCGACGCTTTGTCGGCCCTCGCCAGTACTCGCCAAAAGGCTACCGCGAGGCGGCCGGGCGAGCTCCCATGAGTTTCGAGTTCGGCGAGGAGTGCAACAACCTGGCTCGTGCGGCGCACCAGACAAAGAACTACGGTGACGCGATTAGTTTGTACGACCGGGCACTGGCGATGCGGCGCGAGAAGTACGGGCCGATTCACGAGCAGTGCGCGGCCACGCTGCACAACATCGGCCGCGTCTTCCTCGATATGAAGGAGTACGGCGCCGCGGAGAACGCCTTCACGGAGGCAGCGGCGATTTACGAACAGGTGGAAGGCGAGAAGTCTCTCAAGTACGCCGAGTCGATGGAGCTGCTCGCGCTGTGCTACACCCACCTCAAGTTTCTCGACGAGGCGGAGAAGGCCTTCAAGGACAGCATACGCGTCTTTCGTGATCAGTGCTACAACTACGGCAACAACTCGTGGTTGCCAGATGACCCGACGCCGCCGGCGGAGCCGAGCAAGCACCCGCTGTCGTCGGCTGCCCACGCACTCGCCGACTGCGCCGCATTGTTTCTCCTCCGCAAGCAGGAGCACCAGGCAGTAGTCTTTCTCGAGGAATCGCTCGAAATACGGCGTTTCTTGTACAGTCGGCACGTGAAGTTCCGTCCCATGATCGCGCAGACCCTCAACAAGCTTTGCGAGCTGAAGAAGGCGCTCGACGACCCCGTCGGGGCTGAGATGTGCATTAGCGAATGCCTCAAGATCTGCATTGAGACCTTCGGCCGCGACCACCCTGCCACCGCGCAGGCGACTAGCAGCAAGGCGGGCCTGTTGGCCGCCAAGAAGCAGTTTCGAGATGCGCTGCGCTTGTACGAAGAAAGCACAACCACGTATGCGGTGGCTCTTGGCAAGGACTCCCCGTTGTTTGGGCAGGAACTGATGAAGCTGGGTCGCTGCCAGGAGCTGTGTGACGACTACGTCAGCGCCGAGAAGACATTTGAGCGTGGCATGGCCATCATCAAGAAGAGCTTTGGCCCAGACAGCATGCAGATGGCGGAGGCGGACACCTTTTATGGGTCGCTGCTGGCGCGAAAGCTAGAAATCGACCGGGCAGTCGACATGTTCCGCGATGCGATTCGCATTCGCAAGGCGGTCGACAAGCAAGACCCGCAGCTGGCCTACCTCTACCAAAAGATCGGTGACGCGTACGCAATGCGACGGGAGCCGCACGCCGAGGCGTACTTTCTGCTGGCCGTCGACGCTTTCAAGCAGAATGCCACCGTGGAGCCGTTGCAGCGCACCTATATGACGGACGTCCTCGACGACCTCGGGCTCTTTTATTTGGACTTCCAACACTACGAAAAGGCGGAGAAGTGCTTCAAGGAGGCCCTTGACACACGTATCGAGATGCTCGGCGAGAACCACGCCACGGTGGCCTACTCGTACAGCAACTTCGCCATCCTCTACCTCCAACGTCAGGACTTTGCCAACTGCGAGAAGATGGCGGAGGCGGCGCTGGACATGTACGCGAAGACCGCCCGCTCCAACGTGCTGGCCCAAGCCGATGTGCAGACGACGCTCGGCCAGTGCTACCACCAGCAGAGTCAATTTAGCAAGGCGCTGGCGATGCACGAGAAGGCGCTGAACGTGCGGCGCACCCGCGGCGACACGACTGAGACGGCGGTGGCAGAGTCGCTGAACCACATCGCCCGCGTGTACGTGACGATGAAGCGCCACGGCATGGCACACCGCTACGTGAAGGAGGCGCGCCGGCTCGTGTGGCAGTTCAACGTGGAAATCACCCAACCGCTGCGAACCGAGATTGTCAAGACGGAGCAGATGATTCCGCCCATGGAGGAGTGGACGAACGACGAGCGAGCAGAGGCGCAGATTAAATTGGGAGGCAGTGTAGTGGCCGCTGCACCTGCAGTGGAAAAGAGCGCCTCTTCACGTGCTGAGAAGTGAAAAAAAAAACTCTAGAAGAGAGAACGAGGAAGATCACTGCTTTGCGTTGTCGTAGACGCATTTGGCTAGTTGGAAGGCATCCGGTCTATTTCTTCTCGGAGGCGTGTTTTTATCGTTTTTCTTCTCATATGGTTCATTGAACCCTCTGTAGACTGTTTACACACACACACACACAAACGAAAAGGAAAGACAACACAAAAATAAAAGCATGGTGCGTGCAAAGCCGAAGTCCTACTGTTTTCCAGTGTACGGATATGCTGCACTTGTGAAAGGGGTAGTGAAACTGCCAACGTTGACGTGCCTGGACTGCAAAGGCGATCAACCTGTCTCTTACTAGATTATAATTCTTAAAGGTGGTTGCGCCTTCTTCTTTCACCGTTCTCTCCTCTTGCTCTCTCTCTCTCTCTTTGCCTCGGTGTTCCACCATCTTCCGACAGAAACGCCGTGTACGTTCTTGTGTTCTACTAACGAGTATCTCGGATACCTACACAGGCTTACTGGGATTCCTTTTTTTGGTTTTTCGTTTTTGTTGGTTGCCGTTTCTTTCGTTCTTCGCACCATGTCCAGCACCAACCGTTACCCGGCGCTGCCCAGCCGCATGTCCCTCATCGCCTTCAAGACGCGTCTGAAGGGTGCGCAGAAGGGGCACAGTCTGCTCAAGAAAAAGGCCGACGCGCTGTCGATGCGCTACCGCGCCGTGATGGGCGAGTTGCACGCCGCCAAGCTCGAAATGGCGGACCAAATTAAAGGGTCGTACTTCACCATCACGCAGGCGCAGTTCATCGCAGGGGATATCAGTCTGGCCGTGCAGGAGTCGCTGAAGATCCCGACGTACACGATGGAGCTGCAGGTGGAGAACATTGCGGGTGTGCAGGTGCCAAGTTTCCAGACACAAAACGACGACGCCGGGAATACCGCGGCAGACGGCGTGATGGAGTCTCGCGTGGCGCAAACGAATCCGTTGGCAGCCTCCAACGCCACCACCGGCTCCCTCGCAGCCGGTCTTGGCAAGGGTGGTGAGCAAATCAAGGAGGCCTACAGCGCTTTCCGTCACACGCTTTCCCTCCTGGTCAAGATCGCGTCCCTCCAAACCAGCTGGACGACGCTGGATATTGCGCAGAAGGTGACGAACCGCCGTGTCAACGCCCTGGAAAAGGTCGTTGTTCCACGCGTGCAGAACACGCTTAGCTACATTACCTCTGAGCTGGACGAGCAGGAGCGAGAAGAATTCTTCCGTTTGAAGATGGTGCAGAAGAAGAAGAAGGCCATGGCCAAGATCCACCAGGCGGCGCGCGATGCGGAGACGGCGGGTGTCGAAGCGGAACGTACGCGGCAGCGTGACCTGCTCATCGCTCAGCGCGATGGCGGCGTCGCCGAATCCGACATGGTGGTCTGAAAAAGGAAGTTGTGCTGTTGTTGTTACTATTTGACTTTGTTTGTTTGTTTTCCTGCAGGGGCTCTGCTCTTTCGTTGTTGTTGTTTTGGCTGGTGACACCTTTGATGATTCGAGCAAAGAAGAAAGGCACGGGTTCGGATTCATTCCAGTTTGTTTGCCTCTTCCGTGCAGCATCTTCCTTTTGAAAACGTTGTATCGCTCCCCCTCTTGATTGATTGATCGCAAATTGTGTTGAGTTTCTCCATTATAGCGCATTAAAGTGGAAACTGCAAAGTAATGTAAAACGTGTTGAGAGTGAAGCGAGGCAAGAGGCGCAGTTATGATTAATAGAAGACTCAGCAGGTTGGCACGGCGTCACCGCAATGCATTAAAAGTTGTCTTCGCTGGTCATCCTGTCCACATGCAATTGTGATGGAGAGCAACAACAAACAGCGCAGGGAACGTTTTGCATCACTACCTACACCTCCTCTCATTACTCACTTGTTCTATTCTAACCTGCTATTTCTCTATGCAAATATAGCTTCTTGAAAGCTACTGAACAGTGACGTTTCACTTTTACACGCTTCTCTTTCTGCTGTTTTTGCTGTTCCTGCGGCCTGCATAGAAGCCGTTGTTATTATAGTTAATACCTCTACTACTATTGAACCAGCTACAGACTGAAGATCTCCTTTCACTTCACAACGAATGTTTTACACGTTTAGCTCGTCACAGGTTTTGTTTGAAGCATGTCTCGCATTGGCAATGAGGATGATGTTGCGCAACTCAACGTAATGCACGCCGGGGACATACTGCACTACGATTACCGACCAGCACAAGGCAACTGCAACAGTACGCCAACGAATCCAAAAGTGAGTGATACCTTTCGAGTGGTGCAGTGGAACATCGAGCGTGGCATTAAGCTAGACGCTATCATCGCCGACTTGAAAGCCCTCAATGCCGACTTCATTGCACTTCAAGAGCTAGACATTAACTGCCGTCGGTCCAGTTACGTCAATGTCCCCAAAGAACTGGCCAAGGCACTGCAGGCTGAGCTGTACTTTGTCTGCGAATTCGAGGAGCTCGACTCCCCCTGCCGTTCTCCCCAGAATGCGGTAGGTCCAAAGTCACAGCCTTCTCAGGAGTCCGCTGCAGAGACAGACCACAAAACACACGCAGGCCGTCACTTTCACGGCAACGCCATTCTTAGCCGCCGTGCAACCATACGGGAGGCCACGTCGGTGCCCCACACGACCTCGGTTCACTGGGACGAGGACGGCGCGAAGTTCAACGAGCCGCGCCGAGGCTACCGCAGCGCTCTGCGTGTACGGGTGGACGCTGCGGAGCGCACATCGCCGCAGACGCCGCCGCTTTACATCTACTGCTGTCACTTCGAAGTCTTCTGCGGTGCCCTGGCACGGGTGCGACAGCTGGGGGACTGCATGGCCGACATGCAGCGTCTTCTCCGCCTTTCCTCCGTCTTATCGGGCACCACCGCACAGCAACCGGCGTTCTTGGTCGCTGGTGACCTCAACACCATGGCACACGGCATTGTGCGCTTTAGCCGTCAATACGGCAACGACCGTCTCCGCTTCCTCAGCGTTGGCGAGGCCGAGGCGTGCTGGTTGCAGCGGAAGGTGTTGAGCCGCAACATGCACTCGTTTGAACGCGGGTGCTGCCCTTTCTCATACCGCTACCCGGCGCTTCTGGCGTCCCGCATTCACCAGTTGTTGTGGAACAACAAGTGGGTATGGCGCTACTTGTACGGCTTCTCCGACGCGGAACTGGAGCGCGTGTCGAACGTGAAGCTGTGCCTCTTCGACCCCGCAGACAAGGCAAAGTCTATCACGCTGGACAACCCGGACTACAACGGCTTTGTGTGCGGCAAGTTCGACTGGCTGCTCCTCAGCAACCTAAAGCCGCAGCCCTTCCGCATTCACCGCGGCGGCGCTCAGCCTGTTGACGTTGCTGCCCTTGAAAAGCGTGGCAGCGTCTCGGCGACGTCCTACACGGCGAAGTACCTCCACTCTATCCAAGACGGAGGCCAAGACGACGAGGCACGAATCGCAACGACTCGGCCAGACGAGGTGGCCTACAAGTACGTGCCGGAGGACGGGTACCTCCTCTTCAACGAAAACTACACGGCCAGTGACCACCGCGGGCTTGTTATGACAGTGCAGCAAAACAGCGGGCGATCGAAGGAGGTGTACCCAGAGCACGGAGCGCCGTACACGGCGTGCTGGGTCGCACTGGGTTTCTTCGCCCTCACTCGCGCCGTCCCTGTAGTTGCTGTTGCGTTTGTTTTGTACCACAAGCTGAAGGCGGCTGACTGACAGCTGCGTGATGAAGGTAGGAAGTTTGTCCGTGGGGCTGCTTGTTTCTTGTTTGCTTCTCGCCTTCCTGTTCCTTCCTAATTTGCGTGTCATCAAATGGAAGCAAACGAAAAAGAATAACGTGAAAAACCTTGGTGCTTTGCATTGAAGATGCGCGTACTACGTTTCAAAAAGAAGAAAGTATTTCGCACTGTCTGGTGCACCGGAAATCAGGTAGATGAGGTGCGTACGTTGCAGGTAGCTGAAGGTCTCCTTACTCGCAGGTCATGTACGCGGTTTCTCGAGCATTCTTCCTCGTTGCTCCTCACCTTTCTCCACCTCGCCTCACCTCATCAGTTCACCTGTGAAGTAGACCGGAAAAGGTGCGATGAACTGCTTGGCGTTGCGCTAATGCCGAGACTGCCATTTTGGGGCTTCGGCGCGGCTGCCACTGCGGGCATGTCGTACGCGGGTTACCATTTTGTCTACGAGCCGCGTCAAGCTGCCCAGCACGACGAGGAGAACCACTTGACACACGTCAAGCAACCGTACCAGGATGTCATCCATGCCTACGCGTGCTTGCGCGCCAAAGTCGAAGAGCAGCTCCGCAGCGCTGCGTGGTGCACCAACGCCGACAAGACTGTCTTCTTTTGCGATGTTCAGCTGGTACGCAGTCAGTTGTGGACTCTTCCACGTCATCTTACGACCGAACACGACCTTCACCGCATGCTTGCTGAGCTTTCCTTGTGGGAGAAACAGCATTGCACCGAATTGCATTTCCGCGACAAGCCGCTGCTGCTCACCCAGACGCTGCGATCGATGGTGTGCTTTGCGTTGTATGCGTTGATTTTTCGCGTCGCAGCTCCGTTGTTGGGCTTGTGGGACGGCTTTGCGGGTGGGCAGGCGCAGCTGCTGCATCACACCGCACGCGTCATCACAAATACACTAGACATTGGTGTCGTCATGACATCGACGGAGAAGCCCCGGTTGGAGACACGTAGCGCAAAGGATGACACGCACGGTGAAGGTGAGAAAAGTGCAGCGCGTTATATTACCTTGAGCCCCGTTCACTGGATTGAGGAGGTTGGCTTTTGGGCGTGCGCCAACAACCCATTGCTGACGCAGCACCTACACAACATGCCACACTCAAAGGATAAGCACGACGGCGGCGGTGCAACGCTGCGTTTGCTTCGTGCGTCACCATATGCCACCACTTATACGCAGCTCTGGCGGCAGGTCGCTGTGGAAACGCAGGCAGACGAGAAACGAGAAGCCGAAGCAGCGCTCGCGTCCCCGCAGTTATCCGCATCACCTTCCTCATCTCTAGTGCATGTGGCGGCCGAGGAAGTCTCACTCGGATACCCTGTTCTCTTCGGTAATGTGGCACTTCCAACAGAGAGCAAGAAGCATGGTATGTATTGCGCACCCGATGTTACGCGCTACATTCCTGTTGGGGTAAGTGGTCTGCCGCACCTGTTGTACGTGGACGCCGCACACGCCGTGGCGGACGTGCGACCGCGACTCACACGTGAGGAGGTCTACGCACGCCGCCAACGGGCGCAGCTTGTGCGCGCGTCCGGAGCAGACCTAATGCGTACAACGAAAGCCGAGGAAGAGGGACGCAGTCAACTGGCGGCTACAGTCGCAACGGCAACGGCAACCGCAGCAACATCTGCGCTGACGGAGCTGCAGCATTGGCGCGCGTGCGGCGGCATTCCGTGGTGGCGGCGTGCGTGGTGGGGCGGGGTCTACGGCGGATCTCGTCCATCTGTTACAGCGCCGTCGTACACGTTGCGCTACCACCTCGGTGCCCCGAGCACAGCTGCGGACTACGTAGCAAAGTCAATTGAAGCCAGCCGAGCAGCTGAGAGCTTTTCCCGGGCTGGATTGTAAGAGAAGACAAACATTTTCCCATGTGCGAAAAAGTGCTCGAAGCACGGCGTGACGGTGCAGAAACGCGGCGGCTACGTTTCCCCTTTTTAACAGATTGATGGCTTATTTACACAGGTACAATTGAAGATCTGTAACGACGCAGAGGAAGGGGGAGAGACAATGCGAGAAGACGAAACCAATGACAGCGCAGTAGACAAGAGACTAAAACCTGTCGAAGTGATGCAAAGAAAAGGGTAGAAAAGCAATGAGTAGAAGCCAACTCGAAGACTTTCCGTTGAGCCCCTCACCCACCCTCTCACATTCTTTCTCCAACTGAATCGCGCAAGATAGCACCGCTTGATCGCTGCGTCAAGTTTTGAAAGACGGTGCGGTACAGGAAACAAAAGCGGTCATTTAGCCCCTAGCGCAGCTCAGAGTCAACCCTAACGAAACAGAACTTGTATTTTACCTTCGTCTTCCTCGCACTTAGCAAAAAAGCACGTTTACTTTGCTTTTGTTGTTTCCTGCGTTTACTGCGCGATGCGAGGGAGTGTGCGGCCAGTGGTGTGTTGGGCATTGCCCTTGACTGTACGGCGCACGCAGCATACAAACTCCAGCGCCGCCGCGGTACCAGCGGCGTCTTCACCACCGCAAGGGACGTTCGAGGACTCCGAAACCGGACCGTCCTCCTCCGCGCACGCAGGTGATGCAACAAGTCATCCCGAAAGAGAAACGTCGTATCGCTCCCTCTACCCCAAGGTGCGGCTGCGTGCCAAGACACAAGAGCGTCCCTACAAACGCAGCATCTTCACCACCTTTGAAGAGACGGAAGCGGCACAGCTGGAGAGCGAGGACGTCGATCAGCCACAGCTTGCCTCCTCTCCCGCTGAGTCACACACCGCGGCGGCTACCGCAGAAGGGAAGCAGCAGCAGCAACACACCGCCGTCGCCGTCCAGGCTGCCGACAGGGATGTAGCTTCGCTCCCGGAGGGCAACGAGGTGGAACAGTTTCTGGACGAGGTGCAGCGTCAGGTGGATGCGGCGCGCTTTCATCGCAACCAGGCGATTCCGTTTCCCGCGAAGCCCGAGGCAAACAGTCCGGCCTTTCGCCGGATAAAGCGACACGCCAAGATGACCGTCGAGGTGCCCGATCCCGACTATCCAACGTTTGTGCGGAAGGACCAGGCGGTGGGGCTGCCACCCGCGGCGGAGCACCCGTGGGTGCGCAAGAACACGCCGATCGGGCCTTTCATCGTCCACGGCGACGGGCAGATTCGCCAGCTGGGCGGGACCGGACAGGTCGACTTCGACGACACCTCCGTCGATGAAAAGCTGCCCGCGTCGTACCGCGGACTGCAGCACCGCTCCATCCTGCAACGACAGCTGCCGCAAGACAACGGACGTGTAGTGCAGGACGCAGTGATTAAGCACAGCTTCACCCTCACCGGGCGCGGTGTGTTTGCGACGCGGCGCATCGCGAAGGGGGAGAATATCATGATTGTGCAGAGCACCGCCCGCAACGTCGGCGTGAAGGGCGAGTTGGAGCGCCTGGAGGAGATGTGCGCGGATATCTTGATTGGCTGCCGCGACGGCGATGCGCGCGTGCGTGAGTTTCTGCACACTTGGATTCTGACCGGCCAGCCGTCGTCGCTGCTGGAGCACTGGCCCGCGGCTAGCACGGCGCGCGTCATGGCGGCGATTGGCGGCCCGGAGGTGTTGGATGAGCTGGAGCTTCACCCGATCCACATTGCGCGTCTGGCCGCCATTCTTGACTTGAATAGTTTCCTTGTCGAGAGCAGCTTCGCGGAACGAAAGGGCATGGCGTACTTTCCAGAGGCGGGCTTTTTGAACCACAGCTGCGTCCCCAACACCACCTACGATATCATGCCCGAGCACGTGTTCCGTGAAAGTGATTACTACCTAGACGAAGCCGCAGCAGCCGCTGAAGAGGACGATGTTGTGGACAAGCGACCTGACAACGCCGACGGTGATCACGAACACGCTAGCGTGGATGTCACTGGTGGTGCCACAGTCTCAGACACGTCGTCTCACGCCACGGGGGAATCTGTGACAGCAGCTGCAAGCGCAGCAAAGGGCAATGACGTGGCTGTTGTGCACGACGCGTCAAAGGAGCGTAACGCTGCGTACTTTGGTAACGAGAATCGTCTTGCCGCGTACCCAGGTCTCACGGAGGCAGACGCCCCTGTCTACCTCTTCTGCTGTCGGGCATCGAAAGACATCGAGCCAGGGGAGGAGATTCTGATTAGCTACGTGCCAGCGCAGTGGTCTTTTGACAACCGCCAGTACGTCTTACACGATCGCTACCACTTCTGGTGTAAGTGTCCCAAGTGTGCGCCCGTTATCGACAAGAAGTACGCTCGTGTGCCCAAGATGCTGGTGGGGCTTGTGGTGCTGAGTATTCTGCTGCAGCTGCTCGTGTTCCACCAGCGCGACCTGAAGAACGCCGTGGATGAGGACTTTGACAAGCTGGCGGCGATGTCCGAAGAGGAGCGGCTGGAGGAGCTGCGCCGGCGCGGCATCACACCAGAGCAGATTTCGGTCGACGGCGCGAAGAAGCGTAGGCAGCGTCGCAACGGCCTGTTTGAGAAGCTAGAAGAGGAGCGGCTTCGCCAGATCTACGAGCCCGACAACCGCGGCCACCTCACCGTCATGGATCGGCTCAACCCCTTATCGGAGCCTCCGCGCTAAGCGTCCTTCTTCATGTCTTGGTGGTTGTTATTTGTTGATGCTGGCTGGAATTGCGGCCATCAAGGATGTCCACTGTAGAGGGTTGGAATCGGCTGAAAGTGGCGTGATTGGTGTGTGCGGGCGTGTAGGACGATGTTAAAGTTGGTATTCGCACACATGCGCAGCAGCAAACGAACGCACGCACGACGGCATATTTTCCATCGCCTCTGTCATGCGGATGTCCAGCAATTATTTCCACAGCGCAAAAGGGGAAAAAATTACTTTTCTAATTGCGTCCCTTACGATGGCGTTGATTGTTGCGTAGTGCGCTGAATTCCGTCGTTGCACATTGTACATGAACTTAGGCTTCGGTGAACATCCATGTAAATGGTGGAAGAGGCGCTTTTAACAATCTAGCGAATTCTCCAGGCACCTGCTCGCTTTAGCAGTGGATGCGACAGTTAGGATGGTGGTGGTTGGTGTTGTTGTCTTTCTTTCTTTTTCTATCTTCCTCTTTACCGCTCCCCCTCCCACCGCTTTTCTCGTTCGTTTGTTTTGTATTTTTTGTTTTTTTATGTTGTTGTTTTGTAGGCAGGTAAGCGAATCGACGGTACCGTGTACACCTGCAAAGTGAAGGGGTGACGCGTGGTCCACGTTGGCGCATTCACTTCAGTTGGTGTCGGGTTTTGGTGTCTTGTCTTTTTCTGCACCAACAACTCGTGAAAGGACTCTGCAGTTGCTACTGTTTTACAAGTGGCTCAACCCGTTTGATAGAAACAAACCCATAGATGCTGCACAGGCACAAAAGAAACACTACTTTCCTCTTCCATATATTCTTTGTTGTTGTTGTTTGACGACTGCCTACTACGTCAGTTGTCATCATCACTGCACAGCATGAATAGAAACTAAATACCTCGATACATTGACCATAGGCATCCTGTCTCTTTCCTAGAAACACTTTTTCATTTGGAGGGGGTCCACCAGAAAGCAGAGAGGTTTCCTTGGCTGGCCACCACCCAAGCGGATGCCACGTGGAAAAAAGCGAACGCGCGCAGCAGCGGCAGAAGTTGAGCGTTTCACGACTGCCCTAGTAGCGGTGAACGATCGCGCGAGCTCCTCTGCACCCGCAGCAGACAGCACCTACCAGCTGGTCATCATCAACTCGTGTCTCACCAACGAAGACATTCGGCTTCCTTGTGCGCCGACACCCGCACTTCTCTCTTCCTTCTACGCGCATTGCAGCACAACAGAGGAAGAAGAGGATGCCAGCCCCATTGCTGGCCTGACTCCTTGGAAAGCGGAGTACTGGCTCACTCGTGTGGCGCACGTGCCACTCGGCCGGCACTCCGCGCTTCCGGATGCGTTTCGGCTGCGTCACGGTTGCGCGAGCCGGCTGCACGCCCGTGTGGTGTACGTGCGAACACCGGTGGTGCACAAGCGCTTTGCCAAATGGTTTCCTTGTATTCAACGCGAAGAAGAGGCGCAGCAGAAAAGAGTGTCAGAAAAGACTGAGGAAGACGATGATGTGGTTCTTGTGGAGTCCGACGACATCAAAAGTGCGGCGCGGTCACCGTCATCTGTATCTTCGGTATTTATCTCACCGTACTACCTCATCGTGAATTACAGTGAGAATCCCGTGTACGTGGGACGCAACCGCGTTCCCCGTGGTCGCAGCGTGCAGCTGGAAGAAGGCGACGTGCTAAGCTTTCTAGAATGTGCCTTCGACGATGAAGGCGGCGTGTTGGATGCGGTCCATTTAGACCCTTCACAGTCCCCTCGTGCAACTGCGATCAGTTCAGCAGAAATCGATACATTAGTGGAACCAACGTGGCAGCTCGCGTTTGCCTCTCTGCAGCAATACGAACCTGGTCTGCAGCTTGCTACGCCAACGTTTCCACTCCGTGTGCGCCGCCGCCTCGTTGCTCACCGGCGGCTCTACGACGTGCCGTCTGTGATACAGGACTACGTCAAGTGGTGGTGGTCGGTGCAAGGCCACCCCACCGCTGAGTCGAAATTGTCTTCCTCCACAGTGCCGTTGTGTCTACTACCTGTCAGTCCCTCAACCAGTTCTAGCTGGGTGGTCTCGGGAAACCATCTCATTCGTGCGCCGGGCACAGCGCGCAGCACGGCTGCCTCGACAACACCGGATCGCCCGCCGCTGCTCCGTGAAGGCGACGGTGGCGCTCTGTGTTCGCCGCTACCTCTCCCGACAAAACATAGTGACCGCAATTCTGGATCACCAGAACGTTCTCTGTTCAGCGTCAGTGCTCTTCAAGATCCTGCGGTAGCTGCCTCCCTTCGCAAATGGCTCAACGACACGGAGGATATGGCGGAGATATCCGACGATGCGCTCTCTCCGATTTCCGCGCGACTGACGCTGGACAGAGCGTGGCTACGGCGTGCCATGCGGCGCGTCTGCGGCCCGCAACGGCCGGAGCACTCCAACTCGATGCGCGCAAGTCCGCACGCCTCAGCCGTGGCAATCGGTGCAATGAAAGCTGACAGCAGTTTCCCATTCTCATGCGCGAAATCCGCAGACGGGACGTGCGGCGTAGACGAAGAAACGACTGCGAAACCCGTTGCTGCATCGGTGCCACCGCCACCACCCATTGTAAAAGATGACGTCGCGGAGAGCTTTCGCGTGTCGTCGTCGCCTCTCCGCGGTGGCTCGGCCCCGCAACCCGCCTTTGTTACCCCACCACGTGAGCCGAGTGTCGTGCAGGCCGTTCTCGACGAGCTGCGCCGCAGCCGCAGTGAAGCCGCCGTAAAAGGGCCTTCTGCGCGCGTTGCTGGCGACGACTCCATAAAAAAAAACGCTACGGAGGCTTCGTGTAGTAACACCGACGTGCCCGTTCGTCGTTCGCTTCACCTTGACGAGGAACTTATTGAGTTGTTCACGGACAATTCCCCGCTACAGCTGCCATCAGAAGCATGTGCGCGCAGCACCAACAGCCCTCAGAGGGACGGATCTGTGGGTAACTCTCTCCCCCTGGTCTCTGCAGCGCACGCGGATGTGTCTACCGGAGCCGCGGGACGTGCCACCGCCGTTCCTGGCGTGCGTCTGGAGGCGGCCGTCTTGCCCGTCTACGTCTTTACCCGTCGCAGTCGCAGTCCGGACGTGTACACACGCGAAGGGGCGTTGCTGCGACCCTTCTCGCCCATTTCGAGCGACAAGGCCATGGTGGCAGCTGCAAGCGCGGCTCAGCACGTATACTACTTTGATCCAGAGGAGTTGCGGGGTGGGAGGGGTACAGAGAAGGCACAAGGAGAGCGAGATCGCTCTGCGTCAGCTCCGGCTTCGCCTACTGCGACCACGGAACAGCTTCTTCAAGAAACGGAAGTGGGACCGCAGCTCGGGCGTAAATCTTCGAAAATTGCGGATGGCGGTGCCATTGAATTTGAGTGGATTGACGAGTCGGCACGGAAGGAAACAGCGGGGAAAAGGAAGAGAAGGCGACCGCGGAAACACCCACTGTGAGGCGCTGCTTTTTCAGGCGGAACGATGAGTGTTTGCCTTTTCTTCTGAATCTGTTGCATGTAACTGTACTCTCTTTTTTGGCTCTTCATTGTTAGGCAGTCTTTTTTGTCTGGTTGTTCACACAAGCTCCTCAGTTGTAAATGAAAGATCCATGAAGTGTTTCTTTGTTTGTTAGGCGATACGTGACTGACAATCACAATTCCCAATGCTGGAAAAGCCGTTGTGACGCCCGGCCAATACATAACCTGTTGTTTTGAGCGATGCGGCCTTCTCCTATCTCGCGACTTTCAGCCCACCATACAACTGTTCTTGCGGTCTCACATCACTTGTTGTTGTTGCTTTTTCCCCTCCTCGTTAAACACCGTGTCTCTGTGGCTTACCGCGCAGCACAAATTATAGATTTCAGCAAGTTGTCACAGAGGTTTTTTTTTGTAGGCACTCGCCCGACACGATATTTCACTCTTTTATATCTACACAAGAAGGAAGAACAGGTAACGAATAATGCCCCCGAAACGTGCTGCTATGGCCCAGGCAATCCGTGACACCTTCACGGAGGACTCGAGTCTGGAGGTGGTGGACCAGTGGTCCTCGCGGGCGGTGGCAGATTTGGAGGAGCGTGCGAGGAACGCCCACGCCGCCCGTGCTGCCATCCTCGCAGCGAGCTACACCGCTGATGCCGCATCCACTGTCCCGCAGAGCGTCATTGTGTCTCTGCGAGAGTATCAGGAGCACCTGCACGACATCTTTCGCGCCGCCGAGACGGTTCGCACCGTCATTGCGTGTCGCATCCCCGAGTTGAAGGCGGAGGACAACCTCGGTGTGGAGGTGCAGCTGGCGGTGTTGAAGATGGTGGACTCACTAGAGGGGAAGGCGATGGGCAACGGTGGTGACAAGGAGGGCGGTGCGCCCGGCGTGAGCGGCATGTACGCGGCACGCGAGTACCTCACCGCCCGCGGCGCCGCAGAAGATAAGATACTGGGTAAGGTCGGCGATGACGACAAGAAGAGCAAGTCCGCCGCTCCGTCGGTGCTCCTGGAGCTCCAGCAGATCGACGCGGATGCTCTACTGAAGTTGGAACTGAGTGCGACGCAGGTTGCCACGTCGATTCGCTCCTTCATCAACGCCTACGCGTTGAACTGGAAGAAGCTTATTCAGCCACGCAGCGGTTCTGGAGACAAGAGCATCAGCTAAGCATCGTTGTTGTTGCTGTTTTTTCCCGCCAACCCCGCGGCGAGATGAAACCGTGCGTTGGGTCGCCTGCCACTTTACAAATCACAACACGGATGTGTCATCACCTCGTGTTCTTCGCCCATCTGTGCTTTTCGCTTTGTTGTGAAGCTTTTTTTTCTCTCTCCATTATTATTACCTCCGCGCTGTTCAGAACGTGTCAGTACCCCATGTGAAATGACTGTCTCAAGCGGTGGCTTTCCTCTCGTTTTCGCGGCATTCAGGCATGTTTTCATACCGATTATTATTGTTACTATTATTATTGGGCTGTTTTGTCTTCCTTTCCTCTAAAAGGAAAAGAACAACACTTACTCTATTTCTCAGACGACCTTGCGACACGTTTCGGGCCCGTGTCTCTGCATCGCGAATGACGGTATTCCCACGTTTGAGATCAAGTGTCGTCAACCTTGGCACGAGTCAACGGGAATCTGTTTTTCTGATTCCCAAGTTTGAGTCCTGCGAATGGCGACTTCCCTCGTCAAAGCTATAGCGTTTTTTGGGAGGGCGCCGCTACACCTCTGCCGCCACACAGCTCATTTCAAATGATGACAGATTACTTCACTCCTCTTTTGTCATTGACTTCACACGCGCTGTCGTGCATACTGCCGTCTTGAACTTACTTTACGCGTTGTGTCTCTACTCTCTATCATCTCCACTTTTACTCGTTATGTTCAGCAGTTGTTGTTGTTGTTTTTTAGTACTTTTTTTTCCAATACCTCCCTCTCTGTCGTGTTTCATCGCATATACATACGCAAAAGTATTGGGGAACTGTCTGAATCTCGTTTCTTTTCCTCGTATTATTTGCCTGCGTTGTCCAGCATTTGTCCAACGCCTCACAGTCGTCCTTTTCGCGTTAGTGTTTATTATTATTATCATTATTATATCCAAGATATCGGAACGCGCTTCTGCCTATTTAACAGTGTTGTATCGACAGAGTCTCTTTCGTTGGTTTAATCTTCTTTTTTCTTGATAGCGTAATGTCTGCCTTCGAGGTGCAACACTCCTACTTCCCTGCGAGCGGGGCCGGCACCAGCTACCACGCCGGATCCTCCCTCCTCGAAGCCGGCTACAAACCGTCCGAGGAAGAATGCGGCACCCTCGCTGCCCCCATCGCCGCGTTTTTGCGCAACTGCAGCTGCTACGACATGCTGGGCGTCTCAACGCAGGTCGTCGTCCTCGACGTGCAGGCCCCGCTCTCGGTCGCCTTCATCGCCGCGCAGGAGACGCGCATCCAGAGCTGCGTCTTGTGGGACCCCCGTAAGCGGCAGTATGTCGGCGTTCTCACCTCAACCGACTACATTTGCATTCTCCTCTACTGCCAGTCGCACCCGCGCGAGGCGGACGCGGTGGCGTCGTGGACAATTGAGCACTGGCGCCAGGTGAGGGAGTCGCTGGGGATGGGCAAGCCGAAGGAGAAGACACCGGGCAGCCTGGCCCCCAAGAGCGGCCTCGTCACGTGCAAGACGGATTCCTCGCTGCACGACTGTCTGCTGAAGATGCGCGAGTATCACGTCCGCCGCATCGTCGCACTGGCGGAGAAGGAAGGCGAAGACTTTAGCCTTGTGGCGATGATGGATGTGGAGCAGATCGTGGAGTACCTGGGTGTGATGTTCTTCCACATTGAGAAGGCGGGTGGCACCGTCGGCGGCAACGGCGGCGCGAACACGTCCAACAACAGCATGGCGGGCAGCACGACGGGCGGCCCCACACCGCACCACACCACTTCGGCTATTTCAAACGCAGGCGGTGCGAACGAGGACGCGCTGGCGCGCAGCACGAACAGCACCACCGGCAACAACGCCGTCGTGACGCCGCTGCGCCGCCACAGCAGCGTCCGCTCCAACCGCGACTTCGAGGAGGACGACGACGACCCGACGGGGGTGTTCGCGCTCGGTGAAGCCTACGTGCTACCGCCCTATGTTGCCTCGATCATAACGCAGGCGGAAGCGGCCGGGGCCAACGGATCGGGTGGCGTGGCGCTCGCCTCCGACATGCGCGTGGGCCCCTACAGCTCCATCTTTGACATCTCTTTCATGTACGTGCCGCTTGTCGGCGCCCATCGCCAACGCGCCATTTCGGTCACCATGGACCACAAGCTGAGCGATGCGCTGACGATGATGCTGGACAACAACATTGAAAGCATTGCGGTGTGTGCGCCGAAAGAAGGCACCATTGTTGACGTTATTAGCCGCAGCGATCTGCTGCGCATGGAGAACCAAGGCGTCTACGACACCCAGTTGACAGTGCGCGAGGCGCTGGCGAGCAAGATTAGTGACCACGTCTTTGTGTTCTACGAAAAAGACACTTTGCGAGAGATATTCTCCCACTTTGTGCGTCGCCGTGTGAAGGAGCTGTTTATGGTGGATCCCGACACAGGCCGTCTGTTGGGTCAGTTGAACGTCGCCGAGTTTGTGTACTTCTTGGTGTTTGGACAAACCTCGTGAGCTCCGTAAAGGGAGTGTGTGTGCTGGGTATTGCTAACGTCAGGTTGAACATGGGCGAGTGGGGAGGGGAGGGGGATTCGTTTGGAGCGGTCCAGCTGGTTTATTTTTGCATTACAGAGTTGTCCTCCCTGTTGTTGTTGTTGCTCACTCGCTGGTGCCACCGCGTTCAACTTTTTTCCCCTTTTTTTTACTACTTGCTTCTGTGTTTCGGCACTTTCGTTAGTGTTCTCAGGAAATTGTCTCTCTCTCTCTTCTTCTTGGCTGCTCAATCTACGCAAAACCGTTTCAGCCGTTATATGTTCTTCTTTAGCACCAGACGAAGTCGCGCACGGTTTATTGTGAAAAGACGTATTGGCTTTTTTCTTCTTGCTTTTTTTTCGATCTGTTTTTCACCTGAACGTTATTGTGTTGCAAAGCGTTAATCTCCTGTTTCATTTTCCCAAGTTTGTTTTTGTGCAGTTTATTAGAGCTTTACACTTCAAGTTGAAGCGTTGAATGTCATGCTCAATTTCTGATGTTTCATGTTACTTGAGCGGAATTGTGATCTCGAAGCTGCACGTTTTGCGACCTCTGCGCTGACCTGAAAAGAAATAACATATGACGAGGAGAGACACGGCTGATCAACTACGTAAGCGGCGTTTGTCGCTGAGTCGCTTTGGTTGGCTTGCGGCACGTTCTTTTAATTGCTGTTACATTGCCCTTTCTTTCTTGCTCCGTTTTTGTGTTCTTACATATATATCCCTCCTCCTTCTTCAACGCAGCAAAACGCAGTCTAAATCGTGGAAACTCTTTCCGCGCCGCAACGCACGCACGAAACCACAAAGAGAATAAAAACGCATTCATTTCTAAAAACATTCAATGCGAACAAGACGAAGGGTGTTGCCCTGTGGCCATCCTGTGTTTCCCGCTGCCTGCCGTTGCCTCCATGTGGGTTTGGCGCAGACGTCCAGCGTGCTACGTGCGACGCGTGCGGAGAAGCATTGGTTCCGCGCCGCAGCAGCGGAGAATCGGCAGCGCGCGTCCAGAAGCGGCTCTTCTATCTTCTCGCGGCGCAACCGCCCCTCGACGACAACGCACGACATTACGTCCGCTGCGCTGAGAGGAGGTGCTGCGTCCTCCGACACCGCAGCGTCCTCTGCATCGCTAGCCCTGCCGCCGCTGCGCTGTCCTGGCGGTCCGCGTATCAAGGCAGAAGGCATCAAGCAACTCTACAAGGTCCCCCACGCCGGCTTCCTCGCCAAGTACGATCAACGCTTCATGCTCAACTTGAAACTCACCCATCAGCTCGTCAGCTACCTAAGTCGCACCACCCTCACCACGCCGGATAAGGTGCTGGTGGAGCTGGGACCCGGCGTCGGTTCCCTCACGCGCAGCTTACTCACCCGCCCCTGTGTCGGTGTTCTCGGCATCGAGGTGGACGAGCGCTTCAACCCGCATCTGGAGCAGATCCGCAGCTACACGAACAACACCTTTCAATGGGTCAACGCCGATGTGCTGAAGGTGGATGAGCTCCAGCTGCTCAGCGCAGCGTTTCCAAAGTTTGTCAAGTCGAACCTTCGGCACCCACCGGGAGCACCGGGTGAAAGGAGGAAGGAAGGAGAAGACAACAGCAATGAGACGAACAGCTTCGGCGGTGATGGGCAGGATGATTTGAACGGTGGTGGTGACTATGAGGGCGCACCATTGCGTTCGGCCCAGCGGGAGCGACTGCTGCGCAAGCGTCAGGCACGCGCACCGTACCAGCACGGCGAAGCAACGCGCCGAGGCGGTGGAGCAGAGGAAGCGTCAGATTGGAGCATCCCATCCAACCCAGCCTTCGACATTACGGACCAGTGGTGGTCAAGCGGGGCCGCTAAGGTGGAGGTGATTGCCAACCTACCCTTTGAGATTATCACAGAGCTGCTCATGCGGTACGCGGCAGACTGCGCGCGGCACCGCGGCATCTTCGCCTTTGGACGGGTGCCGGTCCACGTCTTCACCCAGCGCGAAGTGGCGGAACGCATTTTAGCTCCCGCCGGTTCCGTCGAGTTCAGTCGCCTCTCCGTGCTCTGCCAGTGTTTCTTTAACGTGCGACTAAAGCAGACCTTTGTAGACCAGACCTACTACCCTCGCACCGAAGTGGAAGGCGCGATGCTGACCCTCGAGCCGCGCACCGTGCCTCTCGCCCGCGGCCTTGACGCTTCTACGCTTATTCACTTCACAAACCTGCTGATGAAGCCTGGGATGCGGGGAGCCACGGTGCACAAGTCGCTCATGAAGTTTGCGCCGCCAGAGCTGGTGCAGTACATGTTGCAGGAGCTGCGGATGGACGGTGCTATGACAGTGCTGGATCTATCGGTGGCCGAGGTGACTAAGATGGCCTTGTTGTGGCAGCAGTTCTTGACAGTGTCGCAACAGCATCAGCAGGGCTATCAGCCGCCGCAGCAAGAGGGAGAAGCGCAAGGGAGCCGCGCCTCTGGTGCTGACCTCGGGGCGAGTTCGTCAGCTGCCTCCGCACAGCAGCTGTGAAAGTGGTGGGTTCCACAGGCCCATCTCTACATGGCAACAACGAGAATTAAGCGAGCAGGCAAACCCGATTTCATCTTCACAACTTCAATCCGCGCGGAAGAATATTTTGCTTCCTTCCTCCACTAGAAGAAAAAAAGAAGACTACGTTTAGAATTATTAACAGTAATGCCCAGAGCATCATCCGGCAACCTGGAAGAATACTCGTTGAGGTTCTTTTCCCCTTTTCAGTTATTTGCAACCGCAACAGAAAACTACACATATGAACCTTGTACGGAAGCACACGCTTATCATCCCAATCTGCCGCAGCAGAAGAGTGAAAATATTATGTGTTTTGTCATTCGCCTTCGTTCTTCACTTGTTTCTCCTGTCTCTTCCTGACCTTTCCTTCACTAAAAGCAGCAGCCACAACCGCACGCAAAGGCTGTAATGAGTTTGAGTTCTGCCGTACAACAGTGTTAATTTGACGCTCTCTCGTTTTCGAACAAAAAACAAAATTCGCACACATACAAGACGCCTTGCCGTTCTCTCCATAGAAGTATTTGCAGCTGAGTCTGCAGCTGGCCAGATTGTGTGTTCCCTCCCTGCTCGAGTGTTTTTCCAGCTCCTTTGCTGCGTCAAAAGTTCGCCTCTGCGTATCGCCTCTTTTTTTTTTCTCCTCGTACCATGTCGTACGCGCAAAGACACCGCACTAGGGTGGAGCTTCACCAGTCCAGCCTCGGCCCCTGCTTCGCGCCGCTGGAAAACACGCCCACCCGCAATGCACCATCCCCGGGCGGCGACCAGGTGCCGGAAGGCGGTCCGCGACCGCGGAGTAACTCGGCTCTTCGCGCACACGCGGCCCGCATTCATCAAGTCCATGCAACCGGCATCGACATCGCGACTTGGAGCGACGCCGCATCAAATGCGGTGGCGGGCGAGCGTCAACCTTTCCAACTCCTCCAACGCACCCCACCAAAGAATGAGCCGCCGCGACTCAAGGCGAGCCGCAAACAGTTCGCCTCTCCTCACGTGTCTGTTGCGCCGCCCGACTCGAGTCAGTCGGTGCCGGTGGCGCTGCCGATTGTGTTGAACGGCGACAGCCTTGAGGCGCCGAGCAAGCACGAGGAGGAAAAAGAGGCGCCTGCGACGGATCTGCGCATCGGAGGTCAGACCTCGGCGGCCCCTGCGGCAGCAGCGGCACCGGCGGACACAGATAAAAGCGCCCCTTCACAAGCCCACCCTGGTCAGCACAGTGAAGTCCTCCCAGCAGGCGAGATGTCTCCCTCTCCTATACCTGTCTTGCAGCAGCTTTTCCAGCCTCAGCCTGCAGACTCATCTGTGCCGTCCTCCGCGCGCGCGTCGACGTCGCAGTGGCCCGCCTCGGAGACCTTCACGGCACGTCTGCGGAACATCATGGAGACCCGCCAGCAAATTGAGGCGCTGGTGCAAAAGCAGCGCGCAGACGAGGAGGAGATGGTACGCGCGATCGGAACGCTGGATGAGCAGTCGCCGCAGCGCCAATCCCAGCAGCAGTCGCCGAACTCGGCGGCAGCAGCAGCGGGGGGCTCAGTGAGTCCTCAAGCCTATGAGCAAGTGTTAATGGAGCGCGCCGCCGCCTTTGCGGCGCTGCGTGAATTCAAAGAGAAGGGCAACGCGATTGTGCACCACCTCTATGACACGGTGAGGTCCCAGCAGGAACAGTCCTTGGAACTTGTCGCCACCGTGGAGGCCCTCAAGAAGGCCAACAAGCGTCTCAAAGAGGCTGTAAGCAACGGTGGTGGAACTGGTGCCCGCACAGGCGACAGCACACCCACCGCTGTCCCCGGCACAGCAGCGGAACTGCAGCAGAAGGTCCTAATGCAGCGACGCGTGATTGAGCAGATGGATCAGCTCATGCAGAACGCAGACCGCATGCTTCTCGCGATGCGTGCCCGCGTGGAAGCAGCAGAGCGTCGAGCTGCTGCCTCAACCGCACCGTTGGACCGTCGTCAGCTGCCGCCTCTGTCTAAGGGAGGGGGCAGTAGCAGTGGCACACGCACCACCACCGCTGGCGATGGCGGGCCTGCCATGGTCATCAACGCCGCTACGGTAGCGACGCCAGACGCGGTGGCCGCCATTGAGCGACTGTCAGAGCGGTACCCGGTAGATCAAGATGTTGCCACCGTGGCGGCTCAACAGCGGCTTCTGCTCGAGCGCATTACCCAACTGCGGCAGTCGTTGAAGGAGGAGGAGGCACAGCGCCTTCACCTGGAGGAAGTCTACGGAGCAACGTCCGAGGAAACCGCACGCAACGTGGCCCTCTTGGAGGAGCGTCTGCAACGCGCCGAGAACCCGCGCGTCGTGCAACTGGATAGCGCCAGCAACGCCTCTGCGCTGCGACGTGAGTTGCACACGTTACTTGAGGAGAAGGGGAAAAGCACGGGTGAGGCAGCGCCGGTGGAACCGGAAGACGCCGGTGGACAACGCTCTCTAACACACTCCCATGCGTCGTCGCATGCGTCCTCGCGCTCGTCGACGCCCACGCACGCTCTCTTCACCGCCGTGAGCGTCGGCGATGTGAACTCCACCACAGCCGCCAACGAACTTACTGGCGGAGATGTAGAGAAGAAGAAGTTGGCGCCCAGCGCGGTGGCTGCTCCTGTCGTGCCGGATCCCGCCAACGAAGCAGCAACGGCAGTAACAGCAATGGTCGCAGCGACAGAAATGAAAAGCCCCGTCACCCCCAACAAAGACGAATCGTCCTCGCCACACAAGGAAGAGGGCAAGCAGGCCCGCACCTTTCTCGGACGACGTGAGATTGCGGGAAGTGACAAGAACGAGGAAGGGGCAGCGGCGGAGGTAAAGCCCCCGTTGGGCATCCCGGTTCCGGATGCGTCCAGCCTCGGCAACTCACTGCATCGCTCCGCCAACTCCCGCTCGTCCAGCGCCAGCCGCCGCCTCGTTGGCTTTCGTCGCGCCGCTGCCGCGGATGTGCTGAGTCGGGGGCTGGAAAGCATGAGTGACGTCGAGGGGGAGGAGGAAACCGTCGACGTGGACGTGGAGCCCTCTGAGATGCAAGGGAGCAACGGCAACGGCATTGCAGGTGTCACGCCCACCGCCATTCACTCAGCCTCGTCGCCACTGCCAGACGCGTCCACTTCGGTGGAGCTGTCTGTAAAGCGGCAGCAGCGTCTGCATCAGCAGATGGAGGAGCTGACCAAAATGGAGGCGGATGTGACGAACGTGGTGCGGTCCCTCAACGTTGAGTAATGCACACTCATGTGCTGCCCTCCTCTTGGTCGTTGGCGTTGTCGCTTAATTCTTCGTCTCACGTACGTACTCTGTGCGTGTTGGGGCGAACGGTTGAGCTCTATTCAAAACGTTATTCTATCTTGTTTACTCTTCTCTATTTGTTTGATGTGTATTTATCCTGTCATGATTTGATTGTGTGTGTTGTCGTTGTTGTTTTTCGTTCTGCTGCGTTGAAGGAAAAGGATCATGCGTGAGCTTTTATCAAGCAACTTCAAACTTGTGGAAGGACCAATTTGAATGGACATGGAGGCACATAAAGCACGATCATGCGCAAGGTGGGTGATGCTGCTGTCCCGTTGGGCACGGAGGCATCATTCTAACTCGCGCCGGAACGACTGCCAAAAAGGCTGCGGCAGTCTGCCTGTCTTCTCTTCATTACGTCGTGTGTTTTTCTGTTGTAGTGGTGGTTGCTATCAAAGTCGCTCATTCGCTGCTCTTTTGATGCCGACTCCTTCATTCTCGTTTGTGGTTGCTCTCCACCAATAGGTTTCAGTCGTAAAGGGAAGCGGGAACAAAACCGACTGTGGGGCGGCCCACGGATTTTTGTTTGTTGTTGCCGGAATTGTCCTTCATTCACATGCAGAACCAGTTTAATTCATCATCGACGCCCAGCACAGGTAGCGGATCCGCACCGCCGGTGTTCATCCTCGATGTTGGCACCCGCACCATCAAGGCAGGCCTGCATACCTCCTCTGCGCCGCACCTCACGCCATCCGTTGTGGGAACGCCCAAGTACCCGCGCTGCCTGCCTAGACCTTCCCCGGCCGTCGTCTCGTCACAGAGCGATTTGGTGGTCGGACTGGAAGCACGGCGTCAGCGCGGACTGCTGCGCCTCTCCTACCCGGTTCAAAACGGAGGCGCTATCGGGGACTGGGAAAGCGCGCGGCCCCTGTTACGGCAGAGCGTCCAAAGCGCACTCGCCACATCGTCGTCTGCGAACGGCGGCGGCGGCAGCGTAGCCCACGCGCTTCTAGGCGACAAGACTGAAGTCATTTACTCTCTCGTGGAGAGTCCTTTCGCATCGCGTCCGCAGCGAGCACGACTTGCCGAGGTGCTTTTTGAATCGCCGGAGAAGAGCACCAGAGTTGGTCCACGCGCGGCGGGCGTGTTTTGCGGTGTCGGGCCGCTTCTCGCCCTCTACGCCACCGGGCAGATCACCGGTCTTGTGGTGGACGTGGGAGACGGAGGCGTGAGTACTGCAGCGGCGGTGGACGGCTACGTCGTGCCCCTGTGTATGCAGCACGACGTGAGCGGAGCCTCCGGGTCTGCCATGACGGCGTATCTGCGGCGCCTGTTGTACCAGGGTGGCGTACTCGGCCCAGTCGCGGCGGCTGCAGCACGTAGCAACGTCTCTTCCCTTTCCTCCATCGTTCCAGGACTTGCCTGCTCCTCGCCTCACAACCTGAGTCGAGGGGCAAGTGCGGGCACGGCGCAGGAGCAAGAGCTCGTGTACGACATCAAGGAAGCGTGTTGCTCTGTGTCCGCGGCTCCCCTCGTGTTTCCTCACGCAACTGCCAGCGCCGCCTCTGCGACCACTCCGACTGTGTTGGAGCTGAACTCGGCGCTCCTCAGCGCAGCTCGACAGGCGCAGCACCTCGCGGTCGAAAACGCGTCCAGCGCCGCCGCCGCCTCTCACTCCTACACACTCCCAGACGGTGGCGCCATTCACGTGAGCGCTGCCGACGCGGTGCAAGCCGCAGAGGTCTGCTTCTATCCGGCTCTCCTGGGTCTGGAAGGTCCCGGTGTCGTGGATGCCGTACTGAACGCCGTGGCGGCCGCCCCTGCGGATGTGCAGTCGAAGCTGCTTGGCAACATCGTCCTGACGGGCGGTGCGACGCGCTGCCCTGGGTTTGGCAAGCGCGTTTTCCGCGAACTCCAGCAGCGGGTGGATGCTGGCGGCGCGACGTCGGGTTTGCGTGGGCAGCGTGTCTGCGTCACCGCGCCGGAGCACCGCGCCCACGCTGGCTGGCTCGGTGCATGTTTTGTGGCGCAGTTGTCTAGCTTTGTCTCACACATGGTGGTGACGCGGTCGGCATACGAGGAGGAAGGCGAGACGGCGTTGGCCAAAAGGGTGCTGACGTAGACGAGATGCGTGTGACGACAGACTTGGAGAGCTAATAGCGATGGGCAGCTTCTTTTTTGTGTCTGTGGAACCTTGTCTAATCGGTTTTACAACTCAGTCGCAGATGTAATGTGTACGAAGCTGGAAAGCACCCGTTTCTTTCCCCCACGTCATTCCGCCTTCAATGTTTGTTTCACAGAGTAGAATCAATCGCGCTTCTTTTTGTTTTTTCCCGCGTCCTCGTTGCAGGAGTGGAAGAACAAAGAGCTGCCGAGGTCTTTGACGGGGCTCATGTTCCCTCTTTCATCCATGTGCCGCTCTCTTACCTGCCACTTTTGTCTCATTTTTTCTATTTTTCTCATCTCTTTCCTGCTCTTATACCCGCTAATCTTCGTCTAGTTTTATAACTCATACAAAGGGTCACGCAGCCATTGAGTCCCCCTTTCTCTACCTCTTCTGTATTGCATGTGTCATAGCGTGTGAACTGCATCAACGGGCTGCAAAACGGGTTTCAGGTTTCGCCAGTGCTGCCGCGGCTGTGCTTGACTGGTCGCCACGAGAGTCAATTCGGAGAGAAGCTAATCCACACTGGCTTCCCAGCCCAAACGCTTCATTCTGTACTTGATTACGGCATCGTGAGTTTGCTTCGTGCGCTTGCTCGTCACGCCGTTGAAAATACTGTTTGATTTCACTTCTAATGTATATGCACACATCTCTGTAGATTATTAGTCGCCTTACCTGTTTCACCGCGTTTCTTTTGGTTTCTTTCCCTTTCTTTTCTCAGCACGTATTGATCACGTGTCTGAGCTGTTGCTCTTGTTCTTCTCCCTCTTGCTTCGTTACCAGCAAGCTTTTCTGTTACTGTCAACACACGCTGGCACAGACAGCGACTCGTCTTCTTGATTTAATAGCAATCAACGTACCTATAAAGAGCAGATCTTCATTAAATCACCTACAGACTACGCTGCGTGGAATCGATCGCTTGTAATCGTACCGACAACACTTATTGTGCTAAAGAACTCATTGGTGTTCTCTGGTGTTTTCATTATCCTCTTTTAATATCACCATTATCTGGTTTCTCAACTTTCATTTTTGCAGCAGAAAGCAGAGAGTTTGACCTCGGCGACACAACAACTCCAAAAGGCCACACTTGAAGTAATTCGTTGGCAAGACGGTTTTCTTGCGTCTCCATTTATTCTTCCTGTTCGAAGTGGTTCGTTTGAGTTTCGCGCTTAATTCTATACACCTTGCTGCGCTTTGTTTTCCCGCCTTCATCCTCCCACTTCTCCAACGTCACGAGTTGTCATTTCACCCAGACATTTCCGACTATTCCTCTTTGAATGGCTGTTCCTGTTGTTTTTTACGTTTTGTTCCGCATCTTTGTTTTTCCTCTTCTTCTTCTGTTTGACAGCGGGAGCGCCCCCTCGCTCTCTTCACATTAACGAATAGAGAGAGATTCCTCTTGCGTTGTTGTTGTTTTTCGTACCCCTCCCCTTCCCCTCCCCTCCGTCACGCTTCGCTGTGTGTCATACAGCGATCGGTTCCGGCCATACTTCACTTTTGTTTTGCTGTAGCTGTAATCGCTTTTATGTGTTTTTCCCGGTTTGATTGTGTGAGGGCACGACGTTTTCTTTTCGTATCACTTTCCTCTTTTCTTTTTTCTTGAGTATCGTTGTAGATACTACGCACAGCCTGTGTCATACACGTACACAGTCACGTTTGTGCAATCCTTTGTTCTTCCGCGCTTGCTGCTGATCCGTATGATTTACCTTCTCTCCGACGGAGCTTTTTCGGGTGATCAGCGTAAATGTAAAGAAGAAGAAGAGCCCTGGGATCGATAGTAAACTAGCGGTTTTCCTCTGTTTTCGGTTTGCCTTTAGGTTATCGTCGTCTCCCCTCTTATTCTCGCTTGTGTTGGGAGTTTTTTGTTATCTTCTTTTGTGGATCTCGCCCATTCCCTTGTTTCTTTTAGGTGCTCGCTTTTGTACACTAGTCTCTCTTTTTCGCTAGATTTTTATTCCCTAACTTTCGTCCTTTTTCTACTTCTGCACGTTGAGAACTCCGCTATGGCGAACCCCTATGCCGATCCCACCTCCATCGACTATATTCTGCAACGTGCCCAAGACGAACTTCGCAGGGGCGAGAACCAGCATCTCCGCGCTGCGGAGGCCCAGTACACGAATCATGTAAAAGAACTCCTTGGCAACTTGGAGCGCTACCTCGAAACGTGTGGGGTGCAACTGCCGGCGGAAGTGATCACCGGAAGCGAGGCCACGGCTGCGGCAGCGGCAGCGTTCGACGAGCCAAATGTCCATCGCGAAGCCGTGCGGTCGTCTCTCAGCTCCCAAGCAGCGGTTGGACTGCTCGGCGGCCCGCATATTTACCTCCCTCTGCACAAACGCTCCCTCTCCGCATCTGCCGCACCGAATAACGTGTGCGGGTACCGTGACTCCCAGTCGGGCAACGGACCACTTGCAGGCGAGAACCCACACCCGCGTGTCGGTTGGAACACGCTGGCGACGCCGACAGAGGCGTCGCAGTTGGACCACTCGACGGATGAGAGGCGAGCCGAGTTTGCAACAAACGCAGCGGCAGCGGCGCTCCGATATGTCAGGTCGGAGCCGGCGGGCGGTGGACTCATGACAAGCCTCGGCAGCCACGACATTCACTCCCCTGTCTCGCCTCAACTGCGGCAGGAGATGGCACGACGCCTCTCAAGCGCGAACGCAGAGGACGACTGTCGACGCAGCGAAAACGATAGCGTCATTGGCAACTCCTTCAACTGGCAACATGTGCAGCAGCTGCACACGCACCCGCAGGTGGCATCGTTGGATGTCGTCTCCCTCCGCGAGGGACAGGGCTCCAGCATGGTGAGAGGGAGTTCGCCCCTCGTCGCCACCGTCTGCAGCCCACCGCCCATGCACGCACAGCAGCAGCGCACCCCGTTCACGGCAGCGCTGGTCAACAGCAGCAATCCTCACCCTTCCCCCCAGGCCGCCGTGGCGCATGCGCGGTCCGTGAGTCTCAACGCCGTCGCCGCCAGCAATGGCGCCCACGTCGGCAGCGGCACGGACACGTGGGGCGACTTTGGCCAGTTTGTTCAGTCCATCACAGAGAGTCGCATCAACGGTAACTGGGCCACGTTGCCGAGCGCCACCGCCGCGGCTGTCTGTTCCAGTCCAGCAACGTGCATCTCAGACAGCAACAACGGCGGTCCTATTTCCCCAGCCGAAACGACGGCAACCACGCGCACGCGCGAGAACACCAACACCACCACTGACAAGTCTACATCCACGAACGCCTACGTTATCGGCGCCGCGTCCACTGCAGCCGTGCCGGAAACAAGCTTTCAGCTTCCGCATGTACTGGTGACAGCCAACTCGCCCTTCGCGACGTCCCCAAACGACCTACAGTCTTCACTGCAGCAGCAGTCGCAAGCGGTCGCACGCCGCGTCGTTCATTCGCCTCTCGGTGTAGATCCTGACGCTCCTCCAAGTGCAGCGCGCCGTGGTGCTGGCAACACACGGGGCGGGTTCGCGGAGTCGCCCCATCGGCAGCCACTGGCAACGGAGACTAATAGCATGAGCATCCACTCTCCCTCGCTGACTCGGCAGGCGGCGTACGGAGCGGGCAGCAACGCCGTTCGTGCCTTGGCCGTCGCAACAACGGAGACAGATGTGGAAAAGGAGAATTCGGCTCAAGTCGGCCCTGCGGAGCACATCCCCTCTCCTCCGCCTCAGCACCGTCCGGGCAGCCCCCTGCTGCTGGCACCCCCGGCAACAATGGTGACTGCGCCAATGCAGCATGTCGCATCGCCGTCCATCACCGAGTACCTGCCCTACGGCAAAGGCGGCAGCCCGTACTTTCCACATATCCTGCGCGTGTGCACCTCCGCGACATCGTCGAATCCACGAACGCAGTTGAACTCTCCGTCACAACCGGTCTCGCGTAAGTCATCGTCGTCACGATCAGCATCACCACCTCAGGAGCAACGGTATGATACAGCGCGAGGGTCTGCAGATGCCGGTGTCCAAAAACCCTTCCCCATTCCGCCACCTTCACAGCGCACAGTGGACGCGGCGGCCGCGGTGCGCATCCAGGAGAAGAAACAGCTGATGCGTCGCCTGCGCGGCATCCTCGACAAGTTCTCCTCGCCGTCCGCCACACCGTCCGTTATTACGTCCTTGGCTGACACGGGCAGCCACTCCGTTTCCGTCAACGGTGGCGGTGGGGATCCATGGAGGGTGAAGACGCCGCCGGCCACTGCGCCGGGTGTCGTCACGGCACCACTCTTTAATCAAGGCCAAGGAGGCGTGCGCGCCATTGCCGCAGGGACGCCACCTGAGCAGAATCACTTTTTCACAGTCGGCACTGCCACCTACCCACCCGCCTACACGCGCCGCACCCCGGTGCTTTATCCACTGAACACTGAACAAGCCCTGCACGGGCAACGCTCTTCGTTGTTTGTGGAGGAGTCCGACACGGCAGAACACCACGCGACGTCCCTGGTCAAGGCCAACTTGCAGCCGCGCACACCGTCCAGTCAGGACATGGGCAGTCTCCCCATTGGCTTGTGCAGCGACACTCGACCGCCCAACTCATCAATGCAGCCGCACAACAGCGTTAACGGCACCGCAAGTGGAGGTGTAGAAGTGGGCCACTGCACCACCACGTATAGCACCGCCGCGCTGGCCTACGCGGCAAGCACCGTTTCGCTCCCCTACGCGTCCGCCAACGACGCGACTCCTTTGTCCGGCGAGTACAAGGCGCCACCGGTAAAGGGTGCTGGTCCAGTCGACGCCTGCAGATACGTGAGAAGCCCCAACCAGAAGGTGCCAACCGGCCTTTGTCGCGATGAAGATCATCCCCATGGCGCCGACATTGACGGCCGCCGTAGAGACAACTATGAGGAGTGTAGAGTTTTCGCGGCACGTGACAGGGACGGCAAACCCCGGCAAAACGCCGGTGAGGTAGGTTGCGAAGAGAAGCTGCAGCTGATGCAGCGGCTGCGAACGATGCTAAGTCGACCCGACGAATGACGTTGATTGGTGGGTAGCATCAAGGATGTAGCGTAGACACGCTTTCAAGACATAGCAAGCTCTTTTCCAGTTCTCGTTTTGGATGTGGTGTTGTTGTTATTGTTGCTGTTGACCATTTTGGGGGTTGGTTTTTCCAAGGCGCGTGGGAGGTTAATTCCTAACTTGCCTCTGCGTGTTCGTACCTAGGTGGATCTGCGCCTATACAAAGCTAGCCACCGATACTACCATTTGTCTTGTTGCGCTCTCTCCTTTTTTGTTTGTCCCTCTATCTATATATGCGCGTGGAAGTCGTCTTGATCGTCTGTAGGTGCTGCGTAGACGCAACTGATATTTGATTCTGCTGTTACATCCTGTCCTCAGTTTGCAGTTTTTCTGCCAGAGAGTATCGCCTTCACAGACGCTACAGAGGGGTATGGTGTGAGAGAGGAGAAAAAGGGGGAGCGGGTTCACTGCTGCTCTTGTTGTTGTTTCCTCACCACCTGGGCAAGGTGAAGAGCTGAGGATCACATGGAAGCAACGCGAGATCGGCGGAGTGACCGATAGGTGCTCTCTTTCCTCCGCAGACACATCTTATTCGATGTTCTTGTTTGGACGTGTGCATTTTGGCATGAACAGAAAGCAAAGGAAAAAAGGAATTGATACATATTCGGTAACTTTTTGTGATGCCTATTCAAAGCGCTCTTTTTCCGCTGCACCTTGTGGCTAACTCGGTTTATTTTGTCCGTGCGTGAAATACCACAATGCATCTTTGTGTGAGCGTAGTGTGTTTCGGCACAAGACCGCTTCGCTTTCGCTGTCGCGCTTTTCTTTCCCCCAGTCTCTTCCACTACTACTCCACATTTTTCCCCCTGCTGCCCCCTCTTGTTTCTTTTATTATTATTATGCGGCTCCTTTCATCCTTTAATGGACGCCAAATTCAGTCGGGTGTTTTTGAGCGCCGAGCTCTCGTTCTTTGAAAGGAAAACGACAACAAACGTATATTTTACACACGGTTTTTTTCTCTCTACAATTTGCTTTGATCTTGATCTTGATCCGTTCTTGTTTGATTTTGTTTGTTTGTTTTCATATAGGACACTTTCTTCCTTCACAGAAAGCCTAACGTTCGACAGCGTTGCACAACAGTGGAAATTACGCTCCGTTTTTTTTTTACTATTTTTATTTCGCTCGTTTTTGTTTTACCTCCTTTTTTTTTATGTGCTCCAGTTTACGCCTACACTTGTAGCTTTCTTGCTTTTGGCCTCCTGTCTATTATTATCTTTATACATTAATCCGTGATCAGCCACTTCTTTTTCTTGTTCGAACTCACCACACCTTTCTTGCAAGCTTTGCTTTACTCAAAGTCCACATCGAACAACAAGAAAAAGAGGAACAAAATTTCTGCTATTATAGCTCCTTTCTCTGCCTTCAGTCAACACCGCAAGTGTTTTAATTATATATTTTTTTTACGATAGATTTTGGTGGGCAGCTGTAAGGTGCTCAAATTTTTTTTGCTCAAAAAAGCCCCTTCCGAGAAACTTGAGAAAGGCACGGGTCTCTCATTGGAACCGCGACCGTTGTTGTAGTCGTTGCTTCCCCTCTTTTCTACTAATCGCCTCTACTGCTGCCCTGAAACTCAGCATATCATTATTTGTATCTGGCAGTGCCGGTTTGTTTGCCTGTTTGTTTGCTTGTTTGTTTTTTCGCTCTCCACATTTTCACCTGATTTGACCTGGTTATATGCCACGACATCTTTCTTTCCCTTTTTTCACCTTTTCGTTTTTACTGTAGTGCAACTGCCTTGTAGCGGTGGCTTTGGAAGTTTGATCTTTAAAGTGAAAACCCGATAAAGAGCGAACCATAAAGTGCTTGTGCTTTTTGTTGTTCAGTATCCGGGGTTTTCATTTTTCTTTTCTTTTTTAGCGCCTACGGACTTTTTGTGGTGGTGGTTGTCTTCGTGAAAAAAAACTGATTTTTAAGAATAAAATCACCTTTCGTTTCCTGGCTCCTTATTTTCTCTTCTCAGTGTTTTCTTTTTCTTTTCCTTTTCCCTGGCCATTGTCGTCGCACGTTTCTGCATGCGGGGAGAAGAACAATTGGAAGCGTCACCAGCGTTTGAAACCTGTGTATATATACTTTTCTTCTTCTCTCTTTTCGTTGTACTTTCTCCGCGTCGCTTTATTTATTTTGTGTTTGTTTTTCTTTTGCTTTATATAATCACTCTGTTATTATTATTATTATTATGCTTTTGTTTTATGGACTCGGTACGTGATACGTTGTTGAGTAGCTCTGGTTTATCGAGTATTTTCCTTTTGTCTGGAACGAGAAAACAAGAGGAAAAGACTCATGGAGAATCTTCATCCAAGTGCCGCGACGACGTCACCGTTAATGCCATCTGCGGTCGAGGCCAATGCACCCCTGTCAGCAGTAGAAACGGAGGCTGCTGTCCCTACTGCCCACCACGAAAGCCCGAAAGGTCCGTCTTCGTTGCATTGCCAAACTGACGTTCCCAGCCACAGCACAGAAAACGCGAGCGACAGCGAAAGCGCCTGTGCCGAGCAACCGTTAAGAAACGCCCTGTCGTTTCACACCGCCTCCGCTACGGCGTCCTGTGAAAGTCAGTCTGGCTCTGTCAAGAGTGCACAGTTAAAGAACAAAAGCCAAGGCAATGGCGGTACTGGTACGTCGATTTTACCACTTCTCGACGCGGTGGCGCTTTCCTCCTCTGCCTCGAAGCGCTCCGCGGTGGCAGCGGCGAGTGTTGCCTCCTCGCATCGGGATGTACAGGAAGATGAATTGGGTGAGTCCGCCGCACCGAAAGAAAAGAGGGCGGAAGCGGCGGCGGGAGGCGCGCCTGCGGACGGTGGTAGTGGTGGAGGGAATGACTCCTGCGTGGCTACCCCGTGTTTTAGCATAGGAGTGCGATCACCACACTACACCCCGTCTAACCAGGCGCTGCCGCTGCGTCCGAAGCCTCGCCGCCTCGCCTCGCTTGGCGAAAAACAAGGAGAAACACAGCAAGGCAACTCGGTCGATGCCGCAACTGCTTCGCTGAGGCAACAGCAGAACAGAGCCATCCGTGAGGATCATAGAGGCGCAGAGTCTTCTGAGGCCTCTGCAGCAAAGGCCGAGCACGGACGTAATGCGGGACACAATGATGAAAAGCAGACGCTGCGCACATCGGCACCGTGCGTCGACCCGTCTCGTGAGCTGGACAACGAGGAGGGCGACCAACACAAGGCAGTGTCCCCCACCGGCCGCAAACAGCCAAGGAACCACCACGAGAGCGGCGACGATGTGAAAAAGGAGGCGAAGGAAGAGGACGCGGGGAATGACGAAGCACGTAATGCGCCGCCGTGGTGCCCACCTGACTCCGCAAACCGTGGGGGAGTGACAAATACGTGCAACGATTGTGGCAGCAGCAGCAACCTTCACGGTGCCACCGCCCCTCCAACGGACAACACGGTCCAGCCGTCGCTCTCACCCTACCACTCTTACGTGCCGTGGAAGCTGTCCGAAGGCAACGGCCGCGAAGACGACGGCGGTCACGTCTCCCTTACATTTTTTGACGCGAAGCACGCCAGCATCAGCAACGAGGAGTCAACGAGGTCACCAGCCCCACCCAAGCCGCGCACGCGAACAGACGCGACGACAAAAGCCGAGTCAAACTCCAGCAGCCATGTAGCGACAACGAGCGGGGCTCCGAACAACGCCGAGGGCGATGCGCGGCAGACCTCGCCACGCGATGAAGTCGTCATCGAGGGCAAAGGCACCAGCATCGATGTCGCCACCATCGACAGCGGAAGCTACGCCGGCAGCGGCCGCCACGGCTCGGAGTCGGCGATGGCGATGGCCGCCGCCGCAGCAGCAGCAGCAGCCGTGAATGCTCCTGCGGCTCCCCTGGGCGGCGGTGGTGTTCGGCGTCAAAATCCTGCCATGCTTGCCTTCTCCGGCAGCAGCAGCGGCAGCGGATCGCAGGGCGGTGAGGGCACCATCGACCGCAGCATCAGCAGCCGCTTCTCGGTCCCCAGCCGCGGCCCCGCCTCGCTCTCCCCGCCCTACCTCGCCGTGGACGAGGAGAGCGGGGAGTTGGCGGTGGTGTTCCGTCGAGGTGGGGTGGGGCAGCCGTCTGCCGCCGCAGCCGGGGGAGCCGCCCCATCGCTGTACAGCAGCGGCAGCAGCGGGAGTGCCACCTACAACGTCGTGCGCAACGGCGTGCCGACGTCCCCCACGCACCTCGAGTTCAGCCACCCCCTCGACGAGACGTTTGGGACGATGGTGAGCACGATGAGCACGACCTTCTCGACCACAACCAACAGCGTCGGCGACGGCGACTCGGTCTCGCCTGCGGACACCTACAGGCTTCAAGTGGCCGCGCAGATGCGTCAGGCCCTCCTGCAGACGCTGGGGCTGAACGTGGGCAGCGACGGTGGAAACACAACCGGTGCGACCACGCAAGGTCAACAGCAATCCGAGAAGGCGGCGAGTCCGATGTCTACGTCAGCAAGCAGTGCGGAGGCCACGACGTCCTCTGGCGTGCTACTGCCGTTGTCGCCCTTGCAGGACAAGAACAATGACGCCCCCCGTTTAGCTCATCTTGGGCACGCAATGGATGGCGGTGGCTCGCACGTCATCGTGACCCCAACTGTGCTGTCACGCAACTCGTCCACCGCTGGCGTAAACCTGGCGTCCAGCGCGTCTCTCTCGACCAACTCCGCCACCTCGCCCACGGCCGGCGCGCAGACCCGCACCGCCGCGGCCATATTCGCTGCACTCACCACTCCCAGCCCTCGACTGCGCAGCAAGAAGGCCGCTTTTGCTTTCCATGCCAATCCCACCTTCTTTGACATCGACAGCGGCGCCGAGGACGAAGAGGCTGAAGGCCGGAGTGACGGACGGTTGGATGCGCTGCGGCTGTCGCTGAGCGAGGAAGGTTCCCGCATGCTCTCAATGAGTGTCTCGAACCCCCTCATGTACGAGGACCTGGCGAGCAGCGAGATGAGCACTTCGCAGCAGTTCAACACAGCCGTGCAGCCCCCGCCGAGTCTCCAGCTGGCCTACCCTTTCCGTCGTCACAGCCTGACAGAGAACTTCACCGAGGTGATGCCGGGTCGCGGGACGCCCGTCAGCGGCACGCCGACCTTCTCCGTGTCAAGGCTGAACAACACCACTGAGGACGTTTTCAGCAACAGCACCAGTAGCCTGATGCCACCGATGCTGAAGTTTACGGCGAGGGGTGGTGGGGACGAGGGAGCGGCGCTCGAGGCCGCCGCCGCAGAGGCGGTGCGGGAGGTGAACAGCGGCAACTTAGACGTTGACGAGGACGAGAAGGAGGACAGCAGCCGTCCGGCCCCGTTGCTGCCCCCTCCCGTTGTGTGCTCGCCCGTAGCCTACGCTTGCTCGCTGCGCGACAGCGACTCCAGTAACCTCCGAGCCTCGTCCCACTCGGACATTTCGCCCCTCAATATCGACGGCGTGCCGGTCGCGAACGTCGGCAAACTGCGCTCGTCATACGAGATGGCGCGCCGGACACCGTTCTCGTCCTCCCCGAAGAGCGCAGCTGCCCAGGAAGCAGAAACGGAGCACACAGATGGTAACAGCAATGAAGAAGAAGCGATAAATGATGCAGTGACGTCAGCGCTGGGTGCCGCACCTGGTGCCGCAACCACCACCACCACCGCCGTCGCTGCGGCCGATTCTCTCCATGCCGTATCATCTCCTGAATCCGCAGCTCGAGATGGTAACGTCAGTGTTGCCCTATCCGCGGCAGAGCCGGAGTGGAGCAGCCACTCCCTGATCAGGTCTGTCCGTTCGAGCCCGCACCGCGGCGAGGACGGCGTCAACAGTACCGAAGACGACGTGACCGGCACTGCTACCACGCGAGTCCCCACCTCCTCCTCCCCTTCACAGTTTCAGATCCAGCCAACAAGCAGCGTGAGCTTTGGTGAGACACCTGGGCTGCTGCTCGACGCCGCCTCCTACTCCTACTCGCGGCGCGACTTTGTAAACAGCTCCGCAACGATCAGCTCCATCAGCGGCGCGCTCGCCGCTGAGGCACAGCAGAGCCACGCCGATCCGGCCACGTCACGGCCGGGATCGGCCACCACCACCGCCACCACAACGACAAACGGCGACCTCTCCGCCTCTACCTCTACGCGCATGTGGTCGGATGGTATTGCCACAACGGCGGCGGCCGTGCTCTTTCGACGCCACGGTGATGACGCCACACAAGAAGACGCGGAGAGTCTAGTGATGCCGCAGCGCTTTGGTGCGTTTACATCGATTCCGATGCCTCGCTTAAGCACTGCTGGTGGGGAGAAGGGTGGTGTCAGTCTCCGTAGCGGCACGAACTCGGCCATGCAGCGCGATATTGATGATGGGAACGAGGCGAACGCACCAAGCGGCAATCCGCATACGGTGAACCCTTTAGGTACGCTGTCGCTCACGCCGACGCCGCCACCTCCACTGGCGCAACAGCAAATGCCAGACGCGCAGGGCGCAAACACTGTTGACATGGCAAATCTTTCTGACGAAAAGGTGAAGGAGACGGAGGAGAGCGCCAGACTAAACAATCCAGACAATGAAGGCGACACGTGGGGTGAGCCGATGTCCTCCGTCCAATCCCTGCAGAAGCAACAGTACGCAGATGACGAGTTTGCGGAACCTGCGGTGACATCTGTGGCGGGCGGTGGTGAGAAGCACGTGAGATTTGCCGATCGCTCCGAGATGCAGTTCGTCGACCCGCTGTCGTCGCCGTGGGCGGACCGCGACTTCTTCTACCAGCCCGACTACACGCATATGGAGTTCAAGAACGCGTCACTGCCAAATAGCGCGCCGGAGGACGCGAAGGGGAACGATGGTGAGAGTAGTAGCGCGACAGATGAGGAAGAGGCAAATATTTTGCGTGCTGTAACACCCTTTCGCTTTACGCACCGCTGCAAAGATGTCCACGGCTCCCCAACACCGCGTTCGTTTACCGGACCTAGCGTGCCGTCGTGGGCAAATTGGCCGCGCGGAGCTGGCACAAGGAAGCCGCAAGCCGCTCCGTCGGAGATCTCTGCGCGGCACGACGGAGCACCGGAGGCGGCGGTCTCGCCAACAGTGCGCAACGACGACGATGCCGAGGGCGAACGTGCGCCACGCATCTTCTTCACGAAAGAGCGACTTGCGTCGCGCGCAGCGTTGATGGAAGCGCGACGTGCCGCACTGCAAGGCAAAAGCAGCACCGACGTCAGCTCCAGCATCGTTGGCAAGCCAAACGGGCCTGCTGCAGCATTGGGAAGTGGAGTAGTGCTCCGTCCTGAAACGAGCGCGGTCGGGCAAATTACACCCGCTAGTGCAAGCGCACGCCTGCACATCAATCTCGCCCCGCCACCACCGCCACCGCCTGCGGCAGCGGCCATCTCCGTCGCGTTGCCCGACTTCGCCGCCCCTGTGACTTCCACCGCGTCATCGGGGAGGAGCGGTATGTTGTGTGGACCTCCTCCCCCGCCGCTTGGAAGTGCACCCACTGCACCCGCACCGGCTTCCGCCAGCAGGGCGGCGGAGGTTAACAGCAATGACAATGACGATGATGGCTTTGGCGGCTGGGTGCAGCAGGGCGCCGCACCACCGCAGCAGGTGAAGGACACGGCGGCCGCTCCCTTCAAGCTGACGAAGGAGTGGTGTGTACAGGTCGCCGCGGACTTGAAGAAACGCGGCAACGAGTGCCCGCCGTGCGCGGAGTCGGCTGCCATCCCCCTCGACCCCGCTCGCGTGGTGGACGTTCTGCACGCCGTCTTTGGGGAGGATAACCTCTTCACCAGCCCGTCCCCGCACGGCAAACCAGCCAGCACATCTGCAAGCATCGGCTCCCACAACCACGACGCAGACGAGGCCTCCGCGACGATGAACACCTCCAGGGGTGCAGCCCCTCGCGTCTCGGGCGAGATCCGCGGCGTGGACGGGGTGCTGGAAGCACTCTCCTTCACCTCCCTCACCCAACCCAACGGCCCGGCGACGGCCACCGGCTCTTTTGCCACCACGTTCACGTCGACCAACGCACGAGCGACGAACAGCAGCATGAGTTCCGCACCTGCGATAGAGGGCAGCGGCTACGTCGTGCCGTGGCGAACCCGGACGAGCGCGACATCAACGGCCGCGGCGCAGACAACGATGAACAACGCGGCGGCAATAGAAGCAGGAGTGGCAGGCAAAACGGACAACGGCAACGCAGCGCCCGCTGAAGAGAATGATCCGGTAGAGTTGAGTCTTCGCCTCACGCGTCATCTTTTTTTCCCCGATCAAGAACAAGGAGGCAGGTGCGATAACGACAGCGCTGCACCGTCGGCAGCCGCTTCGTGTCAAGTCAGCTCGTTTATGGGAACGCGCCGATTGCCGGACGCCGCCACCGCTGCCCAATGGACGGAGAGGGATGTTCTACTCGCTGTGCAGCAGGAACAGCGACGGATGGCGCAGGAGAGTGAAGGGGCAATGGAAACAGAGCGCTTGGAAGACGTCCTGCGCTTGTCCTCGTAAAATTCCAAAAGGATGTGGTGATGAGACGGAAGTGAAGTAAGTCGGTGTATTCTGTACGAGGATAACAGCGGATGTTCGCTTTCTTCTTTTTTTTTTCTTTCTTTCCCTTCTATCGTTGTTGTTTCCTTATGTAGTGGCATCACTTGAACAGTCATGTTTCCTGCACTGCATTCTTACGCCGCTGAATCTAAGAAACAAAAAGAGAATAGATAGCAGTAATACTCTTTGGACTAATTGCATTTGCGGATTCACTCACACGTTGCTAGCCTTATTGAAGTACCGTCGGAGGAAGGAGGGAGTTGCAACAGCGGTGCGCAGCAACAACTGGCAGTCAAGCCTTTGAAAAGGTATAAACGCCTCTTCATAAAAGCACTGCTATTTTGACACGGGTAAGAATGGGGATTTTATCTGCATCAGACTTTCGTCATTGTCGTTCTCCTACCACGTGTTTCTCACCCCTCCATTCAGAAAGGACTGCCTCTATTTTCACGTCTTCAAAAAATATATCCTACCAACACCGCCACAGGAGGTAAACAATTGTTTTCTTTATCCCTTAAAACGATAATACACGCCACCACCACAAAAAAAGAATTTAAAAAATGTCCACCTCTTCCGCCGACAAGTTCGATAAACTCTCCACGCTGCCCCCGGATTCCATCTTCCACCTGGCGCAGAAGGCGAAGGCCGCCACCGGCCCGAAGGCAGATCTGATTATCGGCGCCTACCGCGATGAGCACGGTCGTCCGTACCCGCTGAAGACGGTGCGTAAGGCGGAGCAGCGTCTGTTGGATATGAACCTCGACTACGAGTACTTGCCCATCGCGGGCTACAAACCCTTTATTGATGAGGCGACGAAGATCATCTACGCCGACACGGTGGCGCCGGACCACCTCGTGGCGGTGCAGACGCTCAGCGGCACCGGTGCGGTCGCCCTCGGCGCCAAGCTGCTGACACACGTCTACGACCCAGTGACCACCCCCATCTACCTGTCGAACCCGACCTGGCCGAATCACCACGCCATCCTCCCGGCGGCGGGCTGGAAGGACATCCGCAGCTACAGCTACTACGACCCCGAGACGATGAGTCTCGATTTCGAGGGCATGAAGAAGGACATCCACACTGCGCCGAATGGCTCCATCTTCGTGCTGCACCAGTGCGCGCACAACCCCACCGGTGTGGACCCGACCCACGCGCAGTGGGAGGAGATTGCGGACTTGATGCTGGCTAAAAAGCACCAGGTGTTCTTTGATTCCGCCTACCAGGGCTACGCAAGTGGCAGTCTCGACGAAGACGCCTTCGCGGCTCGGCTCTTTGTGAAAAAGGGCATTCAGTTTCTCCTTGCGCAGTCCTTCTCCAAGAACATGGGTCTCTACAACGAGCGCATTGGCACGCTCTCCGTGGTGCTACACAACCCGGAGAAGGCGGCGGCGGTCAAGACCCACCTCGAGTTACTGATCCGCGCCAACTACTCCAACCCGCCGGCGCACGGCGCTCGTCTGGTGCACCTCGTGTTGAGCGACAAGGAACTGCGCAAGGAGTGGGAAGCGGAGCTGGCGGACATGGCCGGTCGTATTCGCACGATGCGCCGCACTGTCTACAACGAGCTGAAGCGACTGGAGACGCCCGGCAGCTGGGAGCACGTGATCAACCAGATCGGCATGTTCTCCTTCCTCGGCCTGACCAAGGAGCAATGCCAGTACTGCCAGGACCACAACGTCTTCATCACGCTGACGGGGCGCGCGAACATGGCGGGTCTGACGCACGACACTGCCCTGATGCTCGTCAAGACGGTCGACGAGGCAGTTCGCACCGTTTAACACTGAAGGCAACTATCGTGGAAGCGAATGCATATCGATTTCTTTGCCGCATTTTTTCTTTTTTATCTAGCTACCTGTGCGCATTCTTCACATGCCGTCCTTGTTCTGTTTTGTTTACCAGGTGCTAAGTCACTGCACTGCTGGTCGCAATAGCAGTAGCCGCAAAACCTGTTTTTACCCCCTTATAATTTTTACTTCATTTTATTTTCTTTTCGAAACAAACGCAATCGTTCCCTTCAACGCACTGGCATCGGCAAAGGCGTCTGGGTGAATAACCACGACGTACATCGTGTACTAGTTGATTCAGAGCAAAGCCCAGTCGTTCGGATCCCACAACATGAACCGGCACCTCGTAGTGATTGATTGTTTCTTCCGAGATCGCTTGCTTTATTGTTTCTTTCTTGGTTTTGAGATGTAGTCGAGTGGTGTCCTTTCAGCACCGTTGCGATCCAATGGACGCAAAATGAGCAGGAAGCACACGCAACACCCTATTCCGGGGGAAATAATCCTTCCCTAGGAGTATTCAATGGATCGATTTGTCATTCGCTTTTTGTTTTTAAGCATTTACGCCTACCCTTGTTTTACGTTTGTCGTTTCGTTTACATGTCTCACGAAACCGATTCTTTGAAATACGCTGTGCATGGTCGGCAACAAGTCCCATATCGGCAAAGAAGAGACGGAAATAAAAAGAGAGCGTCGGTGCAGTCTTCTTCATGCCTAAAGGTTTTCCCCGCACGTTTAAATTGGAATAGAAGTGTATGGACTCCTTCAGACAAGCAGCATAAATTTAATACGCACAGCGGCCAGCGAGCGACACGACTATCATTCCTACCGATTATTTTCTCCCTCTCAATCATCCTTAACCACTGCTTCTTTTCGTCTTCTCCGTGCCTACAAATATCTTTTTCTGTTTTACTCCGCGTACGTTAGAAAATTCGCTCTCTAAGAAAAAAATTCCTCTTTCCGCTTTCTCTGAGAAAACAAGAAAAACTGCCCTCCCTTTACTAAACCCCCTTTTTTTTTTAAAATGGCATCCACGACCCCCACCACGGCGGAGCGCTGGCACAAGATTGAAGGCCACTCCCCTGACGGCATCTTTGCCCTCGCCGCTCGTGCCAACGCCGCCAAGGACCCGAAGGCCAACCTTGTGGTGGGTGCCTACCGCGATGAGCAGGGTCGCCCCTACCCCCTGCACGTCGTCCGCAAGGCCGAACGTCTGCTGTTGGACATGAATCTCGACTACGAGTACCTGCCCATCGCGGGCCTTCAGGCCTTTGTGGATGACGCAACGAAAATGCTCTACGGCGACGCGGTCGAGTCGCACCAGATTGTGGGCGTGCAAACGATCAGCGGCACCGGTGCGATCGCCCTCGGCGCCAAGCTGCTGACACACGTCTACGACCCAGTGACCACCCCCATCTACCTGTCGAACCCGACCTGGCCGAATCACCACGCCATCCTCCCGGCGGCGGGCTGGAAGGACATCCGCAGCTACAGCTACTACGACCCCGAGACGATGAGTCTCGATTTCGAGGGCATAAAGAAGGACATCCACACTGCGCCGAATGGCTCCATCTTCGTGCTGCACCAGTGCGCGCACAACCCCACCGGTGTGGACCCGACCCACGCGCAGTGGGAGGAGATTGCGGACTTGATGCTGGCTAAAAAGCACCAGGTGTTCTTTGATTCCGCCTACCAGGGCTACGCAAGTGGTAGCCTCGACGAAGACGCCTTCGCGGCTCGGCTCTTTGCCGGCCTCGGCTTGGAGGTGATGGTGGCGCAGTCCTTCTCCAAGAACATGGGTCTCTACAGTGAGCGCGCGGGTGCCCTCTCTGTAATCATCAAGGACAAGACGAAGCGCGCGGATGTGAAGAGCGTGATGGAGTCGCTGATCCGCGAGGAGTACTCCAGCCCGCCGGCGCACGGCGCTCGCCTCGCCCACCTCATCCTGAGCAGCAACGACCTGCGCAAGGAGTGGGAAGCGGAGCTGGCGGACATGGCCGGTCGTATTCGCACGATGCGCCGCACTGTCTACAACGAGCTGAAGCGACTGGAGACGCCCGGCAGCTGGGAGCACGTGATCAACCAGATCGGCATGTTCTCCTTCCTCGGCCTGACCAAGGAGCAATGCCAGTACTGCCAGGACCACAACGTCTTCATCACGCTGACGGGGCGCGCGAACATGGCGGGTCTGACGCACGACACCGCCTTGATGCTCGCCCGGACGATCAACGATGCCGTATCCAAGTTGGATAATAAATAAAGAAGAAGTGAATTGCAGTGGTGGAGTGGTGTGAAGAAGAGCCAAGAACCAACAGAAACATTTCAATTCATTCTGTTTGTCTTGCATCTGCTCTTGTTCGTGTTTTTTTCTTTTCTTTAAACCCCTTATATATTACTTCTGTTCTCGTCTCTTCTAGTTTCTCTTGGAATAAACGAAACGAAAGAAAACACTTCCTGGAAAGTAAAAGGTACGTGCTCCTTGTTGAAGATCTTGTTTTTACTCACAACTACGAGCACGGTGCCCATCGGGCGCCATCTGTTGCCGGCTTTACTCTGAGTGGCGTGTTTTCTTTGTTTTTTTTTCTCTCTCTCGACTTCGCAGTTGTGGAGAGTTGTGGGGAGGAAAGAAGCCTACGCACTACGGACGCGACCCGTGTGCAATTATCAGTGCGTTGTGGATGAAGCGGTGCACAAACACTGAAAACTTGATTGGCTTCGTTTTCTTATTATTGTTAGTTTGTTTGTTCGTTCACATGTCTGTGTCTGGTGTGTGTGTGTGTGTGTGTGTGTGTGCTCGTTGTCGCTCTCGTCCTCACCTTTTTGTTGATTCTCGAAGTCGACGTGAATCGCCTTCTATTGACACGAAGTAGATCGTCCTGCTTTGTTTCCCTGTTTGCTTGCCCCTTTAATAAGAAGTAAAAAGAACGAATCGTGTTCTCATAAAATTCTAACACGATTGCGAAAGAGGGGCGGACCAGATCGTCGGCGCGAGGAAAGAGAAACCGAACGCTGTAAAAGTTAAAACACTTGCGATATATACAGTTCTATTAGCTATTATTTTTTTTTTCTGCATCCGGTTTCCGGCGGCGGAAATAGTAAGTAAAACGTGCATATATATGTTTACAAAAACGGTTTGTACACCTCACGTTTTCGCCAAGAAGACAGCTGTATAAACTACCTTCCTTCTCTCTTTTACGGCTTGAGCATGCATGAAACCGCTTTTTCTTTTATGTTAATTGAAGTCAATTCGTTGACGGTACGAACGAGTCCAGGTTGATAGTTCGGGTAATTCAGCGCATGACTTTTTGTTCTCACATATATTGTTATTATTAATGTTGTTGTTATTGGCAGAGACTCGAGTCTCTGCCAGTAACATTGGAGACTTTCTGTTGTTCTTTTCAAAACGCTGTAATAAGAAGAGACCTTTGATTTGGACCTCTTCTGTACGCTTTCACTTTTCTTTTCCTTTTCTACCTCAGCGTGTTCTCAACACCGGTTTTCACGTTGATGGTAAGTGATAGGGTTTTGAATGCATGCTCTCCAGTTTTGTTATTGATTCGAGGTGCGAAATCGGAAAAAGATGTATATCCAAAGATGAGCAGAACTGTGTGAAGATTGTTTTCCTCTTGTGACTTCGTTCATTTTCTTCGATAGATTCAGTTGTGGCCGAACCTCTTTTCTTTTTTATGTTTTGATGCAGCTGACGGTTCTGTGGCAAACTGCTCTGGACTCGGAGCTTTTAGCCGCAACTCAACCACTTGTTTCGCCGCAAAAAGAAAACAATCGAGTGTGCTGCGCCATTCTGCAGTCTCTTTTTTTTTTACATACTGATGTATTCGCCTTATGACTTCACAACTCTCTTTTTGTTTTGAAGCGAAGAAGTGCATCTGAGCTTTTCTGCTCTTTTCGACTGCGTTTTCACTCCATATATATATATATATATATATCCTTTCTACCAATTTGCTTTCTTGCTCCTATTTTTTCTTTTAGAAAGAAAGACAACAAAGAACGCGCGACAACCACCGAGATCTTTTGCGACGGTGAGTTTTCCACCCTTTCCAAAGCATTGTTCTTTGATGTTAACTAGTTTACTTTTCCTCTTTTACTGTTTGATCTTGATAACTGAGGTATAAGTGAGGAGAAAAAAAAATACCGAGTTACAAATACACCAGCCAGCGACTAATTATTATTTTTTTACTTTCTTTAAATTAGTGTATCCCATTAGGAGAATCTGGATTGAAACGTATTCTCTGGTTTTAATGCCCTGTTGTTTATCTTTTTTTTTTGCCACGCCTGCATTCACTATTATTATTTGGTCGGACGCATATATATATATATATATATATATATGCATTTTGAAGAAGAAAAGAGAAGCGTTTCTTGTCATTTGTTAACGTGCTCCGTACATGTGCGAGTAATTTCCTGCTACTGATTGTGCTGGTGGTTGCTACAGCGAATCGGGTACTTGGGCTCTTTTGCCTTGATTATTGTTCTTTTTCTTGTTCTCAACACAGTCTTGACACTATTTATCACCTACATTCGTCCGTCAACAATTTTAGTTGATTTCAACTCCGATGAAAAGCAGAGCAGATACGCATACGCACATGTACACACGCATATGCACCTGATGTTTGATGAGAAGCCTCTCGTTTGAGCTGCGAGTGTTCTGAAAAGAATGAAATTACAAGAAGAAAGACGAATGGTACGTTGTAAAAACAGCATACACATGTTATGGCTATGCCTCTCGTTGCGCTTTCCCCATCTGAAGCGAAGCAGTGTAGCAGTCGTCTCTGATCTGTGACGGCGTGTGAAATACCGGGGTGGATCGCTTCTCTGTCCGCGCTCACCTGCGTGTGAGCGTTTTTTCCCCCCTCGAATCACTCTTTAAGCAGCAAACTCACCATTTTTTATTTCGTTGGTGACTTCCTCCCTCGCCGCCATTTTCACTTCATTATAGCACCTCCTCTCGTCTCTCTTTTCCTTTTCTTGTTGTGTTCCTCTTGTCTCGGCTCCTCAGAGCTCGCAACTAAGTGTATAGTGCTCTGCTTTTTGTCATTTGTTTGTTTCTTCGAATGAGTTTCAGCGAAACCAGATTCACTTTCAACTACAGTAACCAGCGGGATATTTGAAAACACACAGTATGGCATTTTGCTCGCACACAAGCTAGCCAATTCTTCCTCTCCGTATAACTTACTTTTCGTTGATACCCCGTTTAAACGCTGTTGCTCTTGTATTGTTATTTTATTTTGTTTTCCTTTTTACGTTTCGCTCTTCTTCTTACTGGAGACTCCATAGAGATATACTACCAAATCATCGCTGTATCTGATTCGCTGTCTCTCCTTTAATCGTAACCTGTGACAAACATCAAAAGATACTTGTTCAGAATAAAGTGGGATTAGAATTATTCTGTAAGGCGTAGCCACTGTTGCCATTCACCTCTCTTTAACACTCGCCGACTCTAACTACCTTTTTTTTCAAGCTCCTCTGCAGCACGTTGATTAGAAGAAAAACGATCATTAACTTCCCTACTTGCCTTGTACAGCAGCGTGTTTTCTTTTTTGTTGTTGTTGTTTGCTTTTGCCCTTCACTTCCTTCCTTCCTTTCACATTGTTCTTTCTTTTCGATACGTAGAAGAACAAGAGAAACATCCAACATAAATACAGATGTTTTCTATTCGTCGTTTTGCGGCCGCAGCCAGTGCGGGATGCACTGCGTCCTCGCAGCTGCGTGTTGCCGCCATGTCCGCCGTGGGCAGCAGCTTGGGCAGCCGGCAGTGCCTGAGTAGTGGCACGTCCGCGATCTCCATTCAGCGACGCCGCACTGGTACCGACTCGATCACCAGCGCGTCCGTCGTCATCGTGGACCCAGAGCTGGAGGCCCGCGAGCGTGACCGCCTCGCGCGCGGTCTTCTCAGTTCGAACTTTCCGGAGCAAAACGTCAACCAGCGCTCTGTCCTGCTGTACCGCGATGTGGTGCACACGGTGCCCTACTCCCTCAGCATCGCCGTGGACAGCGTACACTCGCACCCGAACGTGGAGGAGGTGGTCCACGGCATCCTGGACGAGTGTTTTGAGATGGTCGACCGCAACCTCAACTCCTTCAACCCCGAGAGCGAGGTATCGCAGGTGAACCAGCTACCCGTGTTTGTGAAGCACAAGATGTCGCCGCACCTCCTCGCCGTCATGAAATGCTGCAATGAGGTGTACGGCACGAGCGGCAGCTGCTTTGACCCTGCGGTCGCCCCACTCGTGCGCAAGCTGCGCGACGCAGCCGTCAACTCGACGGCGACGGAGGCCGACTTCGTCATCTCAAAAGAAGAGGCAGGGAAGTACACGTTGCCGAACAGCTTCGCGATCGACTTGAAAGCAAACACGATTGCCCGCAAGCACGAAGGCGCCGCGTTGGACCTGGGTGGCGTCAACAAGGGCTACACCGTTGATTGCGTGGTGGAGAAGCTCAACGCGGCCGGCTTTGCCGATGTTCTCTTTGAGTGGGGTGGGGACTGCCGCGCCTCGGGGGTGAATGTGCAGCGCCTGCCGTGGGCCGTCGGCGTGGTGCGCCCGCCCAGCGTCGACGAGGTGAACACCGCCGCCAGGGCGGGCCAGACCACGACCGGCAAGTCGCACAGCCTCGGCGAGAACACGAGTGGGATGGTGCCGCCTGGCGGCGACGCCGCCGACTCGACGTTGTTGCGTGTGATGACGCTCAACGACGAAGCCATCTGCACGAGCGGCGACTACGAGAGCATCCTCTTCGCCAAGCCGTTGGAGTCTGCCGTCTCCAGCACCTACGACTGGCAGACTCGTTCCCTCATCACGCCCAGCCAGCACGCCCTCTCGCAGGTGAGCGTCAAATGTTACTCCTGCATGTACGCCGATGCCCTGGCGACGGCGTGCTTTGTGAAGCGCGACCCGGTGCGCGTGCGGTTCATGCTCGAGAACTACCGCCGCGACTTCAACCGTGTGACCGACTACGCCGCCTACACGCGGGAGGGGGAGCGGCTGGCCCACATGTACGAGATCGCCTGTGAGAGCCGTGCCCTTCGCGACGAACGCATTGCCGGCTCTCTGCCTGCGCGCGTCGTTGTCATTGGCGGTGGTCTCGCGGGGTGTGCGGCCGCCATCGAGGCGGTGGACTGCGGTGCCACCGTCGTCTTGATTGAGAAGGAGCCCCGGCTGGGCGGCAACAGTGCCAAGGCCACCTCGGGCATCAACGGTTGGGGAACACGCACGCAGGCTGTGAACCACGTGCTGGACAACTGCAAGCTCTTCGAGCGCGACACCTTCCTCTCCGGCAAGGGCGGCTACTGCGACCCGGGCCTGGTGCGCACCCTGTCCGTCAAATCATCCGATGCGATCAGCTGGTTGGAGTCGTTCGGCATCCCCTTGACGATGCTCTACCAACTGGGCGGTGCAAGCCGCAAGCGCTGCCACCGCGCACCGGATCAGAAGGACGGCACACCCGTGCCGATCGGCTTCACTATTATGAAGACGCTCGATGATCACATTCGCGCCAAACTGCACGGCCGCATCACCGTCTTGAACGAAACCGCCGTGACGTCTCTCATTCACGAGACGACCACCATGCCAGACGGCAGTCACGAGATTCGCGTGAGTGGCGTCCGCTACACGTCGCTGACCGACCCGATGAAGACGGAGATGCAGCTGCCGGCGGATGCGGTGGTGTTGGCTACCGGTGGCTTCTCCAACGACCAGACAAACACCTCTCTCCTCCGCGAGTACGCGCCGCAGCTCTTTGGTGTGCCAACGACGAACGGCACCTTTGCTACGGGTGATGGTGTCAAGATGGCGCGCGCACTCGGGGCCACGCTCGTGGACATGGACAAGGTGCAGCTCCACCCCACCGGTCTGATCAACCCGAAGGACCCGGCGAACAAGACGAAGTATCTCGGCCCCGAGGCGCTGCGCGGGTCGGGCGGCATTCTGCTCAACGGCCAAGGTGAGCGCTTCGTGAACGAGCTGGACCTGCGCTCCGTCGTGTCGCAGGCGATCATTGCCCAGGACAACGTCTACCCCGACTCTGGCGGCAGCAGGTTCGCCTACTGTGTTCTGAGCGAAGAAGCGGCCAACCTCTTCGGCATCAACGGACTCACCTACTACTGGAAGTCGATGGGTCTCTTCACCCGCGTGGACGACATGAAGGCCCTGGCGGAGCTCATTGGGTGTCCGCTGGAGCAGGTGCGCAACTCGCTCGAGACGTACGAGACGCTGAGCACCGAGAAGCGACCGTGCCCGCTGACCGGTAAGATTGTGTACCCAAGTGTGGTGGGCATGAAGGGTCCGTACTACGTCGCCTACGTGACGCCGTCGATCCACTACACGATGGGCGGCTGTTCGATTTCGCCTGCCGCGGAGGTGCTGATGGAGCACAACACCGTGAACATCTTTGAGCACCAGCGCCCCATTCTCGGCCTCTTCGGTGCGGGCGAGGTGACCGGCGGCGTGCACGGGTGCAACCGCCTCGGCGGCAACTCGCTGCTGGAGTGTGTCGTCTTCGGCAAGATCGCCGGCGACCGTGCGGCCACCATCCTGCGCAAGGAGAAGCACGCCCTCAGCAAGGACAAATGGGTGCCGGTGGTGGTGCGGGAGAGCAGGGCCGGTGACCAGTTTGGCGTGGGGTCGCGTGTGCTGCGCTTCAACCTGCCCGGATCGGCGCAGACGTCCGGTCTGGCGGTTGGCGAGTTTATCGGTATCCGCGGCGAGTGGGATGGTCAGCAGCTGATCGGCTACTACAGCCCTATCAACATGCCCGACGACCGTGGCCGCATTTCGATCCTTGCCCGCGGTGACAAGGGCAACCTGCAGGAGTGGATCTCGTCTATGCGGCCGGGTGACTCGGTGGAGATGAAGGCCTGCGGTGGCCTGCACATCGACCTCCGCCCGCAGCAGAAGCAGATGCTCTACCGCAAAAGCGTCGTGCGAAAGTTCGCCCTCATCGCTGGTGGGTCCGGTGTGGCCCCAATGCTGCAGATTATCAAGGCCGCGCTTTCTCGCCCCTACGTGGACAACGTCGAGACAATTCGCCTCATTTACGCCGCGGAGGACGAGTACGAGCTGACCTACCGCGAGCTGCTAGCGCGCTACCGCAAGGATAACCCGGACAAGTTCAACGTCGGCTTCGTGCTGAACAACCCACCAGAGGGCTGGACGGAGGGCGTCGGGTACGTGGACCGCGGCTCGCTGCAGCGTCTCATGCCGCCGCCGTCCAAGGACTTGCTGGTGGCGATCTGCGGCCCGCCGGTGATGCAGCGCTCTGTTGTTGCCGACCTGTTGGCTTTGGGGTACAGCTCGAAGCTGGTGCGCACTATTGACGAGGACCGGACTTTCTAAGGCGTGGCACTACGGATGGAGCTCAACTGCAGCCCGCATCTCTCCATTTTTGAGATGCCCGCGTATCCTCGGCCACCCACACTCCCCTTCCGGAACGTTTCGTTAATAATAATAATAATAATAATAATAATACTACAAAGATGTACTCACAGCGAAAGATGCCCGCAAAAGGGAAAAAAAATAGTTTCATTTTTGCTTCCAATTGCGCCTTCCAGCGTTGTTGCTGCGTGGTAAGCGCAAAGGATGGCTGCGCTTTGCATCAGTACTGTGCAGCTTGTAATCACACCCCTTCGTTTCCCCCATTTTTGTTACCTCTGTTACTAGTCAGTCTTTCTTTGATCCCGAAGAAACTACGGTTAAATATATATATTTGCCAACGTGTGTTGTGAAGACACACGAGCTCGAAGTGCTCTCTTTTGTTGAGAAGGACTCTCCCTCTCTGTATGTGTTGTCGACGGTGTTCACGCCTCAAAATCGTCTTCCCGCCTCTGTTCCAGCAGCTGTTGCGATGCCGCCATAGCAGTGATCACAGCGAATTATGATGGCTCCACTGAACTTCCTTCACCTCATAATTAAAAGGAAAAGAAAACTACATACCTTCTCTCCCTTCTTTTGTTGTTCCGTTCTATACTTGACTTTTCCGTCCACACTATCCTCACTCACGCGCGGAAGTCCTCAGGTTTGAACATATGGGCATGCATAGAGCGATTCAGCAGTGATCTAAAACCTCACGTGACGCAGTTCATCCTCCCTAAACTGGTGTAATACATATTTTTTTCCCTGTTGATTGTAAACACGCAAAACTCAACGAGAAACGGGAAAACCCAACAAAAACGCATATTTAGATATTTTTCATACATCCATACATCCATACTCTTCATCAAGGCAACACACTCACCGACAAAGCACGATGAATATCTTGCATATTGTTCTGGCGCTGTTGGTGAGCAAGGTGGCGCTGCAGTACGCCATCTGCGCAGCCTGCGTGCTGGCACCGCTTTACGCGTTTGTGCTGAAGCCAGTATTGCGCTGGGCTCGATGCCGCGCATGCGGTGCGGCGGCGACAGGCACTGTTGTGGCACCGACTAGCGCAGTCGCACACGACACCCCGGTGCGTCTTTCCACGGTCAGCTCCAGAGGCTTCCTCTCACCCACGTCTGCGAGTGCTACACCTCTGCAGGGCACCCCCGTATTCCTTTCGTCGCCGGGAGCGCGTGCGTCACGCCAGCGCAGTGGAAGCGGCAGTGGTCCGCATTCTTCCGCCTCCCCTGCCCGTTTCGGCTCCAGGGACGGGTCGAGGTCGCTGCGGCCCTCGCTGGAAGTGACCGGCACCGCAGTCCGCGTAGGGGAGGAGCCTGTGGAGGTGGAGGAGTACCGCTCTCCCACCAAGCGCTTTGTGTCTGCCCTGAAGCGGCACGTGCAGCAGCGCGGTGCGGCCATCTTTGGCAAGGACGACTCCGCCCTTCGTGCCGCCGTGGCCTCTGGAGAGGTGTTTATCCACCGCCCCGCTCGCCGGCTGCCCAGCCAGGACTACCTCGCCTTGCGCCTGCTGCGTCGTCGGCAACTGCAGGCCCTCTATGACGAGCTCAACATCACGGAAGCCTCACTGGATGACCTTTACGCCAGTCCGAAGTTTCTGGAGTGGTACGGGGCAAACCGCGAGGAACTGCTCCGCGATGCGCAGCTGCGCGAGTCCTTCTATCGGTGGCGCAGCCTGGCGAGAGCGGTGGTTCTGCTGATGGCGTTGCTGCTGCTGCCCGCCTTCAGCTTCAGCACCGACACAAACGCCGTGCAGTGGCGTACGTCTCTGGCGTTCAGCTCCAGCAACACGGGTGTAGCGCCAGCGACGGTGGCCTCCGCGCCGTTTGCGCAGTTGCTGCTGACGCGCATGAGGTACATTCAAAATGCGCGGTCCGCAGAGGCAGTCGCGACGCGCGCCCTTCCTTTTGCGTCGTACATGCGCGCTGACGTGCGCACGCTTGTGGCCTCCGTGGTGGGCATGGCGGAGTGGGTGGCCATCGTGGCGGCTGTGTGCTCCCTCGTCACGAGCTGCTTCATGCCTCGTGGAAGCCGCCGCACTGCCTCCGTTGCCTTCACCGCGTTCCTCGTAGTGCTGATTGAGTCCGCGCTGGTCCCTGGCGTGTCCGTGGGGCTGGGTCTTGGGAGTTTTCTTATTGTAATCGTTGTGGCCACAACGATTCGCCGTGCCGCGGAGTAGGAATTATTTTTTTCCCCCGCACTCACGCACGCGCACACATGTGCATCCTCGAGTGGTTGCTTGTTTGCTTTTCCTCTCATTTTTCTCCACTCCGTTATTCACGCGCCGTTCATCTCCGCACTTTTGTTGCGCCGTGTGTTTGTGTTCCCTCGGCTACCTCTCTCTTGTGTCTTTCTTGTTAGCGTTGGTGCGTCTCGTTGCTCCTCTTTCTCTCCCCCTCACTCTTTCTTTTTTGGAGGTGTAGGTGACAACCCGTAAAGGCTGCCGGGCCTTTCTCTGTTCCTCGCTGTCACCTCGTTCTTTCTCTGATAGATGTGTAGATGCGGCAATGCAGAAGTAACGAACGAGAAGGAAATGGTGTGCGGAAAGAAAGAAGTTGTCATCTGTGCCGCCCTTCACACACTTCGCCGAGGAAGCAAGCTTGTGAAGAAAAGGACAAGGGTTCTTGTTGTGTGCGTGATCCGACGTAGTTCTGCTCCGTAGTAACGACGAAGTGGGTGTGATTTGTGTTGTTGTTGTTGCTGAGGCGCGATTGACGTGTGAGTAGACGACAACCACGTGCGACCGTTGCTCAACCTGTAGTGGATGTATATACCTGAACCCACCTTTCTCGCCTTCTTTTCCATCGCCATCTATATATATATATTTTTCTTTTACTCCCTCAACGTTGTCGCGCAACGTCCATAAATCGCGCATGGCACTGTTACCACTGTTCTTCCCTCACTGCGCTCAACACAATCTGCCTTGTCGTCGGAAGACGGTAATCGAAATCATTTATACACACATCCAGTAATGCTTTAACAGAGTATCCTTCCCCATTTGATACTTGCTGTCGCTGTGTGGTGACCCAAAATTAACTCAATTTGTACCTTCTCTTCTGCTCCTAGCTACGCCTATACGCACCCATAGAAAGTGTGAAACAACGGCGCACCGTGGCGACGGCTCGTGGACGCGATGGATCACGACTTCTCCAAAACGCAGTACTTTTTGGGCTGCTCCTTCACCCTGGTGTACACAGGACTCGTGGCCGCCGCCTACTTCGACATCTCCACATGCCCGTATGTGTACGACCGCCCTGCGTCGACGGCGCCACTGAAGATGCCCGACGCGGCGCAGACATGCAACGGCGTGGCGAACATCCACCGCTCTCTCCTCGCCTCCCTCACCTCTGCCGGCGGCTTCTCGTGCCACATGGTGGACATCATCGTCTGGGCCTACGTGATTGGCTTAATAGTCTTCATGTCATACAAATACGTCACGTACCGCCTACAGGGCTTCCACTACTTCTTCCTAGACTACTGCTACTTCCACAACGCCGTCCTCCTCTTCTTTCTGCTATGGCGGCTGGTCGATGTGGAGTGGTCGGAGCAGCCGATCGTCTCGTGGGCCTCCTACATGCCATCGTGGGGCTGGTTGAAACGCACAAGTGCAGCAGGCTCCAAGGTGAGCGCGTTCAACTGCACGAATTCATCGGAGGAGCCGCGGTGGCGCCACCCGATTCTCACCGGCACCCCTCTCGGTGGCGACTCCTTTGCCCGACGCATTGTCCCCTCCACCGCCCGCAGCTTTTGTCTCGATGGCGTCTACCTACCCGTGTCTGTCGATGTGCTGACCTGCGGTTACGTCGTCGCCCACCTTACCGAAGCAGAAGTGCTCTCGTCCTTTGTCCTCTTCTTCACGCTGCTCGCCGGCTCCTGCGGGCCAATCTTAGGCGCCATCGTCATGTGGAAGAACGCGCTGCTCTTTCACTCATTTGACCGCATGTCCTCCTGCTACCTGCACCTGGCCCCCGGCATCGTGCAGGGCTTGCTGCTGCACCGTTTCTTCATCTCTGCGCGTCGCGAGATGGAGAGCGTCGACGCCGAGCAGCTTTACGCGCAGATCACCAAGCTTGCCAGCCAGATGCAGATTCCTGTCGAAAATCTGCTCCCGAGCGTGCAGGCGATTGTGCTCAACCAAACGGAGACGGTGGTGAACGCAGCAAAAGCGGCGAGCTCGTCTCGTCGCGGACCAGCGCGGCTCCTGTCCTCCCTCCTCTCCTCTCTTTCACTGAAGCAGCAGCAACAGCACTTCTCGCGCTACGCGGCAGCCCACCGGCTGGAAGCGCTGTGCGGCTACGGCACCCTCTGCTACGACCTCCGTCGTGCTGTCACTTTCGGGAGTCTACTGCGCCTGCACCTCTTCATGTTTTGCATCTGGCAGCTCTTCTACCACGTGTTTAACGAGTGGCGGCGCCACGCGCGTGAGAAGCCGTGGAAGAAGCGCATCGCACAGCTGGAGAAGGAAAAGGCGGAGTTCATGCAGCTGACTGGCGCGACAGAAAACGAGGTGGAGCTGCTGCGGCCCAGCATGGTCACGAGCGAGGGCGCCGGTGGAAACCCAGCGGAGCGCATGACCTCGTACACGTGGATGATGGCGAACCCACCGGGCGGTTACAACGGTGTTCTCGCGCGCGTTGTGATGCTCTTTGGCAAGGGTCGTCTGCCGACCACGATAATGTTTCAGGTTACCCAGTGGCTTCTACACATGGTTTTCTTCACCTGCAGCTACCCCGTCATCTACATCTGCTTCCACCACTCCCTTAGCGCCTGGCCGTTGCTGGTCTGGGTGCTGACGTTTGCGTGTGTCTGCGTGTACAACGCTGCTTGCGTCAACAGGAAGTGGATAATGAAGCTCCAGCAAATGGCCTCGAAAGGAATGGAAGCGGAGCGGCAGGACCAGCTGACCAAGTCCATGGCGGCAGCGGCAGCGGCGAAGAAAGCCCAGTAGCGCTTCGAGGAAAAGTTAGTGGCCTTCCGCTCTCTTCGGCTGGGCTGGGTTCCTCATGTGTGACCAGCTCGCCGTCCACTGCTCTTTTTTTTTCCACTTTCAATTAGCGTTGCTTTGTGGGCTTTCCTTCCCTCTTCCGGCGTCACGGCACCATTTGTCGGTGATTTCCAGTCACTCTTCTCCCGCTCCTGCTTTCTAAACGGGAACCAAATTGTTTTTATATACACTTTCCTCTTTGGCCCTCTTTCACGTCTGTTTGTGTTTCTCCTTCCTGTGTGGTTGCAGCTGACGAACGTGACGCGCGTACACGGGGCGGGTGTGGTGCGCAATCATCATGACCACGTTCGCCTTGTCATGCTCTCCACATCTTCTTGCGCGTAACCAAAAGCAGAAAAAAAAAGGAAGACGAAAATGCCTTGGGGGAAAGGAGCAGCAATGGTGCTGTTGTAGAGAGAGAACGAGTTAAATTTATTGTGGCCACGTGCGTGCAGGAAGCGTGTGGTTGCACCACTGCACTCTTCACCTCATATGTCGCAACGTCAACGGGGCTGTTCCGGTAAGGAATTCAAGGTGATAATTTTTCAATAAGGGAGCAAGCGGTGTTCAAACGCTTCTTATCCGTGTTTCACCTCGTTTTATCTGATTTCTTTCTACTTCTCGCGCACGCACATCGTGACGGGTTTACTCGAATGCTCCCCTGAAAAAAAAAGTATTACCCACAACGGTCATTTTTTTTTCCCTCCTTCCTGGTCGCGTTGATAATGAAGCGCAGTTACCGCGACAACAAGCCACGCTTCCACAAGCACAGGCAAGGCAAGATGCTGTTGCCACACAACCAGCTCTCCGGCTTGTTCTTCACGGTGAACCCGCGCCAGGAATCCCGAGCGCAGCGGGAGGCGCAGCTGTACCTGTCCTCCCTCACACCCGACCTGGAGGCAGCGCAGGAGGCGTTCACGTGCAGCACCGACGGTCAAATCGCCGCCAAATGTGGTGACAGCGCTCCTTTCAGCAGCAGTGGGGAAGACGCGGTGGTGGAGGCGCCGTCGGCCTCGCTGTCGAGTCTGTTGGCCGCGGAACTGGCGGCGTGCAGTACACAGGATCAGCGCGGCAACCGCTACAACTCCGCCAAGCGCCCACGTACTGAGAGCGACGCGGTCGGTAGCAACCGAGGCGACGCGGACGCACACGCGGACGACGACGACGACGAGAGCGGCAACCCGTCCGCTCACAAACAACGCCAAGCACCGCAGCGGCGCAGTGAGTGGTTCGCGCCTCTCGAGACCGGCTGCAAAGGCTATCTCTTTCTCAATGTGCCCATCGTCAACGCCAAGGTCACGTGTCCAACGTGTCACGCGGGGACGAACGCGTCGGCGCTGGAAGGTGATGAAAACGGTGGTGTGCCTTCGTCGGAGAATGAAGTCGCCGGTGGCGCGCCATCAGCAACGGCGGGCAACGGTGGCTGCAAAGACAGTGGCGCCATGGCGCCGCACACCATCGTGGTAAACCCGCTCGTCTCGCGCATTACGGAGCGCATTTTCGAGGACCTCGCCGCGAATCCGCGGCCGATCTTCCGCAACTGTTTTCGCCTCATGCCGGCTGAGCTGACCTGCTGCCCGACGCCGCCGGAGATGCAGACGGCGCTGCGTAAGCTCCTGGATCTGCACTTTTCACCAGCGACGGCGTCGCAGCCGGTCGTGTCCGCCGAGGACGCGGTGGACTTCCACCAGCCTATTCCGCTGCCGGCCTGGGGAGCTGAACAACCGCGCCGCTCGATGCACACCATTGCACTGCAGTTCACGGTCAAGAACAACACCAACGTGGAGCAGAAAAAGGCGTCGCTTGTGTCAGAGCTGGCCGCCGCCATCCCCGCCAACCGCTTCATTGTTGTCGCACACCCGTCGTCCAAAACGAAGTGTGTTGTCGAAGCGACGGTGTGCATCTTCGTGGCGCACGCAACGTGCGTGATGGGACTGCAGCGCCGCGTGACGGAGCGCCGCGGCTTCAACCTGCACGCCGTCGGCGAAGAGGCGTTCGTGCTATCCAACGCCGTCCGAGGGTCGCGCAAGGAGGAGGAGCAGTAGCGAAGCCTGCGAAGCAGGACCCCAGCGATAACTAATGGCGTGCGTAAGCGTAGTCCTTGCTCTTTCTTAAACACAATTTCGTAAACGCCGACGTTGCGTTCGGCAGAAGCACCGCAAGCGCGGGGTTCAAAACCAGCCGCCCGGGCCCCGTTTCTCGCCCCGAATGCTGCTGCGCGTGGTGGCGCTGTCGCCGCCGTGCTCTCCCGCCACCCTGCCCCCCCCCCCCCCCCCGCGGCCTCCTTCGCCCCCACCAGCCCCCCTCCTCCCCCGGGAGAGCCACGCTCCCCCTCGGCCGCCAGCGGGGGCCGTGGGGGGCGGCGCCGCCCTGCCCCCGCGCGCAAAACAAAAAAAAAGAAGAGGAAGCCGCCCACGCAACACAGCGAAAGGGAAACAAAGCACTGCATTTGCAACCAAAAGAAAACCCTTGCAACGCCAATAGCGGTTCCCAGCATCATGCCCAAATGCATTTGCGAGACACCACTTCCCACCTTAACTCGCACCCCCAACCCCCTGTCTTCTCTACGCGTTTCTTGGAAACACTACCGAAATTACATACATTGTCATCGTTACTTCACAATACCGCAAGTTATCGTTGTTCTCCCCCCGACTTCCGCAATGAACTCGTTTGCTGAAATTGAGCGCGATGTTTTCCATTCCGTCGCAAACCTTCGGACAAGTGTCAACATTGTCGGAACTGCAGACGATCTCGACATTGACATACTCGCTAAATTGACTGAAGATCTATGTTTGACCGAACCGGTCAGTGTTTCCATTCTGATCGACGAGAGCGGGTCACATTTTTACAACTCTACCAGTCCGATCGGGGCTCACATTATATCGCTAGCACTAAATCTCGCCAGTGACTCTGTTATGAATGACAAAATTATTGATTATCAATGTCGGTCACTCGTGTCTTTTCCAGAGAGACTAGCAAACGAATTTGCCGACAGCAAAAGAAGTGTGTACGTGTTTAATTCACAGCTCTATTGGGAACGCCTCTGCGACACAATTCTATTATTCTATTTTACCAAACCGCAGCACTCACAACTATGTACCGGATCGTTAGTTTCACCTTGTCGCGTATGCCGCGTTTTGGATACAATTGTTACTTTGCTGCTACGTCGCGGAAACCTGAATACTGTAATGCAGCGTATTTTTCTGCTACCGAACGATTTGTTTCAAAGCGCACATTTTAGTGAACAATTTCCACTATTTATCGGTGCTGTCTTCGAAGCCTCGAAATTGCAACGCTTTTCCCTCAAACTACAAAAGGAAAATTGTGTATCGCAGTTGTGGCATCAATTTAACTTGCAGCTGTTCTTTTTTGCGGAAAAGCGCCCAGAGCTTAAAACTGAACTTGTCAACGCTGTCGGTAAAATAATAAATAATTTTGCCACTGAAACATCAAGTTTCATGGCGCGCGCTTTATTCGAGTCGATTTTTGTCAACAGCTATTTTTTTTTGAATTCGTCACGCACTACGATACGCACCATTTTTAAAGATTTACTCGGTGTCGTCGCAGGAAACGACAATTCGAAAGAGGCTTTAACATCGCATGAGCAGACGTGCTTTACTGCTTTGTTTAATTTGTGGGACAATAAGGAGTTTGTCACGTCAGGCAACTTGAGTGACAACCTAAATTTACTTCACCCAGTCATGTATGCGCTTTTGTACTTAAAGGAAAAGTATCCAGAGCACGACTGTTTTCCGCCAAAATACGTTGGTGCCCTCTTAAATGGCGTCTCGATTCGACTCAGTAGCACGCGTGGAACGGAATTGAGGACATGTGCAATGACAGCGGCAGCGGCGTTTGCGACACTTTTTGTAAGCAACCCTGATGGTGCAACCCCTCTCACGCAAGACGCAGAGTTTTCACGTGCACTAGAAAACTGGATGAGAACCGAGCCAAGCGCAGACAATTCGGTCTTTTGCTCTCAAAACACGCAACAGGCATCAAAAGCGAAGCCTGAAAGAAATGCGGCTTTTGCGCGGCGCGGCGTGGCATTAAATGATGTTTACCCATTGGATCCAGACGAAAAATACACCTTTTTCGTTACGCCAGAGCAGCGCAATCGCAACGACGTCGTGAAAAAGGTACAGCAAGGAATTGCGCTGCAAGCATCCCCACATGCCTTTTCACCCTCTGCACTCCCAGCCTTCGGACAACAGAAGTTCGCGAAAGATGATCTAGGGGATCACGTTTCGATTTTGAGGAGCGTTCGTGAATGCTACAACGCTCTAATAGGCATAGGACGTGGCCCCAACGCGCAGCTGCATGAAGTGCAAGAGGCAACTGAGAGTGGATTGCGAGGCTTATCGAGTGCATTTGCGAAATTGCGAAATCAGATGGGTTCCGATCTGTTCAAGTCAGTGAGTAGAGAAATAGGTCCGCTTATTCCTGTGCTTCTGCCAGCTTTAATATCGCTAGATATTCACGCGCCAGAAGAAGAGAAGCAATTTTTGCAACAGTTGCGATACGAAACGCTGGTGAACCTCATTGTGTTGAATGCTCCCCAGAGCCTAAATCAAGTCAGCGGAATGCTATATCGAAGCAATTATGGTGTTTATCAGCGAAATGAGCTTATTAAAGCAATCGGTGAGGCAGCGTTGCTCCTTTCGAGAGTCCAAATTGACGGAGAAACATCGCAATCGCGGAGTGGCAGAATAAAAGAAAATGGAGGTGAAGAGAAAAAGAGAATATATCCTCCAATTCCCACGCACCACTTGTCAGGAGAGCAAAAGGCTGCAATCGTCGTCACGGAAGGACAGCAGACACGGCGCTGGGGCAACGCAAACACTGAGCGCAGCCAACGCCAAGCACCTCTGAAGCACTATAACAATTTGCTTGGCGAAGTCGCCTCGGCGTTTGTTGCCGCATTTTTGTACAAGCTTGATGCGGACCACTTTGCCTTCTTTCAAGAAAGCGATCCCTACACGCCGTGTGCTATACTAGACTCCCTCACAATGATTTTCCAAGGCATTACTAATGTCCGCCACATCGCACCCGATCTTTGCGAAAAACACTTTGACTTCTTTTTTGCCGTTGGCACGAAACATCCTAACTTAACGGTAAAAAAGGCAGCATGGACATCGATTGTTGAAATGATGCGGACCTGGTGCGGCGTAGGTCCTCTGTGGATTCGCCAAAAAGATGGCCAGCGAGTTTTAAATCGTGATGCAGGACTCCACCACTCGCTTATGTTCACTAAAAACTGGATTGATGCACTCGATCTGCTGCAGCACACGTGCGAAAAAATGCTCCAAAGCAACGACAGTTGCAGTCTCACCGCTTCAATTGCTGTATCGTCTTTACGTGATCTCGTTTACGATCGCGATGATTTTCAGACCATGCTGTCACGTAGCGAAGAAATATCGCTGGGCGAATAAGTTGTTATGGCGATTGTATTTTCAGTCTCTGCATTAAAATGGTTGCTTTTGTGTGTATTGGTTATTATTATTATTATTATTATTATTATTATTATTATTATTTGGTTAACTTGCTTTTTGCTATTATTGCATATTCAAAACACAATCAAAGTGTTTAAAAGATTATATATATATATTTTTTTTGTTACTATCACGATAGTGGAATAGTAATTAAAGAGGAAAGAAGAAAGAAAACAGACATTTATTTAGGTAGTTGTCAATTCTTTTTTATTAATAAATGATAATAGCTATTTTGTTCTCAACAGTCTGCTATTTGAATATTAGAATGAAAACTTGTTAATATATTTATTGACTACGGCGTGCTTCCGGCAAACAAAAATCTTTTTCCTATACTACTATCTATTGCGTTTGTGATGGTTTTTGTTTTTGTTCGTTTTCGTCTTCCTTTAACAATGAAAAAAAAAAAAACATTTACGCTCCATGCTTCAGTTAAGATTCGCATATATTTTTTCTCAATACAACTGACAGTGCACCGTGCCTTTTCTCAATAAACAAAGTGGTTTCTTCATTATTGTCAGTATCACTAACAGTCGTTTATCAATATTTACTATGAGGAGAATTGGTTATTCAATTCGAGTTCCAGCGCCGGAAGTTCTGACGGTCGCGAGGCGTCACGCACGTCGCCGCCAGCTCCAGCAAGAAGCGAATGATCAACGCAACCTTGCTGTTGGCCCTTCATCAAACTGGAAGGATTTGGAAGCAGAGGATACAACACCCAACGTATCGAGCCTGAGAAGCGAAGGCATGATGGCTGCGCCAGCGACCACCTCGCTAGATAAAATACGCTCCCAACTGGCGAAAATGCGAACCGAGAACACGAAAAAGGTGACGGAAGAAAAAGCAGCTCTCGAGAAACAGCGATGGTTAGAATCTCGAGTAAACAAGCAGGAACAGGAAACGATGCTTGCCGGAGAAAAGCTGACTACGACGACAAAATCAAGAAACGATATCTTGACAGCTCTTATTCAGCAGGAATACGCACGTACCAACAAGCCAAACGATGTTTTCAAAAATGGAAAGGAGGTACTGGATGGTGTGGCACAACGTTCTTTTCTGTTGCAGCAGAAACGGTTTCAAGATACAGACGAAGTACTGCGGAAATCCGGGAAGGGTGAAGACACCCGACGCTTTGTCCAACTTGCATTTGCGCCTTCTTCGGAGCAAACGGCACAGTTGGTGAACCTCTTGCAGCGCATGAGCGCCCAATGGTCTTCGGAAAAAGACCAGCTGTCCAGCTCGTCAGATTACGCTGCAGACACGAGGGACACAGACACGCTGGAGAGAGTGGCATGGATGCAGGTGCTTGAGCAACTTTCGGACGAGGAAGTACGGTTACTGTGGGAAGCAAACGTCTTGGACGTCGAAACTCTAGCGTCTCTCTTTTCAGAACAGTCAGAGAAGGAAAGACGGCCGGAAAATGACGTTAGTGAAGACGTCGCGGAGGACTCTACGAGTTTCACTCCGTCAAATTCTCTGCTCGTTGAGAAAATTGACTACGTCCAACGACTGCAGTACTTACAGGAACTGACCAAGTTCATTTGTGAAACGGAGATCGGTAAAGTTCCTTCAATTGACTTGGCACCTATCTTAGTGAAAGTGCAGCGGCGACAGTTTGTCGACATCACCGAGGACGAGCTGCGCAAGCTGGAACAAAACGAAGAAAGTGCATCCATGCGGCTTTCTGCTTCCATGGATAAGCCTCAGGCATCACCACCGGATGCTTCCGTGCAGCATCCTACCCTGCCAACCAAAGCATCCATCCAAATTGAAGTACCAGCCTCTACTCTTGACCGTGCGCTCACGCCTTCCAACGCCTTCCTCAGCGCCGTGGCGGAGAAAGATGCGGCTTTGAAGAAGTCACTGGAAGGCATGGAACGTATCAAACGTGAAGCGCTGCTCGATCCAGAGTTCCAAGAGGCAGTGCGTTTCGCTCACGCTGTCGAAGAGGCCTCTGTTGCTCCACACCTTCACGGACTGGCAACACGTTCTGACAGTTTGGCGCAAACAGACGAGAAAGACGCCAAAGACGACAAATCAGCGTTTCGCAACGATGCGCGACAGGTTATGACGAAGCGCGAGCGTCGCGCTGCGCGCAATCGTCAACTTCGCGGTCCGATGACGCGGTCACCGTACTCTGCCGAAGTGGTGCCGTACTTCTACAATGACATGCGCAGCATTGTTCCACCTCGCGGCGCCTTCAATTTACCTGCCCCGACACCAACGAAGGCAGAGCGCGCTGAACTTCGCGGGCGTCGTCGCCGAGCACGCCAGCGCTTTCGCTTCCGCAAATAACCCTCTTTTAGTCCTGTTTACGTGTGCAAGCGGTTCAGCGGGTGTTTGCAGTGAAGGCGGATGGCATAAACGTGGTGAACTAGCACCACCTTATCAACAAGCTGTTTCACAGATTTATTAGCTGACGACGATGAAGCGTCGTCCTTATGTATATCAACAATAACAATAACAACAACAAAAAAGTGAGCAAGAACGGTTGCGTTTACTAGTCTTGTTTCGCTTGAGAGATCTACCAGCGATGGGTCATTGTCTCATTTTCAAAGCATGAGCTGTTCCAGTTGCATGGTTTCATCTTCACAACGAATACTAGATTTTTTCGTGACGCCTCTAACTCCTCCTATTTCCTCTCTCTTTCTGCGTTGCGCTGCTCGTAAACTCGGCCAAACGACTGTGGTTAAGATTTGTGGTTCGCTTGATTTTAAAGAGAGGGGTTGCTGGGAAGGCTGATTTCGGCTGTAATGCATCAGGTCTGTGTTGAATTAGACCACATGGTTGGAAATGTTTACTAGTCGCAAAAGAGTTGCTGCTAAGCCGCAGGACGGCGACGGCTATGATGATGAGCAGCACCTTGTTGCAGCCGTCTCTGAATTCAAGAAGGTGGAGTCTTCCACGCAGACAATGGTCGACCAGCTGTACCAGCGTCTCGCCTCTCCGTTTCAGATTACGACGAAACCGTGTGAGGCAAGCAGGGCAGCCGTTCTGCAGTGCTACCAACAGCTGCATGGTGGTGCCGCGGTAGGCGGCAGCGGCGACGCCTCACCGTCTTCCTCCTCTTCTGCTAATGTGAGTGAAGGCGTACTCAGCAACAACGCATCTGCCACCGCCGGCGGTGATGCGTGGTTGTTCATCCCGTATCAGCAGTGCTATGAAGCTGCCATGGCATACAACCGATGTGTGGAAAAGGACACATTGTCGAGCCACCTTGTCCTCGTCGGCGCATTTGAGCAACGCGGCGCGGAGCAGCAGACGGTTCACAAGGCTGTCATGGAAGCACAACGGAGCCAGCAACAAAACATAAAGCAGGATACAAGGTAAGGGTACGTGTTTTGCGGGAAAACGTTCGCACTTTTTAGTGCTGCTGCACAACTGCAATATTCTCTGTCAAATAATCCCTCTTGTCGCTTTCACAAATATCTTGCAAATTGTTGTTTGCTTAGTGCCCCGAAAAAGAAAAGATGAAAAGTGAAAAGCGATCAGGAATAGTCACAGGGCGCCTGACGAGCTCTGGCATGTGATTCGCTTGACTCCAATATTCACACTCCCCTTTTCTGTTGTTGTTGTTGTTGTTGTTGTTCTATTGTGGGCTGAACGACGTCTCTTTCTGTCGCGTTTCTTAGCTGACTTGTAGATGTACCATCCTTGACAGTACCTCCCAGTTTTCATCACATCACACACTAGTGAATGCGCCTTTACTTCCTCAACTCGCAACAAAAACGGTAGAATCAATAGCACCGAGTAAGGCAACATGACCTAAAAAAAACGTGAACAATCAGAATGGTGACGGTAGGTTCAGTGTTTATTTCCAAAGCTGCGAGTAAGTAAAACTGCGCTGTGCGTGAAGTATTGATGGGAGTGTTTCCCTTCCCCCCGCTCTCTCTTGCGGAGAGGTGTGAACGTGATGCGAAACAAACAGTTGGGCCTTAGCGCAGCGCTGGCGCCTTACCGGCTTTACGCATTCCGTTGTGGTGTACGTTTGCAGCAAAGATGCGTGTGTGTTGTAACTCTTCTTTTTTCTTCTGCCTTTGTACAACGTTTTGTTTCTCTCTGTCTTGTCTTTCCCCACCCCCACACAACATGTTTTCTCCCTTATTGAAAGCAACCTTGACACCACGGCTTGCGTAGAGGGGGTTGGGTCATGGTGAACGAGAGCTTACCTCGTCACTTGTTAGCCATTTTGCAGCAGCTATCCTTTACTCTTCTTCTGGAAAGTATTTAAAAGCCAACTCGAATCTATCAACTTCTCTTTGGTACGTTGCGTCTCTCGGAAATAAAAATATAAAAAAGGAAATTTCGGATAACTCGTCTTTCCCTTAATTAAGGCTTTGCCTTTCTCCCTCTCTTGTTTCCTGCTCGCGTATCTATCTTCAACTGACTGTTATTGGAGACGCTATTACGCTGTACGAATTAGTACGACATTATTTGTGTGTGCGCGTGTGAAAAGGACAGCATCCTTCTGCTCTTGCGTTTCTGAGAGCACAACGCCTTCTTCCCCCTCCAGAGAGTTCAAACAAACAAAAGAAAAAAATGCCGCCGAAGAACAACAAAAAGAAGGACACGAAGCGCAAGGAGCTGTCGGAGGAGGACATGCTGCGCCTCGGCATGACGCCGGAAGATATCAAGCGCATCATGGAGGAGCGCAACAAGTCTAGCGAGGACAAACAAGCAGAGCAGGCCCAGAAAGAAGCCACCCGCCGCGACGCCGAAATCCGTCAGCGCCACCAGCGCGAGTTCCAGAGGCAGATGGAGGAGCTGACCAACTATGAGGCCGCCGCCCGTGCGATTATCCGCTACGACGAGGACCAAGAGTGGACACAGATGGAGTCCACCGCGCTCACGCCGGAGAAGCAGAAGATTCTGCGTCAGGTGGCCATTGCCGAGGACAGACGAAGGGTCGAGGAGGCGAAGCGTCGTCAGGCCGAGGAACTCGCCGCCTACCAGGCGAAGCTGCAGTGTATGACTGAGGAGGAGCGCGCCGCCTTCTTGAAGGAGGAAACGGAGAAGGAGCGGCTCCGCGCCGAAGACTTTGCTGCAGCGGAGGAGAAGCGACTCGCCCGTGAGCGTCGTCGCGAGGCACGCCAGCAGGCCCGCAAGGAGCGCATGCTGAACAACCAAAACGCAGACGATCTCATCTCCAGCGACGATGACGAAGTAGGTGGTGCGAAGGAAGTGAAGAAGAAAGGCAAAGAGGCCGCCATTGATGAGCTGGAGTTTGACCTGCACGAGAAGTACTTATAACAGAGTGTGGTCGCAAGGCCAAACAACACGAAGCAAAGTCTCACGTGCGTGCTGCTGTTGGTTTGTGGCTCCGTTTATTGGTTTTTGAGTCCGGTAAGCGTGCGTTGCTCCAACGAAAAAAAGAAAGGTGCGTACTCACCTTTGCGGTTCCCGTGTTCATAACAAATTAAGAAAAGCGTACGAAGCAGAGATACCTTTGTCGAAGCCGAAGCGTGTCTGTTTTGGTTTTCTTTACAGCACGAAAAATTAAAGCAAATGCTGCATTTTTAAAAGGGGTGGGTTGTGGCTTCTCCACTTGGCTATGCTTTTCTTATAGCTTGGGAGTATTTCGACAGTCACAAGCCATTAGCCAGCGTCATGCCTACTAATATAGAAACTTTTTTTTGTCGAAAGCAGGAAAGCTCCACGTCACGCTCGTTTCCATGATTCAGCCATCCCAACGCAACAGACTACCGGAAAATAACTCTCTTTTTCTCTCTCCTCTACTTCTTTTTTTTGAAAAGAAAAGCACTTCAAAAACGTATATATCAAACTCTCTTCACCTTTCTTTCTTTTTGCCCCTCTAGACACGCCTTTGAACTCCATTCTGAGTGATAAAGTGTGTGAGGAAGCTCTCCCCTTGAGCGTTCACGTCTGCTTTACCTATTTGTTGCTGATGCCAAAGTTACAAGCGGCAACACTGTGACATTCGATTTTCTCAAAATATAATAGTAGTGGTATTCTGCTTTGTGAAGTTGGTGGTGCTGTTGCGCTGAGTTTTGTTTTTCTTGTTTTTCCCTCCCCCTTTTTTTTTGCGGAACGAAGACGCAATTTGCAAGCGCCATGGGAATTGGTTTCTGAGCTCAACGCCATTTCTCTTTTTTCCATACACAACCTTTTCCTTTGCTTATTTCAGTGAGGAGTCCTTTTCGCATCAGTGAATTCATTTTCTTTTATATGTATGACGCAGCACAACGGACGTAATCGACGTCCCCGTACGCCACGACGACGTACCCATCGCGACCACAGCAACCGCACAAGCTCATCTACTTCCATCCGAGGTGCTGGAAGCTCCCGCAGGCAGTCCGCACCATTACGTGAGAAACTGCGTGACATCAAACGGCACAAGGAGAGAAAGTCTGCAGCCGCTTCTGCAGCTGCAGGCGGCGACAGCCCTCCTCATGGGAAGCCTCCATCCCCCCATGGGGAAGCCCCTCTTTCTATCAACAACAGCAATATCAGTAGCCATGACGCGCCCGCCGCGTTGTGCCCTTCGAGTGGTGCTGCCGCGGCGCTCCCACTAGTTGCCGAAGAAGCGGAGACACCAGATGGGATGCGACGGCCGCCTTCGTGGCGGCCATCAACAAAAACAAAGACGGCGACTTGGGAGCATCACCATACGTCTGTACAAGCTTCAAGCACACGTGTTCCGCACTCCTTTGCTCCGCCGCCACGCCGCAAGCATCGCCGTGCAGCACCGCGAGCATCTTCCTCGACGTCATCCTGGACAGGATCCTCTGGCAGCAACATCAGCGGCACAGATGCATCGTTGTCAGCCACCGACGACAGCTGCGTCGACAGCAGAAACAGGTGTAAGCGCTGCTTGGACCATCGTCGACGCAGAAAAGCAAAAGCGCAACGTCTGTCGTCGACGGAGCGCTCGAGTGAAAGTAAGTGCGGCAGCCATGCAGGATTTGCCTCTGCGGTCGCTTCGCAGTCTGCGCACGCGGCCGCGTCGCGGCGGAGTCGCAGCTCTCGCTCGCACCACGCATCATCACGAAGGAACAAGAAGAATCAGCGCTCTGCGACGCGACGAACCCCATCTTTTTCAGCAAACAGTGCGTCAGACAGTGATGACGATACCGGTACCACCGACGTCAGTACCATGACCACTCTATCACAAAACGCGTTTTCTTCCACCTCCTCCTCGAATAGCAATCAAATCAGCGGAAGCGATGAAGATGAAGAAGACAGTAGAGACGGCGATGAGGACGACGTTGAGGAAAAATACATTGGTGGTAGCACCACCACCGCGGATGACTTCCTCTCCTCGTCTCCGTCCGTGGCGTCTGTGTGTGCGCTGACGGACATTCTCCCGCGGGACCTTTACTTGCACGTCTGCAGCTTCCTCAGTGAGGCGGACTGTTGTACTCTTCTGGAAGTGAGTCTGCGCATGCACGCAGCCATCACATGCGCGGACAGCTACGTGTGGCGCCGGCTGTGCATGAACACGTGGAAGTGCAAGCAGGGATTCCAGACCTTTCTTCAGCGTGTCCGCGCGCTGGAAGGGCTGGCGCGCCGCGAGGAGCTGGAAGTGCAGGCGCTGCAGCAGCACATGCTACTCGTACGAGAGCAGGACACCTTTCTCGGTGAGTCGGACGTGTCGGCGACGTGCGATGATGCAACGGTGCTCATACGCCGCCGTCAGCACGAACGGGCGCAGTGGATGGCGGCAGCAGCAGCAGCAACTTCGCTCGGCTCGCCGTCATTCGGCGGTAATAATGCCACTTCCGCGGCGGCAGGCCTCAATCGCGCCCGCCGCAGCACGGCGGTGAGCAGCTCTACCAGCAGCAGTACCAGCAGCGAAACGCTTTCGAACAGCGACGAAGACGACGAAGAAAGGGAGCACCAATGGGATGAAGGGACACCGCGCAGGAGGCGGGGACGCAAGAGTAACCGCCGTCGCACGTCGACGAAAGACACCCACCGGAGCAGCACGGCGGCGGCCACCGCCTCAACGTCGCGGCGCAGCGGCAAGCAGTCGTCCTGTGCGAAGGGAGCGACGAGCTCCGCGTACTCGGGGGTGAATGGAACGACGGAGCGATCACGCACGTCGGCATCCCGGTCGCACTCGGCACCGTCCCAGAGTCACCAGCAACACCGCAGCCTTTCTCTTTCCAAATTCTCTGAAACACCGTCGTCGTCGGTGGCGGCGCACAGCGAGAAACTGTCCCGTACTCCTCCTGACGCAAATCGATCTCGGTCTCTAACTCAACGCGCAGCTCAGGGGGACTCTTGTGCCGTCAGTAATGCTGCTTCTGCGCAATTGCCAGCGGAGAAGCAGCTGCCGCTGCCGGCGAATAGTAGTACTTTTGCAGCGGCAATGCCTGTTCATGAGGAAGCCGATGACGGTCCCGAACCTCCTTTTCCACGTGTGCGCGGCCCATGCCGTATTGTTGGTGAGGAGAAAACGACGGTCGGCCTTCGTAATGAACGTGGCGATGCAACCTTGAATGGGAGCATCACGAGTGACGAACGAGAGGAAGGCAGGGGCAAGGACCGTCGCGTCCGCATCCAACTGCCAGAGGACGCGACGGGCAAAGACATGGCGCCGCCCCGTAACTCACGGTCAGAGCTGCAAGATAACGCAGAACTTGGTTCTCCTGGCAGCGGCCCGTCTACCCCTGCGAGGACCACAAAGCACAGCCGGCAGCGTTACCCCTCTCACACCCACCGGCATCACCTCCACCATCACAGTCATCAAAGTGACACTCCAAAAGGGCAGGGCGGATCGCAGCCGCCGATCAGCCGGCACCGCCGCAGCCACAGTGTCAAGAAACGGAAGCCAGCGAAGCAGCGCCGTCGAAGGCGTGGCCGCAGCTGCCGTCCCCGAGCGACCGGCGGCGGTGGTGGCCGGCACCGCTCACAGCACCACCGCAGCCAAAGCCGACACCACCGTGCCTCGCGTCCGCACCAGCACAACACAAAAGCAACGAGGAGCACGCGGCGAAGACGGCGGCGTCAGCGCAACGCAGCGGCGACAGCAGCAGCGGCAGCGGAAGCAGCAGCGAACAATGACGGTGGTGCGAGGGCCCGCAACGGCACCGGTAACTATTCCTCCTCCTCTCTCAACGTTCGTCTTGGTGCTGCCTCTGGTGGGGCGGCAGTTGGTACGGGCCATGGCGGCACGTACTTCTATCAGACGCCCACCTATGAGGCGATCAAGAACACAACGCCGGTCCTGAGCGTGCAGCACGTGGCACCGGCTCCAGTGCCTTTCCAGCTTGGCGGCAGACTCGCGCCACTTCAGAAGGGCGGTACACCTGCGTCCTCGGCGTCGCCTGTGGTGAGTTCCACCATCCCACGCTACCCGTCAAGGGACATTCACGGAAACACCGGACAAGATGCAAGTACATCTTCTGGTCAGCCTTCGCCGAATCGTAATGCCGGTGACAATGCAGCAGCTTTTAGGATGCTTCCCACGGCTTGCGACAGCACAAGTAATAATGATAGTGGTCGCGGCAACTGTGGCGGCACCGAAAGCGCAGTTGCGGCTGCCCCACCACTCCTGTCACCCTCCACATTGTCGTGGAATGCGGTCCACGGAAGAAATACGACCACGGCGACGGCGGCTCCGCCTCCCTCACTTCCGTCTCCGTCCAGTGCAGCCGCCGGTGGGGGCAACAGCACCCCAGCAACTGCCGTCCCACCCGCAAACCCCGACGAAGGGGACGGGCTCTACTGGTGGCAGCTCACGCCGGAGGCACGGCAGCAGCAGCTGCGGCGCATGCAACAACACGAGCAGCGCCAGCAGCAACAGCACTGCAGCACCGTCACCGCTACCGCCACCGGAGAGCCCTCTCAAGCGGCGCCCGATGGGGAGGAGGTCGCTGACGAGGCCGCCTTGCGCGAATGGGACGCGCTGGAGGCTTCTTTTGGCTGGTCTGCGGGAGCTGGCGGGGCCGAAGATGAAGAAGACACGGAGGACGATGACGACGACGACAGTTCCCAGAGCGACGCGGAGGACGACAGCCAGGGCAGCTCGTCGAATACCCCGAGCGAAGCAAGCGCTATAACGGTAACGGATAGCAGTAGCAATCCCACGGAGGTGTTGGATCTGCGGGCGTGGCACAGCCGTGCTGCTTCGAGTCGTTTGCCCTCGCACCATCGTCGTCGTTCTTTGAACAGTAGCCGCCGAAGAAGTTATGAGAGGCAACGACACAGAAGCCGTGACAACTCTCTCACAGCGTCCTCGGGCGGCACCGGTACCTCTCCGCCATCTTCCGCCACGTCTCAGAGTTCCCGTCTCACCCCGCAGACCAGCGATGTCAGCAACGACGTGGTGTCGGCCAGACACCAAGACGATAGCCGCGCACAGAGTCGCCAAGAGTCAACGAACCATGGAAACATCGATGGTGAGTCAGTAGTGCGGAGCTGCCCTCATCGCAATGGTGTCAAGAGTGGCGGTAGCCATCACCGAGGACGACCAGCATCGCTGTCGTCGTTCTCACGCCTGTCTATGCAGGCAGGTCATCAGCTTTCCAAGACACTGGCAAAGCGCTACGAGGGCATCGAGGAGGCGATGATCATCACCCGCTCCAAGAGCGTTCTCATTCACACGCTGGAGTGTCAGACCTACGCACATTTGCCGCGACTGCTGGCTGCTGCAGCGGCGCAACGGCAGCGGCGAGTGACGTTGGCGGCTCGCGTGGCGGTCACCGCTGACGCAGCATCCTCAGGCGTTGACGAAGGCAGCACCCGCGTCTCTGGTGCCTCAGCAAGGCCGGTACTGCTTCTCGGAAGCGAGCGATCTCCGGTCCCCTCTCCCCCTGCCGCAGCCGCGACCAAGTCTACGCTGCCCTCGTCGCTCAGCAACTCTTACACGACCAATGCTGGGGTAGCCTTTGCCGTTCCCGCCTCCCCGCTGCACCAGCTGGCGCGCATCTCCAGCGCCACCGCACTGGCGGATGGTGTGGTGCTGCACAGCCAAAACAGTCCGTACCCAACCTTCACGGTTCAGCCGACGTTGGTATCGGGTGGTTTCGTGTCGGCGTCGCACGACGGGCAGCAGCAGCAGCAGCAGGCCCAACACTTCTCTGTGAGTGGCGGTGACCCTTCTGTTTCCCATCCGCAGCTGGTGATCAACGCGGTCAGTGCTGACGATCGCAGTTTACCACGTCTGAGCACGGGCGAGCACGGCAGCAGCGCCCACGAAAACGACGACGAGTTGGATGAGGAGGAGGAGCCGCTCGCCCCCGTATCGTGGAAGTTTGCGTACTTTATGTCGCGCCGCGAAGCTCGTCGAGCCACCATCACTTTGCAGGATCTGCTAGAAGGGATGTGGTTGGTGTGCTTCCGCAGCACGGGACGCACCCATCCTATACGCTTTACGCGTAGAATGCAAGTGGTCGTGTACCCACCGCTGAAAACGGCCGAGGAAGAGGCGGAAGAAGAGGTAGAAGGAGGTGAAGGAGGTGGCGCCGCTGCTGCCACTGCAGCGACAACAACAGCTACGGTCGCCGCCGTGTCAGCCATCCACCAGTCGCGGCTATCACTCGCCGTGGCCCGCGCCGTACCGTTTGAGCCCAACGGACGTACTGGTGCTCTGCCGTCGACGGCCACCGCCCCGCCACTGCCGTTTCACGTCCTGCAGGGTGGAGCGCAGCTAGTGGTGCATCAGTTCCCACCCATGAAGGTGCAGCGACGTAGCACCTTCGCGGTACCAGGCGGGCCCATCAGCACCGCAGCAACATACACGACGACATCGACGACAACGACAACGAACGCCAGTGCAGCTGCAACGGATGGCACGTCAGCGCAACGCGCGGCGGCCGCTGAAGCGGAGCGACGCTTCTTGGCAGAGCCGCAGGCCTCACTGCGTCGCCTGCGGCTGCGCATGCTGACGATGGATGACGAGGACGAGAACGACGGCTCAGCCGCGCCAGGCACAGCACAGGTAGACGGAGAAGCGGACTCTGCGAAGCGCAGTTCTGTTGATGACAACGAGAATTTCCGTGCGTGGCGCGACACACACGACGCGGCTGATGTAACGCAAGCAAGCGTGCGACGCTTCATCGCGCAGCAGCTCGGGTTCGCAGGGGCGTACGTGGTCGATGTGCTGGGTCCTTCCAGCGAGAGAGGTACCGCCGCTGTCTACGGCGTTGGAAAGGGCCCTCACTCAGGAGGGCTGGAAGCCGGCAACAGTTTCTCTCCTGAAAGAAAGGACGCAACGTTGCGTAAAAACTGGAAAGGCCGAAAGCGACACCTTTTTATTGGTCCGCCCACGCTGAAGGAGTTTGAAGCGCAGCAGCGACAAGAGGCGTGTTTTACGCCGGGTGGGGTTGCCGACGTACTCGACGACTGGGGCTGGACCATCACAGGCCATCATGTGAAGATCTTCTCCCTGGACGTCACTGCGCCACTGTACGTGGAGCGGCTCCAGAGAGTTGTCGATGTGGAAGTGATGGGGCGGAGCCACTGTGAATCGCGTGCTGCGAGACGCGTTTAATCAAAGAGAAGCAACGTTCGCTTTTTTTTGTCTGTTTGTTTGCTTTGTTCTATGAAGTTCCTTTGTGTGTGTTTTTGTCTGATTTTTATTTTTTGCTATTTCCTTCGCGGCAGCTGTCTCAGCTGTATATTTTTCCTTTTTCTTCTTGTCGCCCAGCATTGCTGATTTGTCACGGAGGCAACACCGAGGTTGTTGTTATTGGCTACCGTAGTTTGTCTTCTGTTTCTCTGCGTTGTATGTTGTACAACAGAGATGGTCTCCGCTTGTCTTGCGCTGCTGCTATGATGCTGCGTTCAACACGAACGAATGAACCCCAAACGAAACACATTCAGACACACACACGCAAAAAAAAAAGAAGACGTATTACATTTGACTAATAGCGTGTGCGAAACAAACAATGCTCTTGTTGTGCTTCATGTCAAGTCTTTGTCTTCGAAAAGGTTCCTTAGTATAAGGTCATCCACGTCACACCCGTTTTTTTTGGTGGGGGGGGGGGTTCGGCATCTATTTTCTTATTCCATTTTTGTTTTCTCTTCTCATCTCTCGTTCTTGTCAATCTTCGTAGGTTCGGGTACTGCGTCCACACACTGCTACCACGTTCCTTTTCCTAGCCAGCTGATCGCTTCCTTTTGAATTCACTGTCGTTGTTTTTGTAGATTCCATTCACCTCAGTGTTATTACCAGCGCATTAGCACCAGCGTTTGCACGCCACCACTATTCATATTTTCCCCTATTTTTCGCGCTTCTGTTCCACTACTGCTATTACTGGTGCAGGCATTGTCTTGTTTTTTTTTCCTTTATGCGGACGGGGCACTCATCTCTCTCACTCAAATAGCGCTAAAACTGTCTAGCGATCAGAACTGTATGTCACTGTTTTTGTTGTTTTTTTATTTCCTCTGCTGATACCTCTTCTTCACACTTTTTCTTCTTGTCGTTATCAACTGAGAACCTCGTGCTCACACTTCTGGCATCATCTTCTTTTTTCGCTTCGCTGAGAGAACTTTTTTGACCCTGTGCGTCACGCCATGCCATCAACGCCCGCCGCTTCCGACGAGATTGAATGCTTTTCCCTGTACCTGTAGGTCAGCAGGTCCCGATTTACCAAGCAGATGCCCTCTTCTCAAGCACTAAGCAACCTTTCCGCCCCAACTCAAAAGGTTATTGCAAGCACAGCAAACTCGTCCGGTCAGCGAAGCCTACCTGTTGACGTGTCCATCGCGTTTCACCGTTTTCATCGATGGTTGGCGCAGCTGCAGAAGAGCGTGGACGCCGTGTGCGATGACGCCTACGTGCTGGACCGCCTCATCCTACAAGGTGTTCTCCCTCTCCGTCAGCACAGTGGTGCGTCACCGACAGCTGCGCAGAATGGCCTGAAAGCTGCCGTTTACGAGCTCCTCGTTGGTGCCGCCGAGCGCGAACGGGTGGAAGTGCAGAAGGCTCGCCAACACCACCGCGCGTGGAAGCTCACGGGGACAGCGCAGGGACGTCCGGGCGATAAGAAAGCGGCCACGTATTCTCATTTCCGATGTTCTTCGTCGTCTGCAGCGGCGAACTCTGATGTCACTGATGCTGCTATCATCGCACACAACAGCACTCCACCGTGCCCCTGTTGCGTCTTTCTCGCTCAGCAGCACATGACAAGCGGTGAGCAGCGGTCGCACAGCAGCGGACACAGCAGCGAGGATGACGATGAAGACTGCGGTGAAGGTAATAATATGATGCCCAACGGCATCACCAACGGTGCGCGTCATCGTCACAGCAACCACGACAAGCACGTCGTTGCCGCGAACTACGCTGCAAACAGCACACCCGGTAGTCATCATGAGAGCCCACATCGGCGACAGAGTTCTACGACGGCTTTTGCCTTGAGTGCGAGTTTTCCAGCGCGTCTCAAAGATGCCGTTCGCGTCGGCAGCGGCACAGCAATGGCGCAAACGGTGACCGCGCACTCCTCGCATGCCTCCCGAAAGCTATCTTCCGTCTCTGGCACCTCAAGCTCGCGAGAGCACGAAAACTCAACTCTCAGCCGTTTCGGTAGCAGGGGCCAGTCGGCGGAGGCCTCCAAGGCGGCGGCACCGCAGCTGCTGCTTCCAGTCACCACAGTGAGCCCTGTATGTTGGCTGAGTGCGGCAGCCAGTACAGACGAAGAGGGGAGCGATAATGAAAATGATAACGGCGGTGATGATGACGAAGCCCTTCGAAAAACCAGCGACGCAACCTCGAACAACAAATCAGCTGCAGATGCCGTGTCTATGTTAGCGGCGGTGACACACCCCATTCCGGTAGGCTCTGACACAATGCCGAGCCGAACCCTCCATTCGTTTTGGTCGCATGTCATGCCCGAGGACGTACGCCGCTGTTTCCTCTGCAGTGGTCAGCTGCTGTTCCAAGGCTGCTGGCACGCTTTGTACCTCCTGCAGCTCCTCACGATGCTGAGTGCGGTGCCGGCCATGGTAGCCCCTCTTCCGCTGCCCCCGCCTACGGTGCTGAAGACGCAGCCGGTGGAGGCGCTGCTGCTGCTGCTTCAAACCGCCCAACGCTGCTTTGTTGCGGGGTTGACGCTGACCGCGGCGGTAAGTACGCCATGTTGGCCGTCATCATCGAGTCAACGAAACGATTTGAAAGAAACGTGTCATGACGCTCGTGGTCAAGCAACGCACACCGCAATCGTGAACACCAGCTCTAATACCACAGCATCAAACCGGAGTGCGCTGGACGTCTTGCGTGGCGGTCACGGCGGTGGCACGGCGGCGCAGTCACCTCCTGTTTCGGCCTTTCTTGCTTCATCTTCTCTTACTCAACAGCAGAGCAAAGAGGATCAGATGCTGAGTTCGCTAGCCATAAGCATTCTTGGCGTTGTGGACGCCATTGGCGGCGTTGCTGCACCGGTGTTGTGGCCGCACAAGCCCGTGTGCTACTCCTCTGCGTCCTCCGCTGCCGCCGTACCAGCTGTTTCGTCTCCACACTCCTTGACAGACGCGGCGTCGACAGAGAAGTGCACTTTGCTTGACTTGAGAGGGGACGTGCTGGCCTTGCGTTTCCGTGTCTTTTACGGCGCCTTTCTCATTCTGATGGCACACAACGGCGCGGATCGAGGCACCGCTGCGTTGGCGGCCGCCTCGGTGGACATTCTGACGCTGCTCACGGCGGTACACGGAGCACAGCCCCACGACTCTTCCAAAACCTCCAAAGGCGGCCTTTCTGACATTATTTACTTGAATATGATGCGCGCGTTTGCGCTGCTCGTGGCTCCCCGTGGCAACCCAGCGGCGAGGGCAGTTGTGGAGAATATTTCGAACATTAATTGCGGCGACGATCTGGTGGTGCTTGACGACGATCTGCGAGCCCTCTGTTGTGTGGTGGCGCTCCTGAACGTCTTCGCCGACGTGGTGCGTGCGCAAGAAGACGGCAGGTCATCTAATGTGTCCTCCACTGCCGGTGACTTTCATCTTTCCGACTCTGCCACGCACCTCATCGATGCGATTGTCTTCCCTGCCCTCGTCGCCCTGCAGAACTCTTCACGCGGAAACTGCAGTGCGCAGGCACGGCCGCTGCTGGCGTTGTGGTGGTTGCTGCGTGCGGAGACGGTCCGGCAACTAGCGGACACAGCCAAAAAAACGCAGGCCGTGAAGGCGACCGTGCGTGTACTCGAGCGAGAAGTTTCCTTGATGGAAGACGACAACAGCAGCAGCAGCAGCGATGAGGGGCAGTCGAACGTGGGTGTGATGCATTGGTCAGGTTGGCTGAAAGAGGCTTCCCGCGCCGCCGTCCGTGCCAGCAACGCCGCCAGCGAATTCCTCGGTCTGACGTTTCTCACAGCCTCGCCTTTCGGGTTCTCTTCACCCCTCACATCGTCTTCGCGGGACTGCTCGCTGCGGTGGCGCCTACCCTTGGAGTTGCCCCCACACGGAGGCATGGACGTGGCGTGCCTTCCCTTGGCCTGGGTGCGGATGTGGCTGCTGCTTTGCCCGCCTCTCTTTCACATTTCGCCCACCAATGCGCTGGCACTGCAGCACACAGTGCAGCAACAGCAACAGCAGCAGCTGCAGCGGAAACTCGCGAAAGAGAGGAAGGATGCCGCGGCTGCATGTGAAGAGGAAGAGTCCTCGATGGCGGCATCCACACTGCACACGGGCAAATCCAACGGCAAAGCACCACCGCGCGGCGGAAAATCGAGCCGTAAGTCTGGAGGCAAAAGCGGGGAGAGCGCAAAGACAGCGTCAAAAGCAGGAGGTCAAGACTTGTCGACACAGAAGTGCGAGTGTGCCGTTGTAGGAAAGCGCCGCGGCAACAACAGCGAGGCAACATCTTCACCAGGACTTAACCAGGCAGAGATTCATTTGCGCGATGCCGACGTGCTGCAGCTGCGCCTGCAAATCAGTACAGAGCCGACCTTTTTTTGGGTGCGTTGGTGTCAGCTGTTTCTTCCCGCTCCTCCTACATCTTCGCCGCCGTCTTCATCGTCACAGCGACAGGAAGGAGGGGAGGAAGATCGTTCGTCCAAGAAGGCTGAGGTCTCGCCAGAAACGCTGTCCCCTGTTGCCGCTGCAGTCGCCGATGCCATCGCCCTTCTGCGCAACCCGTCGCTCGCGTCTTCAGTTTCCTCTCTGCCGTCGCAGAATGCATCAACGATGGACGTACCGAAGAGCACACACAACTCCGCAGCGCCACCTCTGTCTACCACGCAGCTCGTCCGCACGCTTCAATCTGCATTTCCACTTATGATAGCACAGGATTTGGTAAGGGCATTAGAGGCGCAGTCACAACTTTTCCTGGCAAGCGAAGCGTACTCAACGACGACAGCGGCAACGATGGCACGAGCTACGGCGTGTTCTACGGGCACCGGAAATGCGCTTTTCGCGCCGTATTCGTTTGTGTCTTCGTTGACCCCTCTGCGGGAGGTGGTGAGCACGTTCTATCATAACTTCCAGGCCGCTTCTCTCCGCACGGCGCGGCCCTCTCCACCACGCGCGTCTTCGTTGCCCATTTGCGTAGATGACAAACTGCTATCATCATCTACAACCTCAAGTCCGCTGCTGAAGTCTGACGGCATCCACGCAACAGCGCCACAACCAACGCGAGCGGGTATAAGGCGTCCGCCTTTGATGGCGACGTGCACGATGCCACGACGCGGGGCTGGAAAAGGAAAGTCGTCCTCTCCTCCTCCTCCGCAAGCTACCGGCACTGACCCCGCTGCGCCTACAATAGCCGCTACAGCGGATGATAGTGTTCCACCGTCCTCACTGCCTGCCGCCCATGCGGAACAATAACCCTTTTTTTTTTCAAGGGAGCAGCGTTGTGTGTGGTTTGCTGCAATAATAGTAAAAAAGACAGTACCAACTGAAATGTACGACGAGAGATGAGAAAAGGTTGCTCTGGCGGCTGTGCTGAACAGCAACCAATGCAAGTTGTTTTGTTGTTGTTGTTGTTTCCCTTTACGCACACGCCCACCAAACTTATCATTCTGGCAAGGCTTATGAGGGCTCTTATAAGCTGTCTCTTTTTGTAAAAGGAAATCGCAGCGCATTCGCACGTTCGCAAGCAACACTCACGTTTCATAGCTCCACCACCTTTTCTTCCACCGTGCATCGCCGCATTTTGTCATCCTTTCTGCTCACACGCCCGTCACTTTCTGCCCTTTGAGTTGCAGAGAGGAAACACAGAATACAGAAAAAGAACTTCACGGACCAAGCTTACCCGTCACACACACACCGCCCTTCCTCTTACGGATCGGGCCTGCACACAACCATGTCAGTCAGCTCCTCGTCACCACCAACGAAGGACCCATATGAGGCGTTGCAAGACGCGTACGTTGCCGCCGCACAGGTCTTTCCCTTGCTTCAGAGAGACGGTCATGCTGGCAGCCCACGGGCACGGCGTGAGACCATCGAGAAGTGGGGCGCGGAGTACTTGACAAGCAAGGGTGCCCCTTCAGAGCTTGCGCAGGACTGCGTATCGTGGTTGCAGACGACCTTAACGGCGACCTCCGAAAAGGCAACTTTAGCACCGCCGCAGACGGAAACGCTCTCCACCGACCAGCACACCAGCGCCTCTCGCGGTGGTGCATATGCTCCCGACAGCAGCAGCAGTAGCAGTGACGAGTTGGGAACTGTTGACGGTGCTGGGGCAGCTCAATCACCTGTGATGCTGGACCCCAGCCTCGATGTGGATCACTGCACCCTCGCCCGCGTGATTGCGGATGAGCAGCTACAGTGGGATATGTGGCACGACGCACGGTGCCGCCCTGCGGACACCGTCAACGACAGAAACGGTGAAGCCTCTTATTTGGGTGTGCCCTCATCGGCAGATGCGCCATCGTTCATCGATGACGTATTCTCAAAGGAAGCGATTCAACGAGAGGCCTGGTTGTGCTGGGCATCCACGCTGCGCGATGTGAAGATCGAAGCGGCGGTTCAACAGCAGGGTCGTTGCAAACACGCACAAGGCGGCTCACACTCCGTGTTGGATGGGCTGCTGGGGTACCTCCACGCTCCAGAGACGCCGTGGCTGCTGGAGGACCACCCCTCCTCTGTGCTCCTCGCGGCGGACATGTACATGAACAACCGTGCCTACGCGAAAGATGCAGCTGCGGCGCAGAGCGGCGTTTACGAGGAGGACAGCGAAGGCGGAGATGCAAAGGATGTGATGAACGGCTCCGGTAAGCTGGGCCGAGACACGCACGACATGAAAGCGGTACACGCCTATCTGTTAAAGCAAGATGAAGACAAACCCCCGCTGCGCTCGCTGCTTGAGCTTACACTAGCAAGTCACATTGGAGACCACCGGCAGACGTCGTGAAGTGCATCGTAAGTGAACAAGGTTTTTTTTTACTTCTGCGTACCTTTTGTGTGTGTTTGTGTGTTGATCTGTCTTTCCGATGTTTGCAGAGATGGCTTTTTGCTCTTTATTTTGGTTTCTTATCGATGCTTGCAGAATTGCTGTAGTCGTGCTTCAGATAGAGAAAGAAAAACACGCGTACTGGCGGTTAAGTTTCTCAAGATTCGTTGTCGTCGTCACCCCTGCTTTGTTCTGAACGAGCGAAAGAAGACAATTGAATAGCTGTCGAGTGTTTGCCGACACGGCTTTTTTGTAGCGACCTGCGTAGCGCTTCAAACAGAAAGGGAGAAAAGCGCACACACATTTCACATCTCTTTTTGTCCCCTCTTCTTTTCCTCTTTCTGTTTTGATAGTGTCTGCAATACTGCCGCTGTTTAGGGTTCTCCTCCTTGCTCCCCTGTCCATCCTGGACCGTCGGTTTAAAGGACACATATTCCGGCCATTTTCTAAGCCGCGTAGTTTGGTGTTGTGTTGTGTTGTGTGTACGCTCGAGGTTTTCTTTTCCCCCTTTCACGTAGTAGCAAATGCACAAGGTCGGCCGTGTGCTCGCGGCGACCGCCGTCCCTTTCGGATGCGTCTATCATGCAGGTCACCACAGCATGCGTCGGTGCACAACCTTCTCCGTAAGCTCCTCGTTTGCTGGTCAGCGCGCACTCTCTACGCTGCAGCAACCGCCACTGCAGGTGCGCAGCTTCACAGGGTTGCTGCCGCTGTCCCATGCTAACTCCTGCACCTACGCCACGTTGCGGGCGGCGACGCGCACGCAGCACGCACACGCCACGTCCACCGCTGCGGAACCGGAAACAGGCGCAGCAGCCTCGGGAGCATCCACAGCCCCCACCGCGAGTGAGTCAGCGCCCGAGGCACCCAAGCCGGCGGCAGCGGAGCAGCAACCGGCACGGAAGGACGGGATACAGATCGACCCCAGTCGTCTCCCAAGCACCATCCCTGGCATCTCGCAAGAGGAGCTGGCCGCCCGCATCACGGCGTACCACACCAAGAAGGCGCAGGAAGCCAAGGAGTGGTCCTCGAAGGCCTTAACACAGGAGGTCGAACTGATGCGCCGCTCTCTCTCGCCGAACAACTTTGAAGCGTACATGCAAGACCTCGAGAAGGGTATGGCAGCGGCGGCGAAGGAGCAAGCTAAACTGGCCGCCATGTCACCTGTACAGTTGCACCAGTATCAGCAGAAGAAGAAGCGCCAGGCGGTGCGCTACGAGTGGTACAAGACGTTTTTGATGTTCTTTGCGCTAGTGGGTAGCACAGCTTTTTTGTTTTCGCTGTTCTTGTTTTTTGAGTAGGCGAAAGGTCTCTCACGGAGTTTTATTAATAGGGTTTCTGTGTGTGACAGTAATGTGCTGGTCTGTGCTCTGTTTGTTGGTGGGTATAGATACCCTTTTCAAGCTTTCCGCTACTCGGCCTCCCTAGTTCCCCGTTTGAGACGCGGTAGCCTCCTTCACAAGTTTACTGTTATTATTATTTTATCTCGCTGATGAGACGGTTTTGCTTGGCTCCCCGTTTTGTTCGAATGTCTTAGTGGCCTCGTTATCTCACTTCTTCTCTTTCTTTCGTTTTTCTCTACAGTTCAAGCGACTCGCAACCAAAGCTACAGGGGCAGAGAGAACAAGAAAAGCCGGTTGCGTTCCTGTGTTGTTAAAAAGGGATGCGAGGGGCGCTGAAAATACTTCTACGTTCCACTAGCAATGGTGTGAGGTTGACAACATGAGGTCTTGGAAGGTTAAAAAAAGAAAAGAATGAGTGCGCAAACGTTAACCTTTAATAAGTGTTGGCGAGCGGCGAATGAGTGACATGCAGTGGCCACCGCACTTCCTCCTCCTCTTTTTTCCATGCTTCTCCACCTGCCTGTGGTACTGGCCACACATATCGTGAATTGAAATGATCGTGAAAGCCGCGCTGATGTCGTGGGCTGTTGCCGCCATACAATCCCCTCTTCTTTTTGCTTCGTAAGCGCCGATTCACCCATACCTCGGCGGAGGAAATATCACAAAAGAAGAAATGTCAACAATCCGCGTTCTTGGACGAAAGGCGTTCTCGTCTGCTGTGCTCCCCTCTCGACGCGCACACGCCACGTGCGGCAACACCTCTGTCGCAGCAGTGACGACCGTCTCATGTAGCACGTATACACACACAGTAGTTGGCTCCTCCGCTGTCTCGCCGGCGGGCGTTTTCCAGCACACCCGACTTCTCCGTAGACCGCAAACCATAAAACCCAACCCGAACGAGGCCACAAGCGGCCAATTCGACAAGAGTTTTGAGAAGATAACTGAAACGATCGAGTCTCGGCTGCCGTTTCGCCAGCGGCATGTGGCGGTGGGGAACATATATGATGCGAACTTCGGCGAAAAATCGGAACACGACATGTACAAAGAGGCAGAGGAGGACTTGCTGGGGAAAGAAAAGGAGAAGCCAGCTGCCCGCCAGGCCCGCAGCTACTTCTCCGATGAAGACCTCTCCCCCGAGGCGTTGCACGTCCGCTCACCACACCTGAAAGTTGCGCAGAACATTCAGAGACAGCAGTATGACCCGAAAATTCTGAAAACGACCGCGGAGGCTTCTGAGTACTACTATCCAGCTTTGACGAAGGAGCAGCAGCGGAAGCGCAACGCGATGCTGGCGGCCGGCTGGGGTACAGTGGGGATCGCCACCTTTGTCGGTCTGCGGAAGGCTGGAGCGTACATGCGTACAGCAGGCTGATTCGCTGTGTTTGTATTTGTGTATACGGTGCCGACTTTCTTTGGTTCTCCAGCATACTCCCATTTTAGTTGCTCGGATCTCGTCTTTGCTCCCGCGCTGTTTATTTGCCTATATATATCTACTCGTCTTGCATGGGTGATGTTGTCTGTTTTTCTGTGCCTTATCGAAGAGCAGCTTTTGCTCTTTTTATTAGTTTCTTCTGGCTTTTCCGCCCCTCTTCTTCGCTTACAAACGCGCGAACGAAAGAACGCGACATCCACTTTTGCGTACTATCGAGCTTACGTGCTGGCAACAGTGAATTTTGTATTTTAAAACGTCCATGTAACCGTTCCAAACACCCACCTCCGCAGATCACCGCGGTATTACACCTCCCATGTGACGGGTTTCGTGCTTCTGCAGCGTAGAGAATGTTTGCTGACTTCTTTGCTTTTTCCTCGTTGTTCATTCTCTCTTCTTTTGCTTTGCGTGTTGTCGGGGATTTTGGTTTTATTATTATTTTCTCCCCCTTGTCCAACACGCATAAAAATAAAAACATATGCGCGGCTTCCAGATTACCTTGCTGCTCCGAACTCCCACCGAGACGGTGTGTCTTTAGCTCGATCTATCCCTCACGCACACACACATACACACACTCACAAGACTACCTCACAAAGGTATCTTTCCCTGGTACGTCGACACCGCTTCGCTCCTCCATACACAGTTCCATAGGGATAGCAGCAATTGTGCTTCGTTTATAAAACAAGAAGGAAACACAGCAGATTTCTTTTCTGGGGTTTGCGTCACTTCAGAGAGTACACAGGTGTTCTACAGCGGACACCTTCGTGCTCTTTTTTGTCTTTCCTGCCGTCTTTTTTCGCCCCGATTGGTGTTGACTGCGCTGCCGTGATCATTTCACTATTCCCTCGTTTCTGCCATAGAAAAGAATAGAAACTTTGAAGACTTGAAGCGAAGGAGAAGAAAAAAAGAGGGAAGGTTACGCACGAGGTATTCACCACGCCACAGACACCCAGAACTTCACGAGGTGACGTCGTTGACAGTACCCTTGGCTTTTTTATTTCTGTCTTTGTCATACAGACATTCATGTAGGCTTGCATAGCACGTTCGCTTCTTCTTTGTTTTTCCTTTTCAAATCCCCGAAAGAGAAACGCATACAAATTTAGTTTTTGCTTTGTTTTCTTCACGCACCACGCATACACGCATCGCAAAGACACATACAGACTAGCCGTCACTGACTTCTTCAACATAAAGCTATTTGTTAGGTATACAGCATTTAAAAAGAAAAACATATATATCAGGTGAGCGTACAGTGCAGTAGAGTGTGGGTTTTCTGCCTCTCTTCCCCTTTTTGTTTTTTCCCTTCTCTCTCGTCCTCTGTGCAACTGCATGTCGCAGATGGACAACCGTGCGAATACCGCCGTTAACGCCTTCTTCAAGAGCGGCAGCGGCAGCGGCTCCCCGACAGCGCAGCAGGGCGGCATGGCGAGTAACTCCCTCGACCCTAACCACTTTACCCGGATGATCAGCCTGCAGAACCGTCTCATGGCCATTGTCGCTGAGGCGCAGACCATCGTGCAGGAGCTGCAGCAGAACGGCTTCTTTCCTCGCGGCGCCGACGCGGACCCGGAGGAGGACGCCGCGATTACCGTGATGCAGATGCTAGACAGCATGCCCGGGTCCTCGCCGATGTCGAAGCACACGCCCCCCGCGCAGCAGAACGCTCACAGCAGCAACAGCAACAGCAGCGCCGCGACGGCGTCGTCTGCCGGGGATGCCGCGGCAACAGCGCAGCGGGTGCCCAGCCCCAATTCGGCCAACATGCCTCCTGCGGGCCTCGACGACGCGTCAGCTTGGGGCAGCCACGCGAAGGCCCCCGGCGCTGGCGATTACACCAACGCCTTTCAGAATGCCGTCTCGCACAACGCCGTGGAGGAGTTTCTGCTCTCCGGCCAATCCGGCAGCAACAAGAATAACGCCAACCAAAACGTATACGATAACGGCGAAAGTTTGGCGGAGGACTACGACAAGCTCCCGGAAGGTTCGGAGATGCTGGCCTTTGTGGAGTTTAAGCGCGGTCGCGTGCGCAAGTACCGCTGCGAGCACCGCATCGAGCCTGGCAACTACGTCCTGGTCGACGGAGACCGCGGCACGGACTGCGGCCTGCTTGTGCAGACGATTGAGCGGAAGCCGAACAACGAAACGGCTGTCGTGTCGATGGAGGGCTGCGACATCCGTGATGACAAGATCAAGCTGGAGAACGGTCACGTGTTGCGCCAGGCCTCGGAGGAGGACATCGACCGCCTGCACAACATCATCACTAACGCCGAGAGCGTGGCGCTCAAGACGTGCCGCCAGCGCTGCAACGAGCTGGGCATCGATATTGACCTGCAAGACGTCGAGTACCAGTTTGACATGAAGAAGATCAGCTTTTTCTTCGACTGCGACCACAGCGTGGACTTTCGTTCCCTCGTCCGTGAGCTGTACCGCACCTTTGGCGCGCGTATCTGGATGGAGAACATTAACCCCAAGGTGAAGAACTCGATGCCGGACCAGAGCGGGGGTGGCAACGAGCGCGGCCATGGTAACGGCGGCAACGACCGCCATCACGGTGGTGGCGGTGGTGGCGGCTGGCGCAACGGCCGTGGTGGACGCGGGCGTGACTATTAACGCACAGGAAGGAGGGAGCTAAAGGGAAGGTGCGCATCCACACCTTCTTTCTCCGCAGAGCGTTAACCATAGAGTGAAAGGGAGAGTAGCCGTGAATGGGAGCAGAAGAAGAAAAAAAAGGAAAAAGAAGTCGGATTGAGGTGCAAGTGACTCTTGTTGTTGTTGTTGTTGTTGTTGTTGTTCATTTTCCCTTCTGTGCTCTTTTTCAAATTGTTTTTAGCTGCGTTGATGCCGAATTCAACGCACACACATAAGGGACGCTTTTACGTTTGTTTGTTTGTTTTTTGTGTTTGCGGGATACGGCGCCTGCTCATTTTTCTTTGAATTGTCGCGTTCATACGTTTTTTCTGTCTTCTTGTTTGTTTAAGTGTGTTTTGGCGTTTGTGAGGTAATCAGAGTGGTGTTCACCGCGAGGCTTGAAAGACCGCCGTGTTTTTTGTTTTCGTCTTTACGTGTTCGTTTGGGGTTTTCAGGGATGGTGCAACACGGCTTCCTTGGTCATTTCTTTTCTTTTCTTTCACGCAGCAACTTTTGTTCTTGTCCTACTTTCAATTTGGCGCAAGACCAGGTTTTTTCTCCGTGCTATCTTCTTTCTTGGGTATGCACGTAATGTCGAGTTAAGCGTAAACGAGATAAAAAGGAAGAGAGAGCGGGGGAGCGAATCTCATCCGTAAGAATGTAACGGAAGCTGCAAAGGTACGCGGGCTTCCTCGTCTTTTTTTGTTTTTTTTTTTTATGGAAGCCGGTGCTTACTGCTTAAATGGTTCTACTTGTTGGTGTATGTCTGTTTGTGTTTTGTTTATTTTCTCTTCCTTTATTTTAGTATTTTGTCATTCGTCATAGATTGCTTGAGAAGAGGACTGGCAGGCAGGGGGGGGGGGAGAAAGCACCCGGCCGGTTTTTCTTTCTTTCCTTGCTCTTTCCTTGCTCTTTCCTTGCTCTGTGCTGCGCCGATGCCGATCTTCTCTCTCTGTGCGAAAAAGGAAGGAAAACTCCCTCTGGCTGTTTTGCGCGCACTTTCAGCCCTTTTTCTCTCTTTCCTCCTTTTTTTCTTTTTTGTCAAATTCCTCTTCTGCGTGAACCAACCGCTAAAGAAGGCAAAAATAGGGGGCGGGGTGTGGCTTTTGCTCGCTCTCGTGTCCTCCACTTCTGTTCGTTTTCGAGCACGTTGGCGGAGGACAGCGCACGTTAGTGTTTTGTTTTCCTTCTCTTGTTTTGTTGTTTCCTCCCTTTTTTCTTCGAATTTTTGTTGTTATTGTTCTGTGTCTCGTATCTTCAACACTCACCAAACCTATCACGGCTAAGGAAAGGAGAGAAAGCAAAATGCATAAACACTTGTTCCTGGTGTTTGTGATGGGCAGCATTGTGGTCGATCGTATCAACTGTCAAAGCCATGTGACGTAGAAGTGCGTGTGTGTGAACGGAGCAGGAAAATGGGAGAGGCGTGACGGCGCGAGGCACGGGATTCGGTATACCTTTTTTTTTTTTCAAAGGAAAGTGTAGCGCTACCTGCTTTTCTTTGTGTTTCCTCCAGTATTTCACACGCAGAGACATACGCTGCAGGCCCTGCCCATCGATTTTGTTCTCGCCTTGGGTACGTTCTGCTTATGATTTGCCGCACGCCACATTTTATGATAAAAGGAAAACGAATGCACCTGTGTCTCCACTCTTCGTTTCTTCCCCTTCCCCTCTCTCTCTCGCTTTCGCTACTCTTTGTAAACACCACAAGGTTTCAATGTTTTCATGTACCCAATCGCTGCTGCGCCGTCGCGGTCACGGGCACGTCCTGAAGTTCCTGGAGGGTGTGCCGACGCCGTCGAAGCTCATCGACCACCTCGCCGGCGCCGACCTGCACGCCTCGGCAGAGCTTCAGTTCTTCAACACCGTCCCCCGCTACGTCGACACGCAGCGCGAGCACCGCATGTCGAAACTGTTCTTTCACCACGTCCTCTACCCCGCTGGGGGAGCGCGACTGCCGTATCAAGCGGTGGTCGTGCGCGGGGGACGCGCGGTGCGGACCTCGGCCCCACGGCTGTGGCGCAAGACAAATGCCGGTGCGAAGGGGAGAACAGAAAAGGGCGAAGGAAAGGAGCAGCGTAGGCAATCTTCTTCCTCGCCGCTTCCGCGACCGCGCCAGGATCCGCTTGCCGTCCCCGCCTCTCAACTCGGTTCGTCTGCACCGTTTGGTGCCCCGCCAACGCAGCTCAAGCTTAACAGTAACCGCAGCGCAGCAGCAACGGCAACAACAGCGGTAATCGAAGAGGTGCCGTCGTCCTCGGCCTGGGTACGCGTGGACCCCGCACGGCGCCCGTACTTCTTCTCCCAGGCATCCCCGAGCGCAGGAAATCCAAACCGCTTCCGCAACACACACGCCGACACTGGGCCTACCGCGACGAACCGCTATCTGCCGCTCTCCAGAACGGGCGTTCACGACACTGTGCCAGCGGCAAGGGCGGTGGAGGACGACGTTCTGACGCCTTTGCGGGGGGTACTGGAGCACTACTGGAACGACAACGCTGAGGGGACGGCGCCGACACAGTCGTCGCTGGCTGCAGCCCGGCTGCAGCTGCTGCTTGCTCCCTCCTTCGGGGGGCTTCTGTGGATGTCAGAGAAGAGCGGTGGTGGCGGCGGCAATCCTGTCGCCTCTGACTCAGCCATCGACAACTCGACTCCGTCGTCGTCGTCAGTCTGGGAAAGGCTCATAGAAAGTCTTCAACAGAGTCTTCAGCAGCAACAGCATCAGCAGCCGTCGTCAGAAGGGCGGACAGCGAGCACGTTCACCTACGTGCAGACTCGGCTGCCGCCGGTGGCCACGGTGGCTCTTCCGATGGAGCACCACCGTCCACGAAGCGAACCTCTACGAAGTGAGGAGGAAGACGATGGGCCATCGTTTCTATGTAGGATGGCAGGCGGGGTGGAGCCGGTGGTGCCCTTCGCCGTTGGACGGCTGCTGGCAGCGCCGTCGGCGTCTTCCTCCACTCCGTCCGACGTCCTCTTCTCTCACATTTCATGTCTCACGCGAGTGAACTTGAAAGTGTCTTGGTCGGGGCCTTCAGCGGCCTCAGCCGCAACGGCAGCGGAGGCCGTCCCCTCTCCCCATCATAGCCGTGGTGAACAGAGAAACGAGACAGTCGATGCAAGCGTAAAAGCGCCTCTCTCACAGGCAGCGGCGGAGCCGTGGAAGCTGGGCGATGACGGTCTTGATCTCATGGTTCCGCAGCACGTACGCACCGTGGCGGAGCACCACCCCACCAAGTCCCTCCAACGTGACGCCCCATCCTCCTCGACGACCACCGCCGGTGCGACGCATGGTGCCGTTAAAGGCGACCGTTACGTGCTCGGCCGCGCCGACGCCGAGACTTACCTACTCCCTCAGCGGGAGCTTCTTCTCACTCTCTACGTCCCGGTGCGCACAGAGGACATGTGCGCAGCGCAGAACGATGAGCGGCTGCGGCGGCAAGTGCACGCGGGTCGGGCCAGCCGCTCCGCGGCGATGGCGTGGCCCACCGATCAGACACGGCTGACGTCGTCACGGCGCGCACTGGGGCAGTTCGCCAACGCGGAGAGTGCGGCCAGGACAGGCACCTCTCAATCCTCTCACCTCCCTTCCACTTTACTCTCTTCCTCAGCGAAGCAAGATCCAGCAGCACCTGCGGCGGCGCTTACCTCTCGCACCAGCTACGAGGTGCGTGCGCTGCCCGGTGATGTCGTGTACGTTCCTCGTGGTTGGGGCTACGATGTGCAGCGCATCGTCGGCACGGCCACTGTTCACAACGGCCTTCACAAAGCGCTCCGCGGAAGTGAGGCGAGTTATGCGTTCAGTGATCATCGTGCGTTGGGAGGCAGTCCCGGCTCCTTCACGCGTACGCGTCCAACGCACTCCACGTCGTCACCACTATCTCGGGCCACACAGGGCGGGGAAGTGGAGGGTGAAAAAGAGACTAGCGTCACGGCGTCGGCAGAAGTCTCCTCCATCGCGATCGACGCGTTCTGTCTGAGCTATCACCCCTATCCTGAGCTGACTGCTGCCCAAGCAGCCGTGTACGTGGCGGCGAACTACGTGCATGCCGGCGTCGAGGAGTTTTACGAGCAAGGTGGGAATCGGGTGCATCGCTCCTACGAGTAGTCACGGATTTAAAAAAAGGAATTAAATGGAATGGTCCGTGCAGGGCGTTGCACATAGTTTTGTCCCTCAGTGTTTATCTTCACAGCTTTAACTCTTTGCAATCACTCTTCTTGTTCTTTAAGAAATTAAAGACAAGCGTCAACTGAAGAGTCTTGCAATAAAATAGAAGGCTGTTGTGCATCTCAGTGGCCTCGTCTAATGCACCCTACGGCTTTACCGGAAGGGCTTAGCAGCCGTGTTTCTTTTTTTTTTCCTTAACTCATGCCTTCGCGAGCTGTCGCTGCGTATTCCTCTTCGGCGTTTCCTCCCCACCCATCTTTCCCACTTCCCTCTCCCTTTATTTCGGTCACAATTCGTTTTTATTGTTATTTACCTTCAGTATTCTTTACTTTTCTTGACACATCTTGCTCTTAAATTCCGTTCTTTTCCTCCCTCTCTCTTCCTGCCTTTCCCCTCTCTACCGTGCAAAAGCAATGGTTTTCAGCATCAAGGTTGAGCCCTACGGCGTCGACAAGCTCGTGTGGCTGGAGACGGACGTTCTCAAGGTCGGCCTCACGAACTACGCCGCCTCCGTGGCGTCGGTGCAGGTGTACCACCCGTCCGACAAGAAGTGGATCGAGGTGAACTGCGGCTACCCGAAGAACCCCGAGGAGGCCTATGCGGATCAGGACTACATGGGCGCCACGGTCGGCCGCTGTGCCGGTCGTGTGGCTGGTGGCGTGTTCAAGCTGGACGGCGCGGAGTACCACACCCAGCAGAACCGCCCCCCGAACACCTGCCACTGCGGCGACGATGCCTACCACAAGAAGCACTGGGGCCTCCAGCTGATTGAGACGAAGAACGTCATTGGTGTGCGGTTCAACTACACTAGCCCGCACATGGAGAGCGGCTTCCCCGGTGAGGTGAAGAACTACTGCACTTTCACGATCGAGCGTAGCCGGCCCAACGCATTTAAGACGGTGTACAACTCCTACATCACCGACCACAGCCCGGCCGACGCGTCGCCCATCAACGTCTTCAGCCACACTTCCTTCAACCTGAACGGCATCCCCGGCCAGCAGGAGGGCCAGGAGAAGTGGGTGCAGCCGCAGAGCGTGCGCAACCATTGGGTGCGCGTGCCGGCAAGCTACGTCGCCGAGGCCGACCGCGCGTCCATTCCTACTGGCGAGTTCCTCCCGGTGGAGGGTACCATCTTCGACTTCCGCCAAGGCCGCGTCATTGGCGACACGATCGACGATGTCGCCGTGCTCGACCGCGATCCCTGCGGCTACGACCACCCCCTCCAGGTGGACGGCTGGGAGAAGGGCAAGCTGATGTTCCACGGCGAGGCGAAAAGTCCGTTGACGAAGATCCACATGAAGGTCTACTCCACCTTCCCGACCATGTGGGTGTACTCGGCGAACAACAAGCCCCTGCCGGCGAGCGGCGGTCCGGGCCAGCGCTACGAGCGCTGGAGCGGTCTGCTGGTGGGGCCGCAGAACTTCTCCGACTGCGCCAACTTCTACCCCAAGTACCCCAATTGCATCGTCCGCCGCGGCGAGCAGCAGTACGAGGAGACGACGATCAACGAATTCCTCGTTGAGTAAAAGCGAGAGAGAACGCGGGTGCGAGAAACACCGAATGGGGGGAAAAACAAAAACACACTCGCAAGACAATAAATGCAACACCACGACGCACGGGGGAAAAGACGTTGCGGCGTCTCACTCTTTTTAGTATTGTTAGGGGCCCGCGCTTTATCGTGCCTTTCAATGCGTTTCTTCACATACACACACACACACACGAAGTTGAAGAAGGAAAAGGTAGTATGCCGGTCCGCCAGACACTCGAAAAAAGAGGGATACTGCCTGGTTTCTAAAAGCAAGGACAGGTTCTCAACGGTAGGCACAAGGAAGCAATTCCGTATGTATCTTTTATTATTGTTTCTGTATCGGTTGTGCGCATTCTTGATGTTTGCAGAAGAAGAAAACGCGACCCGCTTTGCGGAGTATCAACTATTGCTTCCATTTCTCTCTCTCTTTTTATTCTGTATGTTTTTTTTTTCCTTTCCCGCTAACAACCCTTACTTGCGTTTTTGGCGTTGTTTCACATCCTTCATTGCTGTCGTGTCTCTCTCTCTCTGTTTGTGTTTTTCCCCTCCCTTTTTTTTCCAGACTTTCTTGTGCCCGAGCAAAGTCAACAGAAGGGAATAAGAGAAGGAGAGGAGAGAGATCTGACAGGTGCATTGTGAGACGTTGAAACCAAAACGAAGCGAAACCACCGTTGAGAATTTATCCGTAGTCGTCGTGTCGGCAAAGAGAGGGTTGCCTCTGTGCGCTTTTTTTTAATCGGTTTTTACTGTAGCAAAAGAAAATTTTACTTCGTCCTTAAAAAAAAATCTGAAAGCGAGCTTAAATCGATGCTGAAGCTACGTGCGTCTTCGTCTGTATATATCTGTTTGTCGTCGCCCTCACCTTCGGCAAATGCTTTTCAAAAGCTGTCTGCAATTGGAGGACGCGGGAGAGGGGGGAGGGGGGAGGGTGGCGCAGCCTCTCAATCGTTGTGTCAACACGTAAAATAATAATGGTAAACCTAAGAAGTCTTTTTATTATGTTCACGCACATATGTTTTGTCTTCCAAATTGGCATTCTTTTCTTCCTCCCTCTTTTCTTTATTTTTATCATGTACGCGCATGCAATTCAACACGCCTTTCTGCCTCCCACACTTATGAAACATGCCAAAACCAAATCGCATTGCTGCGATCCGCTCGTAAAAGTCCAACACGCTTTCTCCTCCTTCGCACCCGTATTACCCAGTCTCTTCGTTCGTCTACATCCATATCATACAATCTCCTCTCTCATTATTGTTTTTCCCTCCTACCAAAGGAAAAAGTCAAGATGGTCTTTACCGTAGAGGTCAAGCCCTTCGGCGCCGGTAAGATGATTTGGCTCAGCACCAACGTCCTGCGCGTCGGCCTCGCCAACTTCGGCGCTACCATCAGCTCTGTCAAGGTCTTCCATCCCTCGAAACAGCAATGGATTGAGGTGAACTGCGGTTTCTCGCAGAACCCCGACGAGGCGGAGGCGGACACAGATTACATGGGCGTGACGGTCGGTCGTTGCGCTGGTCGCATCGCTCATGCGAAGTTTAAGCTGGACGGCCGCATTTATCACACGGATAAGAACATGGACTGCGGCCACACCTGCCACGGCGGCGTCGGCGCCTACCACAAGAAACACTGGGGTTACGTCGTGATCCAGACGCACGACGTGATTGGCGTGAAGTTCAACTACACAAGCCCCCACATGGAGAACGGCTTTCCGGCGGAGCTGTACAACACGGTTACGTACACCATCCACAAGAAGACCCCCAACGCGTTGCGCACGCAGCTCGAGGCCTGCATCACCGACTCGAGCCCGGCAGAAGCGACCCCCGTCAACATCTTCAACCACGCCTACTGGAACCTGAACGGCGTCCCGGAACGCAGCGGGGCGATGGCGGCGGACAGCGACGCAGTGTGGAAGCAGCCGAAAAACGTGCGCAACCACTGGGTGCGTGTGCCGGCCAGCCGTGTGGCGCAGGCCGACCGCTACGCCATTCCCACCGGCGAGTACGTTGATGTCTCCGGCACGTCGCTTGACTTCCGCCAAGGCCGTGTGCTGAAGGATGGCATGGACGATGTGAAGCTGCTGGACCGCGACCCCTGCGGCTACGACCACCCCCTCGCCATTGACAACTGGCGGAAGGGGAAGCTGATCCTCAACGGCGAGGCAAAGAGCCCCGTAACAAACATTCGCATGAAGGTCTACTCCACCTACCCATGCATGTGGGTGTACTCGGCGAACAACAAGAAGTTGCCGAGCAGCGGCAAGCCCGGCGACCGCTACGAACGGTGGAGCGGCCTGGGTCTGGAGCCGCAGTACTTCCCGGATGGCGCTAACCACTACAACAAGCTGCCTAGCTGCATTATTCGCCGTGGAAAGAACCACTTCTCCGAGACTATGGTGAACGAGTTCAGCGTGGAGGGCAGCGCGAAGATGTAAGGCGCCTGCGTGGCCAAGGGATGAAAGAGGGAGTCAGAGAGGGAAAAGGGTTATAGGGACGCGGAATTCACGGTGAGGGGCGCGCACCGCTTCCCCGTTGACACTCCTTCCTCTCGGCTGCCGTCCTCCCGTGCCTCGGCCTTCGACGAAGAGCTTGCTAATTCGTTCCATCCGCAATCGAGCCGTTTCATGGCACCTTCAGCCTCCTTTAGCCCCCTTCTATTTATCAAAAGAACACGAACAATTGTGATTTGAAGCGAGACGTTGACGAAACACACAAAAGAGTTCTTTGTTCATTTTGCCGCCGACGGTGCCGTCGCTTCCGTGTTACGTCCACACGCATGTACATGCAGGTTTTTCCGCCTTTTCTTGAACGCGTGCGTGTGTGTGTGTTCATGGGAGGATGTTGCGAGAAGAGCAACGGATAGCACAGCGAAGGCGTTCTTCATCGAGGTTTTCCCTTTTGCCGTTTGCGTGTTTTGTTGTCTCGTTTTGCGTCTTCTAATGTAAGCAGTGTAGTGCCTTCTCCTTCGTTCCCCATAGTGGGCCAGTATTCGGTCATTATTTTCTTCTTCTTCTAAAGAAATCGTAACTCCGTTGAGCGCCTCAACCGGGTACGACTTTGCCAAGCGGAAGAAGTAGTACTGAAGGATGCTGTCGTTTTTTTCTTGTTTTACTAAACATCAAAAGATTCTTTCCCTCTCCCGTGCAAGCAAAAACGCCACCATAATTTGTGTATCGTCATGAACCCTTCTATCAGATCCAATTGACTCCTCTTTCTATACTAAAACGGTAAAACTCTTTTTCTTATTATATCCTGTACTCGCGATTGTGTTTTTAATGCGACATTCCCATGTGTCTACGTGGATACACGGAAATGAATTTCTTTCTCACCCTCTTGTTCGTATTTTCCTCTTTTCTTTTTTCATCAATTTCTCTCTCTTATCGATGCGCAGCTGGGGCCGCACAACAGCACATGTCTGTGTGTGTGTGTTTGTGTTAGTGTTTGTCGCTCTCCCACGAATTTGTCTCACGAATTTCTCTTTCTTTCGCTTCTTCTCAGCTCGCTTGGTATCGCTGGCGTTTCGAAAAAGGGGGGGGAGCAAAGAATGTGGATGAGCAACGTGCGGTTGATGTGTGCCTTGTTGCAAAGAAGGATGGAGCAAATGGTGTCCCCCCCAAATTGGATACTTTAGCAGTTGAGACTAACCGCCGCACCACTTTGACACTTCAGAGACGTTGAAGGTCGTGCGCGTGTGAGAGGTGCTTCATTGCAGCAGCAGCACGTCACCAAATGAGCCTCCTACCTTTGTTACTTCTGTGTCTGTTGTCGTTATGACAAGCAGTTGAAGTCAAATTTGCGCCTCTTTCCAATTCCGACATCTCCAACCTCTCCCCCGCAGATCGCTACACACAACCACACTCATCCACATATATCGTCATCTCTAAAGCGAAAGCTTTTTTCCTCTCTCTCCCTGAACCATGTCCTTCAGCACTAGTGTAAAGCCCTACGGCGTCGGCAAGCTCGTGACGCTCGCCTCGCCAGCTCTGCAGATCACCATCAGCACCCTCGGCGCCACCATCCACTCCGTCAAGGTCTTCCAGCCGCAGCAGAAGCGCTGGGTGGAGGTGAACATGCAGTACAGCAGTCACGACGAGGCACTGGCGGACTGTGGCACCTACTTTGGTGCGACCGTGGGGCGCTTCGCCGGTCGCGTCGGCAACGGTCGCTTCGTCTTGGATAACGTGGAGTACCACACGCCGAAGAACGCCGGCGAGCACACGATTCACGGCGGCGGCAACGCCTTCGACAAGAAGGAGTGGGGCTTCGTGATTTCCCCGAACAGCGAGACCGGTGTGTCCGTGGCTTTCAACTACACCAGCCCCCACATGGAGAACGGCTTTCCGGCCGAGCTGGCGTGCAAGGTAGTGTACGCGATTGACAAGAAAAACCCCAACGCCCTCCGCGTGGACTTCGCGGCGGATATCACCGACTCGAGCCCGGCCGAGGCGACGATTGTGAATATGTTTAACCACGCCTACTGGAACCTGAACGGCTTCCCGGAGCGCGACCCTGGCCAGAGGTGGGCGCAGGCGGAGCCCGTGCACAACCACTACCTTCGCATGCCGAACAGCGACCTGGTCGCCGAGACGAACTCCAGCGCCATTCCGAACGGCCGGTTGGTGCCGGTGAAGGGTGCCCTCGACTTCCGCACGGGCTGCGCCATTGGCAAGGGGATCGCCGACGCGGCGGCGCTCAACCGCGACCCTTGCGGCTACGATCACCCGTACTTTGTGAGTGGGTGGAAGCCACACGGCCCGCTGCGTCTCAACGCTGAGGTCTCGAGCCCGTCCACTGGTATTATGATGCAGGTGTACTCCACCTTCCCCTGCGTGTGGGTGTACACGGCGAACAACCTGAAGGCAGGCGCCAGCGGCAAGCCGGGCGACCGCTTTGCCCGCTACACCGCCGTCGCGATTGAGCCGCAGCAGCTGCCGGATGCGGCGAACTGGAAGTCGTTCCCGCAGTCCGTCGTGCGCCGCGGATCGCCGTACCGGGAGACGATGGTGAACGTATTCCACGTGTCCTCGGCTGCCTCGAAGGTGTAGCGCGTGTATGTGTGGTTGGTTGCCTGTCCTGCAACGTAGAGGGTGAAGTCTTCTTTATTGGCGCGTTCTTTCTCTTTCCTTTTTTTTCCTCTTAAATCAAAAATGTATCCACGTCTAACGCGAAGCCCGCATTCACGTATCCTGTCTTTGCAACACGATGTTTGATCTACCACGTCATTTGAGCTCTCTCTTTCCTCTTTCTCTACCGCAGTTGCAGTGGATGCTGCTCTCCCTCTCCCCTGCGCAACGCATCGTTGAACTGAATCACGGCAAAGTCAGAGGAGATGGAGAGTGGGGCGGAAAGCGCAAACCAAGTTTTTTTTTCCGTAACGTCAAAATACGGAGGAGAGAGAGAGAGGAGGTAGAAGGGGGGCGGCGGAGAGAGGCGTGCAGCGCGACGCAGCGGCGTTGGTGTTGTCGCCTTGCCTCCTTTCTTTCTTTCTTTCTCTCTCTTTCCCTTTCCCTTCAAAAGATTTCATTATTTTTTATTTACCTTCTTCTGTTTTTGAGAGACATAAACTGTTCAAAAAAATCTCTCCCTCATCGGCTTCTCTTTTGTGTTTTTCTTTTTAGTTTTATAGCATCACTTCCTCGCAGGTTATTGTTTGCCAAACAAAACAAAACTAATAATAACTGAATGAAAAACGGTGTACTTCCACTACTGTTCCTTCCTTTTTTCACCTTTCAAAGTGTCCTGTGCTGCAGCTGCCTTGCTCTACGCTCTTGATTTCGGCGTTTGCGTTTCAGCGGAAGCCTCAGCCTGGCGAGTTGTGTCAGACTACGATGCGCGCGCTCGTGGCGGCACTTTTGCGAGGTTTTCTTCTTCAGTTTCTCTTGTTTTTCCCTTTCTCTTTAATGAAATCCCTTTGTCTTCTTCTCTCGCGTCTTTTTCCTTCGGCTCTGTGCAACGTTTAGCAAACCTCACATATTCGTATTCGCTGCCTAGGAACTAAGAAAAGCAGACACACACGTACGTACACACGCACGTCTGGCATCAGGCATATTATTATTATTGTTATTCTGTCGTAGTTGGTTTCACAGTTTTGTGGGCTCTTGGGGATCCGAAAGCCGACACGACATCAATCTTCCCCTTTTTCAGAATTCAGGTCGTGATCTTCTATTTTTTTCCTCTCTTTCGAAAATCAAAAACCAGCAGCACGAAAAGAAACAGGATGCTTCACAAGTACGAGAAGATAGATGAGGCGATGAGTGCTTGTGTGGCGCTCGAATACCCCCTCGTCGTACTCGTACACGGTAAACTCCCCAGCAACTTGAACACCGCCGAAGAAGCCACACGCAGCGGTAGTGGCCGCGGCGGAGCCCCCACCTACTCCTTCCTTCCCCCCTCCTACACCGCCGGCAGCAGCAGCCTCTTCACCGACGACACCGTGCCCTTTGAGTCGACCCTCGCAGCTCCAAATGAAGAGACGGCGAGCACCAATGCGGCTCTCGGCTACTTGATGCGGCCGGCCAACCTTTCCGCGGCGGCGACGGCGGATCTGGCGGTGGTGGCGAAGGCCGTGTCGGACGGCGAGGAACTGACGCTCGTGCGCGACTTCCCGCTTGGTAGTGTGCAGAGCGGCGCGGCGCAGCGCGAGGCGTTGTTGATTGCGCTGCTGGAGAGCCGTCTCGGCTCGGTCACTCTCCTTCACTTAATTGAGCAAGGCACGCCTGCCTACGACTCCTTCTCTGCTGCCGTGTCTGTCTCGCACGCACCCGGTGGGGTGCAAAGTAGTGAGGTGCTGCCACGCGTGCACATCTTCTACGCACCCCCCATCGGGCTTTCGCCGATGGTGTTGCATGGCACTGCCCTCACGCCGCAGAACCTGTACAACTGCGTGCAGATGGGTCTGCTGCGTCCACGCAACCGCACCATGGGCGAGGGCGGGGCTCCGGCGGCCACTTCTGCCAGTACCGCCGCGAGCACTCTCCGCTCTTTTTTTACTACCTCCGTCGCCACCATGAACGCGGAGTGCGAGCGCCATCGGCAGGGCTCCTCGGCTGCGCTGCGACCCAACAGCAGCAGCAGCGGCAACGCGTCCTCGAACGCCACGGCGGCGGATGACGCGGCGGCAAAGAAGCCCATCCTGTCGACGCCTGCGGTGCGTGCCACAGGCGTGAGTCGTGCCGATGCCCTCGCCGCGGCGCACCTCATCTCTGTAGCGGGTCTGCCGACCTCTTTCTCCACTGGTCCGGTTCCAGGCACCAACAGCAGCAGCACTAGCAACAGCGGCGGCGGCACCATCACACCGGGCAGCCACAAAACGATCCTGACGACGCCTTCCATGACAATGCAGACGGTGTGGCGGGCGGTGGAGAAGCACTTGGATTGGGCGCAGCACGAGGCCCAGCAGGCGCAGGCGGCGATGGTATGGAACGGCGTGACGCCGCCGAAGCCGGGCGCAAAGTTCACCCTGACGGTGGCCGAGAGCGGCACCGGCGCAGGCGAAGAAAAGGCGGCGGCGGCGGTGGTGGTGAAGACGCTGGCGGAGGCAGAGCGGGTGCGACTGCAGGATTTTCCGCGTAATACGGTGGTAACGGTGGCGTTTGAAGGCTGGCCGCCGGTGGACAGTCCCGCGCCTGCCGCATCCGTGCCGCCGCCGCAGCAGCAGCAGCCCACACCCGCCCTGTCCTCGCCCTCCGATTACGTGTGTGAAGGGGACGTCTGCCGCCGCCGCCTTCCCGGCGAGACGGCTGAGAAGTCGTCGTCCGCGGCAGCTGTCTCAGCCCCGGCACTTGAAGAGCGAGCTCCAGGTGTTACCGCGTCTGCGCCGCCTGCATCCGCCTCGCCGTCCTCTCCAGCGTCCGCGTCCGCGTCGACTCCCAGCTCCTCGCCAGCCGTTGTTGCTACCATCAAGCTGCACTGCTCTCTACCGAACGGCAAGACCCTCGACGTCGACCAGCTAGACCCCGCCATGGATACCCTTCAAGCAAGCGTGCGGCCCGTCGTGGAGGAGGCTCTTGGCTACGAAAACTTCATCTTCGTGTGCGCCTACCCGCCCAAGCGCTACAGCGCGGAGGTGGATGAGCCGCGTCTGCTGAAGGACATCGGCCTCGCGCGATCGAGCGCGCTGCGGGTAGTTTCGCTTGACGGGCCGGGCTCGCCCAACGCCGCCAACGCCTCAGGGCAGCAGCAGCATCAGCAGCGACAAGCCGGAGCGACACGGCAAATGCTGTCCAATGCGGCCTCCTCCTTACTCGGTATGCTGGCGGGACGTCGTGCGAACTCAAACGCCAACCCCCAGCCCACGGCCGGCAGCGGCGGCAGCGGCCGCGACGGCAACGCGTCGTCGAGTGCTTCGAAGGAGCCGCGCCGCGCCTACAACTCCATGGCGGAGATGTTGGCTGCGAATGAGGCGGCGGAGCAGGAGATGGCGATGCAGCGCCTTCGGCAAGAGCAAGAGCAGCAGCAGCAGCAGAGGCCGTTTATGGGACAAGACCCCGCCGACGCGGCACAGCAACAACGCGCGCAAGGCAAAAAGTCCAACCGCTACTTCGGTGGCGGCTCGACAGAGTACATCGCCGAGGGCGACAGCGGTGCCAACCAGAAAGATGGACGCGGCAGTGACGACGACAACAACCCACACAGTGCCATGGAGGGCCTCACGCAGGAGCAGCAAGCGGCATTTTTGCGTGCACAGCTGCAGCGAGTGATGCGACAGCAGAGAAGTCGTGTGGGCGAGGGGGAGTGGGGAGCGGATAAAGAGGTGGAGGAAGAGATGGGAGATGGTAGTCAGCGCGGCGGCAGTGAGCAACTTCGTGCATTCCAAGGACAGGGGCGGCGTCTTGCCGGCGATGGGCTGCCTTCTAATGCGAACTCTCCATCCGGTTCCGCTGACGCTCAGAGTTCCCAGCCGTCATCGCCGCCGGACGCGTCCGCCGCGAAGAAGAATCAGTGAGCACGTCACTGACGCGCAACGGCAGGAAAGAGAGAAAAAGAACCGAACGTGTGTTCGGCTTCGTTGTGGGGCTAGTGCTTCTGTCAAAGCTGTTTTGATGTCATTATTGCTAATACTGTTTTACGGCTAAACTCTTTCTTCAGAATCGCAACTTTATCTTAATATTATTGCTATTATTAACGTTTTTGGTGTGTGTGTGTGTGTGTGTGTGCTCCTTCTTTTGCGTTGCTCGAATGATTCTCTCTTCCGTTGTTAGCCTTTTTGACCGGGTGTGCTTGGCGTTTATTCATATTGCGGTTGCTACTTCGATTTGTCATGCGTTTTCACGTTGCTTCACCTCAGCGAGCGCAAAAAAGACTGCGTGACAAAAACAGTAGCCGCATTATGATAGCGTTCAGTCGTGGTTTTTTTTCCCCTACATTTATGGACATGCAGTAGCACAGTAAATGTACCACGCCTGTGGCTGGCACTCATCCCTTTTCCCTGCCGTTTTACTCTTCAACAACCTCCCTCTTCTCCTCTCCCCCCCCCTCTCTCTATCTCTCTTCCCGTCTCTCTCTCGCTTCGACAACTACTGTTTTCTGTTCTGTGCAAATGCGTCAGTCTCTTGATGTTGTAGTACGCTGTGACGTCTGCAGCGAAGCGAGCGCAATCACAGCTTATAAACGCTGGGTTTTACTTTGGATTCTCTCATCAGTTAGTATCCATCTTTGCTTGTTTGGCGTCTCTCTCCTCCCTAACACCTCCCTTTCCATTTGAACTACAAAGGTGTAACGCCTTTCGCCGGAGAACTTACTGACTGCTTCAAGAAAGCACTTGCTGTTGTTGTTGCGGCTTCTGCGTTGTTCTGGAATATCACACTTTAAAAAAATCAGAAGAGGCGCTTTCTTTTTGTTCCAGAATTCCCAAAAGAAAAAACCGGCAGCGCCGATTTGTCGACTTGAAGTTGATAGAAGATAATCACCCGTGTGTATGTGTATTCGCGAGAAACCAGCATTGCGGAACAATGGTAGGTGGCAAAAGAAAAGGCACCAACGCCCTGGAGAACTGTTTGGTGCTGAACGGCCGCTTTCGCGTCGGCCAGCGCATCGGCGGCGGCTCCTTCGGTGAAATCTTCCTCGGCTACGACATCCAAACCGGCGACACCGTCGCCGTCAAGGTGGAGCGGGCGAAGACGAACCACCCGCAGCTGCTGGCTGAGTCGCGGTACTACAGCTGCATTAGTCAGGGGCACGCGGCGGCGTACATGCCGATCATCTACGGCTTCTCCGCGGAAGGGGACTACAATGTCATGGTGATGGAGCTGATGGGTCACTCCCTCGAAGACCTACACGGCCAGTGCGGCAACCGTTTCTCGCTCAAGACGACGCTGATGCTGGCGGATCAAATGTTAAAGTTGATTGAACTCGTGCACTGCTGCAGCATCCTGCACCGTGATATTAAGCCAGACAACTTTATCATGGGTCTCGGCAAGAAGACACACCACGTCCACATCATCGACTTCGGTCTGGCCAAGAAGTACCGTGACCCGCGCACGCACGTGCACATCCCCTACAAGGAGGGGAAGTCACTCACCGGCACGGCGCGTTACTGTAGTGTGAACACCCACCTCGGCATCGAGCAGAGCCGCCGTGACGATTTGGAGGGCATCGCGTACTTGCTTATTTACTTTTTTAAAGGCGCGCTGCCATGGCAGGGGTTGAAGGCGGCAAACAAGGACCAAAAGTACGGTCTCATCGCGCAAGTGAAAATGTGCACCCCCATCGAGACTCTGTGCAGTGGCATTCCGGTGGAATTCGCCTCTTTTGTGAACTACGCGCGTGCGCTGCGCTTTGAGGATCGACCAGATTACGGGTACCTGCGAGCTATGTTTCGCCGCGTCTTCGAGCGGGAAGGCTACCAAGAGGACTACGTCTACGACTGGACGGTGCGGGCGATGCAGGAGACCATCGCAACGCGTCAGCGTAAGCGAGGAGACCACAAGCACAGTAAGAAATAAAAGCAGAAGTAGAGAAGGATAATGGCATTGTTGAGGGCAGCATTGGGGGAAGGGAGAGAGAAACGAAGAATGGTGGAGGAAAGGGAAGCAAAAAACACATCCAAGGTTTTTTTTAATAATAAGTTCGTCTTTGGGACTTCTTTTCTCTTTTTCCTTTTGCATTGATTTGTTTATTTACGCGGGTGTGTGTTTCTTCTCGTGATCAGCGGTGCAGTGAGGGAAGTGTTGGTGTTGCTGCCACGTACGTAAGCAAACAAAAAAGAAATACCAAGACCCCTTTTTAATGGTTTTCACCTTCTTTTTTTTTTTTAAAGCTGTGAGGGCAGTGCTGCACTTCTCAAATATAACTTGTTGCTAGTATTATTTGGGCTACTTATTTATTTACGCTTTTCGACAAACTCTGCACTGCTTCATTCCTTTTTTTTCTTCTTTGCAAATTATGTTTTTTTTTGTGTGTTTGTTTCTCTGACCTGCTCCTCCTCCCCATCCTTTCAACAAAGCTGTACATCGGAGGAAGCGATGGAATCGTTGATGAATTCAAGTCGCTGCTGTTCTTCTTTCGTGTGAGACGACCCTCACTGTCCAACTTGTTCGTTGCTAATGCGATGCTGTCCCGCGGGTGTCTTTTGTTGTCGTCTGTCCTTCTTCTTTTTCTTCTCTTAAAACGATCATTGTTGCTGACTACGAATCTATACTTAGTTTCGTTGTAGCGCTGCTGATGATGCAATGGTGTAGAAGAAAAAAAAAACCACCTGCGTGCGTGTTTCTCTTTCCCTTGTTGGCTTTTACCAGCTTCTGTTCTTTTCCGCTGTGGTGAGGGTTTTTTTCTTTACAGCTCTGAACTTTTATGGGAAGGAAACATGCAACGTACAATTTTACTTGCACGAGGACGTCAAAGTGTGAATTTGCACAGCTGCTCCGTGCATCACCTGCATTTACTATTAATTTGACCGATTCATTGAAAGATAGACGCGACAGACGAACAGCAAAAAGGGGGAAGGGAAAAATGTATGCGTGTTGTTGGACGAGAGATATGCACACCGTCACTACCGCCGACGTGCACAATCCATTTTCGTCCTGTTGGCTTCCCTTACATCCGACCACCAGCACTACTACCCTTTCCTGCGAAACACCCTTTTCCCTTTTTTTTTTAAACATCCCATTTCATCCTCTGCGACCACACGCACACCGAACATTGAAACGTCACCTCGGCCGTTACTCCGCATTGCTCTTCTCAACAGAGAACAGCAGAAGTCGCATCCAGCAACAACAGCAAAAACTGTTTCGTGCTCTTATAGATTCGTTCCTCTTCTCCCTCCACTTTTTTTTCTTTCCTGCGTTTGTGTGAGGGTTGACCAACAGTAAATAAGCATTTCCAACGACGCACAAAGAAAGAAAAAATGAACGTGGAGCTGCGTGTTGGCAACCGCTACCGCATCGGTCAGAAGATCGGTTCGGGCTCCTTCGGCGAGATCTTCCGTGGCACGAACATCCAGACGGGCGATCCGGTGGCCATCAAACTGGAGCAGGTGAAGACGCGGCACCCCCAGCTGACGTATGAGTCTCGATTCTACCGCATTTTGGGCAGCGGCGGCGGTGCGGTAGGCATCCCGATGATGTTCTACCACGGCATAGAAGGTGAGTTCAACGTGATGGTGATCGAGCTGCTTGGCCCCTCCCTAGAAGACCTCTTTTCCTTCTGCGGACGCCGTTTGTCGCTCAAGACGACGCTCATGCTGGCCGACCAGATGATCAGCCGCATTGAGTTTGTGCATAGCAAGAGTGTGCTGCACCGCGACATCAAGCCCGATAATTTCCTGATGGGCACGGGCAAGAAAGGCCACCACGTCTACATCATCGACTTCGGTCTGGCCAAGAAGTACCGTGACCCGCGCACGCACGCCCACATCCCGTACAAGGAGGGAAAGTCACTCACCGGCACGGCGCGTTACTGTAGCATCAACACGCACATGGGCATCGAGCAGAGCCGCCGCGACGATATGGAGGGTATCGGCTACATCCTCATGTACTTTCTGCGCGGCTCCCTCCCGTGGCAGGGTCTCAAGGCGCACACGAAGCAGGAGAAATACAACCGCATCTCCGAGCGCAAGCAGACGACGCCGGTGGAGCTGCTGTGCAAGGGCTTCCCCAGCGAGTTCGCCGCCTACATGAACTACGTCCGCGCCCTCCGCTTCGAGGACAAGCCGGACTACTCTTACCTGAAACGCATGTTCCGCGACCTCTTCGTGCGCGAGGGCTACCACGTCGACTACGTCTTTGATTGGACTCTGAAGCGTATTCACGAGAGTCTGCAGGAGCAGCAGTCCTTCCAGGGAGGCGCGAACGCGCCTACGGGTGGGACGCAGGAGAAGACGTCCCCTGCTAACCCGACCCCTCCGCAGGTGGGCGGGGTACCGAACAACGCGAGCCCCAACACGAACCCGCAGGAGCCGAATGCGCCGGAGCAGTAGAGAGAGAGAGAGAGAAAGGCTTTTAGGTGTAGGTTGAAGGGTACGCGTTTTCATTTTCTCTTTTACGCTTTTTCCCTCGTTTCTTGATTGAAGCAACGCGAGAGATAGCGAGAGGGGAAAGAGAGAGAGGTCACTGTTTCTTGTATGTTCTCCACCGCTCTCTTCCCGTTTCTATTGCGGTTGCTTTTCCTCATCCCAGAGCGATCGTCGTGTACACTCTCATTCGCGCTTTCCACCCCTTTTTTTCATTGTGCCACGTGTTTTTGTTTTCTTTTCTTCTTCATCCTGCTTCTCGACCTCCGCGCATCAACAATTGCCGTTTCTGGCAGAGAAAACCAGAGCAGCGATTTGTCCTTCCCTTTCCCTTTCCCAGCTACCCAAGAAAGTGCCTTGGTAAGAATCTCGTGCGTATTCGGAAAACGAAGACTCCGCCGAACAGCATGTAGCTCTTCCTCATTCAACAGCGTTAGAAAACGTAAAGACGCCGTGGAAGAGTGCGAGCTGCAGAGTGGAGAAAAGCGTCGACGCATTGAAAAAAAAAGGAAAAAAAACCGTCCGGTGCGTGGGCAAAGCGATGCCATTCTATTACGTTTGGTTTGGTTATTTGCATGTTTGCTTGTTTTTTCCGTTACCTGCCTTTCAGTTCGTCGTCTTTGCGTGTCTGCGGCCTCGGTTACTGTCTTCTGTGTGCACGTGGGCTTTCAGGAACGGTGGCAAGCTCCCATAAGGGTCATCGCAGCTTTACAGCCGTACATCTCGCTGCCACTTCTGGGACTGCGTATACGCGAATACCAAAAAATGGGAGTCAAGTATAGCGTTTGTGGAAGCCGTAGTCGTTTTTGGGTTGTTGTCGTCGCCGTTTTGCTTTATGGAAGGTGTTCGGCATTAAAAGGCTGTTGCCACATGTAATTTCACTTTCTGATATCCCCCTCCCCCATTATGCTGGGAGAAACAACCTAGGACGAGGCGTATTTATGAAGAGAAAAAAAAACGTGGAGAGGCACGCAAAGACACACACGCGATTGAAAGGCAGAAAGGAGTGCAGAGAAAGGAAAACAGGGAAGAATGGCGCCACGTTGAAGTTTTTCTTTATGGGTATATTTCTTTATGTACCTCACTCTTGTCGCGTAGCTTCACTGTTCATGAACTTCCTTTTCTACGCCCTCGTATCTTTTTTTTTTATCGATGCTTTCTTCTGTTTCCGCTTCGATGAAAAAGGTGGTGTTTCCGTTGTTGTGGGATTCCTTGTCTCCATGAGTGTTGAGACTCCTTTTTTTTTTGGTTTTCCTCCTCTATAGATGTGGTGTGGACCGGGCATCTTTCATTTGTGGGCTTCTTTTGTCCTCTACTTCTCTGTCTCGGATTTTATTCTCCTTTTTTGCTTGCCGGCGTGTTTGCTGCTGCTTCGTGTCCGTATGAACATCACTGTGTTCGTCGTTCGTTTTGGTCGAACATAACAAGGAGCAGGGTTTGCGTGTTCTTACTTTTCTCCCCTTTTTTTTGGTGGGGATGGGCGGGAGGTCGGTTGGTGGGTTCAGCGTGCGTTGCTATCGCCGTTTACTAGGTGGGGAGAAGGGACACAATTTCTCCGTCTTTTTGTCTCCCTATTAGGTTCATCCTTGTATCTCGTAACACCACCATTAGCAGATGCACTTCACACTTGTCTTTCTTATTTCTCCGTGTTTCCGTTAGACACGATTGTGCGTACGTGCTTGTGTGTGTGTATGAATAATAATGAGAGGAAAAGCAAAGCTGCTCCCACAAACAGAAGAATGAAACGACGGAGAAGGACCAACAATAATTCCAAAGAGAAGATAAGTTCATCATGCGCCAAAAAAAAAAGGTTGCCTGCCCTCGTGTGAAATAGTAGCCAATGACGTTTCTATAGTTGTTTGATTGTTTTTTTTTTTTGCTTTGCTTTGATTGTCTTGCAGTGAATGTTCGTGTTGTGATTGATATTTTTCATTATATATATATATATATTTGACTCGTTAGTGGATGAGGTGCATGCTCTTCTTTTGTTTTCCTTCTCTCTTTTTCTCTTTCATTCTACTGAATGACTTTTGATTGTTTCCTTGTTTAAAAAAAAGATGTGTTGGACTGTTTTTGACTCGTTAAACAAAGCTGAAAATAAAAATATGCACGTAAGCGGAAAAAGAGCGATGAGTTCCCTTGCACTCAACGTTTTCGCGTTATCCGGTGGCTTGTTGCTACGAGAACTCTAAACACCTTCTGTTGTTCTTTTGCCGTTGTAAAAGAAATGCGCCTTCTTATTGTTGCAAAAGTGGTCTCGACATACACGAGGACTTGCAGGTCATCTTAACGTTAACGTCACTCTCGCGTTATGCAACCTCCAAGAAAGAATAAGCTGAAGGCCGTCTTGTTATTGACGCTTTTGCTTTCTTCGTACCGTTGTGGTTGTTCCGCGTTCCGGTTGTTGCTCATCTCCTTACTAGGAGGAGTGGATGTCTTTCTTTCCTACTTCTGCTGGGCGCCAACAGCGGATCTCATGACGCGACGCCTGTCGACCGATGTTGCTTACCTCTTACTCATCTCTCACCTCTCCGCTCTATTTTGACTCTTTTTTTCATGCGCGTTGCGGCCTCCGTCTATCATCCTCATTCGACGTGTTTTTCGTCGCGTGCTGGCCACATCCAACACACCTCCCCGCCCGTGCTTTTCTGTTTGTCTGTTTGCGTGCTGTTACTTTCCCCAACTCGCGTTGGTACCATTAAAAATAACAATAAAGAACGCTTTACCATCGTTGCCGTCACTCCTCCAAGAATGAATTTGTCGTAATACCTACGTCCCGTGCCTTTTTCATACAACTGCAGGTGTTCTTTTTGTTGTTGTTGTTGTTATCTTCTTGGTTAAACCTCTGTTTCTGGCTCTAGCGTCGAGTAACTGATCTTGCTCGCGCCGCCATCTTCGCCATTATCTCTCATATAATAATTTATTATTTATTTGTTTATTTTGCCGCTGCGAATCATTATTGGGTACCCACAAGTGTGCTTTAGATAATCGACTTTTCCGGTGTTTTTAGTTCACTCACTTTTTCGCTCTGTTTTTTTTTTACCAAAACACCAAAAGTTTTGAGTCAAAGTCTTTCCGTTGTTGTTGTTACTGACGCTCACGGTGTCCGCTGTTTTCTGTCGACGCTGATCCTTTCTTCTGCTCATCCTTTTCGATTGGCGCCACTCACGCATCTTTACTTTTTGATTTCCTTCTTATTATTTTTTTTGTCTTCTTTTTCGTCTCATACGAGTGGGCTCGCAGCAAAAGAAAAACTGATCGCGGCAATTAAACGGAAAGGCGTTTTCTTCCTTTTTACAATAAAGACACAGCTTTTCCCGCTCTTTATATTGCCTCGCTCCTTTAATTTTTATGTATTTCTCTATTTTGTTTTTCTCTCTCTCTCTACGTCGGTTTTTCTTAATTACTGTTTTGTTTTTGTTTTTGTTTTGCGTGTATTCGCAACATCTTTTTCAATTACCATTAATCCCACCGCATTATTGGCTTGTCGTGTGCGAAGTAAAAGAGATCGCAACTGAAAGTGAAGGAAAGAAGAACCCAAGTGTACCTCTTCGTTCCTATTCTTTTGTTTGTTTGTATTTTCCCTGACTTCTCCGTATTCTCCCCCTCGCTCTTCTGACCTGTGTGGCTTTTACACAAAAACGCGCACGTACACATGCCAAAATTCTGGTCCGTTTTAGGGATTTGTTAGTTAACCGCGTTTCCAGTTGTTCCGCTTTCCATTGTGGCGTATTCGATTTTTGTTTTTGTCTTCCTTTTCTCTTCGACTCACACGATTGTAAAAAACTCGTATCACCAACGTTCGACTTTTTGATCTTTTTATTTCCGTTTCTTCGTTTGTTTTTTCTTTTCCCCCTCGGCTCCCACCTGAGCTTGTTGAGGTGTTCTTCTTGTAATTCATTTTTGTTTAAGGAAGCTAAGCTGATTTGTTCTCTTTCCCTTCAGCTTGTTCTGTTCTGATAGCGAGCTCGTACCCTCTCTTTTTCACGTTCTTTGACTCTGATTTAAAGTTTAAAAAAAAAAACATCTCCTTTTCCCTTCGCCCTTTAATATCTTATTCCTTGAAAAAAAAAATCGGCCGTTTTCTCCCAGTGTGTGTGCGTGTGTCTACCTTTTTTTTTCGTGTAACCCTATTATTTTGTTTACTGTTACTTTTTTTTTGTATTTTGACTTTCCTTTGTTGCTGCTGTTTTTCTTTCTTGTTTTTCCTCGTGTTTTGCAGTGTAAGTTAGCGACGAAGCCTTTCCTATTCCTATTGACTCCGTGTTCAAACACACTCGCTCTAGTTCTCTATTCGTCTTGAGTTTACGCTTTCCTTCGAAAAGCACCGCCAGATATATCATTTTTTCCGGCTTTCGTGGTAAAGAAAAAGGAGCAGAACGGTAAAAAAAAGCGTCTTCATTTCGTGTGTTTTTCTTGTCTTTTTTTTAAACGTTTACGTTTCTCTGTCCGACGTTCATCTCGTCCTTTAATCATTTTCATTGTTTTGGACTCCCACCTTTTGTTTTATCGCCACGGTTATTATTTCTGCTATTTTGCATCTTATTACCGTTGGCGTTCTTTTCCTTCTGTGTGATTTCTTTTGTTTTTTGTTTCCTCCTCTCTACTTCCGCCTCTCTCTATATTAACGATTGCGCGTTGGTGTTGGTAGCATCTTCGTCCCTCTCTCCCTCTCTTCTGCAAACGACAACACTTCTGACTACACCCTGTCTTCTTGAACACGCCAGAGGCACAATATATAAAAAAAAGAGCCAACGGGAAACCAGTGATCATGGACTTCGACAGAACCCTGCAGCAGTGGACAGTCGCGAAAGGCGCCGCCTCTTCCAGCTCCACGGTGACCCTCAACGCCCTCTCCGTCCCTGAGGCGAACATGAACGCGAGCTACAACAGCAAAACCGGTGCCTCGAGCTACGGTGTGGCGCTGCCGGTGAGCGCCCCTTTCTCGCTCGACCCCGGCCCTGCTGGGGCGTACTCTGCCTCCGTGTACTCCGTTATCGACCAAATTGTACGCGAGGCGATGAACCGCACCACCTCGCCCGTGTCCGACGATGACAGCGATGCCGCCTCCAACTCGCCAATGAGCATCACCCCCGCCTGGCAGTCCCTGTCGAAGCAGTCTTCGCTGCAGCAGCCTGGGCTGACCACCCCGGGGCCGCACGTCTTTTCCAGTCTGCCGCAGCCGCTCTCTGTTGCCGCCGTCAGCGCCTTCAACAGCCACCACAACCACCGCCGCCCACACCACACCCACGGTGACACCTGTAGCGGGGTCAGCGGTTCCTCCACGCCCGCCCACCAGCCGTCGCACTTCTCCAGCGCCGTCGGTTCGCCCCTGTCACCCGTCAGCAACCACGGCAGCATGGAGGTCGTCATCCCAGGCGCGGTGGCCGCCGGGGTGCAGCCAAGCAGCAATGCCGCGACGCACTACAAGACGAAGCGGTGCCGTCACTTTTACCAGTCCGGCTGGTGCCCCTATCAACACCGCTGCGTCTTCGCCCACGGCGATCGCGAGCTCGCCCTCTACACCGCCCGCAAGAACGAGGCGACGAACGGCAGCCACCTCAAGACGTCGCAGCAGGTAAAAGATCACATCGCACGCAACGTGCATCAGCTCGTGGAAGAGTACGAGCAGGCGGTGGCGGAGGCAGCGGCGAACGCGAAGGCGAAGAACGCGGCGGCTGCGGTCACAGCCTCGCTCAGTCCTCTGACCAACTCGGCGATGACGATGGTGACAAACATCAGCGCCGCACAGTCCGTCTCGCAGGTGTCCTCGGCCGCCTCGCAGCACTCCAGCGTGCCTTTGGCTGTCTCCTCTCCCTTGGACCCAGGCTCAGTCATGGCGCAGTCCGCGAGCGTCAACTCGGGCGTCCCTGTCTTCCACTACCAATCGCAGCAGTCGGCACCACAGCCACAACCAATGATGCAGCCCCAGCAGCAGCAGCAACCGCAGCAATACACAGTGCTGAGTCAGCAGCCCATCTTCATTTCCACAGCGAACAACCCCAGTAGACAGTGCACCCCGCTTCAGTTTACCACCGTCAGCGCCCCGGTCGGAACCACCTTCACGGTGCTGCCGACGAACACGGCGACAATGCAGGCGTCCGCGCCGCAGTCACTGTACATTAGCCAGCAGCAGCAGCAACAGCAACAGCAACAGCAGCAACGGCAACCACAGTTTCTCTTTGCTGTGTCAACAAATTCGCAGGAAGTGTACCAACTGCAAGCCCAACCGCAACCGCAACCTCCACAGCAGCCGCAACAGCCGCAACAGCAGCATATCTATGTCGTCGAAGCTCCGTTTTTTCAGCCGGTGCAGATGAGCGCCAGCAGTGCGAGCAGCGTCACCACAACAGGGCAACTCACGCAAAGCAGTGACAGCCTTCACGCATACCCTTCCAGTGGCTACGTGAATTCGAGCGGAACAGCGTTTGGCGCTGCCCCACTGAGGGGTCGTTATGCGTCGTGAACGGTCGACAACAAATATCGTGTTGTTTGGTGCTGTTGCAGTGTTTTATTTTGTATATGTTTATTTACTTATTTGCTATTGGCTTGATTTTGTTGGTGTTTTTTAAATCGCTTTAGAAGGATACATATATATTTATTCTACGCGTACTTGCATTCATGTACACATGGATGTTTTGACACACATGCGTGAAACGCCATATTTCCATGCAGCGCGGTCGTTCAGGAGATGTGTGTTTGTTTACGCTGTCGTTTTTTGGTTTCTCTCCCTCTCTCCTCGTCACCATTTTTCTTCTTTTGCGTGTTTGTCTTTTTTCCCGTTTTTCTCTCCCCCTGGGTTTTATAGTTTTGATTGTGTGCTGCTCTTTTTCTTCTTTTTTTCTTTCTTACCTTTTTCGTGTCGGATGCGTCTGCGTTTGTAGGTGGAAGTGCCGCCCACCTAGTCTTTCTGTCACTCGCCGCATTACTGCCAGTCTGTGTGTGTATACAGATCTTCAAGGGCAACGAGTGGGCTGCTGGGTTGACGGACTTCTTCGCTCCTTATACACACATATTTGTTGCTGTTCTTTGCCTCCAGCCATTTTTGTCTTAAATGTTAAAACGAATGATCCAATGAGTTTTTGTTGTTGTTGTTCTCTATCTTGTTTATTAGTGGTTTAGTTTTTTGTTTGTTTGTTTTAGCAGAGTAGTAGTATCATCATCGTTTTGCATGTGGTTTTCCCTCTTCAACTTTCCGACCGCTAATTAACTGTTATGATGCCCCCTTTTTTTAATTATTATTGTTTCGTTTGTTTCCCTCGCTGGACTGTGCTTCGTTCTTACGGTCACAAACGACACTGATGCACACATCTGCTTCTTTTCGTTTGCTTGCCTCGCTGCCTGTGTGTTATATAAGTTATCGGTCTCCGATCATCTGCTCTCGAAGCCTGGCTCGCCTCCTGTTTTTTTTTCCCCTTGGTGACTTCGTCCTGCTTTTCTTTTGTGTTTTATTCCTTTCTTTCTTTGCAGCTTCAGCTATTATCCAAGGTACAACAAAAACGACCAATCACATTTGCGCAAAGAAAAGCAAAATATATAATAATATCTTCTATACTATTGCTGCGACTCAAGCAACGTCTGAGAGGAAACCTCATGCTTTTTTTTTTGCTATTGTTGTTGTTACTTCTATTTTTTCCCCCTTAAGTGCCTACATGAGCGGAAGGGAGAGACTGCTTCATACGCGTGTTTCTCTGCTTTGGGGTGTGACGGCGTAAAGAAAAGAAGGGGGCAGCGCTTGCTTTGTACTCATCACCGCTCATATGATGTATTCTCTATATAAGAAAAGGAAAGAAAAACAGACGCAAGAGGAAAAAGTTTCGGAAACGGAAAGGCTGTATCTTTGAAGCCACAAACGCGCTGCTTTTTTCCCCATAATAATGGATGCTTTTTTTTAAATTACTATTGCTACTGTTATTTTGCTTCTCTTCTGCTTTTTCCTTTCGCTCATTTGCAGGCTGAGCAAGCGAATGCGCCAGTGTATGTACGCATTCGAAAACGGTGAGAATGAACAATTTCCACTGTAATAAGGTTTTTCGAGTTCTGCATAACTCTCAGAACTATTCTTCTATTTGCGTGTGTGTGTGTCTTCTTCTCGCTTGAGAGAGATTGAATTATATATACATACAAATATATATAATGGAGTGAACCGTCTCTCTGTATCATCTCCTCTTTTTCGCTTCTTTTCCCTTCATTTTTTTATATTTGTTCTTCTTTTTCAGCTGTTCTTCCCACTATTTATTTGTTTATTTATGTGGTTGTGTCCCGTGTTTTCTCCTTATTCGTCCTCTTCTGTTCATCCTCCTATCCTTCTCCATGCTTTTCTTGTCGTTTGTGTTTTCGCATTTACTTCTCTTCTTTTTCGTGTTCTGGATAAAACCGTGAGTAGAATGACTTGCTTTTCCATTCTGGCAGAGTTGTAGTGCGTGAAAGCACTACCGTGAAAGCTGATCAAGCTTCCGTTTTTTTTTTTAATTGTTGTCGTTGTTGTAGTTGTTAGCTTTCTTTTATATACTTTGTTTTGGATCATTCACGTTTTATCTTGTCCTGTATTTTCATTTCCTTTTACATATATATATATTATTAGTTTTGTTTGGCGTTTATTCGCACTCTGTATCGTTGACCTTTATGCTTATCCCACTTCTACGTACCTTCGATTCCTTGCGCCTGGCTCTTTTTTTCGGCCGTGCACCTGAGAACGACACGCCGATTCTTCTCTCTCTTTACGCTTCTGCGCTCTTCAACTCCTTCTTCGAAGTTCTCATCGATACGCTGCAGAGACAATCAAATACCGTCTCGTTTTTTTTTCTCCTTTCTCCAGTTGCTGAAAATTCAACAACACAAAAGAAGAAATGACAAGTATGATGTACTAATAAGGTGATATTGAGAAGACTACGTGGATGGCAAACAGGATTTGTTTTCGGGAAAGTTAAAGGCTGCGTATCTTTAGTGTCCTTGTGTGTGTGTGTGTGTGTGCCTGTCTTGCCATAGCACTGTCCCTCGTTGAATAACAAGGTGTTTTCGTTCCTGCGCTGTTTTTTTTTCTGTATTACACGGTCTCTGCGTGTCTTGAAGAAGCGGTAGCCATCAAAAAACAATCTTTTGAATAATACAACTTTAAAAAAAAGTGGTGAAAATGGGATCTTTTTAAAAGGGAAATCAATTTCCGTTCAGCCTTTGCTTTTATTTCCTCTCGCAGCTTTTTTAAAACTATTATTATCCCTGCTTTCTCGATCTTGACTTAGCGTTCAACGTTATGAATGGTCGCGTGCTTCAATAATGATAATAAAAGAAAAAAACCCTTTTACGTTTCCATTCAATAAAAATATTCCTTTTTATTGTTCCCATTCGTGATGGTTAAGGAAACGAAAAAAAAGGTACAAAAACTGGCGTCATGAAGCTCTAATAAGGAATAATAAACTATTCAGGATAAAAAAGAACATTTCATAGTTTTTCATATATATATATATATATATAGGATAGCACAGCATGGAGAAGCACTTTTGTACGAAGAGTGTTGGATACTGTGTTTTTTTTTTGTTGTTGTTGCTAATGCGGTTTCTCTGCATCCTCGCAGCATTCTTCTTCTTTTTATTTTCCAACCAATCTTTTTTGTTGCTGTTCGTGTTTTTTCCCCCTACGAGAACCGATGTGAAAACTGTACGTTCTGTTTTCTTCACGGAACAATTTTGATTTCTCCGCTGATATGTCTGCCTTAAAGTGAAAAGGAAATCACGCGAAAACAGGCCTCTTAACGTTTTTCTCGCCTGTTTCCTCGTAGCTGTTTCTTTTGACTGTCTTATTTTATATTCCTTTCAGGGTTTGTTCAGCTTCCGCTCTTTTTCCAGCATTGTCGGTGAGATGCTGACATTCGCAAGCGTTGTTTTGTTTGGTCTCAGACTTTTTCTTTTCTTTTCTCAAACTTTTCTGTCTTTCTTTTTAGTTTGTTTGACGCAATAATCTCTTTCTCTCTCATGGCATCTAGCTGTGCTTCACAGATTGCAGCCTCTGAACACGAGAGATGCGCTCCTCCGACATTCATCTACTCCGTCAGCAAAGGTCTACCATCAACAAGGGTGTTTAACGCACCGTTATTCGATATCTTGTGTGTGTGTGTGTGCGTTTGCTTCTTTTCCCTTCTTTGCTGTTAAGTATGTGCTTGTGCTTGTGCGTGCGTGCGTGCGTGTGTGCAGCTGCTCGACGCCTAACAGCGCGTGGAGTCTGCTTGCTCTTCAATATATATCCGTTGGCTATTTTTTTTTTCTTCTTTGGAGTGGTTTGCCTTCTGAGACAAAGGAAAAGAACAGTTGCTAAATCGTTCTTTTTCCCCTTCGTCTGTCTGTCGTAGACTGCCCACTGAAGGATGTAAAAAGAAAAGGAAAGGCTCGTCTGGCCTGTTTGATTCAGAAGACATGTGCTGAAGCGTTTTAGCCTGTGTGTGTGAGTGTGTTTGCTGTTGCTGATAGCCACAGCGCACCACAGCATGACTCTGACGTGTAAATGCACAAAGAAAAAGAGAACCTTTGAATGGAGGGCCATGCGTGCTGGATATACGGCGAACCTCTTCGCCTTGCTCTCCTACCTGTGTTGCCGTGTTGCACTCTTCTGATGTAGTGGGAAGTCCGCATGTATTGTTTCCGCTGTAGTCGTGCTCCGTTGTTTTTGTTTCCATTGCCGTGGCCCAACGTTCTTTGTGTTTCTTTCTCTCGGCCACGCATCTCGCTTTGTGTTTTTGTTTCATTACTGTTTCTTCTTCCCATCAAATTATACATATATATATATATATATGTTTCCTTCCTACGTCCTATGATTCTCCTTTCTTACCAAAAATCTCTTTTATATGTATCTCGTGTAGTTCATCAACAGTTATTTTTCGGTGTTGGAGGAAAACGGGAAATGAAAAACTGCCACTATTGTTTGTGTGACTGCCGTTTTTTTTTGGGGGTGGAGGAGAAACGCGCTCTTGACGATGGAGAGGAGCGCAGGCGTAAGTGGCTTCCTTTAAGGAAAGCTCACCACACGTCGTACCCCTCCCACAACGGCGGTTTTCCTCGTTCTTCTTTACGCATATGTTTTGTTTGTGTTTTTGTCATCTGTCTGTACATTATTCACTCTCCCTTTCCCTGTGTGACTGAGAATGAGAATGAGAGCGCGACGGAACGAAGAAATCAGACGGAACGATGAAGTCATCTCCTAGAACTCCGTCCGCCATAGGTTTTCCTCCGTACGTTGAGCTTTAACATTTTTTTTTTACCTTTTCGCCTTCCTTTCTTTAGTATTTCAGCGCCAAAGAGCAAATTCTGTTCTCAAAAAAGTTTTCCTTTTTTTCTTTCTTCTTTCCGTCCTAACGAAAGCGCGTGAGTATGTGCGTGCGTCTTGATTTTTGTGTCTCTGTTTACTGGAGATGCGATGATGCTGGCAGCAACGAGAACAGCAGTTTTTCTTTCTCACTTTTGTTGCTGCTTGCTGCGCTCATCGCCACCATACGCGTTGAGTGCTTCCTCGCGAGCAACGCACGCACACGCGTCCACTTTCTCCCAACTCAGCGCTGTGTTCGACAGGAGCATTTCGGTCCGGAGTCGCAGCTCCTTTACTGTACAAACTAGAAGTTGAAAAAAAAAAAGCAAAGCCGAAAAAGGAGGTGCATTGCATGAGCGACGAGAGTGCTCGTCAAGGACTACCCTGTGGCAGCTTCATTTGTGCAGAAATGGGCAAGAGGGTCAACTGCGGAGCCAAGACTGAGCAGAAACGCGAAAGGAGAAAAACTCTCTAAACGAACAAAGAGGAAAGTGTAGTTTATATATCGCTTCGTTTGAAAACGTTCAATTCCACGAAGAGAGAAGCTGATGTCGTGGTTCGCTCATTCTGCTTTGACTGCGTGCTTAACAAGCTCATGTTGATGTCTGCAGTTTTTTTTTTCGTGGCAAGTGAAGAATGTTTCAATGGAACTGCCGTCTCGCCTGTTCCAAAGTTTTCCTTTCTCTTCATTCTCGTACAGTTTTTCCTTTCTTCCTTTTTTCCCCTCAGATTTCAGGCTTTCTTTCTTTCAGGATTATAGTTTGCAAAACTGCGGACTTGGCGGTTTTTCACGAAGAAAAAACACGTCAATTTCATTTTTTTATTTCTCATGTGTGTGGTGTGTGTGTGTGTGTTATGTGTGTCGGCTGTGGATTATTCTCTCTTATGTTTGTTTTCTTTGCTTCTTCTTCCGCTTCGCACGCGTGCCAGAGACAAGAGCTCGTAAGTGGTATGGGGTGTGGAGTTTTTAAATGGAAGAAGGGAAAGGCGTGCTGTTTGCGCACGTATCGGTTTTCGGTTTGTTTGTTTTCTACATCAAATATCACTCGCAACGGACACCTTTTTCTTTTTAGCTTCACCGTAACAACAAATCACCATTTAAAAGCGACTGTCTTGTTTTTTTCTTTGTTATGTCTTGTTTCTTTTTCCCCTTTTCCTAGGTCATCCTTTTTTTGTTTGATTGTTTTTTCCCCCTTACGCCAAGACTCTATGGTACGATGTTTCTCTTTTTGTTTCTCTCTCTTGTTCGCGCTTTGCACGCCATCTGCCACACTACGCGGTGGGCGACGGCATTGAAAAGGAAAACTGTCGCAACTTATTTGTCCCCTAGACACCAGAGATCGCGCGTTGACCATCCCTTTCCCGTTATTATTATTGTTATTTTATTGGAAGCGCCGCCTTTCCTCTTTCCGTGGAAAGAGACGAGCGTTGCGTTTTGCCATGTAAGCTCAACGTGCACGGAGGATCCTTTTCTGTAAGGACGATGTGCTACTGTCGTCATGGTGATCCTTTCTGTTTTGTTTTGCCTGTTTTATCTCTTGCTGGGTCGTAATTGCGCAATCCATTTTTTTTCTACACTCTTTGTTTTATAGTTAAGCTTTCAAATTGCTTGTTAGCCGTGTTTGTTGCTGCGTATCTTCGCTTACCACCCTGTTACGCACAGCTGATTACGTGCGTAACGTCAACAAACTAGCAGACTGTTGTGCTTCATGAAACAGAGGGGGTAAAGTCGAGGTGCGCTTCTCACGCCAAATACACGTTTCCATGTCTTCCTTGTTGTTGTTGCTGTTCATATTTTCCGCATACGTGCAAAATCTATATATATATACATGAGCTTGCCCGACGTTCTCATTTTTGTTTATCGTCCGCATTTTTATTTTTTTTATTGGCAAGTCTATATCCTCTCTCTCTTTCTCTCCTGTTGTTGTTGTTTCGTCTCACGATAGCCGTCCCTTCTTCTGTTTTTGTTTTTTCTTCGATCGTGCCATGAGAACGCTCGCTCCTGCCGCCTTGACAGTCGCCTCGAATCGCTTCGCCTTGATGTGCCGCGTTCACTCAGATTTGAGAGTACGCATGTCAACCGAAAGGCTGTTCAGGAAAAAGCCACAACCGCAAAGCCGCAACAAGCAACAACAAAAAGAGCCGATTTTTAAGCTCCACAGATGCACCTACTGGTATTGTTGTTTTCACTGTTATTTCCTACGAGAGCACTGGATAGCTACTTGCAATTCGACTGCGGTGACTTCCCAGTTCTGCGTCGCTCTCTGCTACCACTGTCGTTGAGTTCTCTTGAGGAGGTACAGCAGGTGAGTGGCGGAGAATAATGATTGTTTGGGATTTGCTTTCCATGTTTTTCCATGTTTTCTGTAGTGTTGCTCGACTCCCTCGACACCTCCATTCCGTCGCTGCAGTCGGTGAAACAAAAACTCAAATTGCCAGTGCTCTGCGTGCCGCACCGCATCCCATACGCACGCACGCAAGCACCCTCTCCCCCTCTCTTTCTCTAGGTACACATGAAGGCAAGTCTTGGTTGCCTCTGCTGGGTCCGATATTGCTTACCAAACGGTTGCCGGCGCCGACTTGCAGCGGGAGGGAGGGGGGGGGGGGAAAGGGGCCACGCACAACGAGGCCTCTTTGCATCCCCGGCCGATGGTCTTACACGGTTGATTACTTCCGCTGCACATCAAACAGCGTAAAAGTGTGAGCAAGCGAGCACTTGAACGGTGCGCTGTAAGTTACTTTGTCCACGCTGTTGTCATTTCCGCCTTTCCCTCTCTCCCTCTCCTGCTGCTGTGAAACGACCTCGTTTTCTTGTGCTTTGTGTTTGGGTTTTGTGTTCTGCTCTCTCAACAGCTACCGTCAGATCCGCCGCTACCGAAAGGTGCTTTACCTATTTCGCAAAAGCATATATATTTCCTTTATTCTTTTTCGAATTCCCAGCTTTTCACCTCATCAAAACAAGTAACCTATCGAATCCATTCTATTCTTTTCAAGCCACTCCCTTGAACACCTCTTTTATAACCGATACAAGACAAAGGCAAGATGTCCACAGAGCCGAAAACGCCGACAGTGCCGATGCTGTTCAAGCCCTATTCCATCGGGCAACTGCAGCTGCGCAACCGCATCGTCATTCCACCCATGTGCATGTACAGTGCCGTGGACGGAAAGATGGGTGCCTTTCACCACATGCACGTGGGCAGCATGGCTACCTCCGGTGCAGGCCTCTTCATTATCGAGGCCACCGCCGTGCGTCCCGAAGGTCGTATCTCCTCTGGCTGCTGCGGCATCTGGGATGACGAAACGGCCGCTGCGATGAAGGCGGTGCTGGACGAAGTGCGTACGTACTCGCAGACCCCTATCGCTCTTCAGCTCGCCCACGCAGGCCGCAAGGCGTCGGACCGTCGTCCATTCGACACCCTCGAGGGCCAGGTCAAACCAGGCGAGACGGACAGCTGGGGCCAGCAAGGGTGGCAAGTGGTCGCGCCGTCCGCCATCCCGTTCAACCCCGCGGACCACCCTCCCCTGTCGCTGTCGGTGGAGGAGATCGCGAATGTCGTGCAGGCCTTTGCCGACGCCGCGGTGCGCGCGGATAAGATCGGGATCGACGGCATCGAGCTGCACTTCGCTCACGGTTACCTGGCCTGCGAGTTCCTGTCCCCTCTGTCGAACAAGCGCACGGACGCGTACGGCGGCAGCCTGGAGAACCGCATGCGCATGCCGCTGGAGGTGTTCCGAGCGGTGCGCGCGGTGGTCCCGAAGAAGAAGCCGGTGTGGGCGCGCATCTCCGCGACGGAGTGGATGGACGCGAAGGGTGGCTGGACCCTCGACGACTCGATCGTCTTCTGCAAGAAGCTGAAGGAGCTCGGCTGCGACGCCATCCACGTGTCCAGCGGTGGCAACTCCATCGAGCAGAAGATCGAGGTGCGCGTGGGCTACCAGCTGCCGTTCGCCAAGGCCATCAAGGAGGCGGTCGGCATCAACGTGATCGGTGTGGGCATGCTGACGGAGCCCGGCGAGGCGGAGGCTGCACTGGTCGGTGGCGCGGCGGACTCCATCGCCATCGGCCGCCAAATGTTGTTCAACCCGCACTGGCCGTACGAGGCAGCCCACAAGCTGCGCGCGATGGTGGATGCACCGCCGCCGTACTGGCGCTCGGAGCCGAACCCGAAGCTGAACATTTTCATGACTCGTCGCATCCCCGACAAGTAACCGTTCGTTGCGCGTAACGTCTCTCTCTCTCTCTTATTTTTCCTTACTCCGGCGCCAAGCATCATGACGGCACCACTATTATTATTGTTATTATTTTCACTTTTAAACAATACTGTTCTTTTTATGTCTCCTCAGTTTGAGTCTCCAAACGGGGTAGCCAGTGGAGAGTTTGGAACGTATTTCCCTCCTTTACTCTTATCGCTACCAAAGCGTGACGAAAACGAAAAGAAGTCGAGTCATGAAGCAGCTCCTTCGCTGATGTTGGTGGAGAGCCTCAAAATGCTGCCGCTCTTTTTGCACTGCGAGGGGCCTGGTTCGCGGCAGCAGCAAGCTACGCTGCAATCTCGAGTGTTGACTCTTCGTGCGGAGCATCGGAAAGATGCGGTGGCTCACCGTTGTTTGTTTCGTACGGTCGTAGTTCTGTGGGCAACAACTATTCTGCTGCTTTTTCTTCTCTTCTGCATCACACTGCACACACGAACCGGCATGGACTCTTTGTGGAACTGCCATCTATTCGTGAAGGTGACATACGTGTGTCGTAAAGCTGCGAGTTGGCCTTGGTGAGCTACCGTAGCATCGTTGGGATCGCTTCAGGGATGGACGCGTCCTCCAACGCATCGGCGCCGCCGCCGCCGCCGCACACCGCTGAGTTTTGGATCAATAATCTGCAGCTGGCCCCTCACCCCGAAGGCGGCTACTACCGCGAAGTCGTGCATAGCCTGCACGAGGTGGACAACGAGGTCGGCGCCCGCCGCCTTGCTTACACCAGCATCTACTTTCTGCTGACGCCGGAAAGCCCTTCGCACCTGCACCGGCTCTGCTCCGACGAGACGTGGTTCCACCACGTCGGCGACCCGCTTCAGGTGCACGTGCTGCTCAAGGACCCGCAAGATGAGGACCGCATTGCCGTCCCGCCGCGTGCGCCGCCGAAGGGGTCGGAGGTGGCCGCAGCCGATGCACGGCCATACCAGGCATACCGCCGCGTGCTCATGGGTCCATGTGTAGACCGCGGCGAAGTGCTGCAGTACACCGTGCCCGGTGGCGCCATCTTTGGCACCTCCGTCAACGCCGCAGGTGCGATGGCGCAGGCGGGCTACTCGCTTGTGAGCTGCGTTGTGAGTCCTGGGTTTGACTATGCGGACTTTGAGCTCTTGACGCAGGCCCAGCTGATGGAGCTGTGCCCGCAGCACGAGGCCGTGATTCGGCAGATGGCGTACGAGGCCATTCCCAGCTGATTACACTGGACACACACAAACGATGAGGCCTAAGTGCCGAAGCAGAGAGTTGCTTGAGCTGCTGAAGCAGTAACGTGCCGTGACCGTTGACGTCATGTGCAATTCGGTTTTCCTCCTTCATTTAGTACGGTTTTTTTATATTTGAGTTGACTCAAACACTGACCACCAACTACCGGGTCTAAATAGATGAACGTGTGGGGTTGCGGCTTTGTTTTATCGTCTTTTCACATCCGTTGAGCCTTCGGATTTAAATAGAGAACAAATACTGCAAACTCGTCGTATCTCATGGACCAGAGAGGACGGAGTTTCTGGACTGTGAGTGTAGATGACTCACAGGGCTAATAGATCATAGTAAGGAATCAGGTCTATGTTCGGGTAGCTTCCTGCTCGTTCGTGTCTCTTCAGTGTGTGCGGTGTGTCCAGCTCCTTTCGAAGGTTGATCGCGTTACTCCGCATTTTGTTGTCGCTCTCGTCTAACGCACCTCGCTTTGGCTTTCACGTTCGTGTCTTCTTATTTTCTTTTTCCCACCGCTCCCCGTTGCTCTGTGTGTAATGCGGGTGCGGTTTTGTGCCTGATGTCGGTGTGTTGTTTTGCTGTCGACCGCAAACGGCAACCTGCAATATACGTTTTTTTGTCACACCGAATTTAGGATTTAACACACGATTTCTTTTTTAAGCATTTAAAAGTTCAGTTTTTTTTTCCCCGAAACAATTCACAATTTCATCTGTCTTCACGCTTTCTTTTTTTGTTGCCTTTCGCAGAAGAAGAACCATCCAAGGCACCAATTCACGTGGCTCTTTTGTGTCGTTCACCACCTCCACCACTTCGTTCACACACAGACCTATATCACATCTCTGTTTTCTGTATTCGGCAAAGTTGTCCTTCCAATTTTTGTTGTTGCTCTCCACACTGTCACAAAAATAAGGAAAGATGACGAACCAGACGCGCACCACCTTTTCCGCCAAGAAGGCGGCGGCGGAGCACCAAAAACGTGTCCTCGCGACGGCCGCCGATGGCGAGGACGAGAAGCACATTCTCGCCAGCCGTTACAAGACGAAGATGTGCAAGAACTACATCGCAAAGGGCGAGTGCCCGTACGAGGTGCGTTGCATGTTTGCCCACGGTGAGCGGGAGCTGCGGTCGAGCGAGGAGAACATCCGCGATGGACTCGTGACCGAGGAGGCCATCAAATCGTTCCAGCGTCAGCAGAACCAGGCGAAGCGCCGAGCGACGTACGCCGCCGCACACGGGGCGGAAGCGCGCGCGGCGGCAACGGCGGTGTCGGCCCCGCAGCAGATGTACGTGGACGGCGAAGAGAGCGAGGAGGTGTATTACCACAACCACAACCACAACCAGCAGCAGCAACAACACGAGGATGTTAGCACGCCGCACTTTATTCCACGTGCGCAGTCGATTCAGCACCCCACCGGTTTCTACACGCACAACCCCTACGCCTTCAACATCATCCCCACTCAAGCGCGCGAGTTCGCGGCGTACGAGGAGACGCCGGAGGAGACGTACTGGTACGAGGAGCCGGTGCCGACGATGGCGGCCGTCGTGGAGGACTACTACTTCCCATCTTCGGATATGATGGCCCCGCTGGTTCCGAACTCTGTCGCACAGCGGCAGCAGCAGCAGCAGCAGTACAACAGCGCCAACAAGATGCACGAATCCGTCACCGCAGGCAGCTTCAGCGAGGAGGCGGCGTATTGCCAGAGCGGGTCTACGGACTACTCTGCCTACGCGCCCAAGGCGCACTGTACCGCGGCTGAGATGCCGAACTACTCGGACGAGGTGCCGATGGTGCTGGAGCCTTAAGTCTGATTTCCTCACGTTCCGCCATTAGGAATGCCTTGAGACGCAGAGAAACATACACCAAAAACACACAGAGCACAATGAAATAGTGTAAGCGAAGAAACGAAGGACACGGAGTATGCCGTCTGCAGCTCTTTCATTCCAAAGGAAGCGCTTAGCATCGTCGTTTTTCGCCAGCCTTTTCTCCTCTAAGTGTTTTTTATGTCTGGTTGCTTGTTTTGAACGTCTCCCCCCTCCTTTTCTCTCCCCCCCCCCCTCCTGTGTGTTTAGCTTTCGCATTTACTGACGCGTATCAGTTGTGTTTCTCTCCTTTGTGGTTGTGTCTGTCCACTGCAGGCACAAGTAGAACGGAGGAGAGAGCCAGAAGAAAAATGCACGTTCAAGTGAAAGGCAGGGCAATCACGACCGCAGGATCTTTTTCGGGGAGGAAGGGCCAGTTTCGGAAGCAGAGAATTGCTCTTGTCCTCTCTGTTGCTTCCCTTCTTCGCAAAAAGTAACAATGCCGAGCCGCTGAAGAAGGGGAAGAAAGTTTTTTTTTAATGCCTCCATTTTTTTCTTTGTAACAAAAAAAACACCAATTTGCGGTTTCTTTTTTTTCCGATTTTTATTTCCCTTCTCTTTCTTTTTTTTTTTGGTTTGCATCCAAACACAGAAACACAGAAAACCAGCAAACCGGCAAAGTGAATCTCGCAGCTTACGGTTCTGCCTTCATTTTTCCCTCTTCTCCTTTTTTTTCTCCCTCTTCTTCACTCTTAAAAAAAAAAATGTACGTCTAAACTGCCCAAAAGAACACAGCTCATATTTTGTAGAATCAAAAGGAAGAGTTGTCTTTTTAAAGTTCTTTTCACCTGTTCACTACCGTCTACTTCTACTACTTTAAAACAAAAAGAATTCGTAAGCGATCTTTTTCTGTCTCTCTGTTTTGCTTTCGTTTTTCGAAAAACTCTGGAATTTTTGCAAGACACATTTTTCTTTTTAGCGCACCTGGTAAGCGCTTTTTGTCAACATGAAGGTACGCGCAAAATCGTCAGCAATTCCCTCCACGGAAACTGTGATGTGTGTGTGAAGCAGTGCTGAATTGTTTTCTGCTGACTCTCATCATTGTTGCGCAGATCAGCGGGGCGACGTACGTTGTTGATATCCGGAACGTTGTTGTTGTTTTATTTGATTCTTTGCTTTGCTTATCTTTACTGCGCCTTTACGTCTGTGTTCGTGTCAGCGACCAGTTTTTAGAGGAAAGGAGGTTTTCTCGCAGGCTGCCTCAGCTTGTTTTCTTTGGTTTTCTGTGTTTCTTTTCTCTGATTTCATGTGTTCGCAACTTTACCCTTTTGCGTCTTTTCTCTTCACGTTTTCCGCAGTCCCTCTTTTTTTTTTGTTGTTGTTGTTTGTAAAACGGGTGCGTGCGCGCGCAAGCGGACACCGTCGGAACGTTCTTTGTTTTTCAACGTTAAAGTAAAGACGTTATCGATGACGCGGTCGTGCGTACGCACCAGAAAGAAGGTCACTTTTTCGCTTCCACGTCCCTCTCTCGCTGACAGCGTCAGGTGTGCGGAGACGTGAGAGAGTGCGTGAGAGAAAGAGAGAGAGATGCCGTAACGTGAAGAGGACGCCGAAACAATAAGGAACTCGGAAGGAAACGAAGTCCATCGGCGAAGGAGGGGGAGGAGTCCGCTCCGGAAAGCAGTAGACAGGTATGGGTATATCGCAGCAGTACATATATGTACACACGCGCAACTCTACTTGCTGTTTCACTTTACCCGTCTGGTGCCACCCGTCGGATCCACGCTCCTCTGTGTTTTTCTGATTCTCTTCCTTGTGATCTAACACGCTTCTTTACAGCTGCGTATATCAGTTTCCTCCGCCTTTTTCTTTGCTTTGCTTTGTTGCTTGTTTTTTTCTTGTGTTCCACAATGGGCCTTTTTTCGTTCGCATGAAGAAAGAAAAAAACAAAATTATAACACTACTTTTTTGTTTTTACCTTTCTGCAACGCATTTTGCTGTTTTGTTTTCCCTTCCAACTTTCTCTTTCTTTCTTTTCCTCCCTCGTCTCGTTTTGTTTTCTTTATCTTTTCTTTAACGCTTTAGGTTTGTTTCTTGCTTCGTTTGTGTGTGGGTTTTTTTTTCTTTCTAGCTCGTCTCTTCGTGCAAGTGTGTATTCACATCGCCTATATATCTCAGCTTCCTGAGTGCAAGTAAGCAAGCAAACAAACAAAAATGTAGAGGAAGTGGGAGCAAAAAAAGAAAGACCGAAAGTAACGCAAAAGGGAAAAACACTGCATGAAAGGTGTTTTGAGACCTTTTCGCAGCACATTCTAAAATTAGAACATTGGCAATTAAAGCAAGGTGTCAAAGGAGTAAAACTCTTAGTAGAGATACCTTTAGAAAAAAAAAAGGTTTTGCTTCTTTCTGAACGTTTTCTTTTTCAAACACCGACACCTTTGTTTTGTCTTGTTTCTTCCTTTTTTTAAAAAGCTCACGCTTCTTTTCTTCTCTATTTTTTTGTCGCATGTTCTCTCGCTTCTCTGACTTCTTCTTTATTTTTCGATGTTTCTTCTGTTCTTTTAACCTCTTAACACAGCTAATTTACGATTCTCCTGTGTTGCCGTTGTTTTCTTTTTCTTCCTTTTGTTTTTTGCTGCTAGGTGTTTTGAGAAACGTGCGTTCTCTTTCCCTTTCTTTGTGTGTCTTTGCTTTGCACAACTTGAGTACGATGCGCCGGGTACACCAGCGCCTGTGCTGCACACCCACACCTACCTAACGTAGGATGTGCTCCAAGGAAAATAAGCTCTTCGTGTGTGCATGGGGCAGTTGTTGCCGACTCGGCGCTACCCTTCTGCATTTCACCTTTTTTTTTACTCCTTCTTCAACTCCTGTTGTCGCCCCCACGTTTGTGCTTGCAGTCAAGCGTCCTTTTGTTTGTTTAGCGGGTTCTCATTTTGCTCTTCTCAACCCCTCCCACTGCGTGTGTCGTAGATCGGTGTGTGCATGGCATCTTTCTCCTTTACCGCACATATGCCCGCACACCCGTGCCCAATCACGAATTGCAGCGTTCGACTCCTTTTTTTTTCTTATTTTCCTTCCTACCTTTGTTTTTGTCTTCTTCTTTCTCGTTCGATATAAAACCTTTCTTGGGGTTTTCAGCATTGCTTTACAGTCAAGGCAAAAGCGTCACATCTTTCTCCGACAGCTGGAAAGGGCCACACACACACACACAAGATGAGCTGTTCAAGAGAGAAGACTTCTCCGGAGCACAAGGAGAGCAGCAGGAGAGCGAAGTAATTGACACGTGAGTGTCTGCACATTCACTTCAAATTTTACTGACTCAAAGAGAAAAGTGATAATGATGATGGTGATGACGACGCAGTTGCCAGCTGCACGGAACCGTACAATTACTTCGGTTTTTCTTTTTTTTTCCTGATCAGCGTTGTTCGCGCAAGTAATAGAGCGACTCTGCCTGACAACTGTGAAGTATACATGGACGCCTAGATGTCTCTGGGTGAGTGTATTTCGTTGTCGTGCAGAGGAGCGGGCATATACATTTTATTTATCTGCATGCTATCTAGCAATTGGAGGAGATCGCAAGTGTTTTTCCCTTTTTGCGTTTTTCCGTGAAGCAGCTCATGTTGATTTATAGCCAGCGGTAGCATGCATTGTTTCAATAGTAAAACTGTGTAGCCTTTTTTTTTTCAGCCATCCTGTCACGTTTTTTTTCTTTTCTTCTCTGGTTTTTCTCTACTCTCCTCCTTTCTTCTCTTCTGGTGATGGCTCTCACTGCGGCGAGACGCCGATGACTTTTTCAGCAGGTACCAGACGAGATTGACATCACTGAGAGAGAGAGAGAGGGGGGAGTAGAGAAACATGCAGGAAAAGAGAAAACTATCAATACGATGATACCTGGAGGGGTTTTGAAAAGCAACAGCTCTTGCAAACTTGTTCACTGTGGCGACACACAAGATGAGACGAAGTTAGGGTGGCAAACAGCGAGTCAGCGGCACAGCGTACTTTTCTCTCTCTCCATATGCGCCGTCTCCTTCATCTGTAACTCGCTTCAGAGTTGCTCGCAGAGAGAGGGGAAGACAGTTGGGAAGATTGACAAAGGAAACTGGAACTGCTCGCGTTTGTTCGCGTCTCGATTGTGCTTCATCGGCCACAGGCAGCGTTGTATCATTTTTTTCTTCTTCTTTTTTCTGGGTTTTTGCGGAACGTGTTACGCGACTTCCGCAATTGATCCCTTGTCGAAAAGGGTTGTTGTTGTTGTTTGTTTTTCCTTGTATGTGTGTGTGTGTGCGGCTGGCACTGTTGTTCGTCTGCTACGCTCTCTGTTTCAGCTCCATGTTTTCAGAAGGAAAGCACCGCGCCTTTCGATTTTTCGTTTCTTTTCTCTCCCACTCACCCCCATCCCCTCCTCTTCCCCCACGCACACTTCACGGAAGGGAAACAGTTCGATCAGGTGCTCTTCTCTTTCGGTGCGTGCTCCAACAGCACATCCAGCTCCCTCTCTCCCTCTTTCCTTCCTTCTCTCTTTTTCGGTATGCGTGGATGTGGTGTGCCCTTTGTCCGCGTAACGGCTCGTCGAGAAGACCTGCGCTTTTTCATTATAAACCCCCTTTTTCTCCCCTCTCTTTTGCCTTCTCCTCTGTTTATATATATATCTATATCTATACCGCATTGCTGGTGCTGCCTTTGCTTTTTTTTTTTTTTGCTTTTTCGATTTTCTTCTTTTTCATCCAATGAACTACGCTACAGCATAAAAGTTAATGGAGAAATATAAACTCTTTACTCTAGGAAAACAACAAAAAAGTAAAAGAATAATAAAAGCACGTGACTGGTGCGGAAGAGAGGCTGAGCGAGCGATGTGTTCGAGCCTGCTGTCGTCGTCGCCGTTTCCACCCCCACGCCATCCATTGACAACTACCTCCTGGTGGAAGCACGATCACACAATGGAGCGGACTTTCTGTACAGGGAGGGAGGGGGGGGGGGGAAGGGGGGGCGGCGGGGGGTAGCTACACGAAGAGCACGTCTCGAATGATTTTTCGAGACTGTGGTGTTGTGTTGACCTTCTAAACATAAAAGGGACTGCCCATGCTCACTGACCGCGTTTCTCGCAACGCCGCATGCGTGGGCGTGAACTGGGGTTGCCTCTGGTTGCCACGCCTTTCCAAAAGTGATTGCTTTTTTATCTATTCAACCTACCTTTTCTCACCTGTTTCTTTTCTCCTCTTCTTCTCGGATTTCTCTTTATTATTATTATGCTTTTAACTATGGCTACTTACATTTTTTCCTTTCTTTCTTTTCCCCTAACCACCGTGCTCGCCGAGCTATTCTGCGCCGCAATAGCAGCTGTTCGCATCTTACTTTTGTATTTCTACGACACGTATTTGCAACCCCTCGGTGTATTTTCCCATTTGCTCCCTCTTCGGTACATTTCTTCACTCATCTTTTATTTTTTCAATACACATACCAAAAGGTATTTATATCTAAGGTGTGTTGGGCACCGTGTATATCTTTCATTTCACGCAAATAACCCAAGTATAGAATTATTCTTTTTTTCTCCCGTACGCGAAGCGAACGAAGATGCAGAAAGGAAAAAAAAAAGGATGCTCCTACCACCCAAGATGAACGTCCCTGCCACGCCGGCACTGGACGGTATTGATATCCACACCCTGTACGATGTTGATCATGGCAAGTTGCTCGGCAAGGGCGGCTTCTCGGAGGTTTTGGCGGTGCGCCACATCCCTTCTGGCGAGATCCGCGCGCTCAAGGTGATGGAGCGCAGCATTCTGATCGGCAAGAAGGGCGAGATGGTAGCGCACGAGAAAGAGATTCTGCGCCGCACGTGCCACCCCTCGATCATCACCCTCTACGAAGCTGTCCAGACGGCCAACAGGGTGTACTTCGCCCTCGATTTGATGAACGAGGATTTGTTTGAGTTCATTGTGCGCAACAAAAAGGTGAACGAGGACCTGACGCGCGCGATTATGCATCAGCTGATGTCCGGTATTGCTTACCTGCACGAGCAGAGTATCGTGCACCGCGACATCAAGCCGGAGAATATTCTGCTCGATGTCGTCTTCAAGGACCCAGCCGACGACGCGTCCGTCGGGAAGAAGAGCACTAGCCCCGCCGATGATGACGAGGAAGGGCCCCGCCATGTGGAGGGCCAGCAGGTCATGGCCAACATCAACGACATCCCACTTGACAAACTAAACGTTGAGGTGAAGATCGCGGACTTTGGTCTGGCCAAGGTGGTCATGGAGTGGGACGTGCGTAGCACCCCGTGTGGCACCTCCTTCTACATCGCGCCGGAGGTGATCCGTGGAATTGAGGAGCAGGGCGCCAAGCCACTCTGCACAAATCAGCGCCTCGTGAAGAGCGTGGACGTGTGGTCGGCCGGTGTGGTCTTCTATGTCCTCCTGTGTGGCCGCCCGCCCTTCCACGGCCAGGTGCGCACCGGCCAGGACCGACGTGAGCTGCTGCGCAAGATCGACCACGGCGTCCTCTTCAACCCTAACCATGGCTGGGACGACATCTCGACCGAGGCGAAGGACCTGGTGCTGAAGATGCTCTATAAGGACACGACGGACCGCATTACGGCGGAGGAGGTGCTACGCCACCCCTTCTTCACGAAGCACAACTTCCCCAAGGCGATCCCCGGCGATGACCCGCGCCGTCGCATGATGCAGCTGCAGCAGCGCTCCCACGAGAGCACCGCCGCGGCCGCGCAGGCGAGCGAGGTGGCGCACGGCGGCGGCAGCAGCAATAACCATATGAGCAGTGTTCCAACCGTGCCGCAGGTTGGGTCGGTCATCACGGAGAACCCGCCTGCGCGTTCGTCAGCCAGCTCCTTGTCGACGAAGCGCAGTAAGGACAGCGGCAACGTTTTCACGAGCATCAAAGACTTCTTTGGACACCGCTCGAAGCACACCGCGGACATTTCTAAGGAGGAGCGTCAGCGCATGCACGCGGAGCTAGCGGAGCTGCAGGCGGAGGTGATTGCAGATAACGATCAGGAGGGCGATGTGACCTCGTACAAGCCATCCATGCCGGTGAAGGAGGCGCGGCCGGCTCGAATGGCTGTCATGAACTCTAAAGCGAAAGTAGGGCCTGATGCGTTGAGGAGGTAATTTCAGTGACTATTTCGTTCATTTTTTTTTCTCTTTGCGCGTTGCACTTCGAGAAGCAATTGCCTATTATTATTATTTTTTAACGGGGACCGCCAGGAAAGGAGTGCGCGCTGCAAGGCGTTATTCCTTTCGCAGTCCTCGCCGTCCTCTTTCGTTGCTGCCACTTCCACTGTTCTTTCGCCGCTTTGTGCCCTGAAAAACGAATATATATATATATCAATGGAATAAAGGCAATGAGGCAACCGCATGTTCTCACTTTTTTTTTCCCTCTCCCGTTGTTGTCATATATGTTTTCCTGATCCTTCTCTGTATTTAGTATTTTACCACCTTCGTTTTCAAAAGCTGTTGCTCTCGCTGTGTTTTCCACTTGTGGTATTCAAAAAATTCTCGTCGGTCATGCCTTGTTTGTCTTGTGTGTGTGGGGGAGAGAGAGTGATTTGTTTGTTTGTATTTTCCAAGAAGTGTCCAGCTGACGTGCAGAGAGACAATCGTGTTCTTCCTCCCTCCCCTCCCTTTTTGTAAACGCGCATCACTCCTTTGTTACGTCCTGTTTCTCACCTGTTATGAGCGCTTCACCGATGCGCGCCAGTCGCTGCACTATTAGCAGAGGCTTTGTTGCTGACCTCTCCAGCATGACGTGGTCATGGACCTCCCTTACGTAGAATATCACTGCTTTCACCCTTTGCTCAGAAGGATTGGGCTTTTTGTTGCTGTTTCTTTCTTTTTCTGACTGCTTTTTTTGTTTGTTTGTTTGTTTTTGCCGAGCCTCTTCTCGCGTTGTTCGCAACTCTTTGCCTTACTAGAGCCAGGTCCGTTATTACCACTATTATTACTATTACTATTATTACTGCTTTGGGTTGTATCGCCATTTGCTGGTGTTTTTGCTTCTGGTTTTGCTTTGACTTTCCCTTTCTTCCTTCCTTTATTATTATTATTATTATTCTCTCCGTTTATGGTTGCTCGAGGTTTCGCGTCGGATTTACGCCACGCGCGTAATTCACTCTCTCTCTCGTTACCCCAAACGGGGAGAAAGACACTTGACCAGTCCCATTTTATTTGTGCCAGAAATCGAAATGAAGGAGTACGTCTCCTCCTGCCTTTCCTTTCCCCCTTACTTACGACATCGCTGCAGAAGCTCCTGAGCGAATGGTGCTGCCCTACAGCGATCGAGTCGGTGAAGGGAGACAGCTGTTTTTGATTGAAACGAATAAGCAACAGAGAAGTAATCGCATCAAATAAAAGCTTTTAGAAAAACATCAAAGAAAGTATCTTCTCCTTTCTGAGGGTGGGGTCCCTACAAGGGCACAACCTAGTTGTATTAACATCTATCTTCTCCTTCGCTTTTTGCAAGACATAAAGAAAAAGAAGAAGAAGCATCAAGTCCGATACGGTCAACGGCACTGCAGCGCATCGTCTTTGACGTGTGTCTAGATAATTCCTGCTCTTTTGTTTTCCCTCTTCTAACTTTATCGCGTGCCTCTGAACACAGCTCACGGTTAGCCCTTTCTCCTCCCATAGCATTGACTTATGCACGAGGGAGATCATCCACCAACTTCTGAGAGCTTAATAAGTCGGCAACGGACAAAGCTCGCCTTGTACATACTCACATTATTTTTTGTTGTTGCAGCTCTTTCCTAGAATGGGTAGACGCAGCGAGAGTGGTGGGGGCGGTGAGAAAAGCTCTGCGCACCGCAGCCGCGGCCACCGCAGCGAGCGCGACGACGCGGACACCAGTCACCGGCATCGCCACCACCGCCGCCACCGCCGGCGCAGCGAAGACCACGACGACGAGCGCGCGGACAACAACGTGCGGACGCGTGAAGATGTTAGTAGCAGTGGCCGCCACCGTCACCGCCGGCATCATCACCACAGCAGCAGTGGCGCTGGTAGTGGCAGAGGAGAGGTGGAGCAAGGTAGCGGCGGTGGTCGGCGTCGCGGCGATCGATCCGACGCAGCTGCACGCTCCCGTCGCCGCCCACGCCTTGATCGTCGAGATAGCAGTCGCAGCGGTAGCGATAAAAGCACGAATAATCACAATAATAACAATAATAGCGACGACGATTATCGCAGTGTGGAGTACGACCGGCGGGAAAGAGAGGCGGAGCGCCGCTCGCGACGCCGCGGCCACCGTGCAGACACGTATGAAGATGCGGTAGACGTCATCGCGTACGGTCGCAAGCGCCATCGAGGCGGTGGCGGTGGTGGTGGCAGTCAAAGCGACGAGGGCAGTGATAGGGAGGAAAAGGTAGAACGGTCTAGCTTGGACGACCGTCGCGGCCACAATCAAAACGCCAACTCTAATAGCCGCACCGTGGATTGGAGCTCACGTCGCGGCCGCAGACAAATGCCGAGTCTCGCGTACGACGTCGGTCAGCAGAAGCGTCTGCTTGGCTTTTTAGATCGTCGTGATGCGTCGGGCGGTCACGCAGGTGGCTCAGCAACAGCAGCAGGAGGAGGAGCCGCGGAAATGACGTTTGAGATTGGCCCCGATGGACTCGTGCAGATGCCACCGCCGAACACCCTTGTGCGACGGCGTCAATATGATCTCCGCACTGGGGGGAGAAGGGAGGACAGGCAACAGCCCCCCGCTTATCGCACAGGCAGGTTGAATCAAGGCAACGGAGCGGAACAAAGAAGCAACGGCGACAGGGATACCAATAACGGCCACGGCCACGGCCACGACAACGACGACAACAGCTCCGTCGCTTCTCACGAGTCTCTCTACAACGACCCCTCCACGGCGCATCTCGGTATTCTGCCCGACATCCTCCCCCCGTCTAATTTGTACCGCGTCGCCCTCTACGGCGTGGACCTCTCCATCACGGCGCGCCACCTCACCTCACTCGTAACGCAGCTGCTGGGCAAGGCGGCAAAACCGTACCGCGTGCGACGACCCGCGCGCGAGATGCTGCTTGCGGCGATCGCTTACCGCGACAGCGGCACGGCTTCATCCAAGCAAAACGCACCCCCTCCTCCCACCGCCGCAGCGCAAGCAAGCTGTTCTACCGCCGCGTCCGCGAAGGGGGTGCTACCAGACTTATATGGCAGTGAGAGTGCACCTACGAACCCCAACAGCGTCCCCGCGATTGGGTTGCTTCCCGAGGACGCCCGTCACAGCAGTGCGGCCCCGATGACAGGATCCGCTGGGGTGCTGAGCACGGCACCGCCCTCCTCCGGCATTTTACCCGATGTCCCTGCCGTGCTTGAGTCGGGGAGCGAAGTGTCAGGTGTGCTAGGCAGCGGCGGAAACGGCGCAGACCACGACGAGGGAGTGCTGCCCGATGCCGCCTCGCTGCCTCTGCCGCCACCGCCCGCCGCGCCTGTCTTTTATTTGCCGGGGCTACACGACGTGAACGGCCCAGGCGGGATGGTGGTGCTGGAGTTCGCGGCGCAGGAGCACGCGTTCCGCACGGTGCAGGTGTTGAACGGGGGCTACGTCAATGGTCGCCGCATTGCGGCCTCCATGTAACGTGGGAGTGAGTGTGTGTGTGTGTGTGTACATTTTTGATAGGAAGATGGAGGGAAGACTCGTATGGAGCGGTGCAACGTCTGGTGAAGACAAACGAAGGTTTATGACTGGCTGTGACGCAAACCATTTTTGTTGGAGGGGCAGTGGGAATGGGTAGAGACTTTGTTGTAGAAAGAATTGGTGCCTTCAAAGGACTGAGTCGCGTGGAAAGCGCCGTTTCTTCCTACTCGGTCATGAGATGGTGTACCCCCCAGCACCTATGAAGGTGTGGTGGATGAAGCAATGGAAAATAAAAAGTGCTGTCTTCCACGCCACACACACACACACAACAACAACAACAAAGAGAAAGAAAACCGTCGATAACCGCAAGCTTTGTTAGACATAGTGTGCATCACACGACGTTGTGGCAAAGTGCAGGTGACGAGAAATGCAACGAAAGTTTGCATATCGGTCTCTTTTTCCGAGCTGTGTACGTCGAGCCAAAACCAGGATCACCTTCTCCTTTTCAGATGCGCAGCTGTCAAGACGGTGTAATGGGGACGGCTGCTCCCTCTCCTGAGTCTCCCATTCATTGCCACGTACCTATATATTAGCTCTCGCTTCCCTGTTCAGGTCATTCAGCTCCCATCCACACCCCTTCTATATTTCTCCATCACTTCGATATTGCCATTTTTTCCGTGCGACAGCGCCACCTTTTGCTTATCTCTCGCTCTCCATTTTCTTCGACGAAAACGCATAAGCAACCAGTAGCTTCTTCTAGCGATTCAACAACTGCATTCATAGATAGAAATACATTTTTGGTTATTTTGCCAGTTGTAGTAACTGGAGTTTATCTGGACACGGCACTCAACGCGCTTCATGTTCACAGAACGCATCCCAGTGATATCAGTGTTTTTTTTTTTTTCAATTATAAAAAAAAACGTTCTCTAACCCTGGTCCTTGCAGCTCTTAACCCTTCGCGTCAATATGGAGGCGTTGACCTTGCCGTTGGCACCGGGATCGACGACCGCCATCCTGCACCCCATCAACGTCTTCGGGGCCAGCTGGGCCATCCTGCGTCACGCCCTGAGTTCCTTAAACCCCGACACCGCCATCGTTCGTCGCGTGCATCACCCGCGCCGCACCCGCTCACACGCCGGCGCGGAGGAGAGTCGTGGGGTGGACACCGCCTCCGTCGCCTCCTCGCGAGCATCACGACGGTCCAACGCGTCCTCGACCGCGGCGGGCGGTGCGGCGGCGGACTCTGCTGCCCACCGGCAGCGTCACCACCGCACGCACAGTGGCGAGGCGGACTCGACGCGTCGCCACCGTCACCGCACTTCGTCGTCGCAGGAAAGCGAGTCCGCTGCAGACGGCACCGCAGCAGCAACAACGACAGCAGCGTCTTCCTCTTCAGGGACACGTCGCACGCGTAGTGCAGAGGAGCCGCGTGCAGCCTCCCGGCGCACCGCAGCGGAGGGCGGTGACCAAACAGCGGAGGAGGGAAAAGAGACGAGGGTGCGCCGCAGCCACAGCGACGGCGCGCGGGGGCGGTCCAGCCGGCGCGGCGACGACAACGGCGGCAGCGGCAGTGGGACGACGACGCCGCGCCTCTCCACCTCGCACCCTCTCTCTCCGGCGGCGACAGCCGCAGCGGCGAGCGGGCTCACGCCTCCCCTCGCCCCACCCCCGCCCGTGCCGCGCGGTCTGGGCAAGCCGCCCCTCAGCGCTCGCCAGCGCTCTACGACTCCTGCGGGGGCGGAGGGGGATGGAGCAGCTGCGCCAGTCTCCTCCGAACGGCACCGGCATCACAGGAGCGGCAGTGGTGGCGGTCTCAGCAGCAGTGGGCGCTCCTCCCGCACACGGCGCAGTGCCGCCGACGATGAAGAGAGCAATGAGGGTAGTGTGATTGTGATTCGCGACGGCGCCGGCATCAGTCTCGGCAGCGTCATGGCTGGATGGCCGTCGCTCTTCGCCGCGGCGGGGACAGGGTCGGTCAAGTCGTTTTCCTGGTCGCCGCGGGCGTGGTGGAACCGCCTCCGCGTCGTCAAGGTGACCCGCCCCGCTTTTCTGATCGACCACGTCCTCCACGCCGTTCCCGTGATGATCGTGCACTATTGCTGCGAGCTTAAGCGTCAGCTCGTAACCTTGCCGCTGCTGCGCTTCTCAGACATCTGCGTGCGGTTTTCTCCGCGGGACGCTGCACATTCCGAAGCGGCGGGCCGTGCAGGTGCCCCCGCAGCCACCAAAACATCGGCCGACTGGCCGCCCACTGAAGAGGCCTTTGAGGCGTCGCCCTCCGCCACCATCGGCCACCTCCTGCTCACGCGGTGGATGTTGCACGCGGTTGAGTCGTACATCGATAAATCTTTCTTTCTTGATGAAACGCTCGTGGTACGCCAGCTCCGCAGTAAGCGGACGCTGCGGCGCGTGGTAGGGTGGACCGTGCGCGTTGTCTCGCACACCGTCTTTGACCCCTTACTCCTCAGCATTGTCGTCCCACTGCTAATTTCTTCTGAAACGTCTGCTGCGGCGGCATCGACGGATGCTCCGCGGGTGCTCTTCACCGTACCGGGCATGGTGCGTGGCCTCGGCATCAGTGCGGCGAGCGTCATCATCCAGTGGCTCGTCATGCCTACCGCAAGTCGGCTCGTTGACCGGGCGGTGCTGACCTCGTTTGAGCTTGTGGAGTACCTGATCATGCGTCGCTACGCCCACTGGTCCGACGAGGACGAGGACGAGGAGGAAGACGACCTGGATGAAGAGGACGGAGACGATGGTGCCTCCATCGCATCTGGCGTGAGTGGGGCCAGCCGTGACGTAGAGAGTCGGTCTGCCTCCCAGCAGAGCAGCGCCTCGGCAGCAGCGGAGGTGGCCACCGCAGAGGATCGCATTCGTCGTCAGCGGCGGCGTCTGCGCCGCGAAAAGCTAGAACGGCGAAAGCGGCGGGAGCAACGCCAGGCCGCGCGGGAGCGGGCGATGCGGCGCACCGTCCTGCGCGCCATTGTTTACCGTGTGGTGTCCTCGGTGGTGGCGCAGGTCGTCGTCGACCACCCGCTGAGCGTGTTGGTCGAGCTCCTGCGCGGGCGGGCCACCTTGCACTTTACGGGAATGCTGACGCCGTACGCGGCGATGACGGCGGCGCAGGACGGACTTAGTTGGGCAAACGTTTGGCGCTACGCGGAAGCGTTTGCCACACCCGTAAAGCGCGCCGCAGCAGATAGGGAAGATGAAGGTGTGCCACGGAGTGTGGTGGCGCTGCGTCGTGCCGGGCGAGACGCTGCGCAGGAGCTGGTGGTGATCTCCTCCAGTGTGCTAGACAACTCGGGGCAGCAAGGGACCCTGGACGCGGTGAAGCGTCGTGCGGCGGCGAAGAAGGCGCGAGGCAAGGTGACGTCGGCGGCTGACAGCGCGGAGTTCCTGCTGCACTCTGCGCTCTCCTTGTCCCCGTTTTACTACGGGCTGCAATTCACTGTGATTGACAACGTTCTTTCCTTCTACATGGCGGTGTGGACACGCCTGACAAAGCAATAATCGCTGCCATGGTAGTCCTCGCTTTTCTGTTCTCACACTTGGGGGCAGCAGACGGCCCTGTCGTTTCCAAACCTTTTGTTGCTGCTGCTGCTGCTGCTGCTTGGTGTTGGCGTGGCTCTCTTGTATAGAAGTGTATGTTTCTTGTCGCGCCTTCTCTCGCTTTCCGTTTTGAGATCCGCGCTTTCTTTTGCTTGAGCTACGTTACAGACGGCCGCTCTGTGTGTTGTTTTCTTTCTGTCGCCCGTGTCCTGTCAACACTCCAACGTTTGAGTATCAGAGCAAGGGAAGCTAAGTGAAGTACGATTTTAGAAGCTCTTATCGTTTCACTCATAGAATAGCGAAAGATGTCATAATGCCGCAGCGCAAAGCAATCTCTGAAGCTCTCGTTACATATAGTAATGTATACGCGTTTTTTTTTCTGGGGGGGGGGTCTCCGGTCAAACCGATTCTATCGAAAAGGTGCTGCTTCTATTTGGGGGAAGACAGTTTTTGAGGCTTTCTAGCTCGGGTTTTTACTGCGCTAATACACTCGAGATTTAAGTGCGTGTTGCTCCTCGTGCTGAAGGGGGCGTACAAGCAAAACTAAGAGGTTTTCTTCTTTTCTTTTTCGACCGTTACGGTAGTAGCTCGTTCTACCTCTCCTCTCCTTTTTTCCCTGTGTCTTTCGCGTCCTCCACGAACGTTCCAGCGAGCGTTCGTGTGTTTCTTTAACTCGCACACCCACGCGTTTACTATTATTATTATCACTGAAACAGCATTGTGCTCCTCTCTCCCTCTCTTTCTAGCCTGTTCCAAGAGCTGAGACGTCGTCCTCCCAGCGATGTCCTCCGCCCCTTCCAAAGCTCAGCGGCGGCGGGTCAACTTCGACTCTGATGAGTCGTCCGCCAGCGACAATGAAGGCAACGGGCGCGGCGGGGACGCACTGGCGCGTGAGATGGCCGCTGCGGCAGAGCGCGAGCGGCGCAAGAACCCGCACGCAGAAACCGGCCGTGCGAAGGCACCGCGTACGCACCCTCTCGCGCCCCCCTCGGCGGTAACCACCGCCGTCGCGAAGACGAAAACGGCCCCCTACCAGGCGAAGAAGGTGGCCCTCTTCGACAGCGATTCATCGTCCGACGATGACGATGAGGTCGACGAGAAGAGCCGGAAAGATGGCGACAGGGCAAGCGACGAGCCGCGCGTTGTTCCTCTTCTCACGCCGTCGCCGTCCTCGTCATCATCTGCTGCGGTCTCGGATGAACGCAGCGCCTCAAAAGGATCAGCGAGCAAGGTGGCCCACGTGCAAGGACTCTCCTTTCGTGCCGTGAAGAGCACGACGAACAGCAACAGCAACAGCGGAAAGCAGGACGAGGAGGAGAAGAGTGAAGATGAGAGCGCAGATGAAGATGTGTTGCACATCAATAAGACCTTTGCCACCCGCTACGAGGAGCAGAAGCGCAAGCAGGAGCTGCACACACTGGCGGAGAAGTACAAAGGTAAGCTCGGGCGTGCAGCGGCCATCGGACTGGCCGACGACGACGACGACGGAGACGACGAGGAAGAAGACGAGGATGAGGATGAAGACGAAGACGCGGTGCTGCTCACCTCTGAGAACAGCCTCAACTTCGCGAAGGCGCTACTCGCTGTGCGCAAAGCCACCGTTCCGTTGGCCACAACGACGGAGAAGGATAGGAAGGAAGACGGTGCGGAGACGCCGGCGTCACTGCTGCTGCCCAAAGAAGCACTTCTAAAGGAGCGCTACTTCCCACCCGCAGCGGAGCAAATACGCGCCAACACGGACATCTATGCAGACTACATGGACCGCAAGCGTCACGGCGAGGGCGACCGGAGACGCTTTACCTTGTCCGACGAATACGCGCGTGCGCTGCGGGCGACGGCCGACTCCGAGGACGCGGTGGTCGACTCCGCGGAGGGCAGCGAGCGCGACGGGCTGCGCCGGCTGCGTCCGCAGAACGCGGAGGAGGCGAAACTGCGGGCGACGTTTCTTCGCGATGTGGAGGAGAGCGCAAACAGTTTTGAGGTGATCCGTGAAGCGAAGTCGAGCAAGACCGACGAGGGCAAGGCCACAGAAGACGAAGACGCGGAGGAGGAGCAGCGCCGTCTGCAGGCAGCCCGTGCCGAAGAGAAGCGCCTGTTGGAGGAGGCGTTCTCGCTCGGCAAGACATCCGCGTCATACGCGAAGAAGACGAAGAAAGTGAAGGCTGACGCAGACGGTGGTGAAGAAGAGAACAGCGGAGCGGTAGCGGAGATGAGCGACGAGCAGGACGACGAAGCTTTTTTGCGTGACTTTTTCATTCAGGAGTTGTGGCGTCCCGGGGCATCCGTTGCAAACAAGAAAAAGAAGAAGACCGAGTCGACGACACCAAACAACGACGGAGAAGAAGAGGAGGACGACGGCGACGGCGACGACAACGCTGGCTCCTACTACGACCGACTCGCACAGCTCGCCCGCGAGGAGGAGGACGAGGCCTTCTTCAACGACGCGGAGGTGTGGGAGCACGAGTACCAGGAGAAGAAGTACCGCCATCAAGAAGCGGCAGAGGAGGCCGCCGCGCACGTCCAGACCTTCCCACGTCCAATCGGCGAGGCCGCCGTGGGCCTGCTGCGCAAGCCGGACACGTCTCGCAAAGACGCCCGCCAGCGCCGCCGTGAGCGGGCAGAGGCAGCCCACGCGCAACAGGTAGAGGAGCTGAAGCGGCTGAAGCACCTAAAACGGAAGGAAATTGAGGATCAGCGTGCGTTGATCGCCTCCGTTGCGGGGCTGACCATCGGCCGTCATCGCGACCGCAAAGGTGCGGGAGGGGGCGATGCCAACGGTGCCTTCGTGGACGGCGCCGACGCCGAGGAAGAGGCGGAGTTGGCGAAGTTGAAGGCGGTGTGGTCGGATAAAGACCTCGACGCGCCGTTCGACCCGGCCGAATTCGACAAGAAGATGGCGCTGCTCTTCAACGACGACTACTACGACGAGAAGAACGTCGATGAGGACGAAGTCGCGTACTTCGATGAGGAGCTCGACAGGGAAGGCGTCGAGGCCGGCGAGGAGGGCGAAGGAGTCGCGGACGAGATCAAGTCCGGCGCTGCGCCGGCGCTGTTCTCAGCGAACTCGCTCGAAGAGGCACAGGCGATGCTGCCAGCCTCGGCAAAGTCAAAGAAGAAGAAGGATGAAAACTCAGAAGCATTCTTTGACGACGCCTTTGGAACTCAGCGCGGCAGCGACGGCACAAGCGACGCTTTAAACCTGCTGTACCCGTCAGAGGCGCTGCAGGAGCTGGAGAAGGAGCGCCAGCAACTTAACGAGCTGATCGCATCCTCGCCCAAGAACAGCGACGGGGCCAGCGGCGAGAGCAACGAGGAGCTCCTCGCTCGCCTGCAGTCCTCGCTGAAGAAGAAAGAAGAGGAGTACTACCAACTGCACCGTGACGCGGCAGCGGAGAGCGCCGGTGGTGGGCTTCCCTTCCGTTATCGTCAGGTCGAGCCCGAAGACTTCACCCTCTCCGTGGAAGAAATTCTCGCCCTGGACGATCGGCAGCTGAACATGATAGCGCCGATGAACTGCTACGCGGCGTACCTGGACAAGGAGAGCAACGAGCGCGATCGTCGTCGGGTGGAGCGTCGCAGGCAGAAAGGCTTCAGAGAGGTCGCCTCGGATCGCACCTCGCGTCGCTACGGTGAGGTGCACAACACCGCGCTGCTGAACCCGGATCAGGTCACCGAGGAGGAAGGCGCCGCGATTGCGGAAAACTTGTCGAAGCGGCTGCGTGACGAGGGCGAAGATCCCGACGCACCGCTGGCGGCTCCGTCTTCACGTCCGCCGCGCCAAGGATGGCTGCACAAAGAGCCACGGAGGGACGGCGATCACCCCAGACGCGGCCGCGGTGGCTTCCGTGGTGGTCGCGGTGGCGCCTCTCCGTCGCCGTCGTCCTTTCGTGGACGTGGCGGTGCACAGAGCTCATTCTCAGCGCCGCATCGTGGGAGAGGTGGTGGTAACGGACGTGGCCGAGGTGATGGTCGTGGCCGGTTTCGTGGCGGACGCGGATAAGCAACACACGATGAGTGCTGTGATCAAGTGTCGAAGCTGCTTGGTCGGTCCTTACAAGGTCTTTTTTTAATGTGTAACGAGTAAAACGGCTAAGGTTTGCTGTTTGTACTTAAAGATATCTGCCGTTTTTTCCCCCGTCTTTCTTGCCACTGCCGTGAGAAACTGCACACTAGCGTTTGTTCGCGAGCGCTTATTTGAAAGGGATGCCAAGTATTGGAAGTTTGTGTGTGTTTGTCAGTGTGCAGCGACGACGTTGAGAGCATCCGTGTTATAGCCTCTCCGCTGTTGTCGTCGTGCGCGTCTTCGTCACGTCAAGGCTGGTACCATGACGTTTCACCCACCGCCAACCCTTAAACTTCGACTTCCCCTCCTTCCATTCCTTTTTAATCGTCGCCTCACTGCGACTTCCTTAACCACGCAGGGAGAGAGACGAATCCCATTTGCTGTCACTCGCATTATCGGGGCTCGCGAACACCCTCGCTTTTGAGTTTGTTGTGGTTGCACTTGTTGAGGTTGTTGTTGTTGTTTTCTCTCTGCTCTACAGTAACATAGATTTTCCACACGAACATAGATAGCAGCAGCCATTTTTCTTTTTTCTTCTCTCTCCTGGCCTACACTCCTTCTCCGTGGTTTTGTGTTAGATTTCCCTTTCTAGACTGCATCTCCTTTAAACTTTTTTTTGAGGGGTGAGTGTGTGTTTGTCCACAGAGTTTTTTTTTTCGCCTCTGAACAACGGCACTTCGTGCCGTCTCTTCTCGACTATGGCGCGCTCCACGAATGCCAAACGACGCCCTGCTAGTGCACGTCAGCAGCTCGATGCAAAGGGCGTTCGGCAGCCCTCCACAGAAGATGGAAACCGCAGCGACAGTTCTGCATCGATGGCCCTCACCACCACCTCGTCCACCACTGCGGATCGTCGCGGCAGCAGCAGCAGCCCATTCGGTTCGGCAAGGAACGCCGCTACAACCGTCACATCTTCTGTCCCCTTGCTACGCTCCACGACGGAGAAGCCGTCACCATCAGGTGTGTTGACCGTTCCACCGCGCAAACGCGCTCGAGGGTTCAGGACGAGTCACAGTGGCAGCGCCAGCAACGAGCGCCGCAGCCCGAGCGCCAGCAACGAGCGCCGCAGCCCGAGCGCCAGCGCCATCACGGAGGGGCTGGAAGGCGCAACGAGAGGCACCCGATCTCGCTACAGCGCCACCCAGCACCCACGCCCATTGACAGGAAGTAAAAACTCTCCGCATCACCGTTCACAAGACAGCGCCGCACGACTCGCAGATAGCGCTGAGGACGATGAGGTCTTCTTTGAGGCGTCCTCTCCGCGTACGGGCACGAACACCGCTGCCGCCACGCCGCTGCGTCATCTGCAGGACACGCCTACCTCGCAGCTCCTCAGTCAGCTGCAGGACCTCCCCTACACCGCGCCGTCCGATGAAATCACAGGAGAGGAAACGGCAGCAGCTGCCCTCTTCACCCCAGCCACAGTGGCGCGTCGACGGACTCTACCAACGGTGGCCGGCGAAGGCAGTGTGAATGATCCGCGTGTGGGAGAGGCAAGGGACCCGACTCGGCGGACCACGGCGGCTTCGTTGTCGCCGTCTGGCTCGCGCAGCTCGGTGCACGACGAGGCCGTGCAAGCCATCCTGCGCGCCAACCCACCCACCACGACGCGTCCCGTGGAGTTGAAGCCCGGCTATCGAATCCCCAGCCCCCACAGTCCTTTATGGGCCGCGCTGGACGCGAGTGATGTCGTAGCGGAAGACCGCCCCATGCGCGGCAGCACGCGCAGCGAGGACGAGCCACAGTGGTCAAACACGCAAGTCAGTCTCTTCCAAGAAGACGAGGACGAGAGGGACACGGGCGTGGCGCACGACGCACTGATGGAGTGGACGGCCGTGCAAGAGCGTCGACGTCTCGGCACACGCCGCGCCGCACCGGATCGCGTCAGTCTCCCTGTCCCCGGCCGCTCCGTGAATCTGCTGGATGACGAAGGCCTGCACGAGGACGAGCGACTTCCTCTCTTTCTTGGTGAGCAAGACACGCCGATTCGTCCGGACGGTGACGCAGCAGCGGACGAGAGCTTTGTGTTTTCCTTGACGCAGGAGGCAGACAACCAGGAAAGAGAGCAGGACCGTCAAGCGGCGCTGCCGCGCTCACGTAATCGTCGCACCACCACCGGCGCGGCGGCAGCAGCAGCAACAACAAATGCCTTCAGCACCCCCAGCCCGGCTCGACGGAGCACACGCACACGCTTCAATGCCTCCCAGCAATCCAGCCCGTTTACTCAGCTGCAGCGTGATGTGGCGCTCGCCTCGAAAGCAGCGGTTGGACGGTCCTCCTCCTCGTCCCCTGTGAACGCCGCCGCCGCGAACCCTTCCACGATGCTCTCACAGCGGGAGCAACGTCGACGGGCGGACATGCTGAAGTGGGCCGAGCACACTCGCGCCTTCTTTCACTTCATCGACTCGCTGCCCCTGCACGTCTCGAACTCTCCCTTGAAGCCCGCTTCTGCTCTCAACCCTCGTCAACAGCCACCACTGCAGCCGTCAACGTCACGCCGCAGTCGAAGCCAAAGTATCGCCGCGGTGAGCAAAGACGCGCGGCGCAGCGGGGGCACCGTCGCGGCATCGCTTAGTCTCGTGCGTCGCAGTCACAGTACGGTGGTCCCTGATCCAGTTACGCGGCATGGAAGCGCTGCTTTTGCGGCGGTGGTCTCGCGTGTGAAGCGAGAGGCGGCGACGGCATCTAAACAACAGCAGCAACATCAACAGCGTCGCTCTGCTACGGCGGCTTCTCGGGGCTCTGCTCCATAAAGGTGTTAGTGCTGTTGTAACCTTCCTCTGAGTAGGGGAACTGCCAGGTTTAACTGCCACTCAACGAGGTGTTGTGGCTGTGAGCGGCAACTTACTACCGCCTTGTGCCTGTTTATCTTTCTTTCTCTCTTTTAGATCGCTGCTAGCGTGTTATTTTTCCCCCTCCTAGCGACTGTTTCCCAATATATATATATAGATGCAACTACACTGTGTTTCTCCTCATCTGTGCGGCATTTGCTGCTGCTGTTGTTGTGTAATGTGTATTAGTCTTCTAATGGAGAGAGAAGACTCAGTCTTTGTTTGTGGAAGCACTCGGCGTGCCAGAGTCAACAGAATACGTGTAAAAGAATACTGCCTGCATTCCATTTTCTTCCTCGTTTGCGATGGCAACGAGAGTGCGAGGTCTTCTCCTTTTTGGAGGTGGAAGACTACTGTTTCTAAATACCCTCTGTCAGGGATGCCAAAATAGCCTAGTTTGTGTTGTTTCTTTTTAAACACATAACTTTACAGATCGGTGTTTGAACATGTGTGTGTGTGTGTGTGTGTTCATGATATGTTTTTTTTTTCCTGCATCACGTGTACGCTCCTTTGCATGCGGGCGGCATACGGAAAACTCTGCATCGATTGGTGGAACGTCGACAGCTCGAAGTTCAGCGACGAGCCAACAGCACTTTTCCTGGGTTTCCTGCTTTGCAGGGGAAAAGACGAGGAAAAGATGTGCGCCTTCCAAATGTCCTTTTGCTGAACGCTGGAAAGCGTCAACGTCGCATGCGAAAACGGCAGCGTGCTGCAAGTCGTTCTGGAACACAGCAAACAAACCGCGCGAGTGGCAGGATGCAGTCTTATCTCGGGTGCCGTTGCTGTATACTTTTCTCTCTCTTCGATCTCTTTTTTCCCCCTTTTTACTGCTCCTCTGCAGCACTTCTGTTATTTGTCGTTACCGGTTTTTTTTTCTTCTTAATGGTGTTGAACCAAACAAAAACGATGAGCTGTGCACCGCTCCGACACTCTGCTCAGGCGCGGCGCGCCAGGGAACTGCTCGCCGCATGTACGCGCCGCGTTCTCTTCCTGCTGGTATGTCTTTTACTGTTTTCCCTCGCATGGGATCGCTACAGCGCAGATGGCACGCACGGGCTCGTAGCGGCGCCTCGCTGGAGTGGCTTCATCCAGTCCGCCTTGGCAGCCGAAGAGTCTGCTGATCTTCCCGAGGTGGAGGTCGCGACTCCTGTCAGTGACGAGGCACTGCAGGATGCACACCCGGAGGCGCCGCTGGACCGGCGGGCGGACTTCCATGACGAAGCCGCGGCTGAGGAGGCAGTGGTGGCAGGAAAAGTGGCCGACCCCGTCCACGCAACTCGCGACTTTGACGGTGTCTCAGATGATGAGCTGAAGGCGCTGCTGTCCGACAAAAAGAAAGGTCAAGTGAACTTCAAGCACTACAAAGACCGCGCAGACCTCATCAAAGCCATTCGCGAGGTGGAGGAGAAAGAGATAGCACAGAAGGCGTTTCGCGACGAGGTCGCGGCGGCAGCCCGCTGGTTCGCGGAGACGCAGGAGGATTTGAACTACCAACGCGCCGCCGCCCGCCGGACAAAGGGGAGTCGCATCAAGCACAACGGCGAAGTTCCCGCCTCCCTGCGTCGTGGCCACCACACCGATGCGCCGGCGCACAAGCTGCGCGTTCTCTATAGCGCAGCCAGAGGCCACGGCGAGCGGTTCACCGCGTTGGTGAAAGACCTGGAGAGCTCGGAGGCGGTGAAGTTGCCGAATCTGGACGCCTTTCGTATTGTCGGCGAGCCGTACCCGATCAGCAATGAGAGCGTTCTGCTGGGACAGGTGTTTCAGGTTTTGTTCTACGGCGTGATGGCGCTCGCTATTATGCCGGATTTGTTGCCGTTTATTCCGGAAGCTGTACGGAATATTCTGCGCACACGTCGCGGTCTCGTCATCAGCACGGCGTTTATGCTGAACATGCTCAGTCGATCGCTGCTGCAGAACAACGCCTTTGAGGTCTACCTTGACGATGAGCTCATTTACTCGACGCTGAAGTTCGGTGGTCGCTTGCCGACCTCGGAGATGGTGAGCAACATGCTTCTGGAACGTACTCTCTTGAAGGACTACGCTGCCGCCATGAGTGGACAGGCAGCAAAAGGCGCAGCAGCACTCCTCTAAAATCAGTTATAAGCATATACATATCGAACAGTATGAAGGTAGATCCTAGCTGCCTGCATGCTTGTGTGATCCTTACGAAGCACAAAACAAGAAACAAAAACCTTCATGATTCTTCTCTCTTGTGGCGTGTTCAGTGGAGAGGCGACCTCAGCTTGTGTGTGAGGGGCGGCTCCGAAACGGAAAGAGCGAGATGGCATCAAAAGAAAGGAGAGAACACAGATCAAACAATAAAAAACACGTACGCAATGAGTAGATGGAGAGGCACGAAAGAGCACTGTGTTGTCACCCTGGTCACCGCGCGCGCACCACGGCCCATCTTCGTCCATGGTTCAGGCGGCCAAATCACCTCTAAGAAAAAAAGGAGGAAAAAACACATTATTTGCCGTGTTTCTCTAGGGTGGGTATTTGTGTAGGCTCGTCTGCATCTCGTCGTGCCCATCCGCATCGCAGCATCCGCGCTCGTTACTTAGAGGACACCAATGAGCTTTTTGTTGGCGGAAGGTCTTTTCAAAGCACTGTAACTGATTCTTTCGTCTCTGCCTTTCGTATCACTTCGCCTCCTCTTTGTTCAACCTCACAAAACTACTCTCGTTGCAAACATGCATTTCAATACGTTTTCCTTCAGCCTACAGAGACCTGATAGAGAAGGAAAAGTGGAGTGGGAAAGCCGCAGCAGGGACTCTTTTTTATTAGTATTAAAGAGTCGGAGGTAGGGGAGCAGGAAGGAAGAGGCCTGCCTCGTTTCCATTTCCAAGCCCTCTTTGCATCCTTGGGTGTCCCGTTTTCCCTTTCCCTCTTACACGGTCGAATTATCGTCTGTGTTTCTTTTAGTATTATTCGACTCCGTTTATTTATATATATATATTTTTGTTTTATTATGTATTCTCTCCGTCGTTGGCACAAGGCGACTCTGGTGGCCGTCGTGTTGATGGTGGCGGTTTTCTTGACGACGGCACGCGGTGCCCCGGCGAGCGGAGAGGAGGATCCCTACGCCTACCTCGAGATGCTCAGTGAGAGCGACTTAAAAAAGATGCTCTTTGACAAACTGCACGGCCGTGTTCAGCTGGACCGATTCCACCGCAAGGCCGACCTCGTCGCCGCGGTGCGGGAGCTGGAGGAGCAGGAGGATAAGGAGGCGCACTTCAACGCGCAGGTCGCGGCAGCCTTGGCACGCAAGGCAGAGGCGGAGAGGCAGCAGCAGCGGCAAGAAAGCGTACACGGAGACGGCGTTGCCGTAAAACGTCGCCACCACCGTGCTGCCCACACAGCGGCAGGCGCAGGAGCAGTAGTAAACGATAACGGCAAAAAAGTAGTACAATTAATTGATGATGACAGCGAGGAGGAGGCGGCGCAGCAGCAGACGCAGACACAACCTGCAGCAGCAGCAGGGAGGGAGAAGAACGGAAAAGGGCAGTACGGGGCAGCGGCCAGAGCGGGTCGTGCCGGCCGCGCAGGGACCAAACACACGATGGAAGTTCTGTACTGCACCGGATGAGGCTACGCGAAGTACTTTGATGAAATGAAGGTGCAGCTGCAGCGCTCGTTGCCCAACTCGAAGGAGATGCGCATTGTCGGGGCCACCTACCCGACCCCGCCTCTCCGAGCCGCCATCGGGCGGGCGTGCTCCTTTGCTTTCATGGGAACCCTCGCCCTTGCACTGGCCGGCCCGCAGATGGGCTTCCTGCCGCCAACGGTGGTCAACTTCATTGGCCAGCAGCGCGGCATGATGATTGGTGCCGGTTTTATGCTGAACATGGTCGGCAACTCGCTGACCCAGACTGGGGCGTACGAGGTGTCTCTGGACGGGGAGCTGATTTACTCGAAACTGCAGACAGGTGCTGTGCCGTCAGTGGAGGAGATGCGCCGAATCATTTTAGAGAAGACGCTGCTGGAAGACTACGGCGATAAGTCCACCGACACTAAACCCAGCAACGACATACAAACGCCGGCGTAAAACAAAAAAAGATGTGCCATCAAATATAGCGCAGCTGGTAGCAAAAGAAAAATCAGTAGAGGAGAACTCGTACGCTGGAAACGGTTTTCTTTTGCTTTGCTTTTGTGGACCACAATGCGCAAGTACTTACATCTTTTTTTGTTGTTTTCTCTTGCAAGACATAATTCTGCCTGCTGCAGCATTTGTTTCTTCTTTTACCATCAAAGTACTTCGTGAAGCACACCCTAACGAAAAGAAGAAGCCGACAGGAAACCGGAGACAAGTACACAAGAGAGCCTTCTAGGTAGGTCTTACAACGACGTTAACAGGAATGTGGTGTTGAAGAACACGAGAGAGGGGGGGGGGGAATGCGTATCAGCTGTGCTTGAGGGTTCCATGAATCCTTCAAGAACTGTTTCATTCTGGTATGTGCAAGGTGTTTGCTTTGATACGTGGTTTATGGGCAAGGGGGGAGGGAGGAGAAAAGAAAAAGTGGGGCGACAAGACACGTTCTGTTCTAGTGAAGCACGTAGGTCCTGCTCCCACACTCCTTTCTTCCTCTTATTATTTCTATGATTGTGTCTCCGGTAAAACTCACCAATGTCACCCACCAACCGCGCCGACTCCGCTGTGTTTGCGAGGAAGCAGCATCGATTGTTGTGGCAGGAGTCCGAGACACTTGAATGTACCCAAAGCACTTGTATCAAGCGCACGAACCTCTTTTGTTGCTTCTCTTTTTTTTTTGCACCCTTGAATACTCCAACGTGGGTCTTTTCTCTTCACGCTTTATGTCTTGTGGAAGAAGAGTGTCCGTGCTGGTTGCTGCTGAGATGCTGCGCTGGGGGTGGGGAAAGGAGGCGGTCCAACACACACACACACACGGAGAGACAGAGAGAAGGTACGATTGGCTTTGATGCTCTTTTTTGTCCGGATCGCTCCTCCCCTCGACTCCTTGTTGGCGTTAAAAGAAAAGCGCTGCTTGAAAGAAACCTCACTTCTACTTCCATGTTAACCCTCGTACAGTTCCACGTTTTGGTGAGGCACTTGGGCGATCTCTTGTGTGCTTCAAAAAGTCATCGTTTTTCCTTCTTCTTTTTTTGTTTTGGTCGATTCTCGCTTTCATTTTAAGTGTTGTACCGCACTGAGATGTGTGTGTGTGTGTCTGTGTCTGTGATCACGCAAGTAACGCTGTTCTGTCATGCTTTGGTTGTTATGTTCGGCGTGCTCTCTTGACACGTCTGCAGCCTGAACGACAGTTGTGTGTTGTCTGAGTGACGCGCAGAGTGAAAACACACACCCACGTTGAACCCTTCAAATATGAACGAGGTCTTCGGATAGCCTTTTTTTGTCGATTCTTCCTGCTTGCACGTCCTCTCCGGTCGAACCTGGGAGATTTCAAGACGTCAAGATCCTTTTCTGTTCTCTTCTTTGTCTTTTATCATCAAATTTCTACTACTACTACTACTACTACTACTAATACTACTACTTTATATGTTTGTTGTTTCTACTTGTTTTGTCTGATTTAATTCGATTCCGTTCTTGGAAGAGGTAAAAAGAGAAAAATGCTCAAATCATCTTTGATGGACACCGTCGCGGGAGCTGTAAAGGAATCTCGTCATTTTCGCTGTAGACGTAGAACAAGTTTTAAACGGCTCCTCCTTTCAGAGGAACAGCTTACTGTGTTGAATCCATGTTCCACTAGCAGCATCGTGCTTAACTGCGTCAAATAAGCTTGAGGCACTATCTATCATCAGAACAAACAAACAAAAACCTCCTTCATGATTCATTTAAATGCGCCGACTCTGCTTTCCTTCTTGCACTGCCCGTCATGTGCTTTCGTTGCTCAATTGGCGTCGCAACCTGTCATTTCTGCTACTATCTTTGTGCTGACTTTTAAGTGTCCTCTGTTTTTCTTTTCCCTCTTTTGATTTGCTCGCTCGCAGAACAACAACCCTCAAACCGTTTCTACTCTCGTGAGGTATTCTCATTGGTACTCAGATAAGCTTCGACAATCACTAACGTCAACTGTTATTCGTTTTGCACTTCTTCATTAAGGGAAGTCGTTCTCCTAACACTGACAAGCCAGCCAGGTAAGAACGCCTGTGCTGTAACTCAGCAACAAAACAACACTCATTGACTTTTTTCTCCTCGGTCGTTACACTCACTCTTCGTGTGCCGATGTCTGTGAAACACAAGCGAGGGCGTGGCGCGAGGCCCGACACAGCGGAAGGCCCCGCCGCGCCAACGGATGGCCACGCGCCGGTCACCAAGGAGGACGATGCGGCGGCGTCGGATGAAACGTATCTCCTCAACTTCAAAGCCGTCCCCTACTCTGTGTGCGCCAAAGTCTTCGCCGGCGTCATGGTCGGCGCCATCCTGTACGCGCTGCGCGTGGCGTACACCATCCGCCTCATTTCCGTGCAGCTGTACGGCTACCTGATCCACGAGTTCGACCCGTGGTTCAACTACCGCGCCACGGAGTACATGTCCGAGCACGGCTGGAAGGCGTTCTTCCGCTGGTTCGACTACATGAGCTGGTACCCGCTGGGCCGCCCCGTCGGCTCCACCACGTACCCCGGCCTGCAGTTCACCGCCGTCGCCATCCACCGCGTGCTGGCCGCGCTGGGGGTGCGCATGTCGCTCAATGACGTGTGCGTGCTCATCCCGGCGTGGTTCGGCTCCATCGCCACGGCGCTGGTGGCGCTCATGGCTTATGAGGTCAGCGGATCTCTCTCCGTGACCGCCGTCGCCTCGGTGTCCTTCGCCATTGTCCCCGCACACCTGATGCGGTCCATGGCCGGCGAGTTCGACAACGAGTGCATCGCCATGGCGGCCATGCTGCTCACCTTCTACCTGTGGGTCCGCTCCCTCCGCACGCGTGCCTCGTGGCCCATCGGTGCGCTGGCGGGCGTGGCGTACGGCTACATGGCGGCCGCGTGGGGCGGCTACATTTTTGTGCTCAACATGGTGGCCCTGCACGCCGGTGTGGCGGCGCTGGTGGACTGGGCACGCAACACGTACAGCCCGTCGCTGCTGCGCTCCTACGCGCTGTTCTACGTCGTCGGCACCGCCCTCGCCACGCGCGTGCCGCCCGTCGACATGGCGCCCTTCCGCTCGCTGGAGCTGCTCGGTGCCTTGGTGGTGCTCGTCTTCCTCTGCGGCCTGCAGGTGTGCGAGGTGCTGCGCCGGCGTGCCGACGTCGAGGTGCGCTCCTCCGCCAACCTGAAGATCCGCATCCGCGTGTTCGGCGCGATGGCCGGTGCCGGTGCCCTGGTGATCGCCGTGCTGGCCCCCACCGGCTACTTCGGCCCGATGTCGGCTCGCGTGCGTGCGCTCTTTGTGCAGCACACCCGCACCGGCAACCCGCTGGTGGACTCCGTCGCGGAGCACCGAAAGACGAGTCTAGAGGCGTACGATTTTTTCCTGGACTTCACATATCCTTTGTGGATCGCCGGGGCCGCGTTTCAGCTTGTAACGCTTCGAGTGAGCAGCCGCAGATACGCAAAGCTCTTTGTGGTGCTGTACTCCTTCGTCGCCTATTACTTTGCAGATCGCATGTCGCGGCTGATGGTGCTGGCCGGTCCAGCCTCTTCCGCCGCGGCGGCCGGTCTTCTTGGAGTAATGTACGAGTGGTGCTGGACGCAGCTCACAGGTTGGACTTCACCAGGCAGCGCACACGACGAAGCAGACTGCGAGGATGACGTCGCTACCTCGCAGTTGACAAAGCAGAATACAAACGAAAATGCCGGCCGGAAGTCCAAGTCAGGCAAACGTGGTATTCCTGTCTCTGCTGAGAAGGGAGAAGAGTACGAAGGACCTTTTTTGGCAGATACCGTCATTCGATCGTTTTTCAAGTCGATAAAGACAACGATCGACGCTCTCCCCTTTGCAGTCCGCGCTGGTGTGGCGGTGATCATCCTCGCCGCCACCTTCGGTACACACACAATTCCTAACTTCCAGCGGCGGTGCAAGAGCGCCGCATACGCCTTTGCGAACCCCCAACTCGTGTTTCAGACGCAGCTGCAGACGGGAGAGCCGGTAATGGTGAAGGACTACCTTGAATCCTACGAGTGGGTGAGGGGCAGCACCCCAGAGGACGCCCGCGTGCTCGCCTGGTGGGACTACGGCTATCAGATCACCGGCATCGGCAACCGCACGTCGCTCGCAGACGGCAACACGTGGAACCACGAGCACATCGCCACCATCGGCAAGATGCTGACGTCGCCCGTTGCGGAGGCGCACTCGCTGGTGCGACACATGGCGGACTACGTTCTCATCTGGGCTGGGCAGAACGGTGACTTGGGTAAATCACCGCACATGGCCCGCATCGGCAACAGCGTCTACCACGATATCTGTCCGAATGACCCGCTGTGCCGCCACTTTAGTTTCCTCGATCGAGAGTTCCGCAAACCCACGCCGACGATGCGGGCCTCGCTGCTATACAACCTGCACGAGAACAAAGTTGCTCCAGGCGTCGAGGTCGACCCGGCTCTCTTCCAGGAGGTGTACACCTCTAAGTATGGCCTCGTGCGCATCTACAAAGTGATGAACGTCAGCCGTGAGAGCAAGAGGTGGGTGGCCGATCCCGCCAACCGCGTGTGCAACCCGCCGGGGTCGTGGATCTGCCCGGGTCAGTACCCGCCCGCGAAGGAGATTCAGGCCATGCTTGCCCACCGTGTGGAGTTTGAGCAGGAGGGGACCTTCAACCCCAAGCGCAACGAGACGTACCATGCGGCGTACATGGCGCGCAGTCGAATGGCTCGCGACATGTAATTTTCCATAATAGGTTGATGTATTTGGAACAGTTGTCGCTGTTCGATTTTCCCTTTATGTTTGTTTGCTTTGGGTCTTGGAGAATGGTGAAGCAGTTGAATTGGTCATGCGCGCAGCGGGTGAGGATGTTTCCCCATGTAAGGGTGAACTGATTTAGTGCTGCGTTTCCTGCATTCGCAGCTCATGGTGTGTGTGTGGGTGGGTGTGGGTGTATTTGGTGCATCCCTTCCTTTCCCCGACAGCGCGATGGTTTCTTTTGTGTACGCTGCGGCGCGCCATCACCCTTGTCGAAAGGGCAGCAGCTCCTTTGGCGTGTTGATGAATGATGAGTATGCTGGTGGTTGATTTGGACTTCAGTTTTGTGATGCGTCTTTGCTGTTTTCTGTTCTCCTTCCAACAATCCCTCTTGGCAAGAGAAAGGGAATTCTTCTCTGATTTTGTGCTAGTAGGTCTCAAACCACAGTGCGTCCCTTTGCCTCAGTTCACTAGCGAATTACAAGGGCGACATGTGTTGATGGTGAGTGGCCCTTGGGAAAAGAAAAAGTAACTGTCACTGTGATGGACGTTGTAGCTTTGACGTTCTCAGAATCAACTTGACGTAAACAACGATGTGCGCGAGAGATCAGAAGTTTTCTTTCTCTTCTCCTACAGGAAGATTCTCTTTCCCTCCTTCAGAACAAAGCAGGAGCTCAAGTAGCCTTCAGCTGGGTGAATCTGTTGCCCCCCATACACACTAAAAGAGATAAAAGCCGATGAGCAGAACAAAACTGCTAGAGGCGGCAGCCTCTGTCGCGCCAATGGAAACTTTTCCTCTCTCCATCTTCCTCTTACACATCGTTCTATTTCCTGTATGGTTTGCCGATTGCTGAGAATGAACCCAAGCTTTCAGAATCAAAAGAAAAAATTGTGAAGAATCTTTCCGTGCAGCTGATACCCGCTGCATCGTCGGTGAAGTCTCAATTGATTGAGTTGATTAATTCATCCTTCTTTAACTGAGGCGCCGTTTTCCTTGAGGTGCACTGTAGACTGTCTTGTACGTGCACGCTATTTGTCAAACTACTATCTACGCCAGCTTTTGTTCTCAGAAATCGTCTTGTAGAGGACACCAGAGCAGAGGCTTCGGCCACCATTCACAACTTTTTCTTTTCACGCGTTGGTCGCGAAAAGAAGCGTGTCTTCGCTTCGTTATGTAGATCCACTTTACAACGTACACTACTGTCGTGTTTTCCTTTTCTTTTTTCTTTTTTTGCCACCCCAGAGGCTCCTTGCCGTAAGTGAAAATGGGACCACGGACTTCTCTAGAGAAGGGCGCCCCAAGAGCGGCGCCGATTCCTGTGTCCAACGGAGCTCGTCCTTCATGGACCAAAACGGCTCGCGCCTTTCGCGTCTTTCGCGTTATGTTGATCGCCTTCTGCATCATGGTGTCGCTTCACACAGCTTTTCAGACCCGACTGCTCTCTGTGAAAATGTACGGCTACCTAATCCACGAGTTCGACCCGTGGTTCAACTACCGCGCCACGGAGTACATGTCCGAGCACGGCTGGAAGGCGTTCTTCCGCTGGTTCGACTACATGAGCTGGTACCCGCTGGGCCGCCCCGTCGGCTCCACCACGTACCCCGGCCTGCAGTTCACCGCCGTCGCCATCCACCGCGTGCTGGCCGCGCTGGGGGTGCGCATGTCGCTCAATGATGTGTGCGTGCTCATCCCGGCGTGGTTCGGCTCCATCGCCACGGCGCTGGTGGCTCTCATGGCTGATGAGATGAGCAACTCTGGCCTCACTGCCGTCATCGCCGCATTTACCTTTATGATTTTGCCCGCACACCTGATGCGGTCCATGGCCGGCGAGTTCGACAACGAGTGCATCGCCATGGCGGCCATGCTGCTCACCTTCTACCTGTGGGTCCGCTCCCTCCGCACGCGTGCCTCGTGGCCCATCGGTGCGCTGGCGGGCGTGGCGTACGGCTACATGGCGGCCGCGTGGGGCGGCTACATTTTTGTGCTCAACATGGTGGCCCTGCACGCCGGTGTGGCGGCGCTGGTGGACTGGGCACGCAACACGTACAGCCCGTCGCTGCTGCGCTCCTACGCGCTGTTCTACGTCGTCGGCACCGCCCTCGCCACGCGCGTGCCGCCCGTCGACATGGCGCCCTTCCGCTCGCTGGAGCTGCTCGGTGCCTTGGTGGTGCTCGTCTTCCTCTGCGGCCTGCAGGTGTGCGAGGTGCTGCGCCGGCGTGCCGACGTCGAGGTGCGCTCCTCCGCCAACCTGAAGATCCGCATCCGCGTGTTCGGCGCGATGGCCGGTGCCGGTGCCCTGGTGATCGCCGTGCTGGCCCCCACCGGCTACTTCGGCCCGATGTCGGCTCGCGTGCGTGCGCTCTTTGTGCAGCACACCCGCACCGGCAACCCGTTGGTGGACTCCGTCGCGGAGCACCAGCCCGCCTCCCCGGAAGCCTTCTGGACGTTTCTGCACATCTGCAGCGTGATGTGGGGACTGGGTGTATTGCTGATGACCGTCTCGTTGCCCCTCGACTACACCCCTGCCAAGCTTTTTTGGCTTCTCAATTCCGCAGCTGCGTACTACTTTAGTCTGCGGATGTCGCGACTGGTGCTGCTGTCGGGACCACCGGCGTGCCTTCTCACCGGCTACTTTACTGGAGCCTTGCTGGACGCGGCCGCGAAGTTGACTTTCTGGGACAGCGAAGCCACCAAGGCCAGGATGGTGGATGAGGCGGAGCAGCCCACTGCGACAGCCACGAACGGCGCCGCAACTCAGCGTAGCTCCAAAGCGGCTCACGTAGAGGAAGAGGCGTGCGCTCCGCCGCCCTCTTGTTTTACGGATATTATTGACCGTAGTAGTATGCCTTGGTGGCCTCGACTGCTCCTCTGCCTTTCCTTGTGGGCCCTTGCTGCTGCCATTGGGTGGAACCTCGTTGGCTCAGACTTCATTGCACATGCGACGATGTTCAGTCAGCACGCGTCAAACCCTATGATTGTCTTCCGGGCACGCGTGCGGGACCCACTGACTGGCAAGCCGACAGACATCGTGGTTGACGACTACGTGGCGAGTTACAAGTGGCTGAGTAAACAAACCCCGCGTAGTTCGCGTGTGCTTGCCTGGTGGGACTACGGCTATCAGATCACCGGCATCGGCAACCGCACGTCGCTCGCGGACGGCAACACGTGGAACCACGAGCACATCGCCACCATCGGCAAGATGCTGACGTCGCCCGTTGCGGAGGCGCACTCGCTGGTGCGACACATGGCGGACTACGTTCTCATCTGGGCTGGGCAGAATAAAGACGATTTAATGAAATCACCGCACATGGCCCGCATCGGCAACAGCGTCTACCGCGACATCTGTCCTGATGACCCGCTGTGCCGCCACTTTAGTTTCCTCGATCGAGAGTTCCGCAAACCCACGCCGACGATGCGGGCCTCGCTGCTGTACAACCTGCACGAGAACAAAGTTGCTCCAGGCGTCGAGGTCGACCCGGCTCTCTTCCAGGAGGTGTACACCTCTAAGTATGGCCTCGTGCGCATCTACAAAGTGATGAACGTCAGCCGTGAGAGCAAGAGGTGGGTGGCCGATCCCGCCAACCGCGTGTGCAACCCGCCGGGGTCGTGGATCTGCCCGGGTCAGTACCCGCCCGCGAAGGAGATTCAGGCCATGCTTGCCCACCGTGTGGAGTTTGAGCAGGAGGGGACCTTCAACCCCAAGCGCAATGACTCGTATTACAAGGCTTACATGAATGAGGCACGCCACGTTGCAGCGCTGTAAGTCGCCGTGATACAGAAAAATCGATGATCATTGCTGTGGTGAGCGGCGGACAAGGTTGCACTGTTTCTCGAGGTGCAGCGCATTGTTTGTCATCAGTTGTCTGTTTGTTTTTCAGCGGTGTTATCATAAAGCATGTGAGAATTGAATATGTTGGTTTTTTTCTTTCGCTGGACTGCTGTAGCTGCGATAGGTTTCCGCATCTTCACGCTTCCAGCGCAACGAGTCTCCAAACAACGAGTGCAAACGTGGGACCACCTGAGCACGTGTTGTCATTGCTGTTGTTTTGTCGCTTTACGAATCGAAAGAACGCTGTGCCCTGTGGCATCTGCTCGAGACAAACGTAACGGAAATAACCCATTCACAGCTGGCGCAGATGCACGGGTTGAAGAGCTCGCTGAAATGATCTGATTTGCCCATGGCGCATGCCTTCGGTTCCCTTTTTTTTTTTTGCTTTGGCTGACGAAGTATCGCTGCTTCTTTGCGTTCGGTGATACCGCAAGCATGCAAGCGCAACTCCATATTCTCTCTCCCCCCCCCCCCTCGCTCTCTCCCTCATAGGCAGATCCTCTTTTGTTGTTGGAATTGTTGTTGGTGCTGCTGTCCTTGGTGTCTTTTACAGGTTCTTGACGCTCAAAGAAACAGAGCAACACATTGCACACTCTTTTCTCCCCTCTTCGTCTGCCACAAGCAACTTCCCGTGTCGGAGTATTTGAGCTGTTTTGTAGTGCACTAGCGCGTACGCAGTGAATTGTCGAAAGCTGAAGTGGTAATGATGCCAAGTGAGTTGTTCGACCTCCTCGCACGCTATTATTTTGTCCTTTTCAATTGTTTGTCGAGCTCGTCGGCATTACGGTAGATTTCAGCTTGACAAGTTGTTCTGGGGGGAGTGATCACTTTCCTGAAGACTGATTTTTTTCTTTTGAGCAGCGGACGAACTCATGGATTATTACGTACGTTAAGCACATCTTTTCGTTGCCCTTTAAACTTACTGGATTGCGATGGGGAATCACCGCAAGAACAAGGATCGGGCTGCGGCCCCTGATGAAGGCGCTTCTTCAACCCAAGCGTCCTCGACCGAAGAACAGCCTGAATCAGCTGAGACCCTCTTTTTGGGTCAGTACCAGCTGCCAGAAGAGTACACCGGATTGGTATGCCTGAGTCTCTCCATCGCAGTCGTTGCTGGAATTGCCTATCTCGGGTACTCGCTTCGCGTGCGCAACGTTGCCGAGTTTGGCGCTCTGCTTCACAACAGCGATCCGTGGTTCAACTACCGCGCCACGGAGTACATGTCCGAGCACGGCTGGAAGGCGTTCTTCCGCTGGTTCGACTACATGAGCTGGTACCCGCTGGGCCGCCCCGTCGGCTCCACCACGTACCCCGGCCTGCAGTTCACCGCCGTCGCCATCCACCGCGTGCTGGCCGCGCTGGGGGTGCGCATGTCGCTCAGTCATGTGTGCGTGCTCATCCCGGCGTGGTTCTCAGTGCTCGCCTGTCTGCTGCAGGTGCTCTTCTCCTATGAGGTTTCCCACTCCCTGTCCGTCTCTGTGACGTCCACCATTCTATTTACTGTCATCCCTGCGCACCTGATGCGGTCCATGGCCGGCGAGTTCGACAACGAGTGCATCGCCATGGCGGCCATGCTGCTCACCTTCTACCTGTGGGTCCGCTCCCTCCGCACGCGTGCCTCGTGGCCCATCGGTGCGCTGGCGGGCGTGGCGTACGGCTACATGGCGGCCGCGTGGGGCGGCTACATTTTTGTGCTCAACATGGTGGCCCTGCACGCCGGTGTGGCGGCGCTGGTGGACTGGGCACGCAACACGTACAGCCCGTCGCTGCTGCGCTCCTACGCGCTGTTCTACGTCGTCGGCACCGCCCTCGCCACGCGCGTGCCGCCCGTCGACATGGCGCCCTTCCGCTCGCTGGAGCTGCTCGGCGGTTTGGTGGTGCTCCTCTTTTTGTGTGGTCAGTCCGTGTGTGAACTCCAGCGCGCTCGTACCGGGGTGGAGCGTTTCTCCAGGCGCGGTGTGGCCCAGCTGATTCGCATTTACGCTGCCTTCTTTGTGGCGATCGTGGTCGCTGCGTTGTGTGCCCCCGCCGGCTTTATCAAACCCCTTTCCATCCAGGCCGATAAACTGATTCGAAACGTCCCGCATACCGGCAACCCGCTCGTGGATGTCATGCTCGCCGAAGACGCGTCCAACCTGCTTGTGGCGTGGCGGCTGCTCCTCTTCCCCTTTTTCGGTTGGATGATCGGTTTGACTCCTTTCCTCTCCTCCATGACGGAGCACTACACACACGCCAAGTGCTTTCTGCTTCTGTATGGTGTGGTGGGTCTATACTTTAGCACGTGCACCGTACGCATGATTGTGATGGTGGCGCCTGCGGCCTGCGTGTTCACCGCCTTCGTATTCCAGTGGGTGCTGAACTTCGCGCAGGCGGGACTGTTCTGGACAGAGATGCCCCCGGAGGAGGAGAGGAACGAAGGCGATGCCGCGCGCACCGAAAAAGACCGCCCGCCACCGCAGACTGCCGAGGCGCAGGAGGCGGCTCTCCGGAAGAAAAAAGAGGAATGGACGTCGAAGAACACAAAAAAGTTTATGGTGCGCGTGTTACCCCTCATGGCGCTTCTCTTCCTTGTGCGTCTTTCTGGGTTTGTGGAAGATGTCAACGAAACGGCGGACCAATTCTCCGCACCGGGCATCGTATTTCACAACCACCCGTCCACTGACTGGAAAGATGACACCATTGATGATTACTACAAAGGTTTTGTGTGGCTGCGCGAGCACACGCCTGAAGACGCCCGCGTCCTCGCCTGGTTCGATTATGGCTATCAGATCACCGGCATCGGCAACCGCACGTCGCTCGCAGACGGCAACACGTGGAACTACGAGCACATCGCCACCATCGGCAAGATGCTGACGTCGCCCGTTGCTGAGGCACACTCGCTGGTGCGACACATGGCGGACTACGTCTTTATCTTTGCTGGTGATACCTTCTTCTCCGACTTGGATCGCTCACCGCTGCTGGCTCGGATGGCGAACAGCGTCTATCACGATATCTGTCCGAATGACCCGCTGTGCCGTCATTTTGGTTTCCAAAAGAAGCAGAAGGCGGCGTTGAAGCGTCGCAGCCGCCTCCTGCAGCATTCGGAGCTGCAAGCCGAGGACGAGGCACCTGTAGAATACGAGCCCTCACCTCTGCTGGCACGGTCGCTCCTGTACCACCTACATGCAAACGGCACAACGGAAGGCGTCTCACTCGACGCGAGCATGTTTCAACACGTGTTCACTTCTATTCACGGTCTTGTCCGCATCTACAAAGTGATGAACGTCAGCCGTGAGAGCAAGAGGTGGGTGGCCGATCCCGCCAACCGCGTGTGCAACCCGCCGGGGTCGTGGATCTGCCCGGGTCAGTACCCTCCCGCGAAGGAGATTCAGGCCATGCTGGCTCATCAGCACTCCAACTTTCAGGACCTGGTAGACGCCTATGAAGAGGCAGCGATGGAAGAAATGCTCGATGACGAGTACGCAAGAGGTGGAGATGATATGTGAAGTGCAAAGAGAACGAAATAATGAAGGGTGAACGTAGCGCTGAGCGCATGGACAAGCGTTTTGTTCTTTTGTCGTCCTTGGTTCGCCACTGCATTGCTTTTGTTTACTTCTTTCATCATCACTCTTTCAAGCTCTCTGTGCTTGAACTTGGGGCCGCGAAACAGCTGGGTCGCTTTGTCATTGCGAGTGTTTGATTTCGTTGATGGTTGTTGTTTGCTCTTCTAGATGAGAGAACATCTGGCTGTTGTTGATGATGTGCTGAAGGGCACTAGGTACAATTCACCTCCGATTGAGGGCTAATTATAGTTTCAAAAAACACGATACGTGTGGGGGTCTTCAATATCAGTACTATTACTTCACCTCGACGGTTGTACCCTCGACCGTGATGGGAAGGATATCGGCATCTTTCTCTATCGAATGCGTTAGTTGGGAGGGTGGAGTTCACCCGAAACAACAGAAGTCAAAATGAAAACGTATTGAATCTGAAAAGGAGAGAACAGTGAGTCAATGCATCAGTCAAATTCCACTGTCTCAGCTTTTCCTGCTCCTCCTGTTCTGCGGCAATACGAAGCCCATTACTCTCTTTTGTGGTACTTGTTTAGATTACTGTTGCGCTTCAGTGTTTTCTGAGTTCGAACGCGGGCAGACCTATCTGTATTATTATTTTTCTGTCGTCTGCTTTTTGTTTTCGCATCTCCGCTTCGAATGGGAAAGAAGAAGCAGTCTCGCCCGGCAGGTGCGGTTGTGGCTCCTCAATACGCAGCAGCCACAACCGTGCCCGCAGGCAATGTCGCGGCCGCCACCACAACGATCAAACATACACACGCGCACCCTCGAGCCCATTCAGCGCCAGCAGTAGAAGTAAAAGAGTTCTTGGGACTCTTCTCCTTCCGCACGCGGTCGCTTCGCGTTCTTATCGTCCTGGTCGCAGTCATCTTTACACTCCGCAGCTGCTGGCAGGCCTTTGTTATTCGTCTATTCCCTGTGAAAGCGTATGGTTACCTGATCCACGAGTTCGACCCGTGGTTCAACTACCGCGCCACGGAGTACATGTCCGAGCACGGCTGGAAGGCGTTCTTCCGCTGGTTCGACTACATGAGCTGGTACCCGCTGGGCCGCCCCGTCGGCTCCACCACGTACCCCGGCCTGCAGTTCACCGCCGTCGCCATCCACCGCGTGCTGGCCGCGCTGGGGGTGCGCATGTCGCTCAATGATGTGTGCGTGCTCATCCCGGCGTGGTTCGGCTCCATCGCCACAGCCGTCCTCTGCCTCGCTTCCTACGACGTATCTCGCAGTTTTATCGCACCTATGGTTACTGCCTTTACATTTGCCATTGTCCCCGCACACCTGATGCGGTCCATGGCCGGCGAGTTCGACAACGAGTGCATCGCCATGGCGGCCATGCTGCTCACCTTCTACCTGTGGGTCCGCTCCCTCCGCACGCGTGCCTCGTGGCCCATCGGTGCGCTGGCGGGCGTGGCGTACGGCTACATGGCGGCCGCGTGGGGCGGCTACATTTTTGTGCTCAACATGGTGGCCCTGCACGCCGGTGTGGCGGCGCTGGTGGACTGGGCACGCAACACGTACAGCCCGTCGCTGCTGCGCTCCTACGCGCTGTTCTACGTCGTCGGCACCGCCCTCGCCACGCGCGTGCCGCCCGTCGACATGGCGCCCTTCCGCTCGCTGGAGCTGCTCGGTGCCTTGGTGGTGCTCGTCTTCCTCTGCGGCCTGCAGGTGTGCGAGGTGCTGCGCCGGCGTGCCGACGTCGAGGTGCGCTCCTCCGCCAACCTGAAGATCCGCATCCGCGTGTTCGGCGCGATGGCCGGTGCCGGTGCCCTGGTGATCGCCGTGCTGGCCCCCACCGGCTACTTCGGCCCGATGTCGGCTCGCGTGCGTGCGCTCTTTGTGCAGCACACCCGCACCGGCAACCCGTTGGTGGACTCCGTCGCGGAGCACCAGCCCGCCTCCCCGGAAGCCTTCTGGACGTTTCTGCACATCTGCAGCGTGATGTGGGGACTGGGTGTATTGCTGATGACCGTCTCGTTGCCCCTCGACTACACCCCTGCCAAGCTTTTTTGGCTTCTCAATTCCGCAGCTGCGTACTACTTTAGTCTGCGGATGTCGCGACTGGTGCTGCTGTCGGGACCACCGGCGTGCCTTCTCACCGGCTACTTTACTGGAGCCTTGCTGGACGCGGCCGCGAAGTTGACTTTCTGGGACAGCGAAGCCACCAAGGCCAGGATGGTGGATGAGGCGGAGCAGCCCACTGCGACAGCCACGAACGGCGCCGCAACTCAGCGTAGCTCCAAAGCGGCTCACGTAGAGGAAGAGGCGTGCGCTCCGCCGCCCTCTTGTTTTACGGATATTATTGACCGTAGTAGTATGCCTTGGTGGCCTCGACTGCTCCTCTGCCTTTCCTTGTGGGCCCTTGCTGCTGCCATTGGGTGGAACCTCGTTGGCTCAGACTTCATTGCACATGCGACGATGTTCAGTCAGCACGCGTCAAACCCTATGATTGTCTTCCGGGCACGCGTGCGGGACCCACTGACTGGCAAGCCGACAGACATCGTGGTTGACGACTACGTGGCGAGTTACAAGTGGCTGAGTAAACAAACCCCGCGTAGTTCGCGTGTGCTTGCCTGGTGGGACTACGGCTATCAGATCACCGGCATCGGCAACCGCACGTCGCTCGCGGACGGCAACACGTGGAACCACGAGCACATCGCCACCATCGGCAAGATGCTGACGTCGCCCGTTGCGGAGGCGCACTCGCTGGTGCGACACATGGCGGACTACGTTCTCATCTGGGCTGGGCAGAATAAAGACGATTTAATGAAATCACCGCACATGGCCCGCATCGGCAACAGCGTCTACCGCGACATCTGTCCTGATGACCCGCTGTGCCGCCACTTTAGTTTCCTCGATCGAGAGTTCCGCAAACCCACGCCGACGATGCGGGCCTCGCTGCTGTACAACCTGCACGAGAACAAAGTTGCTCCAGGCGTCGAGGTCGACCCGGCTCTCTTCCAGGAGGTGTACACCTCTAAGTATGGCCTCGTGCGCATCTACAAAGTGATGAACGTCAGCCGTGAGAGCAAGAGGTGGTTGGCCGATCCCGCCAACCGCGTGTGCAACCCGCCGGGGTCGTGGATCTGCCCGGGTCAGTACCCGCCCGCGAAGGAGATTCAGTCCATGCTTGCCCATCGCGTGGAATTTGAGGAACTGGGGACCTTCAACCGCCAGAAAAAGGACGCCGCCTATCACGCGGAATATCTGAAACAGTTCAGCGACGATGCCGACATGTGATTTATAAAATGGGGTATGCGTCAATGCAGCAAGCGAGTTTATGGACACTATGTGTTACGGTACATGTAGTGCCTAGGCGTGTCTGTAAACTGGGGTCGCGGTGCTTCTTTCTTCGTATCGGTGGTTTGCTTCTTGTTGGTGCACATGAGGTTTTGTTTCTTCTCTTAGATATTGATGAGCATGTGCGGAGTCACATTTGAATTGTTTGTGAGAACTGCATTGTTGTTTTTTGTTAATCGTAAGCAATCATCTTTACCACTCGTATGTACAGTGGCCTCAAAACAAAACATACCATTTCCAACGGGCGTCACTTCACCGAAACTCCTGTGTGGGCGTTCTGTGTTACCTTTCCTGAGGTGGTGATGCATCCATTTCCGCCTGCATACGGCAGGGAGTCGAAAGTTTTAATACTTATTATTTTTTTTTGGTGTTGCTACCATTTCCTCGCTGTTACATTTCCCACTGCACTCGCACCACGTTGACTCCGCCACTTCGTTGAGGAAGCAGAAGTGCACGTTGTTGGTTTTCGGGTAGAATCGCGAAAGAAGGTCCCACGCAATTGCGTGACTTTCACACACACACACACACATACATAGAAGCCACAATTTCATTTAGCGACTCCCCTGAAGACGTTGACTAGGTCTGTTGGATTGAAAGACTTCACTGTGCAGCACCCACATCGAATTTAGCATCCCCTTCACAGTCAGTTCCCATTATCGGTTTTTTCAGTCATTCGCACATCACGGCAGTCTCAACTATTCATATATCGTTACTACACTGCTAGCGTGCGTCCAAGACGTCTAAGGCAGAGAATCAAGTGAGGATACTTCTCACACACATCTACTATTTTGTCCACTTCTTTTCTATCGGTCCTCGCGCTTTTTTTCTTTCCCCGCCCGTGTGCGAGGGACACAGTGCTGCTGTAAAATATATACTCAACTCCTATAACGCGTTCTCTAATGTTACGCACAGGCGTCGCCACCTCGGCCTCGTCCACGGTGGCCATTTACCAAACGACTTGCCGACAGCTTCACGGATGTCGTTCGGGCTTACAGGACGCACCTGCCAGACGTTTTAGGGCCCCCCAACCCTCCACCTCGACTCTCACCCTCGCGCTGACCCTCCACGCCAAGTCTCAGCATTGGCGCTCACGGTGGCGCACGGCAGCAAAGCACACGGACATTCTCATCGGGTCTTCTCTTACGCACCTGCAGTGTCACCAACGAGCTGCAGCCACCAGCAGGTTGGGCAGTTCACCCGATGATAGCCAAGTCTGCAAATCCGAAACGGATCGGGCGACGGACCTCGCAGCCGCCGAAGATGAAGTCCGGCACCTTCGTCAAGACGTCAGCGCTATTGATGCGAAGCTCGACGACGGCGACAGCACCGCAGCATCGGGCGGCGCAGGGCTCTTGAGTTCCTCTCTTTCGGTCCGTCCGGACTCCAGCGACAAAGACTCCCACAGCGGCGAGGAGCAGCGCCTGTGGGAGGAACCAACACTGACCGATCTGGATCGTTCCATCCCGCAGGTGGACAGTGAGTTCATAGCCAGCCTCATCCGCAGCCGCAACCTGCGCCGTGGCGATTTCCTCACCCGAAAGGCGGTGTTGAAGCAGCACGTCGACCAACTCACCAAAAAGGCAGCCCCATCTATCAGCGACGCCCCCCGCCTGCCCCTCGTTGGCGGCCTCAGCATCGGCTGGCTGACAAATCTGCAGAACAGCCTGGGTGGCAGCGATGACGGCGGCGTGGTGGCGACGAGCGCGGACGCTCCTGTGGTGGTGTCTTCTGAAGTGCTGGATAAGCTAAGTGTGGAGGAGAAGGATCTCCTGTTCGCCACCCGCCCCGAGTACGACGACGGCTTCGTCCTGATCGACTGCCGCACGGTGAACGAGGTGACGTCGTGGGGTATCATTGAGGGAGCCAAGGTGCTGCCGGCGCACGAGCTCTTCGAGGCGTTCCACGCCACGCCGGAAGAGTTTCTCCAGGACTACGGCTTCGCGAAACCGCGACCGGATGATATCATCATCTGCTACTGCCAGTACGGCCCTCGCTCTCTCATGGCGGCTCAGATCCTCAGCTGGATGGGCTACCTGAAGGTCCTGCACTACCGCGAGGGCTACTACGAGTGGGGCAAGCAGTACAACCTGCTGCTGCGTCGGTGGATGGAGCACGACAAGGAGAGCGGCAACGAGCTGCGCCGATTGGCTACCTTTCGCGCTGGACTCGAGCTCCAGCGCGAGATCGCCCCTGAGTTCAACGCTCTGCCGATGCAGGAGGCACGGAAGTACCTGCGTGACACCACCCGCAGCCCTGGCACGTTGTTGGTCGGCGAGGGCCTGCGGACGGAGGCGTACGCGATGGTAGCAAAGCTGACGGAGGGCTTGGCTCCACCGGCGATGCCAGGTGTGGTGGACGGCGTCGATGCTGCTGCCGGCTCCCTTGTTGGGGCTGACGGGGACAGCGGCACCGTGTCCGGTCTCGCCAGCACGAACACACAGACCCGCCGCATCGGTGAAGGTCAGCTGGCGCAGTTCCTCGAGCAGGCCACAGGCATCAGCCCGCAGGCAGAGATGCAGCGGCCCGCGTCGTCCATCACGCTGGGCGAGGCCCAGACAACCGTTATCGACTCCCTGGCATCCGGCGCGGAGCTGGGGGCGTCGCCAGATGCTGTGGTGAGTCCTCTGCAGAAGCGTTCGCGACCGAACTAAGTCCTCGTGGACGCGCTTTGGGCAAAAAGAAAAGAGAGAACTCTGTCTTTTTTTTTTCTGACTGTTTCCCTCTTTTGCTCGCCCCCTTTCTGCTGTTGTCTCGGTGGCAATTATCCGCGGTGTCGTTGCTGTTGTGGGGCGTGTAGAGCCTTGTGTTTCTCGTGTTGAGGGCCCCCTGCCCCTCAAATAAAGAAAAGGATTTGGTAAACGATGGGTGCGGCGCAAAGGCAAGCGCACGTGCCTTCGATCGTTGCTGTCGTTGATCTCATCTCGATTGATGTGTTGTCGTCCGCAGCCGTTGCTGTGGTACCCACGACGTTGCTCCTTACATTTTGTTTTTGTTTTAGCTGATCTATCACAGACTTTTTCGCCGTGTGCAAATGTAAAAAAGAGAAGAAGAAACCTCAAGCCAATTGACCAAAAAAGGAATGCAAAATGTGATCTCGTTAATGCACATTTTTTGCTGATCTGTTATCTTTCTGTTCCACAGGGAGGTAAACTATCTACAAGGGTTCCGCGTCGGTTTGCGTGCGTGTGTTTCTTGCACAGGTTGGGGATACTTCCGTCCCGATCGCTTGTCTGCACACGTCGTTTTTGGATTCCACGGATGATGGAATCACGACGCAAATGATAATCGCGTTCTTCCTTCCTGTGCTTTTACCCTACCCCCCCCCCCAAAAAAAAAAAACGAAAATTTCTCCTCTATGAAACCCCCCTCCCTCTGTTTGTTTCTCTGACTTGTTTGTATCACATTCGCAAACCGGCCTTTCTTCTGCTACACGATGGGAACTCTTTCAACGCACAAGAATAATCAGTACCCTCCTGCCTTCAAGCCAAACGAACTAAAAAGCAAAAAAAGAAAAAGATTCCGTCTTTCCTTCGCGACTCTCTACACTGCATATTTGTTAAGCATCTGTTCTTTGCCTCTTTTTCGTTTTTACGTCTCCTTTTTTCGTTCTTTTCTTTTTTTTTCCGGCACCTTCGCGTCTTCCCACAAAAATTCTTTTGCATCCGAAGTTAAGTGAAGATCATCAAAAACTCCACAAAAAAAAACCTAAACCGAGAATAACAGCAGAACACGCGTGTCCATCACGATTGTAACCGTCGTTTTTGGTGTTTTTTTTTAACCTCCGTTTTTGACTCGTTCTAACGTGTCATCAAATACACACACAAATACATTTTCTTTTTTTCTGTTTGATCTGTAGCTCCGTGCTTCCGTCCGGTCTTTTTTTTCCCCCTTCTCCCTTTCTCTCCATTTATATAATATATATTTTTTTTTTCTCTAATCTTACACAAAAAGAGTTAAACGATGGTCGACGGTAAGACTTCTGCGTCTGTGGTGGCTGTCGATGCCGAGCGCGCCGCCAAGGAGCGCGACGCGGCCGCCCGCGCGATGCTGATGGAGGGCGGTGACGCCTCTGCTAGAGGCAAGACCCAGTTCTTGAAGAAGGGTCTCGCCCACACGGTGCCGTACACCCTCAAGATCGTCGTGGAAAACGGCGGCGCACTCGAGAAGGCGGGGGAGGACTCGGAGGAGGTGCTCCAGGCAACCTTCCAGATGATCGACTCCCTTCTGAACGTATTCAACCCGAACAGCGAGCTCTCCCGCATCAACGGCATGCCTGTTGGTGAGGTGCACCAGATGTCGGCTGCGCTGAAGCGCGTGATGGGCTGCTGCCAGCGTGTGTACAACTCCTCCCGCGGCTCCTTCGACCCGGCCGCCGGCCTCATCGTGCGTGAGCTGCGCGAGGCCGCGCGTGCGGGCAAGACGGTGCCGCATGAGCGCATCATGGAACTCGCCAAGAAGTGCACCCTGAACAACAGCTTCAACATGGACCTGAACAACGGCACCATTTCACGCAAGCATACGGAGGCCACGCTCGACCTCGGCGCCGTGAACAAGGGCTACGCGGTGGACTTCGTCGTGGAGAAGCTGAACGCGATGGGTTACGAGAGCGTCTTCTTCGAGTGGGGCGGCGATGTGCGCGCCAGCGGCAAGAACCCTTCCGATGAGTACTGGGCGGTGGGTATCGTGCGTCCGCCTGCGCTGGCGGACATCCGCAAGGTCATTCCAGATGACCAGAAGACCTTCATTCGTGTGGTGCGTCTGAACAACGAGGCCCTCGCGTCCAGTGGCGACTACGAGAACCTGATCGAGGGTCCCGGCTCCCGCCTGTACGCGTCCTCCTTCAGCTGGGAAACGAAGAACCTGCTGGAGCCGTCGGAGACCAACATGGCCCAGGTTACCATCAAGTGCTACAGCTGCATGTACGCCGATGCCCTGGCCACCGCGGCGCTGCTCAAGAACGACCCGACGACGGTGCGCCGCATGCTGGATAGCTGGCGTTACGTGCGCGACACCGTCACCGACTTCACCACCTACACACGCGCAGATGAGCGTGTGGCGAAGATGTTCGAGATCGCCACGGAGAGCCACGAGATGCGGGAGAAGCGCATCAGCGGCTCCCTGCCAGCTCGCGTGGTCGTCATTGGCGGCGGTCTGGCCGGCTGCTCGGCGGCCATCGAGGCGGCCAACTGCGGCGCCCAGGTGATTCTGCTGGAGAAGGAGCCGAAGCTCGGCGGCAACAGCGCCAAGGCCACGTCCGGCATCAACGCGTGGGGCACCCGCGCTCAGGCCAAGCAGGGCGTCATGGACGGCGGCAAGTTCTTCGAGCGCGATACGAACCGCTCCGGCAAAGGCGGCTACTGCGACCCCGGTCTGGTGAAGGCGCTCTCAGTGAAGAGCGCCGATGCCGTGAAGTGGCTGTCCGAGTTGGGCGTCCCACTGACGGTGCTCTCGCAGCTCGGTGGCGCCAGCCGCAAGCGCTGCCACCGTGCGCCGGACAAGTCCGACGGCACCCCCGTGCCGATCGGCTTCACGATCATGAAGACGCTGGAGACCCACATTCTCACCAAGCTCAGCCGCCAGATCACCGTCATGACAAACGTGCGGGTCACCGCCCTGGAGCACCGCAGCAGCCAGCGCTCCGACGGCGTGGTGCTGAAGACGGTCACCGGTGTCCGCATCCAACAACCCAACGAGACGCCGATGACGCTGAACGCCGATGCCGTCATCTTGGCCACCGGCGGCTTCTCCAACGACCGCAGCGCGGCGTCTCTGCTGCAGGAGTACGCGCCGCAGCTCTCGTCCTTCCCGACGACGAACGGCACCTGGGCCACCGGTGATGGTGTCAAGATGGCGCGCGAGCTCGGTGTGGCGCTGATCGACATGGACAAGGTGCAGCTCCACCCCACCGGTCTGATTGACCCGAAGGACCCGGCGAACAAGACGAAGTACCTCGGCCCCGAGGCGCTGCGCGGGTCGGGCGGTGTTCTGCTCAACGGCCAAGGTGAGCGCTTCGTGAACGAGCTGGACCTGCGCTCCGTCGTGTCGCAGGCGATCATCGCCCAGGACAACGTCTACCCGAAGTCGGGCGGCAGCAGGTTCGCCTACTGTGTGCTGAACGAGGACGCTGCGAAGCTGTTTGGCAAGAACGCCCTCGGCTTCTACTGGCACCGCCTCGGCCTCTTCGAGAAGGTGGAGAACATCCAAGCCTTGGCGAAGCTGATCGGCTGCCCCGAGGCGACCCTGGTGGCGACGCTGAAGAAGTACGAGGAGCTCTCCTCCAAAAAGCTCCACGCCTGCCCGCTGACCGGCAAGAACGTGTTCCCGTGCGTGGTCGGAACGCGGGGCCCGTACTACGTCGCGCTGGTCACGCCGTCCATCCATTACACGATGGGCGGTTGCCTCATCTCGCCCTCGGCGGAGGTGCAGGCGCTCGACACCACCGGCGTCGCCCCGGTCCGCCGGCCCATCCGTGCGCTCTTCGGTGCGGGCGAGGTGACTGGCGGCGTGCACGGCGGCAACCGCCTCGGCGGCAACTCGCTGCTGGAGTGTGTCGTCTTCGGCAAGATCGCCGGCGACCGCGCGGCCACCATCCTGCAGAAGCAGAAGACGGCGCTGTCCATGACGGAGTGGAAGACGGTTGTGCTGCGTGAGGTGCGCGAGGGCGGCGTCTACGGCACCGGCTCCCGTGTGCTGCGTTTCAACCTGCCCGGTGCGCTGCAGACGACGGGGCTCGCCCTTGGCCAGTTCATTGGCATCCGCGGCGACTGGGATGGTCAGCAGCTGCTCGGCTACTACAGTCCCATCACGCTGCCCGACGACGTCGGTGTGATTGGCATCCTCGCGCGCGCCGACAAGGGCCGTCTAGCGGAGTGGATCTCTGCCCTGCAGCCCGGCGATGCGGTGGAGATGAAGGCGTGCGGCGGCCTCGTGATTGAGCGGCGCTTCGCGGCCCGCCACCTCTTCTTCCGCGGCCACAAGATCCGCCGTCTGGCGCTCATCGGTGGTGGCACGGGTGTGGCCCCGATGCTGCAGATTATCCACGCCGCGCTGAAGAAGCCGTTCATTGACAGCATCGACAGCATCCACTTCATCTACGCTGCGGAGGACGTGTCGGAACTGACGTACCGCCAGCTGCTGGAGAGCTACGAAGCTGTGTACGGCTCGGACAAGTTCAAGTGCCACTTCGTGCTGAACAACCCGCCGGCGCAGTGGACCGACGGCGTCGGTTTCGTGGACGGCGCACTTCTGCGCTCGGCCGTGCAGTCGCCGTCGAACGACTTGCTGGTGGCCATCTGCGGTCCGCCGATCATGCAGCGCGTCGTCAAGGGCAATCTGGCTTCCCTCGGTTATAACATGAACCTGGTGCGCACCGTAGACGAGGCCGAGCCCGCGAAGGCTAAGATCTAAGGAGAATCCGGCCAAAAAGAAAAGAGAAAGGAAAACAGGAAGGTAGCAACCCTTGTAATCACATTTCTGGGCTCCATCAATTTTCTTGTTCTGTGCTTCATTTTCTTTTCTTTCCTTGTGTGTTTATCTATGTTTGTACGTGTGTTGGTTTGGCATGTTGATGGGCTAATGTAATGCCGGTGTAACGACTAGGCTTTAAGCTAGTAATTTTGTTAAGTCTTTCTTCTTCTAGCTGTGCCCATTACACATCTTCGCCATATTGCCTGTTCCTCATGCGTCGCCACGCACACACACACACACACACATACAGAAGGAAAGGAAACGTGTGTTGGTGTGTGTATGTATGTGTGTTTGTGCATGTGCGCACGCCTTGCTGCGGGACAAGCGAGTTGGATCAGCACCGCCTTCTGTCACGGTCTCAACTGTCTGACTATCGTGGTGCAAATTCATTGGGCGGATGTGTTTAGGTCTCAATAATATATACTGGTTTCCACTACGGATTGTATCTTTTTTTTTTCCCACAAACATTAATGAATTGAATGCGCGTTTTTTTTTCTTTCTTTCTTCTTTCGATTTGTTATTTGTTGCCAAAAAAAGAAAAGGATCAAACATGAGGTCAAGATACTCTTGTGGTTCTTCGTTATCCTTTCCCGCCTCCCCGGTTTACTTTGACTGGAATGCACCAACCTTTCTTGACAATGGAGTGCATCCTGTTGGGCTGATCACGAAACCCGGTACACATAAACGTATCCGTTTTTTCTTTCCGACTTTTCGACGAGGCACAACTACTCGGAGCTGAGGAGGTGTTTTTGTTTTCTTTTCCAACACATCAAAAAAAAAAAGAAAGAAAGATGGAAGGCAAAAAATTTTGTTGTGGTTTCCTTTTTTTTACTATCAGCTTAACCGTGGAGGACAAGGCCAGATAGAGGTATATATATAACGCACGATTCGTTCCAATATCACGGGATCCCAGAATGGGGAAAAAACAAAACTGAACAGACGTTTTGTGTTCACACGCGTACAGTGTTTCGCTCTTCCTCCAAAAAAAAAAACATTATTATTATTATTATTATTATTGTGCGTGCGGATTCGTTACTCTTTTTTTATCTTGTTTCGGTTTCTTTTATTAACCATTTTCTTTGTCCCTGTTTCTTACCAGTAAGTTGAAGATACTCCCTCGTCTCGTGTACACGGTCGCGTGGTTTTTGTTGTCAGCCTATAGGTCTTGAAGCATACAATTTTCAGTTTTAGGCCAGACAACAGATCCCTTTCACGTAATAATTGTCAAAATATCCAGCGACCTGGAGCGCACGCATACACACACACACACACACACACACACACACGCACACGCACATCGTTAAAAAGAACGAAGGAGGAGCGGCATCGGGAGCAAAGCGGCGACATGTGGAAAGAACGATAGCGAAAAACTCTTTCTCTTGTGTTTTCTCGTTCTTTTGCTTGCTCTTTTTGGAGTATCCTTCCGGCCTCTTTTTGCACTTGAGCTTTCTCAGAACCTTATTACAGGAATCATACTTGTTTTTGTTATGCAGGCGTACTCTTTACCGTGTGAATGAGGAGGGTTTGAGATGATCGAGGCCACTCTGCACCACATGAAGTGCGGCTCTCAAAGGTCTCGACGTGGACAACGATAAGGAAGAAAGAAAACAAAAAGAAAAACGGCGCCTACCTCTGCCTTATTTATTACGATTCTCCTTGGTTTTTCTGTGCTTGGGTCTTCAACCGTCTTGATATTAGGGTATAAACATTAACATCTTCGCGAAAACTAATGAACGCAAAACAAAGCAGCACAAGCTGTCTCGTTATTCCACAGGGGTAATATCCAGCGAGGCTTTGCTGAGAGAACCATGCGCGCTTACTGCGGCGTTGTCTGTCCTACGGATGGTCGCAGCAGCATTCTTCTCCCTTGTGGGGCTGTCGGTACTTGCCGACAAAACGCGCTGTCCGCTCCTTTGTGTTGCACACATGAAGAGGACGTCACTCAGAGCTCCTCACCTGCGTGTCTGCATTTCTTTTCCTCTGATTGTGTTCAGCACTCTTCTGTTTTCCCTCATTTTGCACACGAATTTCTTCTCAACGACAACCGCCCTTCTTCTTTCACCGCTACTTGTATTAGAGCTTCGCTGCCTCTTCACCAACCTTCTGCTCTTTTCCTCACATTACTTTTCGCAAGTTGATCAGTTTATAAACGGGGTTGTGTGGGCTTCGCTCTGAAGAAGCGGCACTCAACGCCTTGAAGACTATTCATTAAACTGCTGCTTTCTTCTTTGTCTCAGCTGAAGACTTTTCCGCAGAAAAGCAGAGAGAAAAACTGTCCAGAAGGAGAGCACGGAGTTTGCTTTGTTTCTGCTGATCAATGGATCCGGCTTTTGGTGCCGCTGGTGAGCATGTGCGCCGGCGCTACACCAGCCCGGCTGGAAGGCACGCCGCTGCTGGTGACGGCGGTGGTGCTGCTGCCACCGGTCGCAAGCGTCCGGTCTCGGCGTTCACCCGCCGCCTCTTCAAAGCGACTTTGGTGTTCCTCGCGGTGTTCTTTGGTGTGTGGTGCGTGCGCCAAACAATGCGCGACGGAGGGTGGTGGGGACTGGCTCCGTCGTCGCAGAAAGGCACTTCTCCCTCTTCTCCCGCCACTCCCCTCGTCTCTTCCTCCCTGCCACCCACTGCAGAACACCTTCACAACAACCCCAAAGCTTCAACACCCACCAGCATGTCTCGCGCCGCCTCGAACATCGGCCGCGTGGTGATCATCGGCAGCGGGCTCGCTGGACAGTCCGCCGCCATTCAAGCCGCCCGCGATGGAGTGCGCGAGGTGGTGATTCTCGAGAAGGAACCGCGCATGGGCGGCAACAGCGCCAAGGCCACGTCAGGCATCAACGGCTGGGGCACCCGAGTTCAGAAGGCCGCCGGCATTCAGGACAGCGGGGAGTTGTTCGAGAATGACACCTTCGTCTCCGGGAAGGGCGGGCACTGCCAACCGGCTCTGGTCAAGACCCTCTCCGATCACAGCGCCGAGGCGGTCGAGTGGCTCTCCGCCTTCGACATCCCGCTGACGGTGCTCTCGCAGCTCGGTGGCGCCAGCCGCAAGCGCTGCCACCGTACGCCGGACAAGCTAGACGGGACGCCGATGCCGGTCGGCTTCACAATTGTGAAGACGCTGGAGAATTACATTCGCACGTACCTGTCGGACAAGGTGCGCATCGAGACGAACACCCGCCTCACCTCTCTCTTGCGGGAGCAGGGCGGCAGCTCGCCAGCGGTGCGCGGCGTCTCCTACGCCCAGAAGAACGAGGCTGGGGAGGAGCGGACGCACGAGCTGCTTGCCGACGCCGTCATCTTGGCCACCGGCGGCTTCTCCAACGATCACACCAACAACTCTCTGCTGCAGGAGTACGCGCCGCAGCTCTCGTCCTTCCCGACGACGAACGGCGTGTGGGCCACCGGTGATGGCGTGAAGGCAGCTCGCGAGCTCGGCGTGGCGCTGATCGACATGGACAAGGTGCAGCTCCACCCCACCGGTCTGATCAACCCGAAGGACCCCAGCGCGAAGACGGTGTTCCTCGGCCCCGAGGCGCTGCGCGGGTCGGGCGGCATTCTGCTCAACAAGAAGGGTGAGCGCTTTGTGAACGAGCTGGACCTGCGCTCCGTCGTGTCGCAGGCGATCATCGCCCAGAACAACGTCTACCCAGGATCAGAGAACCGCCGCTACGCGTACTGTGTGATGAACGAGGCTGCGGCAGATGCCTTCGGCCGCAGCTCGCTCAACTTCTACTGGAAGAAGATGGGGCTGTTCTCGGAGGCCGCCGACGTCGCCGCGATGGCGGACCTCATCGGCTGCTCCGTGGAAACGTTGACGAATACGCTGAACGAGTATGAGAAGCTGTCGGCGGACGGGCAGCGCCCGTGCCCGCGGACCGGCAAGAAGGTGTTTCCGAACGTGCTTGGAGCGAAGGGTCCGTTCTACGTGGCCTACGTCACGCCGTCCATCCATTACACGATGGGCGGTTGCCTCATCTCGGCCTCGGCGGAAATCCTCAACGAGCAGCTGGTGCCGATCCGCGGTTTATACGGCGCGGGCGAGGTGACCGGCGGCGTGCACGGCGGCAACCGCCTCGGCGGCAACTCGCTGCTGGAGTGTGTCGTATTCGGACGCATCGCCGGCAGCGCCGTGGCCAAGCACACTGCCGCGCCGACAGCTTGATCGGTCTCTTGTGCATCGGCATCGACAGCACTCTCACCGCCTGTGGCGTTTTGCCTTATTATTCAAGTATTCACTTCATTGATTCTTTGTTTTCTTGTTGCCGTTTTTCTTCATATTTTGGCGTAACGTGTGCAAGCACGCGGGAGCTGTGCTTCCGTGCACGTTTGCAAGGGTGCGTTTGCTGACGTCACATTTAACAAGCAAAATGCCATTTGTAGTTCCCCGTTCTCTTCGTGTCGCAAGACCTCAAAAACAAAACTTCTTTTTCTTTCCCTTCGCCGGCTTCCAAAAAAAAAAAGAAAACCACGCGTTCGGGTGCGCCGCTGGAACTTGCGAGTGGGGCGCGGCGGCCTTGGGGAAAAGGCGCCGCTTCTTCTTTTTCCCGGGCCCTGCCTCGCCGGTCTGCGCCCCCGCCCCCCGGCCCACGCCGGCGCCGCACGCAGAAGACCCCGAACAACCGACACCTTGCAAATGATCTCCTCGAAAACAGAGAGGAGTAACAACGCTCCTCACAATGTACTTGAGCTCACCCTTGGCAACTTACACGACTCTCTCTTGACTATTCGTTAATAGACCCCAAAAGCGAAGCGGCAACACAGAACTCGGCCGGCAACCATTGGGAAGGCGGGCGGCCCGCCTAACGCCCCCAGCCGGCGATATCACCCAGGAGGCAACGAGATAAGCCATCCGCTGCATTTTCCTCTGAACGCGCGCACTCAACGAACAGCATCCAACCGGAGCGTAGGTGGCGTGCAACTCCGATGCCGGCGCCCAAGACTTTGCGTGAGCTTTTCGAGCAGAGAAAAGTCCCCGCCGGGTTTGGACAGGGGCCCTCGAGGGACGACGAGGGGGACAAACGAAAACAGAAACCATGACCGCCGACCAGTCGCAAAAAACAAGCGAATGAGAAAAAGGAAAACGTGAAGGCTGAACCTTTCACAAGAGAGAGAGGAAAAGAGAGAAAAGTAGAAAAGGTTTGAAAAACAAAGACAGGGCAGCACCATTGTCGGCGTCTCGATCGCGGAAGGCTTTACGACGACGCGATAGGGTCCGCGCCTGTCCGAAGCGTAGCTTTCACATTTTGACAATTGTTGCTCCATTGAAGATGATAATCGCTGAAAACACTTCTTGAAAAGGGAAAACCAAAACAGCCGTGCGATTGGGGGGTCGGCTTTGGGCCGGGTGCGCAGGCGTGCCCGCCGCGCGGGGTTTTCGGGGTTTGCCGGGCCCCGGCGGGGGGCGGGGAAAACAGCCGGCCCCCACCCCCCGCCCCGCAAACCGCCAGCAACGAGAAGGGGGAAAATCAAAACGGGCCCAAGCGCAAGATTTCACTGCTAACGGATAATAATTTGTTTTGGGTTCACCGGGGCAGTGCGTTTCGGCACCCCCCCCCCCCCCCAGCTTCCCATATTGCCTTTTCGGTGGATTCTGCGTATGATAACGGTCGTGGTAATTACGACATCGGCATGCGTTTCTTCCTTCAAAAGCTGGCAAACGCGTGTATCGGCTCAAAACAAGCACAACAGTCTTCCAGCATCGAAAAAACTGTTTCCCGTCGAACAACAAATGCGTTAATTTTCATTCGCTGTTAAGGTGTTAGAGTTTAAGCAGCTAAACAGCGCGAATTAGACAAAGCCAATAAAATAGTCCGCCTTAACAATTTGTTGCGATATTACGGTGGGTATTGTTGGTTGGTGTCTAGTTTTTCGATGACACCACTGAACTTGAAAAGCAATTAATCTACGAGTGCAAAACAGATGGAATAGACACCGGTATCAAAAAAGAGATTCTTCAAACACACTCTCTTGTTTTCTGATTTAGTACTTTTCCAAAAAAAAAAGGAAGCGTTTTAACTTTTAAAAAGCACTGTAATTGTACTGGCACGTTTTATTTTAAAAGATTCGCTTTGCACTACCATTCCCACCCTCTTTTCGTCATCTGGCATTCTCATAACTGATGCTCCTACACCTTAAAGATACCAAAAATAGTGCACCGAAAATGCCTCCTCACGAGCGCAGTCGATACACGGGAAGGGAGTACAGCTCGCGGTATTACACTTTGCTGAAAGGCAGAGAGCAACTTCCCATTTTCGCAGCCAAGTCACGAATCCAAAAGTTGGTGAATCAATATCAGACAGTCCTACTTGTGGGTGAAACAGGTAGTGGAAAGACCACACAAGTTCCGCAGTACATTCTCGAACTCAATCCTGAGCATGGAATTGCGTGCACACAACCGCGGCGTGTTGCTGCGACTAGTGTCAGCGAGCGTGTGGCTGAGGAAATGGATGTTGTGCTTGGCGAGGAAGTCGGCTACAATATTCGATTTGACGACATGAGCTCTGAAAAAACACGTATCAAGTACCTGACTGATGGTATGTTGCTCCGTGAAGCAATGACTGATCCGTTATTGAGCAGATACAGTGTTATTGTGTTGGATGAAGCCCACGAACGCACAGTGTCCACAGATATTCTTATCGGCACAGTCAAGGCCCTGCTACCAAAACGACCGGATCTTCGAATTGTGGTGATGTCGGCGACTCTTGAAGAGAAGCGCTTCCAGGAGTATTTCCCAGAGGCTCCGTTGGTCCACATTTCCGGCCGCATGTACGGTGTGGAGGTGTACAACTCCAAGGCTCCTGAAGCAAACTACGTTGAAGCAGCTATTCGCACCGCAACCCAAATTCATCTTTACGAAGGCGAAGGCGATATTCTCATTTTTCTTACAGGTGAGGACGAAATTGAAACCACTGTTGAACGTTTGCAGAACGGCATACGGATGTCGGAGCACAGCAGCGCAAATTGCCACCGTGGGCCAGTCTCTGTTTTGCCCCTCTATTCTGCACTGCCGCCTTCCCAGCAGCGAAAGGTGTTTCAGCCCGTACCGGAAGGAACACGAAAAATTGTTGTCGCAACGAATGTCGCCGAAACCTCGCTGACAATTGATGGCGTTGTTTTTGTGATCGACTGTGGGTTCTCAAAACAAAAAGTTTTCAATCCAAAACTGCGCGTCGAATCGCTGCTGGTTACTCCCATTAGTCAAGCCAGTGCGCGTCAGCGATGCGGTCGTGCTGGCCGCACGCGCCCCGGAAAGTGTTTCCGCCTCTACACGGCGAAATCGTTCCACACCGCACTGCAGCCCAACACATATCCCGAGATTCTTCGTTGCAACCTTGGCAGCATTGTGCTGAACATGAAAAAAATGGGGATTGAGGATTTGGTCAACTTTGACTTTGTCGAGCCACCGGCTCCAGAAACCTTGATGCGCGCATTGGAATTACTGAATTACCTTGACGCCCTCGATGATGACGGTAATTTGACTGAGCAAGGTAGTTTGATGTCAGATTTCCCAGTTGAGCCTGAAATGGCATCAATGCTTTTTCACAGCGCAGAGTATGGATGCTCGGAAGACATTGCGCGGATTTGCGCCATGTTGTCGGTGCAAAACCCTTTTTTTAATCCTTCTAACGAGCAGCGCGGGCGTGCGATGCGATGCCGAGAGCAGTTTTATCACCCCACGGGTGACCATATTGCGTATTTGAACGTATTTAACGCCTTCTATGAGACAAATAACCAAAGCACATCGTGGTGCACAGACAACTATATAAATCCCCGTGTTATGAAACAAGCGGTGAACGTTTATCGGCAGCTGGTTGGAATTATGCGGCGGCTCGGACTCACAATTAGCAGTACATACAGCGCATCACAGCGTCAAGTTCAAGGTGAAGAATTCCCCGCCGAGATGGAATTCGCGAACGAAATTCGTCGCGCCATCGTGCGAGGCTTTTTTACCAAAATTGCACTTTCATTGCCCACGAAGCATCAATTTATGACGTTGAAAGATGACGTAAAGTGTCTGCTTTTCCCCGCAACGTATTTGAACCGCCGTCCAAAATTCGTTGTTTTCAACGAGCTTGTTCTTACCAGCAACACGTACATCCGAACGATCACTTCCATTTCGGAAGACTGGTTGCTTGAAATAAATCCCGCCTATTTCGCGAAGGATGAATTTGAAGGCGTCGCGAAACAAGTTTTTGATGACATTTATCGCCGACAAGCTAAGGTGAAGGAACACCACGTGAAACGATCGCGTGACTTGAACGATGACGAGTAAGATAACGAATAGTTTTTATCTCAATTTCTTATTCTTATTTGAAAGTTGGTGAAATTAATTGTTCATTTGTCAGTAGCTTGTTTGTTGGACGAATAAAAGTAAAATAATAATGTGATGTATTACGTAACTAATAGTAAAGAAAAAGAGAACGAATTAAGAATAAACATACTCAACGTCTGTTGCGAAGTGCTTATCATCGAAATGGAAGAGTATCAGTTTGTATTGAACTAACGGCAACACATTTTTATTCCGGAAAAAGGTTATATATGTGTGTATCTTTTTTAAGGGTCTAAAAATAAGCTGCTCAATTTCCAAACAAACAAAAAAAACTGTGCTCTTCACCATCTTGGAGATGACAATGAAATTAATGATTTTTTTCCCGATACTCTTTTCTCTCTTTCTTTCTTTTTCTGTTAGTTTAGCTTCAATTTTGTCTTCTAAGCAGTTTGCCTTTTCTCTTATTCCTGTCAAAGCAGATTACACAGATGCGACCCATTATCGCGTTTTTTTTAGTTGCCGTATTGGCCTTCACGCTTGTTTCGGCTGAATTGACGGAAGCCGATTTTCGCAAAATGAAGGTGAAGGATTTGCGCATCTTCCTGTCGGATCGTGGGCTGGAGTGCTCCGGCTGTCAGGAAAAGAGCGATTTTGTCCGTATGGCACACCAATATCGCAGTCTGAACCCTGCCGGGAGTGCAGAAAAGCGCGCGGTTCCTGCGAAAAAGTTTTGGGAAGCATGGGCTGATATTGCACACGCAGAGTGTGAAAAGGCAGTGAGGCTTCGCTCCAACGATCCTACTACGGAGCCGTTCAAGAGCGTGTGCAGTACACTGCGCTCCGCCACGGACTCGTACCTTATGCAACACGGCAGGAAAGTCGCTAACCAGTTGAAGAAAACGCCACATCACCTCCTTCAAACTTCATTTAAAGACATTTATTTTGAGGCTGGATCCCACCTCTTCCAGATTTTGGCTGACTACTGCCTTGCTTCTCCTGCAGCTCAAGAAAACTGCCAGTCTCTAGGTGCGGTAATGAGCGCGATGGATGGGGCGTGTGGCGCTGATTTCAAGATGTGGACAACGAATGTCGGCATTGAAAACACTAATCCAATGTACGAGATTATTGACACGCGTGATGATTTGTAGACCTTTTTTGAGGTGTCGATACTAAGCGTACTTACATGAAAACCTGCAGAGTCGCCTCTTTTATAACTCAATTAATGTGCTTACACTGAACTGTTGATGGAAACTGGGCTCTATGTCTCCATTTACAGGCAGCAACAGGAACAGAGAAAATGAAGAAAACAGAGTTCGATTTTCGAAACAGCGAATAATTTACCGTTCTCATGTGCACAATAACTGACTAAGTTCTTCCCTTCTTACAAACGATGAAACGGAACACTATTTACGTGTTTCAATGGTGGCCGTCGTCTCGATGCAATTCATGTTTTATTTTCCTTCAATATATACCGCCGAGTTAAGGTGAAGATTGAGTTCTTTGATTCAGCACTTCTGTTCTTCTCCCTTTTACCCCTGTCTTTTCAAGTATCTCTTTTTCTTGTTTTCAACCTTCTACGATGCTAACCTGGGCGTTCAAAACAAAAACATAACGAAATGTTAAAATAATCATTTGCAATTCTTATTAGCGTATAAAAGAGCATAACTTTCCGGCTGTTCAAAAAAAAAAAAGTAAGAGAACTGCCGCGGACACCATGAAGGCCGTGTTCATCACCGGTGGAAACCGCGGCATCGGCTTGGAAACCGCTCGCCAGATGGGTAAGCTTGGCTACCACGTGATAATCAGCGCACGCAAGGAAGAGGATGCTAAGAAAGCCGTGGCGGACCTGTTCCATGACGGGTTGAAGGTTGATTATGTGATCATGGACACGGAGGATACGGCCGCGGTGGAGAAGGCTGCTGCTGAGGTGTCGAAGCTGGTCAACGGCGTTCTCGACGCTCTGATTAACAACGCCGGTTGCGCCTGTCCGTGCGGCGACAAGAACACGGCGAATCTTGAGGATATGCGGAAGTGCTTCGAAGTGAACGTTATCGGCACGGCTAACGTGACGAACCATTTCTTGGAAATGGTAAAGAAGGCTCCCGCGGGCCGTATCGTGAACGTCAGCTCCATCATGGGAAGTTTTGCAACGACGTTTATAGGTTTCGAGTATGCCCCGTACACCATTTCCAAAGCCGCGCTCAACATGTACACCGTGAAGCTGGCTGCGGCTCTGAAGGATACAAACGTTAAAGTGAATTGTGGACACCCCGGCTGGGTGAAAACCGAGATGGGTGGCCCCAACGCTGAATTGGAAGTCACGGAGGGTGCGGAGACCAGCGTCTACCTTGCCACTCTGCCGGCGGACGGTCCGACTGGTGGCTACTTCCACAAGAAGGACAGCCTTCCATGGTAAGCAGAAAGCGTGCATGCGCTCCTTGTGTGCTCGATGTGTTGCACAGCATCCGACATTGCGATGCGATAGCAGCTTACGTACCGTTGAGCTTGCGGTGAGAGTTTAGCGCTGGCAAGCGTGCCTGACGAGTGTGTGGTGCTTCTGGTGCTTTGCAATCGTTGTGAATGATGCGACCGCGCTGTCACATGCGCTACAGGCTTCTACTTCCACCCCTATTATTATTACTGTTGCTCTCATCATCGTATATTGAGGTGATAGTACCTTTCAGCTGCATTTATTGTTTTTCCTTATTCTTGATGGAAATGCTGATTAGCAAGCGTTCCTTCTTTTTTCAGTGCTGCCTTATATTTAACCAATACCATTATACACATGAGCTGATAGATTGCTTTTTTTTTCTAAAGCGGCAACAAACGGTTTTTAAGAGCTCCATTTGCCGATGATGCTTATGAATTCATGGAGGATAGGTGTGCTATCGTATAGCTAATGCGGTGTAATTTGGACGGGAAAACCGCAAACGGTGCATGTATTTTCCACTGTAGGTCCGGGGGAGACTGATGTCTTTATGCGGCGAAACCTTTTCTCCAAGTGTAACTTTTGCTAGTTCTGATGTACAGCGGGTGTTTCTTCCTCCACGTACGTATCGTTTTCTCTCCCTCTCTTTCCGTCATTGTGTCATTAATCTGTTGAATCTTTGAATTTGTTAACTGCAGGGTAGCACATAATTCACCTTTTTTTTTCTACCGTAGTCTTTTCTTATTTCACGCTCACTGTTTATCTGTGATATCGTTTTCGCAACACAAAACACATAACGTGGACACCATGAAGGCCGTGTTCATCACCGGTGGAAACCGCGGCATCGGCTTGGAAACCGCTCGCCAGATGGGTAAGCTTGGCTACCACGTGATAATCAGCGCACGCAAGGAAGAGGATGCTAAGAAAGCCGTGGCGGACCTGTTCCATGACGGGTTGAAGGTTGATTATGTGATCATGGACACGGAGGATACGGCCGCGGTGGAGAAGGCTGCTGCTGAGGTGTCGAAGCTGGTCAACGGCGTTCTCGACGCTCTGATTAACAACGCCGGTTGCGCCTGTCCGTGCGGCGACAAGAACACGGCGAATCTTGAGGATATGCGGAAGTGCTTCGAAGTGAACGTTATCGGCACGGCTAACGTGACGAACCATTTCTTGGAAATGGTAAAGAAGGCTCCCGCGGGCCGTATCGTGAACGTCAGCTCCATCATGGGAAGTTTTGCAACGACGTTTATAGGTTTCGAGTATGCCCCGTACACCATTTCCAAAGCCGCGCTCAACATGTACACCGTGAAGCTGGCTGCGGCTCTGAAGGATACAAACGTTAAAGTGAATTGTGGACACCCCGGCTGGGTGAAAACCGAGATGGGTGGCCCCAACGCTGAATTGGAAGTCACGGAGGGTGCGGAGACCAGCGTCTACCTTGCCACTCTGCCGGCGGACGGTCCGACTGGTGGCTACTTCCACAAGAAGGACAGCCTTCCATGGTAAGCAGAAAGCGTGCATGCGCTCCTTGTGTGCTCGATGTGTTGCACAGCATCCGACATTGCGATGCGATAGCAGCTTACGTACCGTTGAGCTTGCGGTGAGAGTTTAGCGCTGGCAAGCGTGCCTGACGAGTGTGTGGTGCTTCTGGTGCTTTGCAATCGTTGTGAATGATGCGACCGCGCTGTCACATGCGCTACAGGCTTCTACTTCCACCCCTATTATTATTACTGTTGCTCTCATCATCGTATATTGAGGTGATAGTACCTTTCAGCTGCATTTATTGTTTTTCCTTATTCTTGATGGAAATGCTGATTAGCAAGCGTTCCTTCTTTTTTCAGTGCTGCCTTATATTTAACCAATACCATTATACACATGAGCTGATAGATTGCTTTTTTTTTCTAAAGCGGCAACAAACGGTTTTTAAGAGCTCCATTTGCCGATGATGCTTATGAATTCATGGAGGATAGGTGTGCTATCGTATAGCTAATGCGGTGTAATTTGGACGGGAAAACCGCAAACGGTGCATGTATTTTCCACTGTAGGTCCGGGGGAGACTGATGTCTTTATGCGGCGAAACCTTTTCTCCAAGTGTAACTTTTGCTAGTTCTGATGTACAGCGGGTGTTTCTTCCTCCACGTACGTATCGTTTTCTCTCCCTCTCTTTCCGTCATTGTGTCATTAATCTGTTGAATCTTTGAATTTGTTAACTGCAGGGTAGCACATAATTCACCTTTTTTTTTCTACCGTAGTCTTTTCTTATTTCACGCTCACTGTTTATCTGTGATATCGTTTTCGCAACACAAAACACATAACGTGGACACCATGAAGGCCGTGTTCATCACCGGTGGAAACCGCGGCATCGGCTTGGAAACCGCTCGCCAGATGGGTAAGCTTGGCTACCACGTGATAATCAGCGCACGCAAGGAAGAGGATGCTAAGAAAGCCGTGGCGGACCTGTTCCATGACGGGTTGAAGGTTGATTATGTGATCATGGACACGGAGGATACGGCCGCGGTGGAGAAGGCTGCTGCTGAGGTGTCGAAGCTGGTCAACGGCGTTCTCGACGCTCTGATTAACAACGCCGGTTGCGCCTGTCCGTGCGGCGACAAGAACACGGCGAATCTTGAGGATATGCGGAAGTGCTTCGAAGTGAACGTTATCGGCACGGCTAACGTGACGAACCATTTCTTGGAAATGGTAAAGAAGGCTCCCGCGGGCCGTATCGTGAACGTCAGCTCCATCATGGGAAGTTTTGCAACGACGTTTATAGGTTTCGAGTATGCCCCGTACACCATTTCCAAAGCCGCGCTCAACATGTACACCGTGAAGCTGGCTGCGGCTCTGAAGGATACAAACGTTAAAGTGAATTGTGGACACCCCGGCTGGGTGAAAACCGAGATGGGTGGCCCCAACGCTGAATTGGAAGTCACGGAGGGTGCGGAGACCAGCGTCTACCTTGCCACTCTGCCGGCGGACGGTCCGACTGGTGGCTACTTCCACAAGAAGGACAGCCTTCCATGGTAAGCAGAAAGCGTGCATGCGCTCCTTGTGTGCTCGATGTGTTGCACAGCATCCGACATTGCGATGCGATAGCAGCTTACGTACCGTTGAGCTTGCGGTGAGAGTTTAGCGCTGGCAAGCGTGCCTGACGAGTGTGTGGTGCTTCTGGTGCTTTGCAATCGTTGTGAATGATGCGACCGCGCTGTCACATGCGCTACAGGCTTCTACTTCCACCCCTATTATTATTACTGTTGCTCTCATCATCGTATATTGAGGTGATAGTACCTTTCAGCTGCATTTATTGTTTTTCCTTATTCTTGATGGAAATGCTGATTAGCAAGCGTTCCTTCTTTTTTCAGTGCTGCCTTATATTTAACCAATACCATTATACACATGAGCTGATAGATTGCTTTTTTTTTCTAAAGCGGCAACAAACGGTTTTTAAGAGCTCCATTTGCCGATGATGCTTATGAATTCATGGAGGATAGGTGTGCTATCGTATAGCTAATGCGGTGTAATTTGGACGGGAAAACCGCAAACGGTGCATGTATTTTCCACTGTAGGTCCGGGGGAGACTGATGTCTTTATGCGGCGAAACCTTTTCTCCAAGTGTAACTTTTGCTAGTTCTGATGTACAGCGGGTGTTTCTTCCTCCACGTACGTATCGTTTTCTCTCCCTCTCTTTCCGTCATTGTGTCATTAATCTGTTGAATCTTTGAATTTGTTAACTGCAGGGTAGCACATAATTCACCTTTTTTTTTCTACCGTAGTCTTTTCTTATTTCACGCTCACTGTTTATCTGTGATATCGTTTTCGCAACACAAAACACATAACGTGGACACCATGAAGGCCGTGTTCATCACCGGTGGAAACCGCGGCATCGGCTTGGAAACCGCTCGCCAGATGGGTAAGCTTGGCTACCACGTGATAATCAGCGCACGCAAGGAAGAGGATGCTAAGAAAGCCGTGGCGGACCTGTTCCATGACGGGTTGAAGGTTGATTATGTGATCATGGACACGGAGGATACGGCCGCGGTGGAGAAGGCTGCTGCTGAGGTGTCGAAGCTGGTCAACGGCGTTCTCGACGCTCTGATTAACAACGCCGGTTGCGCCTGTCCGTGCGGCGACAAGAACACGGCGAATCTTGAGGATATGCGGAAGTGCTTCGAAGTGAACGTTATCGGCACGGCTAACGTGACGAACCATTTCTTGGAAATGGTAAAGAAGGCTCCCGCGGGCCGTATCGTGAACGTCAGCTCCATCATGGGAAGTTTTGCAACGACGTTTATAGGTTTCGAGTATGCCCCGTACACCATTTCCAAAGCCGCGCTCAACATGTACACCGTGAAGCTGGCTGCGGCTCTGAAGGATACAAACGTTAAAGTGAATTGTGGACACCCCGGCTGGGTGAAAACCGAGATGGGTGGCCCCAACGCTGAATTGGAAGTCACGGAGGGTGCGGAGACCAGCGTCTACCTTGCCACTCTGCCGGCGGACGGTCCGACTGGTGGCTACTTCCACAAGAAGGACAGCCTTCCATGGTAAGCAGAAAGCGTGCATGCGCTCCTTGTGTGCTCGATGTGTTGCACAGCATCCGACATTGCGATGCGATAGCAGCTTACGTACCGTTGAGCTTGCGGTGAGAGTTTAGCGCTGGCAAGCGTGCCTGACGAGTGTGTGGTGCTTCTGGTGCTTTGCAATCGTTGTGAATGATGCGACCGCGCTGTCACATGCGCTACAGGCTTCTACTTCCACCCCTATTATTATTACTGTTGCTCTCATCATCGTATATTGAGGTGATAGTACCTTTCAGCTGCATTTATTGTTTTTCCTTATTCTTGATGGAAATGCTGATTAGCAAGCGTTCCTTCTTTTTTCAGTGCTGCCTTATATTTAACCAATACCATTATACACATGAGCTGATAGATTGCTTTTTTTTTCTAAAGCGGCAACAAACGGTTTTTAAGAGCTCCATTTGCCGATGATGCTTATGAATTCATGGAGGATAGGTGTGCTATCGTATAGCTAATGCGGTGTAATTTGGACGGGAAAACCGCAAACGGTGCATGTATTTTCCACTGTAGGTCCGGGGGAGACTGATGTCTTTATGCGGCGAAACCTTTTCTCCAAGTGTAACTTTTGCTAGTTCTGATGTACAGCGGGTGTTTCTTCCTCCACGTACGTATCGTTTTCTCTCCCTCTCTTTCCGTCATTGTGTCATTAATCTGTTGAATCTTTGAATTTGTTAACTGCAGGGTAGCACATAATTCACCTTTTTTTTTCTACCGTAGTCTTTTCTTATTTCACGCTCACTGTTTATCTGTGATATCGTTTTCGCAACACAAAACACATAACGTGGACACCATGAAGGCCGTGTTCATCACCGGTGGAAACCGCGGCATCGGCTTGGAAACCGCTCGCCAGATGGGTAAGCTTGGCTACCACGTGATAATCAGCGCACGCAAGGAAGAGGATGCTAAGAAAGCCGTGGCGGACCTGTTCCATGACGGGTTGAAGGTTGATTATGTGATCATGGACACGGAGGATACGGCCGCGGTGGAGAAGGCTGCTGCTGAGGTGTCGAAGCTGGTCAACGGCGTTCTCGACGCTCTGATTAACAACGCCGGTTGCGCCTGTCCGTGCGGCGACAAGAACACGGCGAATCTTGAGGATATGCGGAAGTGCTTCGAAGTGAACGTTATCGGCACGGCTAACGTGACGAACCATTTCTTGGAAATGGTAAAGAAGGCTCCCGCGGGCCGTATCGTGAACGTCAGCTCCATCATGGGAAGTTTTGCAACGACGTTTATAGGTTTCGAGTATGCCCCGTACACCATTTCCAAAGCCGCGCTCAACATGTACACCGTGAAGCTGGCTGCGGCTCTGAAGGATACAAACGTTAAAGTGAATTGTGGACACCCCGGCTGGGTGAAAACCGAGATGGGTGGCCCCAACGCTGAATTGGAAGTCACGGAGGGTGCGGAGACCAGCGTCTACCTTGCCACTCTGCCGGCGGACGGTCCGACTGGTGGCTACTTCCACAAGAAGGACAGCCTTCCATGGTAAGCAGAAAGCGTGCATGCGCTCCTTGTGTGCTCGATGTGTTGCACAGCATCCGACATTGCGATGCGATAGCAGCTTACGTACCGTTGAGCTTGCGGTGAGAGTTTAGCGCTGGCAAGCGTGCCTGACGAGTGTGTGGTGCTTCTGGTGCTTTGCAATCGTTGTGAATGATGCGACCGCGCTGTCACATGCGCTACAGGCTTCTACTTCCACCCCTATTATTATTATGGTATCCTCCTCGTTAATGGTAGTGGTGGTGCTTGTCTTTTCAGACTTCTTTTTCTTAAAGTCTGAGCGTGGAATGATGGAATGACGGAATGTATGAGATGAGTAGGTCTGACCGTTTTTCATGTTTCTCACCAGTTTCTCCTTTACTCTTTCTCTTTCTACCGCTTTCCGCTTTCGTGTCTTTCTTCCTTTCCTGTCCCGCCCAACCGCGCCGGCACGGCCCCGCTCTTTGAGGCGGATTATAAAGGAAGTCTGCCGCTTTGTTACTTTCCCATGCGCTTTGAAAGTATCGGCGCTTATGGACGCCCACCAGATTTTTTTTGTTCGTTCTCTCATTCTTTTGATTATGCACTTGAGAAGAGATCTGAGTCGCTCTTCGCTGTTATCCACGAGAGGAGACCTTTTTTTCATATGTGACAGTATTATTAGTTAAAACAGGGCAAAGGTGAAAATACGGACAACTCAGTTCAGCTGATGTAATATTGCTGCAGCGGGCTTTCTACCCCTCAAAACACGACATAGCAGTTTTTTCTGACACGTTACCATTCGCGTTTGATGTAGAGCAGTTGTTCGCTTTTGCTGACCTCACTGCACAAGGGAAGTAGGAAATGCTTTTCGTCGCATCTCTTCTTGTCTATTGACACGGGTGCAGTTGAACAGTAGCGTGTCAGTATCCAAGTGTAGTGGCGTTCGTTGTATATGCTATGTATGTTCCATTTCTCTTTTTACCCTTCTACCCCATTTTCTTTATTTTTTGCTCGAATGTTGGGCCATAAACTACACTTTTGACTATGATGTGTCTTGTAGATTCTCCAAAACACGAAAAGCTGTTCTGCAGCTAGTTTCTCCTTATCTTTATACATATATATTTCCTCTACAAATTTTACGCTCTTTCTTCACGAAATCATGTCGGCTATTCAGAAGGTCGCTATGGTCACCGGCGGCAACCGCGGTATCGGCTTTGCCACCGCGCGCCGGCTCGGTGAGCTGGGCTTCAAGGTACTCCTCTGCGCGCGTGACGAAAAGCGCGGTGAGGAGGCGGTGAGCACGCTGCGCGGCGATAAGCTCGATGTCGACTTGTTGCTGATAACACCCACAGAGGACGCATCGGTGGCGGACGCGTTCAAGAGGGTGGAGTCGAGCTACAAGCGCCTCGACGTCTTGGTCAACAACGCTGCAATCATGGATTTTGACAACAAGGTGTATCCACTGGACATGAAGCGCATGCGCGAGGAGTTCGAGATCAACTTCTTCGCGACGGTCAACATTACCAACACGTTCCTCCCCCTGATGCTGTCGTCGTCCGATGCGCCACGCATTGTCTTTGTCTCGACCCCGCTGGGAACGCACGAGACGGTGGAGCGCCCGCAGAACAAGTACGCCCATCCCCACTTCGCCCCGTACAAGTGCAGCAAGACGGCGGTGAACATGTACGCGCATAACCTCGCGAAGTACCTGCAGGACTACTCTGCTGAGGCGGGTGGCAGCGCTGCTGCGGCCAAGGTGAACTGCGCCTACCCTGGCTACGTGCAGACGGAGATGTGCTTCAACACGAAAGAAGCACACCTGACGCCGTACGAGGGTGCTGAGACGAGCGTGTTCCTCGCCACTCTTCCCGCTGACGGACCGACTGGTGGCTTCTACCACAAGGATAAGAAGCTCCCTTGGTAATGAAGTAGGGTTTAAACGGACACGGTGCCGCCACCATCTCATCGACGAGTCAAGTAAACTGCGGCGCAGCAGATGTTTATTCGTTTCTGTGCTCACGGTAGCTGCTTTGCGTTGTGTTGAAAGCGGGCAACAAGCTGTTCTTCTCTTTGGCCGTGTGGCAACACAGCTTCTCTGTCTGACTCACTATTCTGTTTGAAAATCTTGTTTTCCCTTTTGTTTTGATTTGTTTTGATTTGTCTCCTTTTTTTTTTCTGGCTAGTGCTATCGTAACAGACAGCCATTTGCGCTGCGGGCCACGTTCTACTCGCAAACATATAATACAATTCGACTGTTAAAGGTTAAAAGCAAACCTTTATTGTGAAAAGAGCTTTTTAAAAACGATCGATAATCTGTATTTTTTTTTTGTGGCATTACGAGTGTGCGTGTATGTTATTGCGATGCGCTTGCTGGTGCGCTCACAGGTGCAATTGCGTTCGTGTCTCTCGGGGTTCTTCACCTAACTGTTGCTTTGGAGTTAAAGAAATGTGAAGGAAAAGAAAGCAACGTTATATTATTTACTGCTTTATCTGTTGCTGATGGCTGTTGCTTTTGGAAGTAAAGTATTCTCTCTTCTTCCCTGTTCTCCGCCATCAACCTAAATCGAATGAGAATGCTTAATCCTTTAATATTTCATATTATAGACAGGAGCTGCAAAACAAAGACTGTTTTGCGCCTGCATTTGCTTTTTCTCCAAATTCATAGTTGGCGTCTACCATTTTCACCGCGCAGGCACGCTTCTCTTCGAAACCCATTTGCATTGCTTTCCGGCACTTTTGGGAGCACGGAAGTACCTTCAAATTTGTGTGTGCTGTTACGGCCGCGGGAAAGAATAATGTCGTCTCCGCCATCACTGGAACACATTGCCAGCGGACCTTCCGCGGAGGAAGCGGAGGAAGAAGAGCTCGGGATGCTTTCATCTTCCTCATCCGCCACAATAACTAAAAGAATACCCAGCAATGGCAAGGAAGGCAGCAGCAATACTTCCGCCTTTGCGAGAGGATCTCCGCACGGGAGGCGGGACGATAGAGCTGTGAATGGAGAAACGGACGACGAATTTGCGATTGACATTGCCTTCGTGTCGACGAAAGGCCCCAAGCAGCGTTCGAACTTGGGAGCTTTTGCGCTACCGACTGCAAGCAGCTCGACGTCTAGTTCCACGCAGATTCACCGTCAAGGAACACACGGATCTGGTGGGTTTGGAGCTTCTTCACAAGCGACTTTCAACGTGACAACTAAGGCGTCGCTAGCAAGCAGATACGATTCAGGCGAGGGTGAGACACTCAACAAATACAAGGGATCCGATATTCTTGATGACACAGATCGTGCCAGCGATGAGACGGAGTATCAGGCATGGAAAGCACGCGATGCGCGACGGCGCAAAGACCTCCTGGCGTAGATGAAAGGATCTCAGTGGTTTTCTGTCTGCTCTTCTTGTGGGTTTAATTGTACAGTAGCAACTAGGTTGACTATTTTAAATCACGCCTAAACATCTGCCGAGCTGCTCGTCGGTTTAGTGAGGCGGCTGCGCTTTCAGGAAAAACGTGTAAATTTACCCACGGTCGTTGCTATTGGCTGTGTTTGGCGATCTTGTGTCTCTTTCCTCGAGCTATCAAAGATGCATGAATTGTCGCACTGGCGTTGTAAAGGTACTGATCGCCATCATGTTTGTTTTGCTACGTGTGCTCGACTGATTTTTCTTCAGTTACTTCTTCTCTCGTTTCCGTATCTCATCCTTCGTTTACCTTTCTATATACTGCCTCGATGCTTGATCAGGCGAGAAGAGAAAGACGGCTTCGCATCTCGCAGAAAGGAGGCTTTATGTGTGTGCAAGTTTGCCGGCGGATCTGCACGAACAGTTGCCTTCGGAGCGCTTCCCATACATAGAACTTTACTCCTCTCATTTGCGCTGCATGAAACGAAAGCCGATTATTCTTCTGGATAAGGCCGCAGCAGGTAAATTTAGTCCTGCATTTGCTTCGGCTCTCTTGCATGCATCCTGCGAGAGCAACCGAATACGCTTATTATTTTTACTATTAGCTTCAAATCAAACGTAGTTTCACAACCACTGTAGACACGGACGTACGACTTTTCAGCACCAATAGAGATAGAGCGCCCACACCGCATAGAATAGTCTCTCTTTTTTTTTCTCCTAGAAGATCGTGACATCGATAGCTCATAAAAATAAAACAAACCACTCTACGCAACTCTCATGTCTGCAAGATGGCCCTCTTCGCTGCTCAACTCCACGAATCAGCGGCTGACGGAGAGCATTGAGCAACTTTCGGCCGAGCTAGAAAGTAAACGCAACACCGTTGCTGAGCTGCGAGAAGTGGTGGGGTTGCTGAAACGAGACCACCGACAGACCCGCCGACAAGAGAAAAACATATCGGAAGCATTAGCGAGCAAACGGGAAGAGGTCGAGAAAGATGAAGGGAAACTGAAGCAACTCACGCACGAAGTAGACGGAAACGCGCGCCGAGTTGGCCAGTTGAAAGCGGAAGAAGCGCGTCTTGGGTCTGCCGTCGCAGCACTGGAGGACACCATGGAACACAGGCGACACAAACTTGAGGAGCAGCAGAAAACAGCTGCAGCCCTGGAGGAGGAAGTGAAGGCGATTGTGCTTGCACATCTTGCGCGGCAGCGTACAGGAGAGGATCTATCGGCAGCACAAAACGAGCTATCCTCTGCTGTATGGGGAAAGCTCGAACGACTGAACGAGCGCGCAAACACTGCAGCTCAGCAGCTTGCGGACGCTCGGACTGAACACCATCACGTGCTCAGAGAACTAGATGTCGTGCAGCAGCAGTTGCAAGAGGCTGTTAAAGAACAGTATGATAGCGTGCACGCACTAGAGCTCGTCCATGCTCAAACCTCGCAGCTCGACGCGCACGTGATGACAAACGCCACCTCAATGGAAACTTTAAAGCAGGCGATGCACGAAAAGAAAGAGTTGCGCGATGAAATGCGCCTTTCTTTGGACCGGTGTCTCGCCGACAACACACAGCGTGCCGTCGCCCGCGATCGTCATCGAAGCCGGTACGATCAGCAGCTACACGCGCTTCGCCAACTAGTGGAGAGTATTCGTGGAGGGGAAGCTCATTTGGCAGGCTGCAAAGGTCGTCGACACGCGGAGGAGCACTTTTTACACCAACAACGCCGCGAGCTCGACCACATTGTGAACCTGTGCGAGGAGAAAACGTCCTTACTGGAGGTTGCGAAAGCACGGCACACGGCGCTCGTTGAGGCGCGCGCGCTGCTGGATAAACAGCTGGAATTCGACACGCCATCATCGGCTGCGCTGCGCAACTTAATTCTATCGCTCTCTCGGCAAAAGGACCTGCTGGAAGACCGTCTCGAGCGCGCACAGGTGCGGCTGGCAGAGGCGATTCAGCTCTTTGTGCAGGAGGGCCGCAAAGGCGATCAAGTCAACGAAGTTCTCGCGGAGAAACAAAAGAACTGGAAAGCGCTAAGTGAGTCTCAAGACACCACAGAGCGCGAGGTGCACCTTTTGAAGCAGCGGTGTGCCCAGCTGGAAGACGTTTTGAGTGAGCAACGCGCCTTGCTGCCTTCCATGCAAACACTCGCGCAGGAGCAGCGGGCGCAGCGGCAGGAGTCACGGTTGCGGGACATCGAGCAGCTGCGGGCGGCCCTCCTGCGGTCACGACGCGAACACCAGCAACTTCTGCAAGGCGTCACGACACTCCGCAGCAGTTTATATCGGTCTCGAAAGAGCCTGGAGAATGGCGACGTATCGCAGTCTACCATTATAGAGGAGTTGCGTCTGTTGGACGGAGAGGTGGCTGCCTTAGAACAAGAGCAGCGTACTACCACCGAGGCGCAGCGAAGTGCGGCTGCGCAGTTTGAACAGGCCAATGTGACGCTGCAGTCATTGATGAAGGCGGCAGATGTGCAAGTTGGCGTGCTCAAGGAAGCGGCCGGTGTGGAGTCGTTTCTTCGAGCTGAGGTGCAGATCAAAGAGGAGCAAATCCAGGCCGAAATGCAAGGCCGTCTGGTGGAACTGCATTTACACGAAAATGAGCTGCACGAGCTGAATGAGGAACTGCAGCGACACAGCAAGAAACTCGGCCTGCTTCGCTTGCGCTACGATGAGGTGATGGCGTCGCTCGCGCGAGCCTCACAAAAACCTCTCAACGAGGAGCAGAGTGACGCGTCGTTGTCACTGCCGTCTCTGAAGCCAGTCGCCGCCAGCAGCAACCCAGAAACCGTGCATGCCCATCTACTGCTGCGGCGCTCCTTTGAGAGAGAGCAGCTTATGCAGCGTGGGAATTATTTGGACCTTCGCTTAGTGGCGCTGGACCGTGAGACCAGCACACTGCGCCACATGCTTGACGGTCTGCGCGCTTCTTCGTCTTCTACGTCCGATGCGGCGTCTCGTATTGACGGCGCGGCAGCCAGTAAGGCGGTGACATATCCTACGGAAAAGACAAAACAACGCGGTGTTATGGCGGTCGAGAACGAGAACGCGTCGCCGGTACCCACCGCAAAGTCTTCGTGCTCGCCTGCTACCATGAAAGACGAACTGGTGAACAGTGCCCTTTCAAAAGAGCATTATTGGAAGATGGAGTTGGATCTGCTTGATGAAGCCGTTGCTGCGATGACCCACGAGCGTGATCGAACGCGAACGCAGCTGAATGAGCTTCGTTCTACCTTAAAGGAGTTGCAAAATACCGAGAAGCAGAGGCGAATGCGTTTGCAAAAGTTGCGCGAATTATGGGAGCGCTCGCAGAAAAGCGCCAACGCAGCTGCGATGAAAGGCATCAGGTGATGCATTTTTCTGGCTCACTGAAGGATCGTTTTATTTTATCTAAAAATCCCTTTTTTCTCTCTTTTTTCTTCGTCCTGCACTGATTTAGAAATGCCGAAGCTGCAACGAGAAGAGCACATATTCGGAAAACTGAGAGTAAAACGTTTTGTTTTGCTGTACTTTTGACCCTTGCGATGTGCGCGTTCTTTCGATTACATGCGCTAAACACTATTCGCGCGCTGCCTCGTAAAGTGTATCTCTCTATCTTTTTTGTTGTCTTCGGTTCCACTTTCTCGCTCCACATTTCCTCGGCTCTTTTAAAATGAAGCATTAATCAAGCGGAAGATTTGCTACTTAAGCACTATTTCTCATAAGCAGTGAGTCGCCAAGCAGGAACAGCATTTCGACATCAAGAAGCGCAAGTGTTGCACAGAAAGCACTCTATTCACTTGAATCATTTTCCTCGGTGGCATCAACAACGACAAAATGCAAAAGATCGAGACAGCAGAACAGTACGCGGCTGCCAAAAAGGCAGCTGAGGGTGCTCGTGGCCTCGTCGTCCACTTTAGCGCCACGTGGTGTGAACCGTGCAAAGCGGTGAACGAGTTCCTGGAGAAGCAGTCGGGGATGTATGAAGGGCGCGTGGCCTTTGCTGAAGTGGACTGCGAGAAGCTAGGGGATGTTTGCGAGAGCGAGGACGTCAATTCGGTGCCTTTCATCGCTTTTTTCCGAACACCCATCGCAGGCGAGACTCGTCGCATGGAGCGCGTGGCGGATGTGGTAGGCGCCAAGCTGGACTTGATCGACATGAATATTCGCTCCCTCTTTGGCGACAACGGAGGTAAGGGTGTTCAGCGTGAGGATTTTGCCTCCGTGGATGACTACCTTAAGTATTTGACCACACGCAAAGGTGTGGTGATGTTCATCACGGGCACCCCGTCGCGTCCTCGCTGCGGCTTCACCGGCCGCCTGTGCGAGCTGATCCACGAGTTGGGTGTGCCGTTCACCTACTACGATGTGATGGCGAGCGATGAGGTGTGTGAGCGACTCAAGACGTACGCGAATTGGCCCACCTACCCACAGGTCTACGTCGATGGCGAGCTGATTGGCGGGTGGGACATCTGCCGCGAACTCAACGAGGAAGGCGAGCTGAAGGCCACACTCAAGTACTAGGAAGTGCTATTCAGTGGCGTGGCGGCACCATCAGTGCACTTCACTGGACCGCCCTTTGTTTATCACGGTACCTATTAACGCAGCTTTTCTTGCAACCGAGCAGGAGACACGTGTCACACACACACACACACACACACGCACACACGCACACACGCACACACACAAAGCCTTTCACTAGTATACGAGCGTTTATATCTACTAATTTACTCCTATTTTGCTTATTCAACGACGTGATAAGTAGCTGACCCCCAGAGCAGCCTTTGCGGATTTAACGAATGCAGATAAATGAGACCCTTTCTTTTTTGCGTGCGCATGGATTGGAAGAGCTTCGGGCGGTTCGCTCTCTGTGGGAGTGGGTATGTGCGCATGTGCACACGAATTGCAAGGGCAGCTGAAAGAAAACGAGCGCAAACAATAGTGGCGTTTGCTGACGAGGCCACTCGTGCTTTGTGTTTCCATGAGATCCTCCTATTGAGCTTTCAACAACTTGAAGCGTAGCACTCTTTCCCTTTCTCTCCTCTTTTCTTCCTTTCAAACGCTTGCTAGCACCGTCTTTTGGCCCACCCGTTCAGCCGGTAGATGATAGTTGCTGTGCTCTGTGGGTGAAATCCGTAGATGCTGCTGCGCATTTTTGCTGCCATCTGGAAATCGCATCATCACTGGGGTCAACGCCAGCCGTGAACATCATCTACTGTTTTCCTACATCGCTTAGTATTGTATTGGTGGGAAAAACGCACTTCTTCCTTCGATCGCTGTCATCGTTTACTCTGTTTTCCTTTTCCTCCCTTTTTTTTTGCACCCATGATGGCAACAGCGCGTGGCGTCTCGTGGACGCAGGCCCAGCAGAACGTGATGGCCGGCGTGGCTCGCACAGTTCTCGGGTGGCTCGAGAGACTGAAGAATGCGATTTCCGACACCCCGCTCTACTTCTGGGTTTACATCGGTGCCCTTGTGTGGATCACCCGTCAGCTGACGAGCCGCAACAGCCGTGCCACACGCCGAATCACTGTGGCGGGCCGAGCTGTCCACTTGAACTCCGCCGAGGCGGATATGGCGGCGAATGTGGTGGACATTGACCGGATCGACGTAGATTTCAGCGACGTGGGTGGCCTAGATGAAGTGAAGGACGCGCTGACGGAGCACATCAAATGGCCCTTCCAGCACCAGGAGCTGTTCAGCGGCAAGACGGTGCGCTCCCACCCCAAGGGCGTGCTTCTCTACGGACCGCCTGGAACCGGCAAAACGTTGCTGGCGCGTGCATTGGCGAAAGAGCTGGGCTGCTCTTTCATCAACGTCAACACGGAGTCCATCTTCTCCAAGTGGGTCGGCGACACGGAGCGCAACGCGGCAGCCATCTTCACTCTGGCTGCGAAGATTGCGCCGTGCGTCATCTTTGTGGACGAAATTGATTCACTCTTGAGCAACCGTAGCGCGATGGACGCGACGCCACACACGCACGCCAAAACCATCTTCATGACACACTGGGATGGACTGGAGAAGGATCCCGACGCGCGCATCATCGTCGTGGGCGCTACAAATCGGCGATTCACCATCGACGACGCCATCCGCCGCCGCCTTCCGCTTCAGCTAGAGGTTCCGCCGCCGGACCTGAAGGCGCGCGAGAAGATCCTCAACATTCTCCTGGCCAATGACTTAGAGGGCAATCCGAAGAAGGACGGGCTGATTCGCTATGTGGCGATGAAGACCATCGACTACACCGGCTCCGATCTCACTGAGCTATGCAAGGCAGCTGCGTTGATGCCGCTGCGGGAAATGAAGACGATGAAAGGCGAACAGAAGACTGTATCAGACACCACGGAGGCGATTCCGCCGCTCAGTCAGGAGCACTTTGACAAGGCAATGCAGCGTGTGAAGGCTTCAAAGTAGCCCTTTTTTTGTGGCCGTCCGCTCCGCCAAAACCGCGGTGCTGCGTGACCTTCTTCAAAATAACAACGAGATCATAAAAGGCCGGCTAACACTTGCCCAATCTAATGTTGCAGTTTATACATCCGCCCACACGAACGTAAACCAATGTGGCATTTCGACTCGATCTTAGTCCCGCCCATTTTTTTCTCGCAGTTGAGGATTATGGTTCGTCGTTCGACCTTCGATTTCGTATCACAAGGATCTCTTTTTTTTCCCCCACCTTTGTGTGTCACTTTCTTGTGTGTGCTGGTGACTCCCTACCTTTCAATAGCCGAGTTTTTTTTTCTCTTGATGCTGCGCATTCTTTTGTCTTCTTTACAATGTTGTTCTGCATGAAAATGCGTATAATCTTAAAGCAAAACCAAAAAAGTGGAGTGAAATCAACCCGAATTCTCAAGTCTCTAAAGGAACGTTGGATTGAGGGCATCTCGGTCAAATCACTAGATGAAATGAAGTGTACGCGTAGTACGGTCTGAGCAGGTTTTGCGCGTGCTGGACGGGCCAGCGCTTGATTGACGGAGCTCAGGGACGAGTCTGCGACTTGAATTGCACCAGTTACAGCCCAAAGAAAAGCAACAGCATCGACATTTGTGCACTTTCATTTGCTCCTCCTGTCTCACTTTCTCTCAAAGCTGCCTTTTTTCCCTTTTCAAACAAAAAATGAGTTGCACTCATAGGCTCTAAACTGCTTTTACGCTAATCATGTTAACTCACTCGCCTATGAGCACTGCAAAAGAGCTTGCAGACCAGTTTGCGAAGCAGGGGATGCGCTGTACCGAAGGCGACTCCTCTCCGCAGCTGTGGTGTTCGTACTGTACCGCATATCTTAGCGAGAAAGCTGCTATTTCAAAAGACCAGGAGGATTGTGCACAGGAAAGGAATGCGTCTCCGCAGAACACTGCGCAGAGCCCACGTAGTCAACCGCGCGCAACGGAGCCAACCGCACCTTCATCGTCTTCTCATGTAGTAAGTGTACGAGCTACAAAGGAGGCAATTCTCGCGCATTGTGCGACGCGTACTCACCTGCATCTCTACGAGCACCACACACAGGAGGATCTGCGCCACTGGTGCCCGGTGGAACTCCACGGTTACCGGATGCTTTTGAACCACCATTGCGTGTATCCGGCACGCATGTTTGGGGATGGCAGGCTGCTCATGGACTTCACCATCGCTGGTGGAATGTTGTTGGGGCAGGACGTGTGCGGGGGTGTGAAGCTGTGGCCGCAGCATCGATACGCTGCTGTCGAGCTGGTGCTTCCGTCCTCCCGCAGCGGCGTGCGGGAGGTGTGGGTACCGCTGCCGGAGCGAGAGGAAATCGAAGCAAAAATCAAGCCGCCTTCTTTAAAGCGACCAAAAGGAGAAGGCCGCAGCATGCAGCTGCTTCACGAAGGTTCTGAGATCCCTGCCGCGGTGGCATGGACCTACAACAACGAGGATCAGGTAGATGAGAAAGCTCCCTTTCTTTTCAGGAAGGATCATGCAATGATGCTTCAGTTTGTTCCGCGCTACTTCGACGAGGATCACGGCCTGCGCAGCCGGCGTGTGATAGAGGGCACCTTGGCAGCGGTTCTAGATGCCACCAACGCCTCCATCATCGCCGAAGCCCGCCTGCACGAACAACGGAGACGGTACTCGATCACGCACAACCTCGTTAAAAGCGCCAACCACTGCGAATCGGGCGCGAAGAGGGGGTGCAGCGATATTTCTGAGGGTTTGTGACGTCTGCGTCTCTTCTTTTCCTCCACGTTTTCATTTCACATTCCACGGTGCATTCTGCTAGTTTTAAACCGCGATTAATGCGCATGATTAAACCCCGCCCAGCGGGGTGGGAAAAAAAAGGTCCCAATAGAACGAGAAGAGAAGCAGCGCTTCAAAAAACGGTTGATCATACATACTGCTCTTTCCTCAGGGTTAGTGGAGCTTCAATGGACAAGGCAAATCACCGTCGCTGTCCTTTTTTTATCGCTAATTCTCTATTTCGACTCCTTTTTTTTTGACAACGAGTTCCGTGAGGTGTCGGCAGCAAACAGCCCTTCTTCTCAAAAGAGTTTTCTGTTAATGGAGCACGCTTCGACCATCTTGCAGCTTTTCATTCCTTTGCACCTCTCTCCCTCTACGAACTGCCTGTGCCCCAAAGCGAAAAACTGTGTGTGCGGTAAGGGGAACTGCAGATTAAAGCTGCAGGATTACAGAGACGACCCCAGCTTTCGCCTCCGTGGACAACAGCCCCCTTTTTCTTCTTTCTGTATTTGCCACCAAATAGCAACCGCAAAAACACCCTCGTTCTGCTCTTTTTTTTTGCTCTCTATCGTCGAGCAGAGTTTCAACTCTGCATTCTAAGGTCAGGCACACCAAAAACAGCAGCAATAGTACTAGTAATAATGTCCCTTACTTCCAAATTTATCGGTGGGATGAAGCACCTGTTGAAAGGGGGTAGTGTCAAGTACCTTGCTGCTGGTGAGCCGTATTGCCCGTTTGGCGAGGAATTTGGGTTGACGGTAATTCCTGAATATCTTTTGGAAGATGACCTAATGAAGCTCCGCAGAGGCTACGTCGACGTCTACACACGCAACTCGGACCACATTGTCCTCAACGATGGCCGCTTTCAGCTGCCGCCGCTGCCCCCTAGCTCCTTCCTGCCGCTCGTGGAACGCCTTGAGCAGGATGATATTGTGCCCAAAGGGTGGCTCAACAATCAGACAGCCAATCTGTACGAACCGGGCGACTTTATTCGTGCCCACATCGACAACCTTTTTGTGTACGACGACATTTTCGCCATCTGCTCGCTTGGCAGCAACGCTTTGCTGCGTTTGGTGCACGTCCAGAACGGCGAGGAGCTGGATGTGATGGTGCCTGATCGCTCCGTGTACATCATGTCTGGGCCTGCGCGATACGTGTACTTCCACATGGTGCTTCCCGTTGAGGCCCAACGATTTTCCCTTGTGCTTCGCCGCTCCATCATCGACTCGGACGGCGGTTTCCGCCCGATTACGACTCCGATTGGGGATATCATGCCGTACAAAGCGACGCGAATACTGAACGCGCTGTACAGCAGACAAGTCGGTGGCGTACGGGTGACGGTGGATGATGACTTCTTAGAACACGCCGACATTGGGGCCTTTGACACGTCGAGATGGGTAAAGCGTCTGCACCCGCTGCGTGACTGGTCGTTGCTGCGGCAGCTGGACGAGGACGAGGCCCGCATTGAGGAGCTGCGAGAGAAGCGTTTCATTGACGTGGACTTTAGCTGGCGGTACAAGGAGCTGCGCGAGTATTACAAGGCGATGGAGGAGTCTTTGTTGGCACCGCATGCTACCCCTGCTACCCCTGCTACACCGCACGTAGACACCAAAGGCTGAGACGATCCTGCTGTGCTACTCCTAACGGTTTTTTGTCCCCCTTGCGCCGATTGTGTCTCAACTCTCTGACTGAGAACGTATGGCGGAGGGCAAGGCAATGCGCTTTGCAAGAGATGGCTCCGAAAAGAGGCCACAACGTCAAGAAGGAAAGGCGATATGACGTGCGCGACTTGATTACGTGAAAGTTGGCATTTGCCCTGTTGCTTCTGAAAGCGTCACAGGTAAATACATACGCGAACAGTAAAAAACGCCCCCCCCCCAAAAAAAAAAAAAGGCGGCACAATACCTTGCCACGGCGCGTCAGTCTTTACGTGGATCGAGCACTTGTCAGAGCGCGTTAGAACGTGCCTTTTTCATAAAAGTCATTATTGCTGACTTCCCTTTCTGATAAAGCACACGGCTGGCAAGCCAAAGGATGGACTTGAGCCGAGTCAGGAGCTTCTCGACTTTCAGCCCACAGTGACACAAGAGTCGTATCATCTGAAAGTGCATTTTGGCCGCTTTTTCATCTTTCCTTTTGCGTGTGTGTCTCAATGAACGCTCGATTTGCGGGCGAAAAGGAGTAAACACTTGTGGAGCTTCATTATCGCACTCTCAAAGCCACCACGCCTCCTTCGTACATCGCAGGATTAATACTTTCTAACTTGATCTGCAAGGCAAGTATATTTCTTCCTTGTTTCTTCCTTGTTTTTTTAGAGAAGTGGGAGGCAAATGACGGAAAGCGGCACCGCATCAACTCTCTACATTCGCTGTGCAGGCATGCACAGCAGAGGAGAACTGCTGCACGAATTCTTCTACGCACACCGCGCGGCATTAGGACTGGATAGCTTCTACGAGCTGCCCAGCAGCTCCACTGGCGGTAACGGCCGTCAGGATGCCGACGCCGACCAGATGGCTGCGAGTGCAGAGGCGGAGCGAGCGTCCTCGCCACACTTGCCGGTGAGTTTTCCCGTGGAGGTGGTGTACGTGCGACAGTCACGGAAACCGTATTTTCTCGTGGAGTGGCGTTACCCCACCGAAGACGAAGTGAAGAAGCAAAACACCGTGGATGACGGCGCAACTCCCCACAAAACGGAGGACTCTTCTGCCCAGGAGGCAGCGCCGCCTCCGTCAAAGTCCAACGCATCGTCTTCGCAGAACCGTTTGCCGACCGATTTCCTTGCGCAGCTCGCGGAGCGCACATTAGCTCTCGGAAAAGGCGAAGAATCAGGCCGCAGCTTGACGTGGCGAGACCAGCCCGTGACGATCAGCGCCGCCCTGGCAGGCATGAAGGTGGCGACGGAGCGAACAAAGCTGGAGCTTCGTGACGCGCAGCTCAAAACCCAACGCGTGGCGGAGAAGCGCGCGAGGGATGAAACTGAGGCCGAAAAAAAAACACAAGGAAGCGGTGCTGAGGCTGGCAAGCCGGCGCCCTATTTTGTGCCTCGTAGCGTTCGCCGGCGCGCGTAAAGCGTGAGATTCGATAGCGACACTTTGCATGTGAAACAGGGGAAATGGTGAAACGATGCCTTGCGCTCGTTAGACGTGCGTATTCTGAATCTCCGGTCGTCACTGTACTACAAAATACCTAACATGAAGACTATTATTCTTGTTTCACACTCATCAACGTGATAAGCAGTGTCCAGCAGTCATGCCACACAACGAAGCAAGGCTATTTTTTGTTTTCCCCCTCTAGTGCGACTACGTCTTTCCATTTTAAGCTTACATCACTCTGCCCCCTCAACCTTCTGTTCTCTTCGCTTCCACGCTGTCACAGACATTTATACCCTTTTCTTTATTATCCTAATTTCTCGGCAGGGGTTCACAGCATTTAATTCAAAAGCAAAACTCTATATATTTGACAATTGATTCGCAAGTGAAACCTCTGCACCGGGAAAAGTTGCGTTTTGTATCATAACATTATACATAGTTCAGCCTTTTGGTTTCTTTTGAAAAGCTCAATCGTTTTCCTTCGTGACTCCTCTTTCAATATAACTGTGTTCTCCATCGTTGCTGACGGGTAATGCTTCGCTGCTCCACCTTTCTCGAGGTGCGTCTTCCGCACATTGCCCACAACATTGATTTAATTCGCACCCACTACGCATCCAAAGCAACGTTAATTCCCATGATAAAAGGCAACGCCTATGGCAACGGCCTCGAGCGGGTCGCAGGGTACATCCACGACGCCTGCAGGGTCAACCATTTCGGCGTCGCCTCACTGGGGGAGGCGGTCGCAGTGTTGAAAGGCAACGCCCACAGCATTGACACAGGACGCACCAACCACGTCGTTGTCTTCTCCGACACGGAGCTGATGGACGAGTCGGTGCACCACGTTTACGCAGAGCAGAACGCCAAGTACCGTGCCGGCAACGGGGCGCAGCTGGCACCGGTGCTCGGGACGGAGGAGCAGCTGCAACTGTTTTGCAAGCTCCGCCGCACCATCTTCAAGGACACCCCTCTGTGCTTGAAGATCAACACCGGGATGGACCGTCTTGGCGTGACACTGGAGCGGCTGAAGGAGTTGACACCGTTGCTGCGGGAAAACGGTGGTGTGGATTTGCTGCTGCAGCACTTCAGCGTGTCGGGCTTAGTAGGTCATTCCTTCACCAAAGCTCAACACATTAAGTTCCAGCAGGCGAAGGAATCTCTGCAAGCTGCCGGGGTAGAGGTGCGTGGCACGTCAGCGGCGAACAGCGGCGCCATCGAGCAGCGTCTCGCGGTGGAGGAGATGTATGTGCGACCAGGCTTAATGCTCTACGGACCCACCTCTCTCGCTGCCTCCAGCATCACCCCGGATGAGGTGCCCAAGTATCGGTTGTGGGACGGCAAGTGCTGCGGGTACTTCTACACCAAGGTGCTTCATCATTACGTTGCGAAGGCCGGGAGCTACATCGGCTACGGCATCACCCACAATCTCGTGCCGGAGGACGCCGTGATTGTGCTCATCCCTGTTGGCTACGCAGATGGCTTCATGCGGTACTATTCCAACATGCCCGTGACGGTGTCCCCCGCCCCTCCGCGAGGCCACGAAGACGATCCGGCGGTGAAGGAGAGTGCCCTTGTGGGCGTGGTGCACGGCAACGTGAACATGGACATCGCGGCTGTGGCGGTGCATCCAGCCATGGTGGGACACAGCGTGGAGGAGATCATGCGCCGCATTGAGAACGAGAGTCAAATCCTAGTGTGGGGCAACGATGTGGCGGAGAAGGCGGCCGCGGTGAAGTCGATTCCGTATCAGCTCATGTGTGGTTTGTCGATACGCGTTCCGCGACGGTATGTGGAGTAGTGGTACGCGAGAAAACAACAACGAAAAGGTAATGAATTTTTTTTATGCTGCTTTTACTTTTCTTTGTTGCGGTCAAAAGGCCACGTAAGAGGCATACCGTGCGCAAAACAATCCTTGCACTTTTCATCTTTTTTTTTTTCCGGCCACAGGGACGGTCGTCAGGTGTGATACCCCTAAACGTATTTTCTTGATATATATAAATATATAAATATATAAATATAAATATATATATATATATAGTTCGGATGCAAAAGGTGATTTTATTGCTCTTCTTTTTCTTCCCCAATTTCCTTTTTTTTTTGTGTGTGTGTGCTGTATTCGGACAGCTTGGGACACGAGCTTTCGTTTCTCTTTCTCGCCCGAGTTTATTAAGCAGCTATTACTCGCCTTCAACGGCCTGGCTGGCAGAAGCGGAATGAAAAGGAAAACACACACGCGCGCACCCGCTGCTCAACTTTCGTGAGCCGACGGTTTCGTTTGTGTTTTGAAAGCCGCTCGATGGCAGGAGTTTTAATTCCCTTTCCTCTTTCTTCGTGAGTGAAACTGTGGTTGGTGTCCACCACACTTCCTTCTTGATCGTTGGACGGGCTCCGGCGAAAAAGCCTGGACCAGTTCTCGCTTGCGGGCGACATGAACGGTTTTCTCTTTCCATCTACGTGCGTCTCTCTTTCTCATCCTTCTCCTCCCTCCTTTTCACTTTTTCTCGCTCTTCTCTTCACTGCAAAAAAAAAAACCCAACCTAGGTATTTCGAAAGCTTCCTTTTCCCTTTTATTTAGAAGACTGAGAGATCGCTGTGATACATCCTCTCCTCTCATTTCGCTACCCGTACACACTCACACTTCTCATTTCGGTGTTCTTCACCCTGTCATTTTTTTTTTCAGAGTATCCGCGTGAACTGAAGAAACATGGCGCTCCGCCGCATCCAGAAGGAACTGAAGGACCTGGAGAAGGACCCGCCGGCGAACACCAGCGGCGGTCCGGTGAACGAGAACGATCTGTTTAATTGGAAGGCCACCATCATCGGTCCGGAGGACTCTCCGTACGCTGGTGGTCTCTTCTTCCTCAACATTCACTTCCCGTCCGACTACCCCTTCAAGCCGCCGAAGCTGCAGTTCACCACCAAGATTTATCACCCGAATATCAACAACAACGGCGGCATCTGCCTTGATATCCTGAAGGACCAATGGTCGCCGGCGCTGACCATCTCCAAGGTTCTGCTGTCCGTGTGCTCCCTGCTTACGGACCCTAACCCGGATGATCCGCTTGTGCCGGATATTGCGCGCCAATACAAGACTGATAGGGCCGCCTTCAACAAGACGGCCGCAGAGTGGACGCGCCAATACGCCATGTAAAGGCAGAAGGAAGGTGGGATGGTGAACAAGCCCCGCACATGCAATGCAAACGATTGGAGAAGAGAGGGACACCAGGTGTGCAGAAGCCAGGTGAACACACACGGTTCTATGGATTGAGTTCACGTGACACAATTTATTGGATCACTACACACGCGTCACATGTCCGGCATGCACACCACGTTCTCATTTTTGTGAGGCAAGCTGTGTTTTGTTAAAGGATTCAGGTGGTCACAGATCCCCAGGCTTTTTAGATTTTACTTTTGCGCGTCTGTGAGTACTTCAGCATTCTTTGATATCACGCCACTCTTCTCTCCACTTCTGTTTCTTTCTTCAAGTAAAGAAAGACAAGGGGAAGGTTTTCACTAGGAGGAACGCACAGAATAGAGCCGTTAAAGGAAGCGAAGATCCGATGCCGGTGCTTGGTTTCTGTCTTCTTTGTATTTTTCTTTTGACCATTCATGCATGTGAGTTCACTGGTTGGTTGCCTTGAATATTGCGCATTATTATTATTTTAGTATTGATTCTCTTTTTTTTTCTTGTTCTTTCCTCTTTGTGTCCCCATCTTTCTCTCTCTTTATATGAAAATATCCGTGTTGGCGTACTGGCTCGGATGCAAGTGCTCATCGCTTTCACCTTTTCTTTTTCTTTTTCTTCTTGGTTGGTGTTCGTGATGCCTCGGTGTCTCCAATCCTCAACCATAAAAACGGTGGGAAAGCACGCCAAACCACTTAAGCTCTCGCGTGCTCGACAAACACAAACAACATCAACAACAAACAAAATCAGACGAGCGTATTTAAGTGCGTTGGTGACCGAACGAACAGACGATTGCATTGGGCGACGTTCTCAGTGCTTTTTAAGGAAACAGAAGGAGAGGAAGGTTAACGTGTATGAAGTGAGGAAGGTAAAACTTGCAAGCCAGCATTTTATTTTATTGACAGAAAGGTAAATTTGTGTTTTTGGTTAAACGTAATACGTAATTTGAAGTTTAAGAGAGGACGGAAAAAGCACGGCTGCAGTAGAAGAATAGACCCACAAAAGAGAAGAAAAGAAACGAGTAGTGATAGATCGTGAGAGCAGCCGTGTGGAACCACGGCGGGCTTTAAAAGCAAACTTAGATCGCAAAATACACATTCCACGGGTCCTCGCAATTTGTTTCTTCTCATCTTTTTCTGCTGTGTTTTTATCTTTCCTCTGCCGTATCTGTGCGGTGATAAATAAATATTGCGACTGAGAGTCTTCATTCTTCTCTTCTGTTTCTTGTCTTGAACGAACTTTTTTTGTTGTGGTTGCTATGGAGTTTTATGGATTATCTTTTCTGCGTCCCGCGTGATGTTGAGTGAAGAAACTAAAAAAGAAAAACAAGTCGAAGTTATTTTCACTCTTGAGAAAGAGTCGTTGGCATTTGCATTGCACTTGAAGCGTCTGTGATGCCGGCCCTTCCGTCGAAAGAACGGTCAGGCCTTTTTTGTTTGCATAAAATGGGTGTCTTGGCGTACCTTTTCTGATACTTTTTTCGCTTTCCGGTGCGGTTGCGAGAAAGAGAAAGAGAGAGACACCCACCCACACATACACGCACATCCTCTCACACACACGCGCAGCCTTTGCTGTATGATGAGGCTACCTTGGTCGATTCTGTTGTCTTTTCTTTTCTGCAAGTGGAGCCGGTGCCTTCTTTCGTGTGTGAAGCTTCGACGCCGGCCGATTTATGTGCGCGCCACACGGAAAAAGAAAACGGCGACGAGAATGTTGCATCGGCTGTCGGCCTCTCTCATCTTCCCCTCTTGTTTTTTCTCTTGTTCCTCTCCGTTGCCTCTGTTTACACCCTTCTTTCTGGCCACTATAAAGGACTTCATACTCTTCCGAACTCGAGGCCCCCCACGTATACCTTTAACCATCCCCCACTGTCTCATAAACTCACATCAGCAAAATGGCCAAAGGAAAGCGCTCCGCTGATGCCAAGGGCAGCCAGAAGCGCCAGAAGAAGGTGCTGCGCGACAACATCCGCGGCATCACCCGCGGCTCCATCCGCCGCATGGCCCGCCGTGGTGGCGTGAAGCGCATCTCGAGTGAGATCTACGAGGAGGTGCGCCGCGTGCTGAAGGCCTACGTCGAGGACGTCGTGCGCTCCAGCACCGCGTACACCGAGTATGCACGCAAGAAGACGGTGACGGCGTCGGACGTCGTGAACGCGCTGCGCAAGCGCGGCCACATCCTGTACGGCTACGCGTAAACGTTTACGGAGAAGGCTTTGCTTTCTATCGTGCTTTTCGCCTCCTTCTGTGCCGTATTCGGGATGGTGTTGCGTGACTACTTCGCAACGTTGGGGAAGTAAGCACCGCTTACCTTCCTTTTTCATAGATGCTCTTGCTTTGTTCTTGTCTTTTTCTTGTTTAGAACGTCTTTTCTTTCTTTTTTTTTTTCTCTCCTTCAGGATTCCTCCGCCATCGTGCATCGCGCCTGGAGGGTGTGAAGCTTCGACCTGAAGACCCGTTAAGAGGCTGCGGTCGCTCTACGTGGGGTTCGACAACGGTTGGAAGGAGAGAAAACGAAGTATATAAAGGACCTCCACGGATTCTTGTTTTCAACTGTCACTTTGCGTTCCATTGTGGCGCTAAAGGGAAAAATATGTATTTCTTTTTTTGTCTCCACTTTTCTGCTCTTGAAGATCTAGCTTCTGTGTTCACTTTTGCTGCAGTGGCACTTGCTTTTCTTCTCGTACCATAGAAGAGCTTTCTGCGTGGCCTTCAGTTCACAGATTTCTCAAACACAATGAACGGTGTTTAGGGTACATTTTTTTTTAAGTCTTTCTTTCTCCCTCGAGTTGCTCCTCAACTTTTCCTCTTTCCTACTTTTATGAAATCATGTGTACCAGATTTGTGCGCATTGAATAGCACGACAGCTACTGAAACGAAGGCTTACGAGAAGCACAGGTTTGTCGTACATCCTTACGCACACACCCAAGATTGTCGTATTGCGACCTACAAAGGAAACCTTCTCTTTTCGTTATAGCCTGCGAGTGGGCGGCAAGCTGTGTGACCCTGAACCGCCCCAAAAAAGCCGTAGCTGAAGTCGAAAGGTCCAAACTCACTTATCAGCACACTTCACAGCCTTTCTTTGTTTTCTTTTTACATGGCGGACACACGCCCCGATGCAGCTTCCGCGCCGTTGTCGCCGGCGCAGACCGCCTCAGCAGGCGCCACCGCTTCTGCCGCTGCTTTAGACCGCAAGACAGTGCAGGCGCTCTACGCCGCCCTGCGCACGTCGATCCCCGCCGACGTGCAGAAGTCGCTTCTCCGCGACTCGCTTGAAGAGCTAAAGTTCCTCCTTGCGCGACAACCGCGGCTGAGCAGTTTCCATCACCGCCGTCGTGAGTCACTGCGTCACCCCGCGTTGGCGATGGCGACCAAAAACTACTACCAGCTGTGCCGCCGCAAACGTCTCGAGTACGCCGTCCAGTTCGTCACCGCGGAACAGCAGAACCAAACGCATTATCAGTACTTCAAACGAGCCGATGCGCAGGAGGGCCAGACAGACAACGCTGATATGGTGGCGGCGCAGCGGGAGTCGGAGATGGTGGATATCCTCCTTGCCGAGTATGCGCAGGCCGGCGACTTTCAAGAGGAGTACGGTCGGCGCAATCAGAACGCCGTTGCCGTTAACATCGGCGACTCGCTTCCCTTTAGCACCGGCCTATCCTTTGGAAGCCGCGGAGTCGGCGGTAACAATGCCCAGTTGCTGGGGAGCATCAGTGCAATGGAGGTGAAGAGTGAGACGAGTTTAACGAGCGAGTCACGCGTCGGCGACAGCACCTTCTTCACCGACGTCGGAAACGCAAGTTTGAAAGGCACGAGCGGGGTATGGCGCAGTGGTCAGTCCATCATGCACCACCGCGGCGCCAGCGCAGGTAATCACGCACCCTTAGCAGACGGAACAGGCCTCTTCTCCCCCGGACGCTCCGGACACAGTTTTTCGGCTGGAAACACCGTCTACAGCGAGAGCATCAGTGGCGGCGGTTACCCACGCGGCGGAAGGAACGCCCGCGGCCCGCCTGGCGGCGCGAGTCGCTTCTTCTCCAAACGCCACGACCGTGCCGAAGGTGGTCCTAGCAGTACACGTTGCGGCAGCGGCAGAGGCGACGGCGGTGCACGCTGGAGCGCGGAGATGCTCAGCATGGTGGTTCGTCGGGCCGAGGAGGAGCTACAGGCTGGCTCCGGCGGAGATCCGTACCTCTTGACCTCATCCCGCCCTATCGAGATTCTGCTCACGTGCTACGCCGGGGTGCGGCGCGACCCCGCCGTGATGGCGCTCGGCGCTGCGTCGTTTCTGGTGGGCGGTGACAACTTCTCCACCTCGACCACCACCGCCTCCCCCGCCGACGCCGACCCCGTCTTCAACGCAGTGGTGGAGGAGGATGTGCGGTGGGATCAGCTGGCCCAGTGCTACCGACAGCTCTTGCGGGAGGCCAACTCCGTCCGCCAGGCTGCCGCGTCGGTCGTCGCGCACGACACCTTCGTCAACGACATCCTTCGCCGCTTCTGGGAGCGACTCACGGTGTCGCCGGCCGCGCGGCTGGCACACAAGGCGCAGGAGGCGGCTAGCCGGAAGCGCGACGCCACCGATGCAGCGGCCTCCTCGAAAGGGAGCCCATCTCGAATTGTCGCGGATGAAGCGGAGGAGGACGACTTGGATGAGATCCAGACGACGATAGGCGACGAAGCAGAGGCGTTCGCTGGAAACGGCGGTGGCGGCGGTGGCGCGGGCGGCGCAAAGCCCACGACGCGCAAGTCGCCACGCTCAAGGAAAGGTGGATCGGCGGCCTTGTCGAGGACAAATTTGAAGGGGAAAGGTAAAGGAAAGAAGAGGAAGTCATCGTTAGGGGGTTTCTCTGCGAAAGCCGCTGAGCCTGCCTCCACCGTTGCCTACTACATGACTCCTCTCCAGTACGTCTACCTGCACACCCGCATGGCGCACGTGCTTCTGCCGGACTCCAACGCATTGGATATGGAGCTGCTCTACTTTATTCAGGAAGACCTGCTCGTCGACGCCGCGTATAACGAGAGCGACGCGTTTCAGACGCTTTACTTTGGCGAAGCACCGCACCTTGTGGGATCGAATGGCCTGGTGCGGTCGCGTGGGTCGGAGAGGCGACTCGGCGGCAAAGGTCGTTTTGCGCCGTGGCAGGAGGACGACAACGCCGCCAACGACGATGATGGGGAGAAAGCGTTGACGCTGCGGCAGCGTTTCTTGGCGGTGCGTCGGCACGGCTACGAACTCGGTGAGGACGGTGGGGTGAGCAGTCGTCTGGGCGACAACATCAGTGTGATGGTGCGCCGTGCCACCACCACCAGTGCTGGAGGTATCACCAACGATGAGGTCTCCTCCATCCAGGCTGGAGGTAAACATGCAGGCAGCACCGTCAGCGGTGCGGGCGGTGGTGATAAGAGCAAAGAAACGCCCGTGAACGCCTTGTCGCTTGTCAACATGTGCTTCAGCATTGCAGAGCTGCCGTCGCTGACGTATCAGCAGTTCTGGTGCTCGATGATGGAGCTGGCGGACAACTGGACCTGCTGCGCCGGCCACCCTGTTGAGACCGCCATCTTTCTCTGGGAGCTCTACGCCGAGGTGTTTGGTCTCGATTGGGGGCCCGAGGACGAGGCGTTCATGACGGAGCTGGAGGAGAAGGCAGCCCAGGCGAGTAAACTGGAGCGCTCCAGGATGGAAGAGGAGGTCACAGACGCGCTGCGGTCGTTTGAAGACCTCGTCCAGGCGCTGCGGGAACGCGACCGTGAGAGTGAGACGTCGTCGTCGGACGACTCGGTGGGAGGGCTGAGCAACGAAACGGCGTATTTGCGCAGCGAGCGCGCCAAGCGGCGCCGTCGTCGCCGCCGCAAGTCGAGGAAAAACGCCGCGAACTCGTCCCTCGTGGAGGGGGAGGAGAGTTCTTTAAGCGGCTGGTCGGCGTCCGACATGGACCTTTCCCTGACGGCGTGGAACGCGGTGGCGGGTGACGGGCATCAGGCGGCCAAAGGGTGGGTGTACTTTGAGCAGGTTGGTGAGGACGGGGTAAAGCGACGCTACCGCCGTCGGGTCGTGCACTGCCAGACGCGGCGTCATAAGGCTGCTGCCCATCCAAAAACATCCTCGCTGTCGTCCTCGCTAGAGAACACCGATGAGTTGTCGTTTATTCTTGAAGAGGATCTGCGCGAGGACGGCACGGTGGTCAAGCGGCGGAAGCGGCGCTGCAAGGAAGTGGTGGACACCGTTATGGCGCAAGGTAAGCGTCGTCGTCGCCTCAAGCCACACGGAAAGCGCTCCGCAGGCAAAATAACCTCCACCGCCTTGTACGAGCACCGGCGCAAGTACGATGAGGACAACGCAAAGCAGCTGCGACGACTCGAGGACCGCCGGCGCGTGGAGACAGGGAGCTCGCGCGGTTCCAGCTTAACCTCGTGGAGCTCGATCGACGACGGAAACACCGACGATCGCCGCAACGGGCAGCGGCGTCGACGCCGTGTTCGCCGCACCGGACCACGACGTGATCGGCTGCGAAGTCACTCGCGGACCGACGACGATGCAAGTGTGCAGTCTACTTCTGATGACGAGAAGGACGGAAAGCCGGAGCGGGGAAAATCAGCGCGACGGTCGCGTCTCACCTCCGCAGAGCTGCAGGATTTGCAGGAGAACAAAGAGTGGCTGTGCACGGTGCTAGGGGCGAAGGGCATTTGTTTGCCCCCGCCAATGTTCGACATTCCCGCGGAGCAGGTGCTGCTCTACGAGTTGCTGCGTCTGACGAGGGAGAATGAGGCGAAGGGCGGTGGCGGGACGGGCGGTGGCGGGACGGGCGGTGGCGGGACGGGCGGTGGCGGGACGGGCGGCGGCCCAAGCGGGGAGGGCCTCTTCAACGTCGGAGAAGGCGAGGGCTCGGGTGGGACGGACCTCTCTCGCCTCGCCGCCCTTCTCGCGCAGTCTACCGCCTTCAACCTCGCCGGTCTCGATGACTCCGCCCTCATGCGACGGCTGCTGGGAGAGGACGGGGACGAGTCAGGTCAAGCTCTGTCGCCGCACCAACTTCAGATCATTCTCCTGGCCCTCGCGCAGGGGCAACGGCGAGCGGGCGGCGCTGCCACGATCGAGACGGAAGGGATGCGGCGCCGTCGGCTGTATCTGCTCCGCATGCTGGAGGAGCAGCAAGAACGCGAGCGGCAGTCGAAGGAGGACGCCGGCGGCGCGGCGCTGCTGCCGGCCGGGGCGGCGGCTGAGGCGGCTGACAGTGCGCCTCGCCCCGCCAAACCCTCCCCGGCTCCCCCCACTGCCCCACCCCCTTATTCGGCCCCTGGCAGGTATCTGCGGCCTTCCGCACAGGATGGCAGCGCGTATCTGGCGAGCATGGGCCGAGAGATGCAGCTCGCGACAAGGATTCCCCTTCCGCCCCCACCAAGAGCCAAACTCTCAGGCCCACGAAGCAGCACGGAGGATGGGGAGTGGGTTTTATCGCCCGCCACGGCGGCAGAACGGAGAGAGCTGGAGCGGCTTTTTCGCGAGCTTGAAGCGTATTGGGCCGATCGTGTCTCGCAGAGGGGTCGCTACCGCGTACACATCGTGGAGTACACCAAGGAGCAGCTGGAAGAGTTCTTTGCGCATCTGCATCTCGGGTCACGGCAGCGCGCGCTGCTGCGTGGACGAGCCCCGTTAGCTGCTGCAACATCGCTGGTGGGTGGGACACTGCACCAGGACACGCCGCGCACTGGCCCGCTGGAAACTAGCGCGAGTCGCAGGGAGAGCGGAGTCAGCGCTACTGTTCCTGCTGCTGCTGCTGCCGTCTCGCCGTTCACCGCAGCTCCAGTGAAGCTGTTTACTCTGACCACAGAGGCATCTCTTGATGGGGCGCTGCGGGAGAGCTACCAGAGCTACTTCAGCGACAAGGTGTTTAGCAAGTCCTGCAAGAACGCAATCTACAAGGTCGAGCAGCCCGCGCCCGCTGCTTCTCCTCCTGCTTCAGCAGTGCCAGCTTCCGGGCGACGTCAACCGCAGCCGAACCTCCCTCCCCTCTCGCAGTCGGGGCGTGAGCACGGAAGGAGCTCGCCCCCCTCGAGGGCTTATCAGGGCACGGCCCGTCAGTCCTCAGCACCTGCGGCGGCACCACCGTCGCCACAATTGCCGGCAAAAAGTCTACCGACGTTGGCAGGCACATCGACGGCCAGACTCAATCAATCCTCCTCCTCATCCAACTCCACCAACGTCCTTCCCAAGGTTTAAAAGGCCGAACCTTCTCTTGTTCACTATCACCCCTTTACGGTAGATGTACTTTTTTTTTCCGAATGCATAGTTGAACCTCTCGATCGCTTGGGTCTCTCTCTCTCTCTCTCTCTCTATATATATATATATATATATATATATATC